AAGAGAGACATACAACTTAATAATTAGAAGGGCCTTCTTAAGCTATAGAAGGGTATTAGCCGGCCGAAGCCTAAGAACAGAATATACTAGCCACTAAAGATTCTTAGCGAAACAGAGGACGAGAAATTCGAAACACAATAGATAGGTTTCGACGAGGAGTCGTACTCACTAGAGCCAGCATCAAACATGCGGAAAGTCGTCCTGGACTTAGTAGAGGAGTACTACGCCAGGCAAAAGCAAGGCGAAGCGAGCCATGCCGTTAAACACGGTAGAAAAAGCCCAGTTAGGCGGTCACAGCTTCCACCAGGCCCAAGACGTAAACGTGCACATCGCCCACGAGCCCGCGGCGGCAAAGGACCCTCGATAAGGCGGCGGATTTGACCGGCACAGGGTTACTACTGCCGCAGTAGTCGACCAGACCCGCTGGAATATGTATCGGTTTGGTGGGAGCTGTTAGCCGCCAGAATTCAGCTCTGCCTTCACACACGCGCAAGCAGGCAGCTGTCAAGGTCATCTTCGTATGGGCCCCGTCTGCAGCTAAACAGGCCATGGTCATAATGTACCTCCTTATTGAGTCGCTGGGCTTTGCACGGTCGAGCGGCCCTGGCGCTTTCCCACCATGGCAAAAGATGCTGCCATAATCTGGTTCGCTTCTGAAAAAGGTGCGGCCGACTATAGTGCAGTGATAACCTTGTCTTCATCCTGTGACTACTCTTAACTGACGCGAATGAGGCACACAGGTGTGCGTCGCAACTCCATTTCTAGAATGATGGCCTCATGTAGACTTTGCCTCATAGGGACGCCAGTCACTTATTAATACAAAATTTCCTTCATGTCTTAGCAGTACAATGTTTCAACATTTTGCCTCCTCGGCCGCGCCGGGCTGGTCACCAGGCGGACGTTTCTCCCTCAGCAAGCGATCAAGCTGCAGCAACACTCCGCTCTGAGCTCCGTCCACTCGAAGCTTATGCCAAATATCTTGGCATAAGCGTTTCTTACCGCCTTTACGCTACAATAATAAGCGATCTTGCCCGATCTGCCTCCCGGAGAGTTCAAAGTCGCAGAAAGTTGATTGATGGCCATGCCACTCTTATTCTTTGCTTCCTATGTCGCACGTAAGCGTAAATTGACGCCATGTGCACAATGATACCCCGTAGTCACGCGATTTGTTAGTACGGACAGGGTATAGAGGGGCACATGATACCCTCTTCCAGAGATGCGTTGCAGACTGCGCCGCCCGCAGGCGACCCGTCTAAGAGACGGCGACTAACCCGTAACGGGAACGAAACGCAGGGCTGCGTCAACGACGACGATGAGTATTGGTCGGAGGAGGAGGTGGTGTAAGATTTGCTGAGGGGAAGGAAGAGGCAACGACAAGACGACTTCGGCTTTGATGGCTACGTCACGCAGTCTAATAGTCGCGGGTTTCTAGCCAACGTTAACCGGGAGCTGCAAAAAGATCTTAGGCTGGCCTAAGGTTTCTGTCTATAATTTATAATACCCCGAGGGCTTACCCTACCGTCTTTACAATTTTGAATAATAGTCCATGTTGACGTGAAGAGAAGTCCAATTCAGTGGATAATTACAAGCCTGTCTACACTAACTTTAGCCCAGCTTGTACCCAGGAGGGATGCATTTCCGGCCGTTCCCTGTACGCATCACATCCTACGCCGATAATTTCTTATAGCAAAATGAGCTTCTAGAAATGAAACTATCCTCGCCAATTTAACTTCTACTCTATAAGTTCACAGAAGTGGTATTCCATCTATTCATTCTTAACTGCAGTAGTTCTGCCGGGGCGTCGACCCATCACATTACACCATCCGATCCTCCCACTTGTGGAAAATATCGTCTATATGCTTTCCCGCATCTGAAAGGTGCAAGATATGTCTGATAGTGCGGTGTAGAGCGAGGAGGCGTGGCGCCGGTGGGTTGATGCTTTGATCTGCTGAGGTACAGCGCCCTTATGACAGGCAGAATTCTCTGGAGTCTAACCCCTCGAAATGACCTGATTTCATAGGTATGCGGGCGGTTGGCGATTTGCGTGAAGTAGACGTCGAAATTTCTAAAAGCTCGATGCAAGTCCAGAGTCAGTGTTATAGCATTGTGCGGTTGGTTAACGTCCACGCCATTGATAAGATGAGCAACGTCATCGTCGAACATATTAAGAATCTCCAGGGCGGTCTTTTTAGATTCACTCTAGAAGTGTAGTAGTGGCGTAGCATAGATGAAGGCATACAAAACGTTTTAAGTGAAAGAAACGAGAGAATAACACAAATGAATAGGAATGTGCGAGAGTGATGGAGATACTAGGAAATAAGGGGGCTAGGGTAGGAGGAGTAGAAGTTTATAAAGACTGATAAAAATAAGAAGAGTGATGAGTATGTAGCAGTAGACGCAACGTTGAAGACATACCAATTCTTCTGTTTCCGATCTAACGCGGACCAATGTGTGCGACCTCTGGATAACTGATGTTATCATCCTCGATAGGGTCGCCTTCACCATCCAGTATCTTTCCTTTTTGGGTTTCTCGTTCGCGTGCCTTAGGTGATCGTGGAGCAGCATAAGCTTATCGTGGCTTGTCACTTCGCCTGCGCAATGGGCGTTTTTCGGCGAGTGTGTACGGTACATGCATGTCAACATAATTGCGTCGAGGTACATGAACAACAGGGTCAACGCTCCCAGGCGGTACACGGGTCGGACACCCCGGTCGCCTGGGATACACGTCGCGGCATGGACTCAGCGCTCGCGTTGTGAAGCCTGTAGCTGAGTCCGTGGCGTTTGGCGGAGCGTGCCCATGTTGGCGCACCAGACATGGCACCGCCCGAAGAGACGAGGAATCATGCGCAAGGATATCATTTGCCAAATATTGGCGGTATTTGATGCGGCAAGACGCCAGAGGGCACTCGTCACAGCGCAGTCCGCTTAGCGGAGTGCCTCCGTTCGATAGACTCACGAGGCTTACGGCTGAGCTGGTTCGGTTAGTGGCGTTAAGCGATAATACAATAATATTTAGGCGCTTGGTGGCTATATTCTTAATATAGTATATATTATCGTATAAGTTATATTAAGAGATATTTTTTAATAGTACAGCTATTATTTAGATTAATTAGTAGAAATCTAGTCTAACTATCTACTAGAAATCCTCTTTTTTATATTTATTCTATCCTCTATTATAACACTTAGATTACCATAGTTTACTTATAAGCCTAGTAATCCTAGATTAGTATTAGATTACTATAATCCCTAGTAATCTAGTTATATAATTAGTTCCTTTATTCCTACGCCCCTATAAGCGCCCTATAGTCTACCAGCAAGGTGCTTTTAGGAGCAGGAACGCTAGTATTCACAACGAAGGCGTGGGAGTTGATGGCATGACAGAGTTGCGGTCCGGTTTATTGTTTCTACATGATGGGGTTCTTTCTCGGGAGAGATTATGACCCAAAAAAACGCGAGGTGAGGCGAAAAGGGTTTGAATGAGGTTAGTCTTCATTCTACGTTCGTTTCAAAAAAATTTGATTCATTTTTAGCTCTATCGAAGTTACTCCGAAAAGTAAATACTTGATCAAAACTAGAAGCCCATTTTGCCCATAAGTGTACGAGTGCATACAAATCTAGAAGATTCATACCAGCAGGGCAATGCACGCTGAGGTGCCAAGCACCGGTGGACGGGTCCTAAGGCGTCTTGATTGACTCTAATATTGGCTTCCTCGTTGTTGAGAACCTGTCTTACAGTCAAGAATGGGCTTGCTGCGTTATCTGTGGATTGTGTATCGCGTTTAGGTCTAGGAAAGTTATGCCCGCAGGGCAGTGCTGTGTGACATGCCAACGCGAGGATGCATCCTGGCAGGCAAAAGAAAAAAAAACCTGGGATGTTTCCTTTCACTCTGAGCCGTCTGACTTTCCTTTCCAAGGCCGGACCAAGCTTCTTCACGATGGCAGAACGTTGCATGGCTTGAGCGGCCAAGTAATTTATGTGGTGGACCTTTTTCATTTTTACCATTGGCTGGTTTTTAATTTAGTGTCTAACGACGACAATTTTGAGAGCCTCGCGTCACGAACCCGACAATCAGGGCCACCGTTGAAAAGACATTATTGATGAATTTCAGTGCAATAGCAGATGTGCGGCTAGCAAGCGTCCCACCCCGGCACATTCACGAAAGCGTGGTACACGACGGTTGAGAGTTTTCATGTTGTTAAGGGATGTCTCTGAAGGTCAGGGAAGCTGGAAAAACGAAGATAGAAAATTCTTGGAAGTGAAGAAAACATGACTGGGGGAACGAGCAAATTTATAGCCAGATGAGCGGACTGCTCCATCCCCGAGAACTACATCTTCACACCTCAGTACAGACACACCACGTCTGGGTCGACATTTTTCATTGATCATGCGCAGCCCGGAGCTACTCAGGTAGCCTCAGTCGGAGTCTCATGGGACTCAGGGAGCGGCTCAGCGAGGCTCATGGCGGCTCCGGGAGCCTCGCTGAGCTGAAGACTGACTAGAGCCTGAGCAAAGGGGTAAAAGCGGCAAGAGATAGAAGTCAGTTTTCATGCCGCATAACCGCTGGAAAGACTAGCAAACTACCGATACAGATGCCGGCCGATCATACTAGCCCCTAGCGGGGGAAGGGCGTCGTGGGCAGGTTGACAGATAGCCTGTTAGTGCATCAACCAGTCCAGGATCTGATGCGCCATGCAGACCATTTAATAAAGCCTGTGGGATGCCCGTCCCGATTCAGGAGGCCAATTGCAAACATCTTACTCATGGGTTGGAGAATTTCTCTTGCACGACCCACCCACCCCCAGGTCGCCACATCATTAGCTCGTGGGGGAAAACCTGGGGTCGCTTGCCCTTGCCTGGTGATATAATATGTTGGCCTCGTCACGTCGCATTGGAGAGGGATTCTTCGTAACACGCAGTTCCTTTTCATCATTTTGCCATCCACCATCTTGCTCAGGCAATCCTGCGCATCTCGAGTTTTCAAAGACCAGACAAAAGAACCATGACGGACGATGCCTCGCACCGTGCCGCCAAGGCAGAAGAGGCGAACGACGCGGAATCCCAAGTACAGGAATTCCGAGATATCGGCCACCTTTCCGCTACGCACTCCGAGTTCCTCCTCGAGCAGCACGGCACGACTGATCTCGAGCCGTTACCCGATCCCACGCTGGCGGACCCCCTGAACTGGCCTCAGAGAAACCCCAAAAGCGCTCAGCAAGCTCATACCCACAGAAAATCATCAACCTCGTCCTCGTTTCCTTTCACGCCTGCATCTGCTCATTCACGGCGTCCTCCGTCATCCCCGCCTTCGGGGACATTGCCAAGCGGCTCGGCGTCACCATCCAGGCCGCCTCGTACATGACGTCGCTACAAATCGCCGTCTTGGGCGGTGCACCGTTCCTCTGGAACCCGCTGGCACGCCGGTATGGCCGCCTGCCCATCTTCGTGTCGTCGCTGCTCGGCAGCGTTGCCTGCAACATTGGAAGTGCCCGCAGCACCACGTACGGTGAGCTTGCAGCGTGCCGCGCTCTCGGCGCATTCTTCATCTCGCCCGCTGCAGCGCTCGGCAGCGGCACCGTCCAGGAGATGTTCTTTGCCGGCGAGCGTGCGCAGTACATGGGCGTGTGGACGCTCATGTTCACCTTTGGCGTGCCCTTTGCCCCGTTCCTTTTTGGCTTCGCAGTCGAGCGGGTAGGCTACGAGTGGATATTCTGGACACTGGCCATTGTGAGTCTGCTTGACGCTGAACAACAGGACATGAAAGGACTGCTAACGTGTGAAGACCAATGTTGTCCAATTCGTCTTTTACCTAGCCCTGGGGTCCGAAACCAGGTACATCCGCGGCACCGGCGACGCGGCGACTCCCATCCCTCGCCGTCTGGCCCTGCGGCGCATCGACCCAACACCGTTCTCAGCGCTCGAGTTCGTGTATCCCTTCATCTACGCCGTGCGGTGGCGTGTCGCTATCCCTGCAGCCTCCTACGCCATGACGTTCCTCTTCTGCAACGTGGTGACATCGGTCGAGATCCCGCAGCTCTTTGCCGAAAAGTTTCACTTTGGCGGACAGACTCTTGGCCTGCAGTTCCTCGCGCTCATCATCGGTAGCCTCATCGGCGAGGGGCTCGGCACCGTCGCGTCGTCGTGGTGGATGGCGCGCGGGCCCGCGGCGCGACTCGGCCGTCTGCCCCCGCCGGAGCGCCGTTTATGGCTCAGCCACATCGGTTACGCGTGGTCCATCTGCGGCATAGTCGTTTTCCTCGTTATGAGCGCGCAGCTGCGCGTGTATAACGTGAGCCCCGTCGTCGGTGCAGGCATCGCCGCCGCGGGCAACCAGGTCGTCACGACAGTGCTGGTCAACTACGCAGTTGACTGCTACCCTGACGACGCAGCGAGCGTGGGCGTCTTCATCACATTTGTGCGCCAAACATGGGGCTTTATCGGTCCTTTTTGGTAAGCGGCCACCAGGGCTCCTTGTTCCCTTCACCGCCTTCACCCTCTTGCTAACGTGGATGTAGGTTCCCGCAAATGTTTGCCGCTACAGGCGCAGGAAGCGCAGGTATCGCTGTTGGCCTGCTTATCGCTGTTAGTGTCATTCCAACCATTGTACTGCAAATCGCCGGCAGCAAGTGCAGCGTCCAGCCACCTAAAGAAAGCACCGAGCGTGAAGAGAGCGAGACCAAGCAAGTGATTCTCAGTTAGGTGGCGTTGATAGACAACCTCGAATAGATAACTTCCCTATCGGAAGACGCTACGCCGAATTACGCCAAGACACACGTGCGGGAGCTGACGGTGCCAAGGAGGCCTGGGGCGAACTACGGTATCTTGGCAGTTGGGATGCTGGTTAGGCTAGCAAGCGAGTAGCTTCTACGAGACGAAAGAGGAAGGTAGAGAAATAGTCGGAAAGAGAAGGCTGAGGAGAGGAGACGATGACTATCATGCTGGAGTCGAATTCATCTTGTCCCGCAGCTTCGGTGAACGCATTTGTTGCGTAACCTAATGACGACGGGGCAGGATTTGTACGACAATCAACATTGGCAAGAGTCTATTCCTTTCCACAAGGGCCTGTTAGAGGTAGTATAGCTACTTTCTCATTGTTTTTCTGCCCTAGCTAGATTCTACACTATCATAGGCTGTCTTTGTTAACAGCGGCACTTTCAGTCACTACTCTGCACTCACCTCCAAGCGAAAAGTTACCGCCGCGGAGCTTTCGCGCACTTGAAAGGGATACAACTAGTTAGAAGCTCCTTCATTCATGTGGTTTTACTTCGCCTCCACTTCCGCCCGCTTTCCCACAAAAACCTAGTTTCCCCATCATCGGCAACCTCGTCGTTGAACCAATAGCGTTCACGCCGTGCCTTTTTAGTTCCCCGCTGGAACCGGCGAGGCAAGAGATCGTCTCGGTATTTGCGTCTCGCGAGGGGAAGGGGAGGTGTTCATTGCTGCACGACCTGGAGTTGCTTGCTTTCATTCGACAATCGGTCCGTTTGTACAGAATCTTGGCTTGCCAAGCACCGGAGCCATCAAGCAGAGGGGCAAATTGGGTTGCTCTTAAACAAATGGAAGCAGCTACAAGCTACCGTACTTAGATGGGAAGGGGGTGAGGGGTAGGACAGGAAAACTACAAAAGAGACGAGTACTTCTTACTTCCCCTTCCCCCTCTACTTAGTCTTGCAAGAGTTGTCTCTCCATCACCACCGGGCAACTCCACGCTCCAAATCTTACACCTTTACTGCCTTACTATGCTGTACCGTCTCTCGTCGGTCATCGTCGCCGGAGCGCTGGTGCTGCTCGGCTCCGTGAACGGCGCCTCGTGCGTGCCGCGCGCGCGCAGCTTCATCTATGTCGTGCCCGACGGCTACGGGCCGGTGTCGCAGACCATGGCTCGAGACTACGAGAGCATCATGACGGGCAAGAGCACGCCAGAGCGGCCCAACTCGGCGCAGATTGGCGTCGACGAGATGGTGCGTTCGCTTTCGACGCATGCGAGAATCTTGACGGAAGTGCTGACAATGTTGATGCTAGCTTATCGGTACGGTGCGCACTCAGGCCTCGGACAACCTCGTGACCGACTCCGCCGCGTCCGCTACGGCGTTTGCCTGCGGCATCAAGACTTACAATGGAGGTAAGGACAGAGTATAAGCGAGGGCCGGCTCGGCATCTAGGCTAACAGCCCCCCTTTATAGCCATTGGTGTCGACGACGATGGCAAGCCTGTCGCGTCGGTGCTGGAGGCGGCGCATCTGAGCGGGTTCAAGACGGGCCTGATCGCGACGTCGCGCATCACGCACGCGACGCCGGCATGCTACTGCTCGCACGTGCTGAGCCGCGACTCGGAGAATGAGATCGCGGCGCAGCAGATTGGCCAGACGCACCCGTTCGGGGCGTACTTGGACCTGATCCTCGGCGGCGGGCGGCGACAGTACTTGCCGCGGTCGGCCGGCGGGCAGCGCACCGACGGCGTGGACCTTGTGGCGTGGGCGAAGGAGAAGGGGTACCAGTACGCGGCGGACCGCGCGGCGCTTGACGCGGCCACTGTCACCGGGGGCCGGGTGCCGCTGCCGTTCCTCGGGCTATTCGCGAGCAGCCACATGGCGTACGAGCTGGACCGCGACGGCGCCAAGGAGCCGTCGCTGCTGGATATGACCAAGCTGGCGCTGGCTTCTCTCGAGGAGGCGTCCAAGGGCTCGCAGCAGGGCTACTTCATCATGATCGAGGCCTCGCGCATCGACCACGCGGGCCACTCCAACGACGGGCCGGGCCACGTCCACGACATCCTCATGTACAACCAAGTCATGACGCACCTCAAGGAGCACGTCGCCGCGCACCCGGACACGCAGCTGCTGTCCGCTGCGGACCACGAGTGCGGCGGCCTGACGCTGCCGGGCCGGTGGGACCCGCGCCCCCTCGCCGCCGCGACGCGCACCAGCGAGCACCTCGTCAACCTGCTGGCCGCGTACAAGGGCGGCGACCAGCGCGGGTACTTCAAGACGGAGCTGCTCCCCCAGTACGGGCTGGCGGACGCGACGGACGCGGCGACGGACGCGCTGCTGGCGACGTACAAGGCGCGCGGCAGCACGGCGCTGGTGGTGGCGATGGGCCAGGAGCTGGCGCGCCGCGCGGGCATCGACTGGTCGACGACGGGCCACACGAGCGTCGACGTCAACCTGTACGGCGCGGCCAAGGCGCAGGCGGGCATGGCGGCGGCGATCGGGGGAAACCGCGACAACACGGAGCTGCCGCGGTACGTGGAGCGCGCGCTGGGCGTCAACATGGCGAACGCGACGGCGAGGTTGAGGGCGCACGGGGAAGGTGCGTGGGTGCAGAGGCGGGACGAGCTGCCGGCCATCAAGCGGGCGGCGAACCTTGCGGCGTGGAACCACATGCACTAGGCTGTTGGTGCGCTAAGGCGTGTCGATTTGTTGAATGGTAGAATCGTGGTGAAGTTGGTCAAGTTGATAGCGTTTGGTTGAAGCTGCTGGTTTGTCGTTTGTGGAGCAATTGGCGTGACTGGTGGACGTGATCCTGGTTGGCGTTGGCACTGTGTGGAGCTAGGAGAGATGAGATGGATTGATGGGAAGAAGGATGTGTTAGCAAGCAGCATGGCGAGATCCGAAAAGGAGATAAGATGGAAGAATTTCGATCTAAAGGAGAAAGGGGAGTTTATGTATTAACATCTTGTTTTATTCCCCAATAACCGTTTCAATGCCCAACCTGATGCAAGCCGTCCAGCCCAGTGACGCCTCTCGGAGGCGCTAAGGCGGCGCTAGCCTCTCCTCCAGCACCGCTATCAAGGTTGCAAGGGTTGGCTGCAGCCAACCCGATCCAGGCCCGTGACAAGTGGGCTTGAGTGTAGAAGAAAGTATCCCTTGTACGAAGATTTGCTGGGGAAGATACTTTGCCAAATCGCGGAGGCTTCGTGGGCGTGGTGGGGGCAAGACATTCTCAACGGCTCCTGTGACTCGACTCTGGTGGTCTGTCTTGCGACGTGGTTATCACTGAGCTATTATTTGCTCTTCCAGTGCTGTTACGCTGTTATCTTGGTAGGATCTCTTTGAAATGAGGCATGATGCAATTCTAGCTGGATGGTCTGTTGGGAATAGTACTATCGGCAGGTCGGTATCTAGGTTGACTCATCCCTGACAGGTCGCATCCTCAGGCAGTCACAGGCCTCTGCACAGGCTGCATGACTGCCTAAAGCCACCCAAAGCCACACACCAAAGCCACTTGTCGCCGCTTGTTGCCTCAGTCCATTCATTGCACGGTGTACCTACTACCTCCGTTTCCAGCTTCGTCTTCTTCCTCTTCACATCCCACTTCCATCGAACACTGAATTTCCTCATCTTGCCCCGTCGACAATTGATTCAACTCTCCAACCTGCATCTCGTCATCCAGTCTCCTCCCCCGCCGCGCTCGTCCTCGACGCATCATCCATCTACCGTGCACCACCACCATCACCTGAGCGCCTAGTTAGCCCGTGTCTGGGCTGTACTGCGACTGTACCAGTACCACCAGTACCAGGGAACCCCAGTCAACAACCACCTCACTAACTGCGGGGCGCGCTGTCTCTCTTCTTGTGCTCTCCAATTGCCTGAGAGCCTCCAACTCTCAACCTTCACCAACTTTCCCATCTCTTTGGCAAAACGCTCGTTATTTTGCCTGTTTTGATTCTTGTGCTTCTTATTTCGACTGCCCACCATGTCTTCCTCCATCACCATTCAAACTCGTCGCACCAACGATGATCTATGCACCCCCAAGACCATGTCCAGCTCGTCTGACAGCTCTTATTCCGATTCCCCGTCATCCGCTCCCTCTACTCCGTCATCGGCTACCAAAACCAAGGGCCTTCACACCCGACGACCGAGCCTGTTGAGTATGTCGATAATCTCCATATTGCCATCATTTGAAGCCCGAAATATTCATTCCTTTCATTTTTTTTCTCCCGCAACATCCCTCGTGGCCTTGCCCAAGAAGCCCCGTTTGCTAACGTACTACAGGCTCCGCCCTCTCCATGGAGAAGTCGACGGTCATCAACATCGGTGACCCTGATGGTCCTCCCCGTCTCGTACGTCCTTTCACCTTGCCTCGCAGAATATTTTCTTCCTAACGACCTTCAGATCACCTACCTCTCCTCCAGTCAAGGCTTCGACTGGAATCCCGGTAGGCTTGCCCAGCCTCCCGGCTTCTCCCGCACACCGCTAACAGACATATGCGTAGAAATATTCCTCCCCTCCTACCTCGACTGCGATTACGTTCCCCTCGAGAACCGAAGAGAGCCTGTCCACGAGATTCGACTCAGTGAGGAGGAGCTTCGTGACATGCTGCCCCAATAAAATACCCGACCGTGAATGCCGCCTCCCCTGCCTCCCCGGCCCGTACCTACCCCGGGTGATGAGCAGTGGCCCGCTCCGCGTGTGCTCTTGTCTTTCGTTGCACCATTATTTTTCTTCTACGGTTCGAACGCTTGCGCAACTCGATGACCGAACCTCTTTTTTTGTCTGTGTGACCCCTTTGACGGGTTGCGCTTTTGACACGACCGTTACGATACACTGCTGCGGTTGACTGGTGCTTGGCGGGCACTCGGTGCCCTTGCGCACCGCCGCAGTAACCTAGAGTTTTATTACCTTGGAGTTGAGGGAAATTGCTTGTTGACTTTGTTACATATACGTCTTCTATCCCCCCCCTTTACACTTGACAGAACTGGTCTTGTAGGCCTGGAATAATCACCGCTCCTGGTGAGGGAGCGTCTGGAGTTTTGTTTTCTCTCGGTAGCTATATAATCTGTTGAATTCCACACCTTTTATGAATGACTCAGGGTCGTCTACTGCTATCCTCTCTTGTTTCGGTATAATAACTATTAAGCGCTCTTGGAGTTTGATAAGGGCATGTAGATCAGGGATCATGACGCTAAGTCTGGCCGCATCAATGTGAGACGTCGTGGCACGTTTGGGCACGGATGCATCCACTGACTGGCCATCCACCACACCCTCTCTCTGCAACAGACCGCGGCGGGAAACGACGACAACTTGCGTTTCAACCTAATCACAATCAGGCTTGAGACGCCTTCACTTTTTGTACCCTTGAGGCCTCGCTTCGTATTGCAATTTGCTCGACCCTACCGCGTCTCCATCAAATCGGGACCCGATGGCGCTTGTCGGGCGCTCTCCACTGTGGATTCTTCGTCATGCCTAGTGCCGTCATCAACAACAGGATACGAAAACAAAAAGGGCATGAATGAACTAGTAGCTATAAAATTTGAATGAGATATCTTTGAAAAGTAAATATTGTTATTGATATTGTTATCAAGCAGATTCGATAAAGCCGTAATATCTAGGACGGACAATAACAGAAATTCAAGACCTCCGGCAGATGCATGTACCCCGTGCCCCTAGCGATAGCCGGCTGCCAGCATGGCACTAAATGCGACCAAATAAATAAGCTCCAGTTGACAGCAACCAGTTAGGCAGTAAAGCATTAGGGCGAAAAAAATTCAATGACGAAAAGGCAAAATTAAGAAGACGCGTTCTTCGCGCGTTACTTGCCCCTTGTTACGCTCGGGATTGTGTGGGCGAGACTCGAGGTACTGGGCGCTCTTAAAAAGCCATGACGCTTTGGCGACGACGGCCGGATCACCAGGGTCCTGTGAGAAAAGCGGACGCATATCAAAAAGTAGGCTTATCGGCGATGGGCGGGGAGTGATTGACGGGAGAGCATGGGCATGATGGATATCCGTAGATGCGAACAAACAAATAAAAAGCCCGAACAAGGATGGTGCACTTCTTTCCGATGCAGGGGACGATGTTTGTCGAGATCAGCAAGGCGGCAGCCTGCTCTCAAACACCCTCTACATCCAAGTCAACATTTGAGGGCAGTTGTTTTTTTTTTCTCTCTTCAACTCTGATTCTTGTTCACGTAGAGGGCCCAGCCAGGCGCAGGTCGAAAGATCCTCTCAGCCATCGTCGCCCCAGCCTCGTCGTGAATCGCCATCGAGCCCGCCACCAGCGTACACTCCACCTGCCCTTCCTCGTCGTCGCCCATCACAACCGGCACAGCCGCCGCGCCCGGCGGCACGCTCAACACCGGCACCGACGGGTACCCCACGCCGTCCAGGAAGTACTCCGGCCGGCCCGGGCGGCTCCGCGGCTCGCCGCCGTCCGCCGGTAAGCAGCAGAACGCGGTGATCCAACCCGTCAGGTTCCGCCGGCCGGTGCGCTCCGCATCCGCCGTGACGATGCGCCGCCAGAAGGCGCGCACGCGGGGCGTGCCCCCCTCCTTGAAGGTGAGCACGAAGTGCCGCACCACCGGCCGCAGCAGCGTGACGAGCAGCGCGAGGTCCGCGCGGGGACCGAGGTGCTGCGGCAGGAGGTCGAGGCGCTGTTGGATGGCGACGTAGTCGGCGCGCTTGCCGTGCAGCGTGACGGCAAACAGACCGTCGTCGTCGTCATGCGGCGGCGGGAGGGCGCGGCACTCTTGCATGGGCCCGCGGAAGAGGCTCGCCAGGATGGTGTCCCGCGTCGTCGTCGTCACCGTCCGCCGCCGCAGCGCGTCCGCGGTCGCCAGGGCAAGGCCCGTGGTGCCCAGGAAGAGAGCCGCGGCCACGGCGCGGTCCTCGCCGGTCGTGCAGGAAAACGCGGGCACCACCCAGCCCGGCAAGCCCGCGTCGCCGCCGCAGCTGCTCTCCAAGAGACCGACCATCCGCGAAGCGAGCGCGCGCGGCGCGGCGCGGCGCCCGCAGCGGGCGGGCAGCAGGTGGTGGTGGTGGTTGGGCAGGATGCGCCGCCGGGCATCCGGGTGGGCGCGCAGCCAGACGCCGACCTGCGCGAGCACGGCCAGCCAGAGGTCCTCTGGCCGCAGGGCGAGGTGCTGGCGGGCGTGGTGCGCGCGGAACGCGGCGTGCACCAGCCCGTGGTGCGAGCGCGCACCGTCGCGGTGCAGGGAGGTGGCGAGGAGCTCGCCGTGGCTGCGGAGAGCGTGGTCCTGCAGGTCGGCGGCCTCGAACATGCCGCCGGCGGAGGCGCCGGCGGCGGCCAGGGAGGAAGGGGACCGCTCGTCGGGGTCTTTGGGGATGCGCAGCGTCAGCATGTCTTCTGCGTCGGGCGGAGGGCGGAGGGGCATCATCATGGCCCCCTTTCTCGTGGCTCCTGGTTGGGGGGTTTTATATCATCGAGTTGGTGGTGGTGAACGTGATGGGGAATCCGGGGCGAGTGATTCGGTGACACAGGCACGGCCAGGCAGGCTTTGACAGCGAGCGCAGAGTCGCACAAGGCGCCACCCGAAGCGTTGTATCACGGAATTTGATGGCTCGTCATGGCGTTTTCCCACAGGTTCTAGAAATCCCCGCGTCGTCTGTTCTGTAATGTGGAGGCACAGGCACGTCAGTTCTCAGTCAATCACAGCTGGCAGAGTAGAAAGCAGTGAGAATGCAATAATTTGTAACAATTTTACCGCCAGAAAACTTGTACCGCCATAACCAAAAACCCAACGCCGTAGCCCCTGCTTTTCCATGTAGTGTATGTGTATGATGAATGCGCCGTCATGATATCCTGCCAGCAAGTGCCGTCCAATCACCGCCGGCCAAACTTTCGACCGAAACCGCCCGGCTTTCCCTTCATGTTCTTGCTCCTCAGCTTCAGGCGGCGGAAGTTGGCGTGCGCCAGCTCGTTGACCTTGCGCACCGACTTCTTCACCACGCCCTCCTCCTTGGCCGGCTTCTTGCTGCTGCTGCCGCTGCTCGCCCCGCCGGCGCCCTCCTCGTAGTCGCCGTCCTCGTCGTTGTCGGCGGCGGCAGCGGCGCCGTTCTCCTCCCCGTCCACCACCACGTCCTGCGAGTCGTCCAGCGGCGCCGTCGGGCGCCTCGTGATGGTCGGACGCATGTTGACGCGGCGCGTTGTGCGCTTCTGGCCCTTCTTCTTGAACGCGACCCGCGGCGGGCCGCCGGGGCGGTCCTCCTCCTCGTCGGGGCTGTCGTGCATGCCCTCGTCGTCGAAGCCGCCGAGCGGCAGCCGCGCGACCTCGCGGTCCCTTGCCAGGATCTCGCTGTCCCTCGCGGGTGCGGTGGCCGGCCGCGGCGCGGATCCCAGCCCCTCGGCCTCGCGCAGCGCGGCCATGTCGTCGTCGTCGTCGAGCGTGTCGTCCTCCACCCTCCGCAGGCTCGCGATGATCTCGCTCAGCCCGCGACCGAGCGGCTTCCGCGGCAACCTGAGCGGCGCCGGCGCACCGGCAGCAGCGGCAGCAGCATCCGCCCCCGCCTCGGCCGGCGGCAGCGCGCTGTGCCGGCGCAGGAACGCGGGCGTGTCGAACTGCAGCCTGGACACGCAGGCCGGCGTCGTCTTCTCCCCGTCGTCGTCGCGGTTCTTGAGCGGCGTCATGAAGCTGTTGAGCATGTGCCGCTTGCTGCTCGACATGGGCGTGCGGCCCAGCTTCCTACCCCCGTCTGCGGATTCCCGCGAGCTCGGCGTGTTGCCGTCGTCCATGCTGCGGCGGCGGCCTCCGCCCGGGGTGGTCGGAGGCGGCGGCAGCAGCGTGCCGTCCGCGGCGGCGGTCTTGCTGGGCGTCCCGAGCTCTTTGCTGACCAGCAGGTCAAAGAGCCCGAGCACCTTGCCGTCGCGCTGCGGCGTGGGACCGATGCAGGTGACGGGCGCCGGGCTGAAGAGCTTTCGCGAGATGGCGGGCGTGCTCATGAGCTGGTCATCGTAGTCGAGCGTGCGGCCCTTGACGGGGGTCTCGGCGTACTTGTTCTTCTTGAAGGGCGTCTCGACCGGCGGGGGTTCGGGGCGACGCTTCTTGGGGTTCGGTGGGTGGTGTTGCTTGGCCGATGGAACGGGGATCTTGCCGGCGAGGATGTCTCGGGTCTTGTTGTATTCTTTATATTTTGTGGCTAGATTGCGATTAGAACCTGGTAGGCCATCTTTTCCAGGCTTGCGGGAGCAGAAGTACCTATGTCGGCGTTGTTTTTTATATCCTGCCGACCGGGCTTGGAGCCATGGGCGGCTGCCCAGTCGTTCTCCCATTTTTTCAGGTCGGCGCGGAGGTGTTTGGATTTTTGCTCATAAGAGGCTTTTGTTTTTTCGTCCATGATTTTGGGTCGTCATTTGTGGCGCTATTTGAGAATGACTTGTTTTTTGCGAGCTATACTGATTCCAATGCAAATTGGCTGTGGAGGGTTGAGTGTCGGTCAATGGATCGCGTTTGCAAATATCGAGACGCGTCTTGGCTGACTAGGGGGGGGGCTAGAGTGGACGCGACCCCGCGTAAAGTGTTGTTACATGGATACGCTGAAATGTCGTCATAAAAGATTCGTGGCTTCTATGGTTCGGAAAAAGATGATAAAAGGAAAATAATTATCAATGATTGACTTTACAAACCAAATAATAAAAACAGGGCTACTCAACTGCCGTATGGCGCAGGCCGAGGTGGCTGAAAGAAGCACCGCCACCGCCGTGATGCTAACACAGCACTACAAACACAGCACGGCAAAGGTAATTGAGAGTGAGAGTGGACGGGAAACGAGAAGTCAAATTTGACGGGTTCTCGATTTATTGCATCTCGCTAACTGAGTCAAGCATCTGCTGCAATGGCCGGCCACATGTAGGCAAAGTACCAAGCTGCAAAGTATAGAGAGAGGGAGAGAACTCCCCGCCATATCGATTGTTCCCCCACCCCTCCCACAAAGAGCCATTTTCCATGATTCGTTTTATTGGACAGGAAGAAACAAGCCAAGCAGGCATCCTGCTTTATACCAGGCAGATCGGGCCCTTAAAAGTCCCAGCGGCGGGCATCATCGTTGTCATCGCGGGGGACGATCTTGACGTCGCCATCCCACTCGCCGACGCAAAGGTCGTGGTTGTCGGCGAGGACGATGAGGCCGTCGATCCACTGGAAGCGCTGGCCCTCGGCGCCGGTGGGCTCCTCCTGGGTGGCGAGGGACTCGGGGGTCAGGTCGGTGAAGGTGAGGGCCTTGCCCGAGTTGACGTTGATGAGCTGGCCGTCCTGGTAACGCCAGCGCTGGTTGTCGTTGTCCTCGCCGCGGAGCTCCCAGCCAAGGACGCGGGCGCCGTCCTCGGTGCTGCTGGCCTCGACGTCGAGGCCGACGGGGCAGTGGGCGCGGTTCTTGAGGACGAAATCACCTTCAGGGAAAGACATGGTGTTTGTTTGTTTGTTGTAGGGGTTGGAGATGTGGAAGCCTGAGTGAAGAGTTATGAAAGAGAGTGGAGTGTCAAGTAGATGGATGGATGATGGAGGAGGAAAGATGGGCCATCCAACGGGGGAATTGTCCGTCTTTATATATATATATATATATGACCCAGGCAGCAACCCACTTGCCTCCCCTCACCTCAGCTTCCATTCACATCATCGTACCATCGTGCCCCCCTACAACTTGGCAAATGCCGCAGTGAGGGGTAACATCTCGTTTGCCGTGGTGCATAAATGCAAGCGCCTGTACTGCCTCGTGACGTGTCGAGGCACAATTCGAGGTTGAATGGCCCCGAGTGCCGCAAATAATATGCATGTAGCCACGGGCACTGCCACAGGATTCCTTGGCGGCGCCTGCTGAGGCTCTTTTTCCGACTCCGCAGCGGGATCATGATGTGCTGCCCAGGATGTATCTCGGTTAGACAAGACGGTCTGATATAATTTATCAAGGTATTCACGCCTGTGTGAGTGGAGCGGGCCTCGTTCCACGAGATATAATGAGATATCATTAGGAGGTGGCTGAGTGGTGGGCGTGAAGAGAGCGTATGACATGTGAGGGGGTTTATGAGGGGCGGCGGCTACATGAGTGAGTGAATATTGGCGGAAGGGAACGTCGAGCTATGACGTTTTGTGTAACTCGCCAGACCGCTCATTAAGAATCGAGAAAAGAGGAAGAATAAGAAATGAAAATAAAAGAGAAGCTGATGAGGTATGAAAGAGTAGCTTCATCTGTTGTTGGCCCTTGGCTTGTCCCGGCTTAGCTCCCGTTGACTACGGCTGCTCGGCTTCTGGCAAGGTCGGATGGTTTAACCTTATCAATGAGCTACAGGAGATCCAGTGGTGCTACTGGTGGTTAATAACTAACTGACCTAGCGTCAAGGGCGAGAAAGTGAAAACGTACAAATCTATGAGTTGGAGAGGGCGGGCAATCGGCTTATTATCCTTGTTGGTGAATGGAGAACAGTCTCATCAAGTAAACACCATACTATTTGTGCCCTTTGCGTGCGCCACCAACTATTTCATAGATACTATCATAAAAATAATGTGACAAGCTTTACCGCTAGAAATCAAGTATATCTGGGTATGTACTCCACTGGAAAGCCTTGCAAGTATCCCCGTTATTCTGTAGTTCGCCGAAACTTAGTGTGCTGGACAACTACGCCGGCCATTTACAAAGGGCACCCAAAACCAGGAAAATCGGCTGTCGCTCAACTAGTTTGCTAGCGCTCCGACAACATGATCCTCTTTATTTTGAGAACTGGACAGGAGGGAGTGTTTCAACGCAGTACCTAGTTATGCTGTTGGCTGGTCGAGATGGCACATTCTGAGGCGGCTTGGATCAGCACCACTATGTTTCCATGAAATGTATGGTATTGTAAATATAAAAAAAAATCACTGCAGCTGTAGCTGATCCGTACCCGCTGCAAGCTCGATTGAGGCTTCATTCTCCACAGCCTCGCCGCTTTCATTTCCCCCAATATTCCTGGCAGCCTTCACCGCCGCCCTTTTTCTGGCTTTCAGGGTCGCTTCTTCCATCGTTAGCTTCGCGACCTCGTCGCTACCAAACAGTTTCCGCCACTCTCCCGCCGTCTCGGGCTTGATCCGACTGAAGAGGTGTTGCGATTTATTGATCCTGTGGCCCGGCGCGATGGAGCCCGGCGACCACTCGCTAGGAATGGGCAGCAGATCGGCGCCAAGCTGCGAGCTGATGGATTTCGCGGTGTCGGGCATGAATGGTGCAAGCAGGGACGCGAGAAGATGGGCGACGTTAACAGCAACTCCGATGACAGCTGCGCACTTCAACGGTTCGCTCTCTGCGAGTGAGTTGTCGAGTCTGCTGGACTGGAGGAAAATGTTGCCCTCTTGTGATATCCAAAGAACGGTGGCGAGCGCAGAGCGCATTTTGACGGCATCGAGATCTTGCATGTACTGTGCCAAGAGTTGATTGATGTTTTTCTGGAAACCCGTCAAGGAGACGTCGGAATGTTCCTCCCAGTTGGGCACCATGTCCACATATCGGTGCGAGTTGATGAATCTCAGAACGCGGCTAACAAAGTTGCCCAAGTTTTTGAGCAGCAAGTTGTTAGTGAAATCAGTGTCGCCGGTCTCTGGTCGATGTGAGAGTAAGAAGGAGCGCCAGATATCGGACGGGACGCCTGTCTTGCGGGCCGAATCGCCAAAGACGCCAATACCGCGTGATTTTGAAAACTTCCCTCCTTCGTAAGTAAGATCGTCTGTCGTGGACAAGTGATGGAGCTTTGTCCATGGATCTTTGGTGCCGATTTGGGAGCTTGGGAATATCACCGAATGGAAGACGACATTGTCCCTTGCCGATGAATTGATAGAGCTCCACGTTCGGACTGCGCCACCACTGCTCCCACTGATCCGTGTAGGCAGCTGTGATGGAAACGTATCCGATACAAGCATCGAACCACGAGTAGACGATTTTATCCTCGTAGCCAGGCAGCGGCACGGCTGTCCCCCACTTGATATCTCGAGTGATGCTACGGGGCTTGAGTCCTTGCTTGAGCCAAGCAGAAGTGATGACTTGGCTGTTGCGAGACCAAGAGCCCTTGGAGGCAGACTCTTTGAAGAAGGCTTCCACCTCGGGTTGTAGCTTGTCCAGTTCCAGAAAGATGTGGTTTGTGTCTTTGGTGATAGGCTTGGCGCGCCGTCTACCTTGCAGCGGCGGGTTCTTGAGCTGCAAAGTATCAAGAAGCTGTCCGCAGAGGCCACACTGATCGCCGCGGGCATCCTCATATCCGCAGACGGGGCATTCACCCTGAACGAAGCGGTCCGCGAGAAATGACTGGTGCTGCTCGCAATACAGTTGGGTGGTGATGCGCTCTTTCAAGAAGCCGTTGTCTCGCAACTTCAGGAAAATATCTTGGGTGATGTCTGTTTGCAGCTGTGTCGTGGTCCGGCGCCAAAGATGTCAAAGCTGATATTGAACCACTGGTAGATCTCGGCATGAATGGCGTGGTACTTGTCGCAAAAGTTCCTTTGGTGTACACTTCTCAGGCAGCGCTCTGGCTTCAGTTGTGGTACCGTACTCATCCGTGCCTTCACAAGCCAGTTAGTAGTTATGCTATGCACAATTACTTGTCGCCCGTACCTCCCGCCGATGTAAAGTGTGTCCAATCCACGAGCTCTGCAGTATCTCGCAAACACATCGCCAGAAAGGACAGAGCCGATGATGTTGTCGAGATGCGGAACGTTGTTGACAAAAGGCAAGGCACTCGTTACAAGAATGCGGCGTTTATTGGCAGTTGGGAGTACGACCCCGTGAGATGGTGCTTCGGCCATGGCTGGTGGCTGCAAATGGTGCGTTGGCTGTTGTGTCTCGTTGCTTCCGCACGCAAGTATCTATTTATCAATAGATGAAAGACTGCGACTCGGCTTTGAGGATTGCCGGTCTCGGAAATGACAATTTCGGGGTGATGGAAAATCGATGGAGTGAGTCATGCTTGCTTGCGCCCGTGTGTGTGTAAGAGACTCCAATCATGACATCTTTTCCTTTGTGTTGGGCCGACGCCGCGGCCGTAGAGCCCAGCGCGAAAAATCTACATTATCACTAGGCTTCAAATAGCCTCCTCCTCATTTTTACATGGAAAAGAGTATTTTGAGTTTTTACTCGACTTGATTCTCGTCCGCTCATACATCAGTGACTAACTACTGAACGACAAGAACAAGAACAACCAGCCCCAGAAGCCCGGTGACGGACGCGCCAACGACTGAGCCGACGTTGGTTAGGGTGGGCGTTCCGGTCGTGCCAGTCTGAGTCCCTGACGGAGCGGTGCTAGTTACAGATGGAGCGGCCGTCGTGTTGCTCCCCGGTCCCGTCCCGTTACCCCCGCCGGGCGGACCGCCGGCACCACCACCCGGAGGACCGCCACCGCCGGGACCGCCCATGCCTCCGTTCTCGTTTTCCACGCCGCCCGACTCGTACACGAACGCCGCCGGCGTCACCTCGCTCGAGTACGTCGTGTTGATGCCAAACGCCAGCCACGCGAACAACCCATCGCTCAGGGCACCCCCCAGATAGACGTAGTCCATGAACGGGTCCACGCCCTCCGTGCCCGCCTCCTCCGCGAGGATGCTGTCGTCAGAGTTCTCCGTCAGCGTCTGCTCGTTGTCGCTGTAGGGGGCGACCTTGTCCGCGGCGGCGATGAGGTCCTGGTCGAAGAAGGCCTGGCCTACGTGGCTCGCGTAGACCTCGTTGCCGAGCGTCTGGTTGGCGTACAGGGTCGCGTTGGCGTGCACCATGACGTGGATGTGGGTGGCGCGGCCCGTGTAGTGGCCGGGAAAGATGGACTGGAACTGGGCGACGCCGTCCTGGTCGGTGGGTTGGATGCCACGTAGCGCCTTGTTGTCGAGGTTGGACGAGTCGGACGAGTCGCCGTTGCCGTTAGCGACGACGCCCGAGTAGACTCCCGTAGAGTTGCAGTGCCAGATCTCGACGTAGACGTCCGGCACGGGCTCGCAGGTGTCGACGTCGATGACTTGGTAGTCGAGCGTGATGTCGATGCCGGGTTCCGAATCCGTCACGTCCTTTCGGATAGATTCGCCTCCAACATCTGTGACCCAGGGTTAGCTTGAAGGTCTCTCCATCGGGGGTTGGGATTATCACGTACAGTAAGGGCCTTGGGTGACTTCTGGGGTCAGCAGGCAAGATCCGTTGCTGGAGAAGAGCTCCGAGACGGACGTATTCTCCGTGTAGCCCAGGTCGGTGCTGTTGTGGGACTTGGAGAGGTCGCTGTCCAGGTCTCGGCGCTGGATGCCGCGGGCAACGCGGCTGCTCTCGACAGCAGCCGAGCGACGGGCAATGTTGGCGGCCTCGACGCCCCTGGCCTTGAGCTTGTCGGCGCAGTGGGCGAGCGAGGATCGTCTCACGGATCGCAGGAAGAGCTGACGCTCTGCAATCTCCTCGCTCAAGTCATGGCCCGGATGAGCATTCGCGACGCCGGCGGCAGCAGCAGCAAGCACTGCCACGAGATGGGGAATATGCATTGTCTTGAGGTTGTGGTGATGGCTCGGGGGATGTCGATGTAAGACCAACTCCAAAAAAGGTGTTTCCTGAACTGGCTACTTATAGACTGATTCAAGAGACTCCTTGAAAGGTATACCCGGCGTCGTAAGCTTTGACTTCCCGCATCAAGTTTGACTGATACACGTAACCGTACGATGCTAGGCGGGCGAGCTATGCAGATTCGGACAACGCCATGTTTCCAACAAGGAGCGTGCCTGCCGTCCACGTCAGCCGCGGAACTTGCCTCCAGGACGACCTGGCCGAGGTTGGCCAATCATGGCGAGGAGCTTCGTAATTTGCAAGAGCCATCTGGGTGACGTGCGATGCCCCACGACCAGGGGATCGAGCTGGAAATGTGTTGATCCATCTTGGCCCCCATGACATGGTTTAGCGGGGATTTTTTATCCGTAGTATCCATGCAGCGTTTCTTGTTTGCGCGCATTTTAGAGGGGGAAATGTTTATTATTAGAGTTCGGGCACTGCATAGTCGGGCCAAGACAAAGGGCGAGTCATGAGCGGGTGGCCAAGAGGTTGACGACGACCTCGATAACGTGGAGGTGTTTGCATCTCGGGAATACCGGCAACGGTAATTATTACTGACCGTGTATACTGACCGTGTATACTTGCCGTGTTTGGTTGTTGGCTGCTCAATTGGCTACTCAATTAGCTGCGTTTAAGGCAGCCCAAGGTAGAACAATGATGGCCACTCAAGTCAATAGCATTGTGATTGCCGATAAGTTGCCATCTGTGCTGACTTGCGGCAATTGAAACTCTAATTAAACTTGGAGCGTAACTTGGAGTGTAACTTTGATTTGGGGTAGAAAGTCGCAAAATGCCTGCAGATTCGGGATGTGGGAGGCGATGTGGCATCGGCCCGGCATTGGCTGGCTTGTGGGGTGTTGCTGGTTGTGATAGGTGGCGAGCTGACGTGGCAGAAAGTGGCTAGAACGGCTAGAACTTTGAAGAGGCGGCTAAAATAAAAGTAGAGGGGCTAGGACGCCTCTTGTTTTAAGTGACGCCATCAAAAGTTGCTTAATCTATCAAGAATTTGAGCGGTTGAGTTGGTTGAATGCATAGTTGTGGTTGGTTGGTCAGCGGGGTTTGCTGTATACTGGGATAACTCAGCGAGGTTCCGGGTGCCATCTGCTGTTATTGCTTGAGAGCACCCAACTTCTCCTAAATCTTTGGAAATGCAACGGCAAATATTCTCCCTCTGGGTTAATTAGTAGGTCCCGTGAGGGTGCAGGACAAGTTGTGCGGCGTAATAACCCCGTAGCTTCATTGGAATGACCGCTGCTTCGTTTTATGCGTGAAATGCATAGAATCGTGTTATGCGTTCGCTCAGTATCTGGCTCGCCTACCAAAACTAGGCAACCTGATATCCATTTCGTTAGGCATATACTTTGGTGCCGGCTTATATTCGCACCCGTTCAAGAAAAAGCACCAAACCTCAAACCATCCATCTCTTTCAAAAATACAGTACGCCTCCGTCGTGCGGCCATGGACGATCTCATGTATAAGCTCGTACCAGTATCCGCTTCGGTCCTGAGAATATTCCACCATCAAAAGAGGAATAAAAGCTGGTCCCATATCAAGTAGGTCCGAATACTCGTCGCCAACGCAATGCACGCACCTGGCGAGGCGAAGGAAGTTCTCGGCACAGTAATCAAGAATGAGAGCAAGAGGCTTACACAGAAACACTCCGTATAAGCTTTGGTCAATGTCGCTTGCAATCTTGAACACTACGATGGGTAGAATTTTCGGACCCTGCTTCCTAAGAGTGTCAAACTGGGTCGTTCGCGTGCAGGCAATAGGGCTACAAACCAATAACTGTTAGTTAGCGCGTACAATGGAAAGAAAATGGCGACTGTACCTCGCCGATGGTGGCAGCGACTGGCGGACAAGTTGAAATGCTGTCCACTTTGACTCAAAATCTTGGACAGCCTCGGGGAACGCCCTTTGAACGGTGTGATAAATATTCTCGGCCTTCCCGACGGCTTCTCTGTTTGGCGGGGCTATTGGGTCGTTTGCTTCCATGACCATCTTGGACCGAGGTTCTACTGAGTGCGTGGAAAATATAAAGCCAATAATGAAGGATGATGCAGAGATGAAGGCAAGAATGGAAGCAAGTCGCTGATGAGGTATGTAACGTCGACGTTGTTTGTACGGGGTGGTGGGCCTCCACCAGGTTGACATACATGGAGGGTAAAATACGGCACCGTATGTAGATGTTTTGTCACTGTATTCAGGCATTGTATCTGTATGTAGGTTGTGCGGCAGGGCACGGGTGAAGCCGCTATTAACTACCGAACTAATTAACCAACTAATAACCAACTAACCATGTATGTATGTGACCAAGGTAGTACTAGAAGAAATTCTTTTCCACAAAAACTGAAGCGAGAAGCTATTTCAAGGCCAGTAATGCTGTGATGTACATCCCGTACGTACTCGTGGGCAAAATAGCAAACCCATCAGATGCGCATAGCAAAACTCCAAGAAAATGCTATAATTATTGTTTACTCAAACCCGGACATGAAAACCGCATTAGCAGCTTTACTCTTCCGCTGCAGCGCCGCGCCGTATTTTATAAACACGAACGGAATGACGCCCATTAGCAAGGTGAGGAATCCCAGGAGAGACGGCGCCCAGTGGATGCCCAGACGGGCATACATGGGACCGGCCGCCAGCGGCAAGAGAATAGCCCCGACCGAGCGCGTCATCCCCGCAGCAGCCTGCGCCGAGGCCGAGTGCTGCCGGAAGACGTCGGTCAGGTAGTTGCCCATGGCCATGAAGACCAGCTGGTAGCCGGTGTAGAAGAACAAGCCGCTGAGGGAGGGGAGGATGGGGGACGAGCCGTCTGTGACGGTCCAACCGAGCCAGAACAGTGCGATAACCATGCTGGGAGTTGTTAAGACGAAGATGCTCAGACACTGGGTGAGATAGGTGGGCGTACCAGGGGGATGCGAGGCATGCGAGAGGGAGACGGCGGTATATTTCACGCTGGGCCCATGCCTTGCCGTCCTTTGCAGATGTGTCGTACCATCGATTAAAGATGTAGAATAGAGGTAGTGAGATCAAAATGCCAACAATCACTAGTTTGTTAACACCCCGTCAAAAGGTAAAGCACCGAGTGAAACTTACTCGGAAGGTATGCGAGCGAGGCGTAACCTGGAGCTAGCTGGTAATGGCCTAATTCTGTGAGAAAAACGTGATAAAGTCCAGACGCCACGATAGATATACTTGCCTTGGAATACTATAGGGTATGCCTGATACATCAAGTATGCAATTGCGTAGATCAGCGCCAGGTACAGCGAGGTGAAGAGCAGTATCGGCTCCGTGACCATCAGCGTCAGCGGCCGGAGGAAAACCCGTCTGGCATCGAACGGATCCTCGACCTCAGCCACCTCGACAACGCCTCCCTGCTGCTTCTTTGCCTTGGCATCCACCTTTGCCCTCACGGCCTCTCTATTCAGCACCGGCGCAAACGTCTCCGGCAGCGCCAACACCACCGGCACCCCCGGCGCCGCAATCATCGCCGCCGCCCAAAACGGCCACCTCCAACCTCCCCACGCCGACGCGAAGCCCGCCACGATTGGCGCCACGCACGGCCCCACGCTGGTCACCGACATGTACACCGCCATCGCCGTGCCGCGCTGCGACGGGTCGTCCAGGATGTCCGCGTACAGACCCGCGATGACCGCGGTCGGCGCGGCGGCGCAGATGCCCCCGAGAAGCCGGAAGAGCAGCAGCACGGGGTAGGTCGGGGAGGCGGGACAGAGGAGGGTGAAGAGGAGGTAGCCGAGAAAGGTGCCGACGAGGACGGGCCGGCGGCCGATGTACTCGCTGAGGGGGCCGAAGAGGAGCGGGCCGAGGACGTAGCCGACCATGTAGAGGGAGTTGAGGAGGGTGAGTTGGACGCGGGAGGTGACGAGGAAGTGCGAGGAGATGGCGGAGAGGGCGCCGGAGGGGATGGAGGAGCCGAGGTTGCAGTTGAAGGTGCAGGCGAAGCCGGCGATGATGATGTGGACTTTTCTAGGCTGGGGCAGGGGATGTGTGTGTTAGTTGGTTATTCTTTTTTTTTTTTGTTCGGGAAGTAAAAAGGTGCGAATCGTACCCATGATAGCTTGGTTGGATCGATTATCTTGATTGCATCCGTCTCGGTAGCAGTTGTCTCTGCGCTTTCGACTTGTACACTGGCCATTGGAATCATGGTGAGGGTGACGACGGTGATGGAGGCAGACGCCTACCAAAGAGATGAGGTAAAGACATCTTAAATAAACGCAATTGAACCATTTTCATCGTGAATTACAAATATAAAATACACAACAACATTGTCAAAGCTACCGACTTTCCGTGAGAGAGGTGTGCAGCGCCGTGATTGGCCAGAATCGCCGAAGTGCCGGTACCGGAACGGACCCGCAATTACCGAGAGCAAAGCCGCCGAGATCTGATCACCCTGGTTCCCTTGACCGACCACAAGGCAACGTGATCGATACGATATATTGCGCGGTCTAGGTTTTTCAAGCATCCTGGTTCCCCGTGTCTATGGATAGGCGTTCGGAGACAAACCGGAGACGAAATGTGGCGCAAAGGCGTACCCCGAGTATGAGTCCCCCTCCCAGTTCTGGATTTGGCCCGCTTGCTCAGCTCTGACAAACTCCAAAATAGATGGGCGAGCCTGCGTGCATTGCCACTACCGCAAGGTCCGCTGCGATGTCGTCGACAAGGGGACTCCGTGCAGCAATTGTCGCAGCCACAGACAGGTCGACTGCCAGGTGTACCAGAAGAAGAAGACCCGGTCCCTCGCCGGTGCCGGTGCCGGTGCCGGTGCCGTTGTGCCCATCGCACCCAAAGGACAAGCAGCGACGGCGCACGACGAGGAGGAGCAGGGAAACTTGGTCGACCTCGTGTACCGGCAGGACCTGAGGCACGGCGAGGTCGGCCCGCTGGGCCGCATGTGCTTCGTCGGCAGCGACGTGTCCAACTTTAGCTACATCGTGAGGCAGGTCGCCCCCGGCCACGCCGCTGCCTTTCACTTTGGCAGCCGGCAGTTCCACCGGCGCCACACCGCGCACGAGCTGCAGCGCGTGCCGCCTGAGGCGCTCTCCCGGCGGAGCTGCGCCGCCGCGCTCGAGGCGCGCCTGCTGCGCGCCTACTTTGCGCACGTCAACGCCGGCTGGCCTGTTGTGGACGAGGAGCACTTTTCCGCGCAGCACAGCGCCGGGGAGAGCCCGCTGCCGCTGGTCAACGCGGTGCTGCTGGTCGGGGCGCGGGTGCTCGCGGCTCGCGGGGAGGACACTGACGCTGGCGGTACCTCGTTGAAGGCGCTGCAGGAGACGCTGTTTCGCAGGACCAAGACGCTGCTGGACTGCCGGTTCGAGCAGGACCGGACCATGTACGTGCAGGTGGCGCTGCTGCTGACGTGGTACTCGGACGGGCACGAGGAGATCCTGGCCAACGCGTGGCACTGGATCGGCTTCGCGGTGCGCGTGGCGCTCGGCCACGGGATGCACCGCGACGCCACACGCTCCCGGATGCTGCCAGTCCACCGCCGGCTGTGGACGCGGCTCTGGTGGATCTTGTTTCAGTTTGACACCGCCGTGTCCGCCGCCTACGGCCGGCCCCAGGCCCTGTACGTGTCATCCCCAACCATATTTCGGAGGTCTCTATACTGACGAGAGGGGGGGTGGGGGGCATAGAAATCTGGACGAGTCGGACGTCCCGGAGCTCGAGCCTGCGCACTTTCAGGGCATCCCCAACGCGCAGGTCGACTTCGCCATCCAGCACGCCAAGCTCTGCGCCATCTTCTCCGCCGCGATGCGCGCCCGCTGGGCTCTTCGCTCCTCCACGCAGGCGCGCGTGGCCGCCCCCCGGCGCGCCGACGAGGCGCTCGCCGCGCTGATCACGCACCTGCCGACCTTGCTGCGGCTGTCCCCGTCGCTCGCGCGGGGACCCCCGACGCCTTGGACGGCGACGCTGCACCTGACCTACAACAACTTTGCGCTGCTGCTGCACCGCCCCCCGGCCACCGACGAGGACGACGCGGCGGCGACGCTGTGCGCGGACCCGGCGCTGTGCGCGGGCGCGGCGGCGTCGATGGCGGGGATCCTCCACGCGCTGTGTGAAGGCGGGGGTCAGGCGTCGCTGTGGTTGTATGGCGTGCATGCGGCGTTTACGGCGCTGATACACGCGTCTGGGGAGATGGCGACGGCGGGAACGAGCCCGGTGCTGGCGGCGCGGGCCGGGGGGACGTTTGGGGCGCTGATGGAGGCGCTGAGGTGCCTGGCGAGGGGCTGGCGCTTCGCGGAGAACTTGCTGTGGCTGTTTAGGCATAAGGCGGGGATGATGGCGATGACGCAGAGGGACGGCACGGCGGCGACGGTGCAGCAGCCGAGGCCGGTCGCAGCCGCAGCCGCGGAGAGCTTTGAGCTGCGGCCGCCACCGGTAGCCCCTGCGGACGTGGCTATGCATGGAGAAGAGAGTGTGTCAGACGAGTTTGTGACGCCATGCGGTGAGGAAGACGACGTCCTGTACAGAAGAGACGCTGAGCCACTACAGCACTATGGCGATGGCCTGCACGCGGACGGGTTGATGATGGACGGGTACTCTGACTCTTTTGCACTGGACCTGTTTCTCGCTGGGATGGACGGAAGCACGCAGGACATGTCTTTTGGTCCTTGATCTACTTGGGATCTTGACTGCTGTTGATATAGTCCAAAGGTTTATTATGCTAGTTCATCTTCTGCCTGTGCCATCACGGAATGCCAGCTTCACGGGTATGAAGCGATCATAACCTGCTCGGTTGCACTGTGGCGTACATGACGCTATTCTTCAAAGTCAGTTTTCAATAACTCGACAAATTGATTTACTTCGCTTCTTATCAATGCACCAACAAGGCTGCCGGGTGCTGACTCCGGGTGATGCACTGTCACCTGAAGTACCCCAGCACTCTACGACAGACCATCGACACTCTCACACTGCGCAGTGACCCTTCCTATCCCATCTTATCGGCCTGCTTCTCTCTGCTTCCATATTCTTATCGCTAAGCAATGCGATTGCAACGGCTTACCACATGATACGCCGCTTGTAAACTATCCAGTCGAAGCGCAAAGCATAATTGAGGCCATCTCAGCAGCAGCAAAGCCCTAATACCCATAGACAAGAGCACATGACTGCTGAAAATTTCACAAAAAGTTATTTTCCAAGCCTTGCGTTGCCTTACTTTATCAAACTTGTCTCTGCCTCTTCCCCTGGACTTTCACTTCTACTTTTCCTCTGCAAGTCGACAGGAGACCTCCAGCCAACCCCAACGTGCCAGCCACAGCTTTCAACAGAAGAAAAAAAGAGCAATTAGAAGTTTCAATTTACTATTGAATACTTCTCACCTACCACAAAATATTCAGTTTATTCACCTTTGCCTCTTTGAGTTGCGGTTTCCAGTCCAGTGGCACATCACGACCAACAGCCTTGCCCAACACAGATTATCCATAACCATCACCACCGAATTCCACATCCGTATCAACCTCTTTACTTTTCTTTCATATCACTCACTCCTTTAAACTTTTCAAAACCTCCACATCTCCTTAGCCATCTATCATGACGCTCGCCAAACAGGAAGATATGGATGACAGCGCCATCCAAGGCCACACCCCCTTCATCCCCAGCCCAGACGACACCCGCACCAAATGCGTCATCTGCCTCAATCGCGTCCGCGAGCCCGCCGAGATTGACCCCTGCGGCCACAATCAATTCCACATCACCTGCGCCACCCGCTGGCTCAAGCCGCACCCGTACTGTCCCCTGTGCAAGGTCCGCGCCGTCCGCATCCGCCACGGCGAGCCTCCCGCCCCCGGCGTGCGAGACTCCCGTCCCGTCACTGAGATGCCTCAGCCCGGCCGGGAGTTTCTCGAGCAGTGGCCGCGCCAGCACGAGACCTCCTACTACCAGGACGAGGAGGAGGAGGAGGAGGACGACTTGATCTCGATCGGGTCGCAGACGCCTCTGGATCTCTGGTTCCGGCACCTCGTCTACCGCCGCAACGCGCGCTGCGTGCACGTCGAGGCCGGTCCGCAGACGGGCTACCGCGACCTGACGCCGGAGCTGTTCCGCGCGGAGCGGGAGCGCATGGACACGCGCGCGGGGCTGTTCCTGCGCCGCGAGCTGCGCGCGCTGAGCAGCCCGTTCCCGGGCCACTACCTCCTGGGAAGCCGGGAGCGGATGGCCGCGTGCATCGTCAGCAAGCTGCAGTACAACTTCTTCTGGGCGCCGTGGGGCAGCCAGCCCGGCAACCTCGTCGAGCCGCCGGACGTTTTGATCGGCATCATGGGGGACGCGGCGTGGCTGCTAATGTATGAGCTGTGCGAGTTCCTGCGGAGTCCGTACGGGGAGCCGGATGACTGGTACCAGAACGTGCGATACTCTGTGCCGCTGTGTGTGGTGTTTGAGGAGCCGCGGGAAGAGGAGGAGGAGGAGGAGGAGGCGCCTGTTGGCAGCGGCGACGAGAGGAATATAGAGGCAGGGAGCTACCGGAATAGGGATAATATACAGCGCTGGGTAGATGAGGTGGAAGACGCGAAACACAGGCCCCCGTGCCCGGAATGGGGACAGAATCGATGCCCGAGAACCGGGAGAGTCAAGGACGCTGCGTATTGGCGAGCGACCATGCACCCGCCGTGCCCTTAGCCGTCGGCATCTTCTACTACATTGGATATACGAGGCGTAGTTGATATTGGATATATGTGTCACAATTCATACATGACATACCGTATGTGGTTGCCAGGGGGTTGGAGTTGAGCAGGGGCCATATGGGTTGGAGTTGAGCGAGGTGCAGCATAACGAAATTGGAAGCAGTGGTATACGGCGTTTGAGGTTCTACTATACGATATACGGGTTATAGTAGGCCAAAGTGTAGCACAGCTAGATAGGAGAATGGTAATTCACGTCTTTGAAGTTTCCAAGAGTATAGTGCACATACAGGGTATCATTCGTCTCACATCTCATACAGTCTTACATCCGCCTCAGCCCGCCGAGGTCCTGTTCCATCGCCTGTAGTCTCGCTTGCAGCTCCCTCTTCTTCCTCTCCATCTCCCACGCCTCCTCCTCTTCCCTCTTCAGATCCTCCTCCATCCACGCCTCCCTCCAATCCTCCTCCTCTTCCTCCTCCACCGCCTCCCCCTCCCCCTGCCACTCCCTGCTCAGGCTCGCCAGCTGCGCCGCCTGCTCCGCCACCTTGCCCTCGTAGTAGCGCGCCGTGTCCCGCCCGTTCCTGTACTTTGCCCTTAGCGACGCGATCCTCTCCCTCGCGCCCGGCAGCTCGTACACGCCGCACAGCGTCTCCGCCCCGCGCAGCAACACCTCCACGTCCACCTCCCCTCCCCCCGACGCCCCGCGCCGCAGCCGCTCGTGCATATCCCCGCCCAGCACCGCCGCCACCGCCGTGTGCTTGCGCGGCTGCTGCTGTTGCTGCTGCTGCACTCGACTCGTGGAAGGGGCGCCGGTGGTCACGTCGCCGCCAGCGGTCACGTTGAAGACGGTCTGGCGGCGCTTAGCCGGCTTAGGCTTGTCGTCGTCGTGCTCGGAGGCGGCGGCGCCGCGCTTGGCGTGGTTGACGGGGGGAGGGGGAGGGGGAGGCACGGAGAAGAGGGCGCGCTCGTGGGCCTCGGTATCGCGGATCAGGGAGGTGATGTCGTGCTGCTGGGAGAGGAGCGCGTTGGCGAAGATTTTGGGCGGCGGGAAGCTGGCAGGGTATGAGGTGAGCGAGCGTTCTTTCCGGGGACAATGGGGAGATTGAGGAATTCTCGATCGGTATCGTACGGGAGAGAGTCAATTCCCTGGCAGGAATAGCTGATTTGCTCTAGATGGGAGCCGAGGTGTGACATGGTGCTGTTTGTCGCGACGCGCAACACTGAGCGGACGTTACTGGAGCGGGATCGACGGCCTATTTTGAGTTGGCAGTGCTTTTCGCGTTGAATTGATATTCTTGCTTGAGCAGTACTCCTCAGAGCCAAAGTAGGACAAGATCGAGGTTGATAGGCGCTGAAGAGGAAGTTGGGAAACGGCAGTTTGGCGGGGATCAAAACATGGCGTGGGGGTATTCAGTTGTACGTGCGACATCACGCGTCCCACTGCACTCAGTGGGCATGGTCTATCTCGACACCAACTATTTAAACAGCATCAACAGGCTAACTGATGATAAAGCTGTAAATGATTCCGCGTACGGATTATGAACACTGTCAAAATAAGAAATGACTTCATCTCCAATTTCAACCCCAAGTTTGAAATAACATTCGTCATGCCTGGACCCATCCCCTGGCCTCAAGCTACAAAGAGTATGCAACGCTTACCCAGTCTATGTCTATCCTATCTAAATGCGAAACAAAAATAACTGAAAATCCAAACATGTTCATGGCAGCCATATCTTATCATCTTTCCTTCAAATATTCGCATTTTTTCAACGTGACCATGAACAACCCCATCCCGCGAGGGAAGCGCCGGCACACAACAGGAACCTGGGACGGTAATGCAGCCGATGTCTATCCATCATTTTATCCAAAACAAGAAGCTTTCCCACCATGTATGTTGCCAAGCTATGGCCCAGCCAAGAAAACATTGTCAGGAAACTGTCTTCAAATGCTGCCAATTGTGAGCTACCGGGTATCAATTCAATCCTCATTGCGAATCTTCCATTTCGTTAATCTCAATCGTCCAGTAGGGCAGCTCCATACCGAACTGCTGGGTGGTAATGTACTCGTCCTCGCTCGAGTTGGGCTCCTCGAGCTCGTCAATTCGCGGCTCGGGAGGGTCCTGGAATAGCAAGCTGCCACGGTGCATCCGCTTCCTCATGCGACGAGCACTGGAGCCGACTTCGTTCACGTCAAGGCCGGCGTCGTCCGAGTCGTCCGATTCGCTGCGCTCGCTGAATGTGCGCTTGCCAGTGATGCTGCTCGAAATGCTGAGCCGCCGCCGGCGCATGTACTGCTGCCATTTGTAAAAGGCGGCTTCTTCCGTGTCCTGCTCCGCTTCCGCTTCCGCCTCTTCATCCGACGCTTCGTGACTGCAGTTAAGATTTTTCAAATCTTGCATCATCCTGATGGGCAACTCTCTGTGCTCGAATTTGGATGCATTGTCGTTTCTGTGCTTGGAGCTCGATCGGCTGCTCTTGGACTCAATTTCATCTGGATCTAAGACAGACAGGCCATTGTCACTGTCCATTGGATCCATATCTTCGAGAACAAAGTCGCCGATGGTGGTCGTGGAAGTGATGACGGCGGCATGAACGGGCGATTCCATGGTTGGTGGCATGTTTTCCCCATTGGCGTCGCTATCATCCTCATCCTTGTCCTCGTCTTCCTCTCCCTCTTCCTCATCATCCTCGTCTTCATCATCACCATCATCATTTTCGTCCTCATCATCCTCTTCCTCATCATCTTCTTCTTCAATGTCTTCCATATGCACGGTTCTTCCGATCGGAGAGATTGGTGGCCATGCTGCATCATGGTTAAGTTTGAAGTCTTGTAGCGGCTCATCGTCTTCCTCCTCCTCCTCCTCCTCCTCCTCCTCTTCCTCTTCCTCCTCCTCTTCATCATCTTCGTCATCATCCTCAATATCCTCCATTTGCACTATTCTGCCGACCGGAGAGATTGCTGACTGAGTTGTGTCATTGTTCAATTGAGTGTCCTGTACTTTTTTGGTCACTTTCTGATCTTCCTCGTCGTCGTCCTCTTCATCGTCTTCATCGTCTTCATCCTCCGCATCGTCATCCGAGCCAGAATCCTCTTCGGACGATTGGGCATCGGATGCAGCCAAAGGCGATGGGGCCTTGGGCGGGCCATGTTGAACCTCCTCCTCCTCCTCCTGGGATGAATCATCGTCGTCATCAGATTCATCTGCGGCTTCAGATGAGGATGGAGAGCGAGGGCTGAGCTGTTCTGGCCCGATAAAGGGCTGATAGCTAAACTGGTGGCCGTTGCCAACGGGTTGGATGCGAGGGTCCATCGGAGCGGCACGGGAAGCTTGGCCAAACGCTGACTGTCTCTTACGCGTCTTTTGCGGCGATGCAGTAGGCGTATGTGGAGGAGAGGTCGGGTCAGCCTGAGATTTGCTCCGCTGAAGCCGCTGGTGACTCAAGTTGAGGTTGGGCATGCCGGGCTGGCGTCGACCGCCTTTGGGAGCGGGCATGGTGATGGTGATGCGGTTGGGGTCTCTCTCGGCAATAGAAATGGGAGAAATTCAGCAAACTTGGTCAAGGAAGTCTGGGGATGGGCGATTGCCAATTCGATCCTCGGTAAATATAAAACGGATATAAAACGCGTGTTGATATGCTGCGGCGTCGTGAACTCGGCTGGTGTACTCGCTCACGGCGGGTATGTGCGGTGTCAAAGCAGGTGGTGTTAAGAGTCACACAGAGTACCTAGGCAGCAGCAAGGCAACAGCGCGCCACAGCAAACAATGATATGGGATGAAAACTGACCGCCGCGGGCAGGGCGGGGAATTGCACTATGCCGGCAACTGCAGTGCAGCGCAGCTTAAAAAATAACGTATAAACTGGCACGTTGCAGTGCCTGAATGAAGAGAATTGGTGATTGGCCTTAGTCGTCTATGGTCCAATGCATGTGCATGCGCCAGAGAGGGGCGGCGAGAGGAGCGCTATAGGCAACGGTGCGGGAGAGTACCTATGGAGGGCAAGTTGCGGTCGAGTCAGGGAGGCTGGCCAGGGAGTGAGGGAATCAAGGAGTCAAGTCAGGGAGTCCAGGTCCCGAGTATGAACCGCCAGAGCGGAGAAGAAGCGAGTATGCGGTTTGCGACGGTGGTCATGATAATCGGGGGACAGTAAGGGGGTGTGGCTGGAGAGCAGCGATGACCAAGGCGTCTGCTGCTGGCGATGCTGCTGCTTTCTCTCGATGTTCCTTGGAATAGGAATGATGATGTGTGTGGGTGGTGTGTGTTCAGCAAGTCCCGTTTGCTGCGCACAAGAGAAGAGCTCAAGATGGGAGAGAGTTGTTTGATGGTCTGTCTCTCACCGGGCTGAGCTGAGTTCCGTCGTGGATGGATTCAAATCAGCCTACTGATGAGCCTTGATTCGAAAAAGGCCGGGTCCAAAAAGATAGTGCCGTGACGATCTGGTGCCGTCTTGGTCTGGGTGTAGTGGTGGTATATGGTGTTTTGTGGCGGGTGAGACGAAGGCTTCAAACGGACGGTGTGTGTGGTGCTGTGCGCCTTGGCCCTTGGAAAGAGAGAGGGCTGACTGTGAATGAAATGCTCGAGGAGGACAGAGCAAGGAAGGGCAGCAAGCAAGGCTCTAACGGAGAAGCCGCTACTGCTAATACAACCACAAGGGGGATATAAAATAGGTGATGGGCCCTCGTCGAGGAAACAATAGCAATTGTGCCGAAAATAGCTTTTCTTGGCGAGAATAAACGATGAAGAGGGTTGATGAGGAGGGAAAGAAAATAGCAAGCTGGTGAGGAGGGACTGGAGCAATATCCCAAGAAAATAAAAAGAGAGGGAAAAAAGAGAAAGGGAAAAAAAGAAGCCAGGGCAAGACAGACCAGGGCGGTGATGACTGACGAGGAGCAAGGATTGATTGATTGGATCAGCTCAGCTCACCAGGAGTGCGCTTATTATAGGGGGGTTTGCTTTCGTATCGGAGGCTGTCGGGGTGTGTTATAGGGGACGGACCGCTATACCATGACCAATTTCCCACTGTAAAGCAGTCCTTAATGCCCTGAGAATCCAGCCTTGGGCGGACGCACACAAGCTGCCTGCTGACTCAACGTCACGCCAACCTCTGCAATCAAATGTCAGATTTCCAAAACACTCAGCCGCCAATGCCTCACACTCCAGCCCACCAGTCACGTACCTCGTACCAGGCTTTCTTACTTCTCGCCGCCGACGTTTCGGATTTTCTTCCAACGTCCCGTCCTGCGCGTGGCTGTCCGGCCCGACGGTCTGGATTCCGATGGATGGACGGTGCAGCCGCCTGAGACAAGTTTGCTGGCTGCTGTTGTCGTCCTCTCGGCGATGATGCCGATAACAGCCCAGCGTCAACGAGACAGCGCCAAACAGAGCGAAGGGAGGACGCACGAAAGAAGCGAATGGCCTCGTACTTGCAAAGGAAGCTTTGTGTACAAACGTGAAAAGCGACTCTGTCCCACGCGCTGGCAGCTCCCCGACATCTTATATGCAGGCGTCCCCTCGTCCCGTCCTTTATGGGTCGCCTGTTTGCGCTTCAACCACCTCTCTGGCTAGCTTCGCAGGACCAGACAGAGGGCAAAGAAGAATTAATAAAAATAATCTGACAAAAAAACATCACTCGTCTATCCCTTGTCTCTTATTACTGACTAGCTGATTTTCCAACTAGTATGGCCGCTCCGTAATAAGACAAACCTGCTCCCCGTACCTGCGCCCGCCGAGCCCCCATCCAGCGGCGTCTATGCTGTGCATCATCTGCTCCCGTTGGGCATCAATGCTTCTCACGCATGTGTTGCAGGCTCGTCGTCTCCCCTTTTTACTTCCCTCCTCACCCTCTCAGGCACCCAGAAACTCATTCTTCAGACCAGCCACCCCAGCTATGCACAACAATCCAATCCACTTGGCGCTACTTCCAGAACAGCCGAGAAAATTTTCTGCTGCACCTGAAAAAGAAGGTAACCCGTCCGTCCATCTTCTCCGTGCTCGAGAAAGGCCAGCAGGGATTCCAGCATGAGCCTAATGCACCTCTGCGCGAGAGGGGCATCATGGCCATGTAGGGATGGAATCCCGTCGGCGCCGTCCATCTTGGCCAAGTTCCCCTTTCTGCTCCATGCTATTGCTGAAATATAATTACACAAGCCTTCTGGAACAATGGATTGGCCCTTGTTCGAAATTGGCAATGTGCCGTATGCCCTGTGTAAATGCTCTGGGGCTGATATCGCGTGCTTACGTACCTACCACCTACCAGCATGTCCAACAACATAATGGAGGCTTTTTATTATCCCGATAGGGCATGTATTCCACACAGTCGGGATTTCTGTTACAAGGGGTTTAAAAAAAGAAAACTGAGAGGAAAAACAACTTCATTATTTTCAACCTTCGACTTTCGGGCATCCACCAACATCATGAAGTATGATGGCGCAAAAGTCTGACCAAGCCACGAAGCTCCACGCATGGAACGCACATGAGTACTTCTGCCAGCTTCCAACTCTATCCAGGCCCGAACTTGCTCAAAACAGATGCGTGTTGGGAATCCTGATAGACAATGCTAGCACGGTTGCCCCAGCCGTCTACGCCATGGCCATGCACCTTTCACATGCAGATGCAGCCCTCTGACGTCGCATCAGCCATGGGTTTCGATAAGACTTAGGACGTCTTCCACCATTGTGACTCCAGTGATTCAACACGGCGCGATTTTAACCAATTCTCTACAAAGCGCTTCTCTTGTTGCAGGAGGACGACGTAGAGGCGACCTTGATCTCCCACGGGTTGCGTTATTTAGACCAGGGCCACGATAATACAAGGGGCACAATGCTCCACGCTAGAAGGAAACGCAAATACATGCCTACTCCGCAATATAGAGACAATAAATCACCTAAACACCATATATGGCTCGGCTCCGACACAGCCATCACCTAATAAGTCAATGTCTGGCAGGTAGGCATGTTGGCGGCATGCGAGTGCTTGCCGCATGGCGTTGTGTAGCGGGGTCAAGCCGGATGCCACCTCACGAGCGAACCACGAGCAAACTGCCTCTGATGGCTTCGAGGTGCATCGATTCGTGCGCGAATCCGCTCTACCCGGGCCATTCCCTAGCTGTTGATCGTCACTGGTGACAATGCAAGTGCATGGTTCGATGAACACTCCCGGGATAGCAGAACTCGAGGTGCCGTTCCAGGTTCCAACCCACCACTCACACGCTACCCCGGATGATGGAGGTGCAGTGTTTGCGGGAGACAGTCTGCGATGCTCATGCAGTGCAAGGGCTCTGGGATGAACTTACCAACTACGAAGCGATAAATGCACCTTGCTGACGTCTGCCCTCGAGGAATAGCGAGCCTCACCCTGGACACCGCAAAGTCCAGGCTAACAGGTAACTACATAGAGGCAGTTCAGCGCTCTGCGAAACCGGGGTAGAGGTTAGTGGAGTTGCGGCTAAAGATATGGGCGGCCACGCCATAGACACTGCTGTAGCTAGCATGTTAGCAGATACCTAAATCATTGGCGGCAGCCCTAACAATCCGCCTGCAAGGCTGTCGCCGTGCTGCCTTGCTGATTCAGCAAAGGGCCGTACAATTATCCGGCTTTTGCGCTGTCTAAACACCAGCCGAGCGGTAGACCATCCTCAGGCCTTGTACGGATTATTCTCATCACGACTACGCATGCGCCATACAACTACCCATCACGCAATACGTAAAACCATCCTACGGGTGCAACAAGAATCCCACACGTCAGTTTGCCGACTGGTTCTATTGGAAAGCCCCTTACCAAACACCCCGAACCCACGCGTCGCGTCCCTACTCCACGATCGAAGAAGCCTCGCACCGACGACATGAATAACGCTGGGGGCCAAGTCGGCCAGGCTGGCCAGCCCCAGTCGCGCCCTCAGCCCATGTATCAGCCATCACAAATAAAAAACCTCCCTCTACTGAGCGACGAAGAAAAGGCCAAATACGAACAGGGCGTCTCGGGACTCTGGGCCCGCATGAATAGTTCCCCGCCCAACAGCCCAGAGCATATGGCGGCTCGCAGCAAAATTATCGAGTTCTCCCGAATGCTTATAAGTAAGATTCAAAGCCGTCGAGTACAGGCCCAGCAGCAGCAAGGACAACAAGTCGCTGCCCAGCGCCCTCAGGGACAGGCCGCCAGCCAGCAGCAACAGACTGCAGCACAGCCAAAGCCAGCCCAACAGGCGACAGCGGCTACGGAGAAGCCGGCGGGTGTTGCCAATGGAGGGACCGCCACGGCCGGCCAGACTACGGCCGGTGAGAAACCTTCGATAACTGCCGCTCTCACCCAGGCTAAGGTCCCGGAACGTTTCATGGCCTTCGTCAACAAAATGACGTTCAAGGCCCCGCACCATCTTTCTGAAAAGTCCCCTGCTGATGCTGCAAGGTGGGTTGAAGATTTAAAGGTGCGCTATGGAAGAGCGCTCATGACTATGGACGCCGCGAAGAGCAAGGTTGCTGCCATGGACAAAATATTCAATGAGCGCGCGCAGGCTGGCAACCCGATGAAGGATGAAGAGCTGCGCCAGTACCGTGAACATAGAGAGAAGCAGCTGGAATTGCACAGCAACGGCCAAAAGTGGATCGAGACTGTGAGGAAGCAGCAGGATGGACTCAACCAGAACGCCAATGCAGGCGCTGCCCAAAACAAGGCCAACGGCGCAGCAACACCTACACAGCAAAACCAAAATGTTACGGCGTCGGTCAATGCCGCGGTTGAAGCCGCCAGGAATCAGCAACAAATTGCTGGTCAGCAACAATCACCAGCGACAAATACCCCGACGCCACAACAACAACAACAACAACAACAACAGGCTCGCCTGGCCCAGGGCGCGGCAGCAGCTCAGGGTGGTGCAACGATTAAACAAGAGCCCCAGCAGCCGGCTCCCGTCAACACAGCCCTCGCCAACGCGCAGGTACAAACACCCGCCCAAGGTGCCGCACGAGTGGGCACACCGCAAAATGCGAACGCGCAAGCACCCGGCGGCCCAAGTCGGGCCTTGAGTCACTCAGCTGCCATGTCACTTGCAAACCAACGCGCTGCCGCTCAGCCTGCAAACACTGCTCTTGCAACGCAGCAGCAGCAGCAACAGCAGCAGCAACAGCAGGTTGCCCAGCAGCAGCAATCTCAACAGCAACAGGCGGCGGCGGCGGCAGCGGCGGCGCAACAGCAACAGCAGCAGCAGCAAGCCACAGGTACACCAACTCCAGGCACCAGCACCCCGAACACTGCCGGCGCCAATACGGCCGCTCAGCCTTTGCAACAACAGCAGTCGCAGGGCCACTCGCACGCGCACCCCTCGCAGTCCCAGCAGCAGCCGGCCACCTCCCTCCAGTCCAAGATGCCAATCCAGAAGGCGTTGCCCGAGCGCTCGACAGCGGTTCCCCAGGGGGTGACCCTCGGCGGTGGCGTCGCCGCCGGCCGGCCGACTATTTCCCAAGGTGGCGGCATCCTCGGCGGTGTCATGAACCAGCCAGCCATGGCCAAGGTCCCCGCCTACAGCCACGATGCCGAAGGCGACCACGTGCTCAGCAAGAAAAAGCTTGACGAGTTGGTGCGACAGGTCTGTGGCGCACCGTCCGAGGGCAGCTCTGACAGCAACCTTCTCACGCCCGAGGTGGAAGAGGTACGAAGAAAAGAGACTCAACTCAGTCTCAAAAACACTAGTTATGATTTTTTTTTATGCTAACCTGCGATGTTTCTACAGAGCGTCCTGAACATGGCTGACAGTTTCGTCGACAACGTGCTCCACGCGGCGTGCCGCAACTCTAAGGAACGCGGCTCCAAGGTTCTTGAGATCCGCGACATTCAGCTTGTCCTCGAGCGCACGTATAACATCCGCGTCCCCGGCTACTCGTCGGACGAGCTGCGCACCGTCCGCAAGGTGCAGCCCGCCCCCGGCTGGATCGCCAAGATGAGCGCCGTCCAGGCCGCCAAGGTCATGCCCGGCAAGGGAGAGTAAGGGAAGGGGACCAGATGGAGCGAAGGGGGCGATAATGACAATGGAAAATGATGAATTACAGATTAATATCCTCGAGGGCGGCTTGTACCTACTTTTTTGGAGTGTGATTACTGTTTATATGAAGGCGTTTGGGGGAAAGGTCGGGATTTTTTCCCGGTACCAAGTTTTATTGACCCTTTCCTGCTGTTAGAAACCTCTCTTCACTGTCATTCTCTATTCCAGGCGGGGCTTCACGCTCAGTTTGAATGCTCTGTGCTTTCAGTTGTACTCTATCCTTGCTTCTGTCGTAGAGCCAATTGATGGTTAAGTTTGCTTCTACTTGTCTAGATATACAGTGCGTGCTGTCATTAATATGTGCTTGGGGTTGCCCGTTTTCATATACGAGTCCCCTGAAGTATATGTACAAGAAGAAAGCCATTCGCTTTTCTATTTTTCCCTTTCCTTTTCTTCACAGCTCTTTCAGCGCGACGTAGCACCGCCGCGGCTTGTTGGTCAGGACCTGCACGGCGTCATAGCCCGAGAGCGCCTTGGGGCACGGCAGGAGCTCAAACTGCCACACCAGCAGCGTAAGCAGCTGCCGGAACTGGACGTACACCATCCTGCGGCCGAAGCAGCCGCGGGGGCCGAGACCGAACGGGATGGTCGGATACGCCGCAGCGTCGAACTCCTCCCCGTCTCCGTCCTCTGGTCCGGGAACCAGCCACCGACGGGGGTTGAACTCGCCCATGTCGCGCTCGTCGCTGCGCATCCGGTAGCAGCCCGCATCCGGCCGCTCGGCCAGTGCTTTCTGGGCGCTTGCGCTGCGCCGCGACTCGTCGATGGGCAGGTTCGGCTCCGTGTAGCCAGGTCCCTTGTTGACGAGGACGACGGTGGTGCCGCGCGGGATGGGGTGCCCGAGGACGACGGTATCGGCGGTGGCCTGCCGGTCTGTCATGGAGGTCGCGTGCGCGCAGCGCAGGATCTCCTCGGTGCAGGCGAGCAAGAACGGCACGTGGCGGGTGGTGATCTCGGCGTGCGTCGGGAAGCGCCCCTCGGCGACAGCGGCGGGGTGCGCGGCGCGGAGGCGCGCGCGCAGCGCGGACTGGTGCGCCGGGTGGTCGGCCAGGAACTTGACGCCCCAGGCCAGGACGTTGGCGGACGTCTCATGGCCGCCGGTGACGAAGCCAAACATCTACAGATTCATGTCAGTAAGGAGGGCAAAGGGAAGAGGGAAAGAGAGAGGCGGCAGGCAGCTTACTTCGTCTTTGAGCGTTTTTGACCAGTAGACGGGCGTGCGATTTTCCTTCTTAGCCAGTGCCCGCTCGCGGAGGAGGATCAGATCCAGGGCGCACTTGAGCTTGGAGTAGCCGCCCATGTCGTCGTCTTCTCCTTCTTCACCAGCCTTGCTCAGCCGATCGACTGCCTTATCGACCTGATCCCTGATGAACTGATCCTTGAGCGCGCGCAGCCGCCGCACGCGCGGGAACCAGGCCAGCACCCGCCAGACAATGTCCGGAAAGCCCGTGACGGCGACGGTGGGAATGTTCTCCATTGTTCGGAGCATGGCGTCCATGGCCGGGGCGAGCGGCGCACGCGGAAAATCGACGGGCTCCGTCGGGGCTGCGCTGCCACGGATGGCATTTTGCGCCTCCTCGCTGAGGCTGCCGAGCAGCTTGAGCTGTTCTGCCAGGGCGCGCTCGTCGGTGCCGTCACCGTAGCCAAACTCGTAGAGGGCGTCGAGGGTCGCGTAGCTCAAATCCAGCGCAGCGGCAAAGGGCCGTCCGGTGCCGGCTATGCGGCGCTTGACGCGCCAGAGCTCGAGCAGGCGGCAGGCGCCGGCGTACATGTTGGGAGCGGCGACGCCGTGCAAAAAGGCCGGGGACATGAGGTCTTGGAGGAGGCGGCGGCGAGCGGACCAGAGGGGGCCGGTCTTGAGGCAGGCGTGGAAGCTGGGCATCTCGCCGCGCAGCAGGGCGATGGCGAGGTCGGAGCGGTCAAACTCGTGGGCGCGGCGGACAAGGATGTCCTGGGCTTCGCGGAAGTCGGAGACGACGACGAAGGGGCGGCCAAAGGGCACGAGGAAGACCTGGTAGACGGGGCTGGCGTGGCGCGCGCCTTGGCGGACCACCCACTCGCTGATGTTGTCGGGCATCTCGCGCTGGATAGCCATGACGTCGCCGAGGAGGGACCGCGTGGCGACGGCATTGTGTGGGATGCCGGGCAGGGCCCGCGGGAGCAGCCATTCTCGGAGGGCGAAGAGGGCGGCGATGGCGATGAGAAGGGTCAGGATCAGCGTTTGGCAAGCCGCGGCGGAGGGTAATAGCGATGAGGCTGCAGTGGCAGGGATGAGGCTGGCGATGTGGAGAGACATTGCTGGCGGGCTGGCCGGCAGTCGCTCACCGGGATTGGCGATGGGATCGGAGAAGGCAGCCCGGGTCTTGGTGGTGGTGGTAATCACGCGGCGAGGGCCATTGGACTACGCTCCATCTAGGCTGAAGAAGAAAGTGAAAGGTTGATGAGGAGGAAAAGCATCGAGATAAGGCGGAGCTGATCTGGCCGCGGGCGGGCGGTTACTATGGCCCGAAGCTCCCGTCAGAGCTACCCAGGAGAGAGCAAACAAAAAAGGCCGAGAGCCACGGCGTCATGGCGGAATGATGGTGGGGAGAGAGTAAGCCACGTTTAGGTTGGTGCTAGATTGGTTGATTGTGGAGGGGGGGAGACGTGTGTGATCTCCGACACCCCGGTTGATGATGAATGGGAGCTAGTTTGACTGGTGGATGGATGAAGATAGTGAGGCGAGTGTTTGGTATGATAGAGTTGTAATCGGGAAGTTTGCAGGTGCTCTTCTTACTAGCCTGTGCTTTGTATACGCGTATTGGTCGGTGGTGTAGTGGGGAGAGTCGCTATATAACACGCGCTGATAAGTTATTGCACGGGGGAAGGGCCTTGTCTTTAGAGTCAGAAACAGGAAAAAGAATTAGCGAACCAATGCTCAATTCCAGGTCTCGGATAGGACAACAACTTGCAACACATTATCCATTCCACTCTCAATATTAACATTACTGCCATCATTGATACCACCACCACTACCACCAAACCCCCTAACAACCTACATACATACCCTACATAGTGGTATTGTCACCGTCTAGTAGCGCCGCTCCGACCTGTGATACCTTTTCCGGCAGGACACTGCGGGCAAACTCATTAAAGACATCCGTCGAGGCTTGCTCAGCTAGGTGGGCCATCATTTTGACAACGTCATCCTCCTCATGATTTACATAGTCAATCATATCTCCAGGCATCCCAGCGGCCCCGGCGGTAAATAGTACAACCTGGGCACGCCACCTCGCAGCCAGTGCCGCAACCATGCCGGATCGCTCATAAGCAGTGAGGCCCTTGATCTCGTAAATGTTGTCTGTCAACAGACGTCGACCCGTTACAACATTCGTCTCGTACTGCGCTATAAACTCGCGGTGAAAAGCTACGTCTTCGGCTAGCTCGGTCAAGAGTTTTGTGGAAGGTTCGACTTCTCGCTTCCATTTTTGCCCATGCCTTTCGCAGAACCATTCAAGGCGCACCCGGATTGTATGAGGTTTTGGCTGTTCGGGTAGCGGCTCAAGACCGAACAGATTCAGGTCCCAGGCGCGATGTAGAGATCTCGATAGACAAATAGTGTTCCACGACTCATCAGCAGCTCCAGGCTCACGGAATAAAAATTCTGACACTGTAGCTGTGATTTCAGGACCGAACATGCGTTGAGTAGAGTGCCACAACGCTTTCAGGGTATTAATAGCGTAGCTGGTGTTGGAAGATTCGAGGGCGAATATGTGGGCAATTTCCACAGGATTCCGTGCTCCAGAAAGGACGCATCCGTCATTGTGAGCCATCGTCTAACAAAGGCTTTAGCTATCAAAGACACATCAGAGCAACTATATAATAAAATTACCTCTGCTAGGAGTCCCGGTAAGCGACGAAGACGAAGTTCCGGTTTATAAGTCATGTAAAGGACGGCGTCGTCGAATGTGCTACTTGAACTGGGAGTAGGAGGACCACTCTCGTCGTCGTCGTCGTCGGATTCGGCACTTGAATCAGCGTCAGAGTCGTAGTCCTTCGGATGTGCTCCGTTTTCGTCGAGCCCGAACACAACTGAGTTCGTGAGTTAGAAGTTGAACTTTGAAGGCCTGACGAGAACGCCATCCACCTACTTTGCTTGACGACAGGGAGGCAGTGGCCCAGGTAGTTGTTGATTTCGTTGATGTGGTCTCGTGCCAAAGCCTGCAGCTCTGCCTTTGGCAAAACAAACAGGCCAGCGAAGTGAATTTCGCGAAATATGCGTTCTTCATTGTTATTGCGTCGGTTACGGCTTCCGCAATACCGGAGTTGAATTGCACGGATTAATTGGACTTTAGATTCTTGCTCCTCTGGGTCCGTGGTCATCGGCTGGACACGCTCCTGGTTGGAAAGAAGCATTCTCCTCAGGAAGCTGATTTCTTCAGGGTGAACATCCTTATCATCGCAGAAATGCTTGGCCAGAAGCGCAATGCCCTCTGCAGTTTCGCTGGAAGTCATATTTGCGGTCGACCGTGTGCACTGGAAAGAGGAAGTTGACTGGGGATGGAACCCTGTGAGAGAACGCCCGGAGAGAAAGCTGGAGAGAAGAAGTTGACTGGAAGGGGAGATTGCTGTAAAGAGGAAGTTGACTTGGGATAGGAAGCCGATTTGGGATACGGACTTGACTGGGGAAAGGAAGCAGGGGAGGAAGTTGAGGAAGATGGGGAGATGAAAAATATAAATATTGACAATAAAAAAAATATACCAAAACATAACAGTAAAGGAAGAAAAAAAGACAGATCAGTCATATCAATTCCTTCTCAAAATAAAGTATGTTAAGCTCGTGGCGAAGAAGGTCAAATTGATTAGCTTGTTCCAGGACACACTCTAGATTTAAACAAGTTGCGAGGGTTTGCAACAAAACTAAAGTAAACTTGATTAGCTTGTACCGGCGCATAATGTAGACTTATCCAAGCCGTAAAAGGACTTCTGTCCTGGCCTGTACATATTGCGGGATTCAGTGACAGATATATCTCTTGCAAATAGGACACTTTTTCAAAGGGTTGGCAAAAAGCTGCACTGTAAGGAGGTGGAATATTTGAACCTGGCCACGGGCAGCTTGCGGTGTCCTGCATGATGGCGAGGACGCATTGCGAGCAATAGACATTGTACATGATACTGACAGAGTACAGCGACATCAAAACTGGCAGTGTCTAAAGAAACAGAAATAAAAAATAAAAAGATACTGAGCTTCCAAATTATGAGTGCACTACTCTAAGTTAACAGGGTAGTTAGTTGTAGTTACCTACCTAGTTAGGTGTTGTTGTAACTGGGCTGCTTAGGTCAGCAGCAACGAATAAGTACCTTTGTACCTCCAGGCCCGGAGTGCTTGCTCTGTGCCACGCGTGCCTCTGTCGCCTAAAATTTGTTAGAGCTTCTGGTCATGGATGGTCAGTTGCCATATCGCTAGCGCCAGCGCGACTCTTGTTGGCCCGTGCTCCTCCATCCTTTTGCCAGCTCGAACCTTCTCTAGCACACCAGCGCCGTAATCAATGCATCATCTCCATTGACGTCTCAGCACTCAACAATCGCCTCTGCGATTGTCTCTCGCCATCTACAACGCCAATCGCTAGTCTGCACCATTTCCGTACCTTCGCTGCCAATCTGCCTGCATTGCGCCCGCCCGCAATAGCTTCCTCGTTTTTCGCCACGGGGACAACGAAACAGAACAACCCTGCTGCCCAGGCCACCCACGCTGACGCTGCCTGGCCAGCCTAATCCCCGTAAGCGCGCCCGCCTCGTTCGCATCACGAGCGTTCTCTTGTCGCTGCCTCCATCACCAAAAACGCCCACTTCGTCAACGGCTTTCGTCGCGCCTTGCTTTGCTCGCCCTGAACTGCCCTACCGCGCGCCACTGAGTTGAGCTCCAGAGCGCCATGCCTAGCAAGACGCCTTCCGGCAACGGCAAGAAGCCTGTCCAAAACGGCATTCGCAAAGATACCGAGATAAAGGACGCCAGCAAATCCAAAGGCAAAAAGTCCCCAAAGGACGCCGATGACGAAATGACCGTTGTCGTCCCCCCACCCAAGGCCAAGAAGGGCACTGCTAATCGCGCTGCCGACGCTGATGGTGACGTGACAATGGGTGATGAGGAGGCCGTTGAGCAGGTCGACCCTACTCAGCAGACTGTCACAGGTATGCTGCAAATCATTCATTACCATCATCATGATGCCCTGCGCGCCCTTTCCGATCGTTAATCTAACCCTCCCTCCTCCGCCGCAGACATCAAGAGCAATTTTGCCCTGCTAGACCGCGCCGTCGCCCTCTTCGATGCCAGATTCTCTCTCCGAGCTCTTCGATCCATTTCCCTGCTCCGAAAGCGCCTGAACCCCGACGTTATCTCTCAGGCCATTGTCGATACCTTCCCGGCCACCGTCGCCTCCGGAAATGTTGCCAAGTCTCTCCTTGTTGCTGTCGGCCGCGAGAGCATTCCCCTCAAGGCCCTCAGCGAGATGGATATTGACTCGGACTCCAAGCCTGCCAAGAATGGGGCCAAGAAGGAGACAAAGGAAATCATTCCCGAAATTGACATCTTCCTCGGTATCCTTGTCCAGGTCTACCTCTTTGATGCCAAGCAGTATCAGAAGGGCGCTGCGTTTTCCGAGCAGCTTGTTGAGCGCGTCCAGTCCTTGAACCGTCGCACGTTAGACTCGCTTTCCTCCAAGGTCTACTTTTATTATTCTATCTTCTGCGAGCACATTGGGCCCCTGCCACCTTCGCCAGAGTCCCCCATTGTTGCCATCCGCCCGACTCTGCTCTCGGCTCTCCGCACAGCTGTCCTACGCAAGGATATCGACACTCAAGCCTCTGTCATTGTGCTGCTGCTGAGAAACTACCTCCTCACTTCTCACATCAACCAGGCCGATCTCCTTGTTTCGCACACTCAGTTCCCCGAAAACGCCGTCAACAACCAGGTCGCCCGATTCCTGTACTACCTCGGTCGCATCCGAGCCATCCAACTGCGATATACCGAAGCTCACGAGCATCTTACCGCGGCCACTCGTAAGGCACCTTCGAGTAACTGTGCCGTTGGATTTTCCCAGACCGCTACCAAGCTACTTATGGTAGTTGAGCTGCTCATGGGAGACATTCCTGACCGCGCCACCTTCCGCCAACCTGCCCTTGAGGATGCCCTGCACCCGTACTTCCTCCTGGTCCAGGCCGTCCGCGTCGGTAATTTGGAGGAGTTCGAGATTGCTATTGCCGATCACGCTGATACCTTCCGCCGCGACGGCACATATTCTCTCATCCTGCGCTTGAGACAAAACGTCATAAAGACTGGTATCCGCATGATGTCGCTGTCATACTCGCGCATCTCTCTGCGCGACATTTGCATTCGTCTGCATCTTGGAAGTGAGGAGAGTGCTGAATATATCGTCGCCAAGGCCATTCGCGACGGCGTTATTGAGGCCACTTTGGATCGCGAACACGGTTACATGAAGAGCAAGGAGGTTGGTGATGTGTATGCTACGAGAGAACCCGGTGAGGCATTCCATGATCGCATTCGGGCGTGCCTCGCTCTCCATGACGAGAGTGTCAAGGTAAGATGATGATTGTTCGAAGTGTCAAATGGTCATAACGGCTAACTATAGAAAATCAGGCTATGCAGTTCCCCATGAACCAGCACCGTTTGGAGCTCAAGAATGCGCAAGAAGCTCGAGAGCGCGAGCGCGAGATGGCCAAGGAGATACAAGAGGGGGACCTCGATGACGAGGACCTAGGCGGTGATTTTGAGGGGATGTAGAGATAGGTATTCGTTCTTGCACGCTTTAATACAGTCGCATGCATGGGGTGGGTGCGGAAATTCGGTTGCTCCCTGCATACACCCATGTGTTATCTGATCTGCATTGGTCGGTGAGTGGTGGGAGAGGATGGAAGGCAGCTGATTGATGTCTTCGCACTTGTACTAGCTATGGTCGTGGTTGAGGAATGATACAACTAGAGAAGAGTGGGAGGCGAGGCAGCGGCGGCAGCATATGAGATATCAAAATAAACACTCCCAGGTCTATGTGATTTGTGACACAAGAATCTTGATGGATTGGAATGAGATGGAGTTGCACCTTCCCAATCCACGACAAACACCAATTGCACGTGACGCGCGCCATAGTAATGCGAGAGCCATGAGAGGACGGCGCCGCGCCTCCCTCGGGTCGCGTTCTGGCCATGTCTGTCCAGCCTGGATCTCGAACCATTTTGACACAGAACGACAGAGAGGCCGGCGACGAGTCGACCGCGCTCTCACGAACGAACCTCCTCAACAACAACAGATGCTTGTATAGACCGCCAATCCCCACACCCACCAGCACCAGCAGCCAGCAGGCTACCTAACCACAACGCACGGCTGTGCCAGCAGGAGAACCAGTCACAATACCGTAAAATACGTTTGCTTTCCCGCCCATCCTCCACCGCCCACCCGTTTTGGCATCGGTTGTCGTCAATGGTGGCATTTTGCCGAATAAAAAACCAGAAAATTAAATCACCCCTGCGACCCCCCCGGACCACCTCCCTCTTTCCGGAGAGGCTTTAAGAACATGCCCCCCAAGCGAAGACGACCTGGAGAAGCAGCACAGGTAACGCAACCACCGACGATCGACCCCAGCGCGCAGTCACCATCCGCCGTCACCCGTGCCGGTACCACGCGACAGACGCCCGTATACCCACCTGCGATACCGGTTTCCAGCCCGCCCAAGCCGGCTGCCGTCGCCGCCGCTCCCGTCGCCACGCCTGTGCCCCTTCCCATCGTCCCGGGACAAGCACCCTCGCCTCCCAAGCCTGGCGGTGTGTGGCCCAGGAGCCCGCCCGCCACACGCGTGCCGCTGCCCCCCGTGCCGTCGGCCCCCGGCGGACCAGTGCACCTCGAGTCGCCACTGTTTCCCAGACGAGACGCCCGTGTGATGGGCGGCGATACGGGAAAGGGGGATGTGCGCCCGTCTGCCCTCGTCTCCCCGGAGACTCCATATCACATCGCGTTCCCACACCAAAAAGGCAGATTGCCAACATCCTCACTGCCCAACCACCACGGCTACCTTGCGACGGCATCTCGAATCGACATGGCGTCGAGTCCTTCCAACGTCACTCCCGTGCTGCCCCCGAAGCCCCCGAAGCTGGCCGCTGCCGGCAAGCCGCCGCTCAGTGCCGATCGCAACATTGACAAGGTCGTTCTTGGCAACCTCTGCTTCAAGACATGGTATCCCAGCTACTACGGGAAGGAGGTGCTGGGCGACACTTCTGGGAACGCGAGAAATGGGGGCAAGGACAACACTGCCGAACCGGGTAAAACCTATGGCAGGAAGGATCGCGAGCAAGCCCCCATGCTCGAGAGACTGTACGTTTGTCCCAGCTGCTTCAAGTACGCCAAAGAACTTGTGGCTTGGTGGGGTCATGTCCGGTCCTGCGAGCTCAAAGGCCGTGTCCCCGGCAAGCGGGTGTATACTCATCCCCGAGGTCGTCGCAAGATTCGTGTAGCACATGACGGAAAAGGCCCTGGCCCTAAGAAGCGCCGAGGTGACGGTGGAGTGCGATACATGGAGCAGATTGTGCAGGACGAAGGCGAATGGAGTGTCTGGGAGGTGGACGGAGAAGTTGACAGAGTGAGTGCAACAGCGTTGATCTACGCACGTTCTAACATTGTGCTAACTCTTGCAGTTGTTTTGTCAAAACCTGTCACTTTTTGCCAAGCTATTTCTTGACAACAAGTCGGTGTTTTTTGACGTGACTGGCTTCAACTATTTCTTATTAGTGTACACACCCCCATTCAAACCACCAGTGGGCAATGAGGCCCCTGAGGCCCCCGTCCCGCAAGTGACTGGATTCTTTTCCAAGGAAAAGATGTCGTGGGACAATAACAATCTGGCGTGCATCTTGGTCTTTCCGCCGTGGCAACGCAAGGGCCTAGGTGCACTTCTCATGGGTGTCTCGTATGAGATTTCACGACGAGAAGGTATCCTCGGCGGCCCTGAGAAGCCCATTTCTGATTTAGGGAAGAAGGGGTATAAGAGGTTCTGGTCGGGCGAGATCGCGCGGTGGCTATTGAGCCTCGAGGTACCCCAGATTCCACCGCCCGGCATGGAGCTCATGGTCGACGTCAACGACTGCAGTGACGCTACGTGGATCACGCCTGAGGACTGCCTCGGTGTCCTTCGCGACATGGGCATCCTGGAAGACGCCGGTGTCGGCCTCGGAAAGCCGGTTATGCGAGAAGACACGAACGAGGTAGAGGAGCAGGATGAGTTGGCCAAGGCGGACGAGGCGAGCTACGAGCACACCGAAGAGAAACCCAGGAAGAAGAAGCACGCGACCCCGGTACCACCGCCGCCTCCTCCTCCTGTGCCCAAATCGCCTGTGCACATGGAACTGGGAAAGCCTGTCCCGCGTGTGCGCGTGGACAAGGAGCAGATCCGACGTTATGTCGCGCAGCACCGGATCGACTTGGAAAAGACGTGTGACGCGACTGCGTTTGCGGAGGGCTATGCGCTGAAGACTCGAGATGTCACGGTGGAATGAGCGGTCATTAATAGAGGGTGTTGTTGGAAACTTCGGACGTTGTGCATTTCTATTTGGTGTTGGCATTCTTTATTTGATACCCTGATTGTAGGTTGGCACGGAGTTGTTTGCACGGCATTTGCATTTGGCTTTGAAGAATTATGAGACATGATTTAAAGGTACGAATCTTAAAAAAAACATATCCGCTTTCAATGATCACGGTACTCGGGAATGCCGGTGGCCTCGCCGTTTTGCGCGTCGATGACGGTAATGAGGCCCGGCAGGATGCCGAGCACGTTCTCCTGCCCCTCCACGGTCACCCCGTCGTACATCTTTAAGACGGCAATGTTCTCCTTCCGATAAGTGAAAATACGTCGTTCAAGGTCCAACCGGTCATGCGATCGACGAGAACGGCGCCTGTCTACTAATGGCCAAGCCGTAATGCAGCAACTTGCCGGCTATGCATGCAGCCATGAGATATCTCGGGCAGAAGCAACTCTTCAAAATTGGGAAAATAGTAGTCTTTTTTTGTTGTTCGATCATTTGCTCTTCCTCTTACTGCCGAGTTCTAGTCGCATCTTTTATTTGGCTGCTCCGATGTTACTGATTGTTGAAGAAGTGCGGGGTCCAAAGGGTAGCCAAAGGGCTCTGAAGCCACCTGAAATGAGCAGGTGTGATGGTATCCGAATACGGATCATCTAAAGGAGAATCCTAGACCGTTTTTATGTACCTCATTCTATCCGGAACAGTGACACAGGCCGCAAGGTAAAGAATGTCACAGGGCAACGGCTCGGTTCGTACGGGCCGGGATAGCCAAAAGGTGGTCTCGAAGTCAAGATATAGTGTTAGGGACCCAAAATTTACTACGGCGTGTAAATACGCATACAAATATTTGCTCGTGATGCGAATCCGAGCTGGCCAAGATGCATACGTAAGTGCACTCGCTCTGTAAGTGTGAGCTGGCGCGGCCCGGCTGCGGCGGTGGCTACGTATGATGATACCAAAGAAAGTCGGGCGTACTATGATGCAAGGAACACTGGCGTAGGACCTGGATTTATAGTTGTAGTCTGTAACAATATATTACTTGAAATAATTTGCCTAGTATGCGACTGGCTCCGTGCCTGGAACGGCCACGCAATGGGCCGCATGAAGGCAGCTTTGTATAGCTTCACGCAACACAAATCAATTCCAAGAGAAAAAAGTGGATAGCTTGTAGAAAACGCCTCCGGTTTTTTATTGATTTCTTCGAGAGAAGATTGTGTATTCATCGCCGTTTTTTGCCCGCCTCCTTCTGCCTTACAGGGCTTGGAGGCTCTCGAGCAGCGCCACATGCGCCACGCACGCTAACGCCACCCACTGACTGACTTACCCGCCAACCAGGCCGTTTGAGCTGACCGTTTCAGCGGCTGCGATCAACCGAAGGCTTACGTCTTTCATCTAGCATCTACCACGTTCTTCTTCCCACAGCTCACACAGGGCTGCGTCAGCACAAGTGCATCGAATTGCCACCTTTTACGCTCGAGTCTGTCTCCAGCGGCATACACAAGCTGCTTCACCGTCTCCCGAATGCCCCTCCGTCTTCGATCCGCCCGCTGCATTCCCATACGCTCCCCGCGGTAGAGCAGCCAAGCTTTACAACGACCGTTACTCGGACCGTCTGCGCCCTTCTTTTTGCTTACTTGCAGCTGCTCAGTTGATGCAGCTGACCGATTGACGATCATCACGACAATATATCCTGGAGTGTGGCTGGCTCACACTCGCAAGCTTCGTAATACCTGATACCCCAGAAGTAGCTTGACCACCACTCAGCACTGCGCCCCCGAAGCGAGTCTCCTCAGCTACCTTTCGCGCACCGCTGCGATCCGATAGTATATAAACGCAGCCATGGAACATTTCAACGTGGCAGGGGAGGAACGTGCCGGGAGTTACTACGGGGAGTACAATACAACTCCCATGAAGGCCAAGGTCCTTTCTGACCCAAAAGGGGTGCTGGGTAGGTACTGAACGCTCTGAATCCAGGCAAACAAAAGGTTGACCTTTTCAGGATGCCATCCCAGTCGCTGGATATACGAGCTTACAAATAATCGCTTCACCGTCTGCGACCTCTTCGAACGAGCCCGAGCCCAGAGCGCCGAATTCGATAGCCCATACACGTGGGACCACCCGCATAAGCTTGTCATAAACGGCAACCAAAGCTACTCGACAACCTCGAAGCACTTTCTCTCGGCAATATGTCTCGATTGCCACTTCCATTTCGTCTTCAAAATGTCCTGGGACGAAGAACTGACGTCATCGCTCTGCCACCACTCCCAGGCCGCCTGGCCGCCCCGGGACGATATGTTTCCATGGCACCACCTTGCATGGGCCGGCTCTGCGTCGCCAGGGAGCATGGCCAGCGATCACTGCAAATATAATCCTATTCTGGCCAGAGAGCACTTCGTCTGCACCGCCGACCCATGCACATTTCAATTGACATTGGAGATTAGCGAGCCTCGAATGCACAGTTGGGCTGTGAAGCTGCTTCTCGATCACGAAGCAATCCGACAGCAACTCGATCTTGCCAAAGACCAAGATCCTAGCAGATACGAAGGCGCAACGGATGAATGGGCATACCAAGCCCCTCTCAACCTCAATACCTATCTTAAAAATCAACTGGAGTCGACTGCTGAGACCGTCCGAAGCATATCAAAGCGTAACAAGCGCTTCTCCGTTCTTTTTGGACCACGTTGCTTTTCCCTTTTCAGAGAACTCGAGTTTCAAGAAAAGGTGGAAGTGAATGACGGTATCGATGAAGGTTCTTTCACGCCACGGCCTGCCGCTCCCCCGGAGGGCCCTTCAGGTACCACTGAGCTGAACACCTATCGAGCATATCTTGAAGATGTCCGTGCAGAAGTTCAGTGCCTGATACACAAAGCTGGACAAGCCACCGAGAAACCGACTCTCTTTACCCCGATGCTGCATGGCGTGCTTCACTGCGTCGAGGTCAAGGATGTGGAGTCGAATGCCTTGGTTGGGACGGATAGATATAGGTTTCTCGGTGTGCTCCCTACACAAAACAGAGACATCGTCATCAACGCCTTCAGAAGACAGTGGCACCTCCTGCCCTCGGCCCGCAGAGAGCTTATCGATGCTCTTCTGAACATTGCCAACGACGCTCAGGACGAACTACTTATCGATTATGCCGTCACGCAGTCCGCGGTATACGAGAGCCAACCACGCCAGCAGGCTATGGATGATGACGGCGGAGAAGTTTCTCAGGCGCTGGCGTACTTTGGCCTGGCCCCGCCAAACAACTACCCTGTTGATGCCATTATTCAGGCTTTTCGAAAAAAATTGGCCGATGACCCAGCCGAGGCCGGGGCCGCCAGGAATGTGCTGATGGTAATTGCATCAGGTACGCAAGACGATTACTATCAGGCTGCTCTTCTTATGGAAGCCGATTCAAAAATGTCTCTCGACACTGCCAAGCACGTTATTGGCTTGATCCATTCGTCAAATGTTGTATCTGACGCTGGCCCTGCTACTCGCAGCAAGCTCCAGCAGTGCCAAGGGAGAGAGGCAAGGAGACTATACCTGGATGCTCTAGATTCTATCGCTGAGCATACCGGGTCTCTTTCTCTCAAACAAGCAGCCTTGGAACTTGCTCACGAAAGTGAGACGGGTGCTGGGCTCGGCGACGTGAGCTCTGGTGCATCAGTCAATTTCTCGTTGCCTGTTGGTTTGGACAATATCGGTAACACGTGTTACCTCAACAGTCTGCTCCAATATCTCTTCACAGTAAAGCCCGTGCGAGACGTTCTATTCCAGTACGATGATCTCAAGCTTGGCTTGTCTGAAGAGGCCATTGCAAGCCGTCGCATCGGTGGCAACAAGATGCAGCTGGATAGAGGGGAGGCCGTCGTTGCAGATGCTTGTATGTGAACAATTCCTTCTTCTCTCTTTGCTACATGCTAACATCATGCAGTCGCTCGAGAACTCGCTACATTATTTGAAACTCTACAGACATTGGAGAAAACGGCGACAAGGCCTTCACAACGTTTAGCAAACGCTGTTTTGCTATCAACCCATACGCTGCTCAATAGCGAGAAGATTAACGATCGACAAAGCAGTCCGTTGCCTCCACCACTGCCTTCTCGGCCCTCTCCAGAGCCAGTCGCTGCAACAGGGGACGGATCGGGGGACGTTGACATGATTACCTTCGAGAGTCAAGACGCTGTACCTCCGGATACAGCCAGTCTATCTAGTACAAAAACTCTCGTAGAGCACGATGCGGGCCAATCAGAACCTTCGTACGAGCGTGTTGAGGAGGCTCACGGACCGAATGGCAACACTGTCCCATCCGCAACGAAAACGAACAATGGTGATGATGCAGTTATGTTGGATCCCGCAGCGCTCCACGCAAAGTCAAGCGAGAACTCCGAAGTTGAGAAGTCGCTTTCGGCGCTTGATAGTAAGACTAGCGACGTCGAGATGGTTGATGCAGATGCCCCTGAGACAATTGATCAAAAGGTCCTCAGTGCACTTGAACGGCAGAAACGATCTTCCGGTACTGATCAGCAAGATGTTGAAGAAGTAATGGGCAGCATCATCAATCGCTTACAGGCCGCCATTCGACCGACCTCCATCGATCCAAAGACCGGGATTCAGCGTGAAAGCGTGATGGAGACCTTTTTTGTTACGACGGTCAACTATACCAAGAAGTTCCACGAAGACAAGTATCAGCATGAAGTCAGCTGGGACAGATCTATCACGGCCTTCCCGGCCGAGGATGGACCATGTTCGTTGTATGACGCGCTTGGCAGGAACTTTGATCAGCAGATTCTGGAAGAAAGCAAACTATCCCGCTACACTACAATCAAGACATTGCCGCCGATTCTTCACGTGCTGATCCAACGCACACAATCCAACGGTAGCAAGAACGGCAACCCCGTCATCATCCCCGAGACACTCTATGTCGATCGGTTCATGGATACAGATCATAGCTCGCCAACCTTCCAGCGGCGTGTGGAGGACTGGGTCACGGCACAGCGCATCGCCGAGATCAGGGCGGATTATGATAAGCTAGAAGCTAACCCTGCGTATCTGAAGTCGCTTGAGCATTATACGGCGTCCAAGCCTACGGCACGGACTCCGCCCGAGAACCCAGACGACGCACTGGTGGAGGTGGAGACTTTTGACTTTGATGGCCCTGTTGAGGACGACTTTCTGCTGATTTCCCCCTCCAAGCCGACTATGGAACTGGATGAAACTCCCGCTCCCAAGGTCACGGATATCTATGAAACGCACCTTCAAATCAAACAGATGATGGAAGACGAGCTAGCAGCCCTTGAGTCAACTCTTGCCGCTCACCACGCAGAGCTGACAGATGTTCCCTACCGTCTCCATGCAGTCATTTGCCACCGTGGTCAGCTCATGTCTGGCCACTACTGGGTCTGGATCCGCGACTTTGACGAAAACGTGTGGCGGTGGTACAATGACGCGGATGTCAAGGAGAACAAAAACACAGAGGAAGTGCTTCAGACTCTCAGCACGAGTGGCGAGCCCTACTTCTTGTGCTATGTACGAGACACGGACAAGGAAAATTTTGTCGACGTTCCGAAGCGCGAACAGCCGCCGCCGCCAGAACCGGAACCAATGTTGGAAACTGTGCTCGAAGTCCCCGAAGTTGTGCTTGAAACGGAAGCCACGCCAGCGGAAACTATCACGCCGGCGGTGGAAGAGCCCGCGAAGCCTGCGACGACCGAAGATGAAAAGTTGGTGGACATTAGCATCCCAGAGGATCCAACGGTCGCACGTGCAGCTTAGGAAGGGTACTAAATTTTTTGGCATTTTCTACGATTGGCAGAAACTTTGCTCTGGTGATGATTACTCGTAGAAACATTAGCGACGAGCTTTTTACAATTGTACAATAGAACTATTCATCGTTTAAGGGGCATGTTCTTATATGCATTTTTGTTTTTAGGCATGCAGCATGCAATAACGAAGAACCACCGCATTGATTCATCAGAGTGGTTTTGCTTCTCGTCTTGCAGTTGTCATTATTCTACTATTACATGTTGCTCCTCTTGATTCTATTTACCTCCCCTTGAAGACGGGCTTGCGCTTCTCCTGGAAGGCCTTGAGGGCCTCGTTGCGGTCCTCGGTCGCAACAACGCGCTCATACATCTCGTTCTCCTTGTCCGGCCGTGCCCACGCCACCGCCTGCAGCGCCGCGCGGATCGCCACCGGCCCGCCCTCGCAAATCTCCTGCGCGAGCCGCACCGCCTCGCTCAGCGCGGCCTTCCGCGCCGCCGGTAGGATTCCGGCGGCGCCGTCGCGCTCGTCCTCGGGGACGACCTCGACGAGGCGGTCGGCGATGCCGAGGAAGTAGGCCTCGGGCGCGGCGACGCGGCGGCCGGTGAGGATGAGGTCCCGCGCGCGGCCGAGGCCGACGAGCCCGGCGAGGCGGTGGGTGCCGCCGGCGCCGGGGATGATGCCGAGACGCGTCTCGGGCAGGCCGACGGCGGCGTTGGAGGAGAGCACGCGGAAGTGCGTGGACAGCGCGAGCTCGAGGCCGCCGCCGAGGGCGACGGAGGAGATGGCGGAGATGGTGGGGACGGGGAGGTCGGCGAGGGCGGCGAACGTGGCGCGGAGGTTGGTGAGGAACTCGTTGGTCCTGAATAAGTAGCGGTTAGTATTTCTTCTTTGATGGGAGGAAGGGCGGGGTTAGGTGGGACGCGCACTCTTCTTGGGTGAAGCCCCGACGCTCCTTGAGGTCCGCGCCGGCGCAGAAGCACGTGTCGACGGCGCTGGCGACGACGAGGGCGCGCGTGGGCCCGTTCTCGGCGCCGGTGGCGAGGGGGAGCTCGGCGCCGGTGGAGGGGTCGTACTGCGCGTGCACGGCGTCGACTTCGGCGCGCAGGGCGGCGAGGAGGGCCTTGGAGATGGCGTTGCGCGCGGAGGGGCGGTTCAGCTCGAGGACGCGGATGTGGCCGGTGCCGGCGGCGGGGAGGTTGGCGACGCGAACGAGAGGCTCGGAAGCGGCGGAGAACAGGCGGAGGGTGTGGTGGCGGCCGGCGGCGGCAAGGGACGGACGCAGGAGGAGGAAGGTGGCCGTGGAGGAGGCGGCGCGGGGAAGTCGGGGAGCCATCTCGCCGGGTGGGATGAGGATGATGCGTGTGTGTTTACCTGGAGGAGCTGTTAGAGTTGTAGGTGCCGGGGAATTGGGGAGTCTGGCGTACGCTGGCTGATGCAATTGAGATGCAAGAGGGACGTGGATAGTAGAGAAGTTGTTGGTGATGGAGGGACGGGAGAGGTTGCGCAACGAGAGCTGCTAGCTTCGGTCTAGGTGATGTCTGGGGTTCGGCTTACGTCGGGCCAATTGCGGTAGTGATACGTGATTTGTACTGGGGAGGCGAGTTGAGCCGAGCTGTGTAGACGCTATCATTCGAAAAACTATGCGATTTGATAATGGTATAGAAATCAATGTCTTGATATTTTTAAAGATTTCATTGCATTTTTTCTAAAAGCTAGATAGTGATGCTCATCTCGGCGTCATCGCTACTATATCGTGGAACCACCACGTCAACCAGAACAGCGCAGCAGATATTTGAGCCACCAGGGTAGCGATTGATATAAGAGGCTGGAATTATTGCATAAATCCTAGCCTTTTTCTTGGCGAACTAATTATTACATGGATACCGAATTCTGACATGTTCCTTCTCCGTTTGTTCCCCATTTGTTCCCCGTTTGTTCTATGCAATTTATGTTATCACCGCCAGCTGGCAAATAACCGGGTCCAGCCCAGCCCAGCTGCGCCTCTACAGAAGCTTATTTTCCAAACCCCCAAACGCGACTTACACACTGCAAAGTCGCGATGCCCTCATTACAAGCCGCCTCGTTGTCTTCATTCCATCAGCAAATTACCGATAATCGGCTGAAATCCCCGCGTATGACTCGCGCACACAACGGGCTTCGACCCTTGATTGATCCCTAGCAATGCCAGCCACCCCAGGCTGATGCCAAGCTCCGCCGGGCGGCGTCGAAGCTAAAACGGACCGCCTTGTGGCTCCGCAACAAGTCATCACCGCTCGAATGGATGATCAATCACGTTATTTCGTCTTATTTATCTATAGCCCCGGGCGGAGCGCAGAAACTTCATCTCTCAATCTCACCAAAATTGGACGCGCGTATATCATCGCAGGTTGGGTTAGAAAACAGACTGTTGCCTGCCAGGCTGTTTGGCTGCAGAATCGAGACTCTCAGAAAAAACCCCCTATCGCTTTCCTCGGAAATGCAGCACGTGTGTTTGAATTGGAGGGCTTGGACCGGCAATCAACCGCGGCAGCAGCAACGGCATCTACAAGGACAACTTCAGATCGACAACGATTGCCGAGGAGAGTAGACCGCAATAATGACGACAACCTTCGCGCCTTCTTTCTCGCGCACTACCGTCGCGGTCTCCTCCTCCTCCTCCTCCTCCTCCTCCTCCGCGGTGCCCTCGCCGCTGACCGTGCTCGTCCACTCGAGCTTCGAGGGGACCTCCGACTTCTTCCCCTTCCACGACCTCGCCAAGGTCGGCGGCTACACCAAGGATGACTTCACCTTCCGGGACCTCATCCAGGATGGCATCGATGGGGGGCCCCAGGTCGACCTCTACCTCTCCGGCTGCCAAGTTCGCAAGGGTGGTGCCCCCGACTGCCCAACGGCGTGCAATGACACGACGCTGCACTTTGGCTCCTTTGAGACCTTTTACAACTGTGCGGCCCTCGCCGCCATCGCCCACTGGACCGGCGACATCGGCACCTACTACCTCGGTGTCGAGGCGGAGCGCAACGCCAGCGTCCTCATGGGCAGCGGCGGCACGCTCGCCGGCTTCCGCGCCCGGCCCGTCCTCGAGTCGTTTGCCGCCTGCGCCGTCGAGTCCTGTACGCAGGACCAGCTCTCCGCGCCGTGCGACGCGTCCGTCATGGACCTCTCGCGCAACTCGTCCTCGCGCGACATCTTTGCGGCCATGGATAAGTTTTGCCCAGAACTGCGCGCCGAGATCAACCCCGACATCTTCGGCCCCGGTGTAAGTCGGCCCACACAGGCACAGACAAACTCTCCCGATTTTCACTCTTAATGCCTGTTGCTCACAACTCCCCTTCCTCCCCCTAGGTTCTCATCTCGTACGTTCTGCAAGTGGTCTTCTCCGCCTCTCTCTACTTGTTTCTCAAAATCTTCACCTTTTGGGTAGGCTACTCTCAGAAGCCCGCCCAGCGGCGGCCAACGTCGGAGCGGCTCGTCAGGCGGCTCACGCGCATCGAGTCGATGATTTGGAAGGACTCGTCAGCGCTATCGCGGACTAGCATCGCCATCGCCGCGACGCTCGTCGAGTTCCAGGAGGCGCAGTGCTGGTTCGTCTTCGCCGTGCAGATCGCCTCCATCCTCGCCATCGTCGTCAACTCGCAGGAGGGCACCTTCTGGGGCGAGATCGTCGTAAACTCGGCGGTCGCGTTCCACGTGTCGCAGAACGGGATCCTGCCCATGTTCCTGGTGCAGATCTGCCTGCACAACGAGGGCATCCGCAACTGGCACACGTTCTTGGGCTTCTGCATGGAGTACCTGCTGGCCATCGTGGCCACGACGCAGCGCGTGTCGTTCCGCGGCAGCGTCGACCTCTTCCGCGGGCAGCACGCCGTCGCAGCGTGCGGCGGCAACCCCAGCCCGCGCACGTATTGCGCGAGCAGCGCCGGCGTGGACGGCCTCACGCTCACCTTCTTCCCGCACCCGCTCGTCTACAAGCTCGTCTTCCTGGTGCTCGACACCGTCGCCATCGCGGCCCTCGCCGCCGACCAGCTCGCGTGGACGCTACGCACGCACCAGCGCACCCGCCATTGGACACTCGGCGCCCACGGCCTTGGCCGCTGGCCCGACGGGCGCCTCAAGCGCCACTGGGTCCGCTGGTCGGGTTGGTTCTGGCACGGCCTCGAGTTCGCCTACCTCGTGATCAACGTCCTCTACCTCGTCTCCCTCAGCAAGGTCATCAGCAATGATAGCTTTCAGGCGAACCGCTGGTCGTACGGGCAGATTATTGCCATGACCGTCTGGGGCCCCGTGATTGTCAAGCTATTCTCCTTGATCCTATGTAAGCCTATTCCCCGACTTCTGTTTATGATGACAAAGGCGGAACACTAATCATTGCTTCACAGCGGGGCCTCCGAAAAACGGCGAGGGTCTCAACGCCGGCCCGCCACGGCTGCGCATCGACAACGTGCTCAACCACCGACAGGCTGACACGGCCGACGATGTCATGAGCACGTCCTCGTCGGGGAGGTGGATTCCACCACCTCCGCCGCAGTTACCGCTGCAGCGCAAGCTCGCTACGCCGCAGAGTCCGGATATTGAGGGCGGCATGAAAGAGGCGGACGTGGAGACGGCGCCGCCTAGAACAATAACGATACGCCATGAGTGACCGGCATGTACACGATACTATGACATATATGACATATATGACTTGAATGATAGGTATGATATAGATGATTGATCTTCTTGATTATTCTTAGATTTTTAGACTTGCTAGCTATTTTTCTTTCAACTCTCATATCATAGTCTAATTGCCTGTTCACATCGGAAATTTCCGAAACGCCGGAATCTCGGACGCCGCGGGCAACGCCACGACGAAATAGTACGCCAATCCTCAACCTGGAGCTTGGACAAAACGTTGCCCGAGACTTTCTTTGTCAACTTAGAGTTGTGGATAAGAAACGATCTTCCATCTGCTCCAACAAACTCACCCCGCCTCGGTGCAAATCACATCGCAGCTCGTTCAGTCTGGCATCTCAAGATGCTAATGCCTTATTAGCCCGATGAGGCAGTTGGCGCTCATTATACAGCCCTGTACTCCGCAGAAGATGGGGCAAATAAACTCTACCTTGTGTATCGTGGTGCGGGCAACGAGGAGGAAGCCAACTGATAAAAGGTCAGCTTTGCATCCCCGGCCAGGCAAAGTTCGCGACCGGGCCAATGAGGATGCGAGGTATGTAGCGGATAAGTAGGGATGTTTGGCCTTTGGGGCTACCATGTACTCAATTTATTTGAGGTTGCTGTGGCCGAAGTGGTTCAGTGAAGGCCGCATCGGCAGCCACACACACCCAGACACACACATATAAAAGAGCCAGACCTTCTCTTTAGATTCTCTCGCGAAGCATCTAGGCCAAGAATTCTCCCCTTACAAGTTGATTGGCTCGGCTGCTTCAAGCCTAGGTGTGCTTTTGGCCGCAACTACCTTCAACCATTGTGTTATCCAGCACTCAGCAGCTTGCCGGCATGTCACCGCCAACACCCACCGACGCCGTCGTCTTTGACGCCGAGCTCGCCGGCATCGACGCGGAGAAGCTCGGCCGACAACGTCCCGCCGCGTTCGGCAGCATCTGGCACGAGCTGTGCTTTGCCTTTTCGCTCCTCGGCTCCATGGCCATGTCCGCAAGTTACTTCTCCCCCAAGCATGCCCCCCCCCCCACATAAAACAAGACTAACCCGCCCACCACCACACCAACAGGAATACTTCATCTCCGGCTTCCACATCGTCCTGCCGCTGCTCTCCTCCGAGCTCCACCTGGCCCCCGCCGCGCAGACCTGGCCCTCCAGCGTCTTCACCCTCGCCGCCTCCGCCTGCCTGCTCCCCCTCGGCCGCCTCAGCGACCTCCGCGGCGCCCACCCCGTCTTCGCCGCCGGCCTCGCCTGGGCCGCGCTCTCCTGCCTCGCCGCCGGCTTCTGCCGCTCCTACGCCGCGCTCGTCGCCTGCCGCGCCCTCACCGGCGTCGGCGCCGCCGCCTTCCTCCCCGCCGGCATCACCCTCATCGGCAAGACCTACCGCCCCGGTCCGCGGAAGAACTTGGTCTTTGCGCTGTACGGCGCGTTTGCGCCGCTGGGCTTCTTTGCGGGGATCTTGCTGGGCGGCGTGGCGGGCCAGTTTCTGGATTGGCGGTGGTACTTTTGGATCGGCGCGGCGGTGATGGCGGTGATTTGCGCGGCGGGCGTGTGGGCGGTGCCGCGGGATCTTTGTAGGAATGTGCCGGAGGGGGCGCCGGGGATGGATTGGTGGGGGGTGGTGACGGTGGTGCCGGGGGTGGTGCTGTTGGTGTACGGCATCACGGAGAGCTCGCAGGCGGCGCGCGGCTGGGCGAGCCCGCAGATCATCGCGACGGTCGTGGCCGGCGCGTGCTTCCTCGCGGCCGCGGTGTACGTCGAGGGCTGGGTAGCGACGGATCCGCTTCTCCCGGCAGACCTGTTCGCGCCGCCGTACATGAAGCGGCTCGTCGCCGGGCTGTTCCTCGCCTACGGCGCCTTTGGCCTCTTCCTCTTCTACAGCAGCTTCTACCTCGAGGTGGTGCTGGGCAAGAGCCCGCTGCAGACGGCCGTCTGGTACATCCCGATGGTCGGCTGCGGGCTCGTGCTCGGGGCCGTCGGCGGGCTGACCCTGCACCGGCTCCCCGGGCGCGTGCTGCTGGTGCTGTCCGGGCTCGGCTTCGTCGTCGCCTGCCTGCTGTTCGCGCTCATGCCGGAGGACCCCAACTACTGGGCGTGGGTGATGCCGGCGATGATCGCGTCGAGCGTCGGCATCGACATCGCGTTCACGGTCAGCAACGTCTTCATCACGACCAACCTGCCGCTGAAGCGTCAGGGGCTCGCGGGCGCGCTGATCAACAGCACCTTGTTCCTGGGCATCAGCGTGCTTCTGGGCTTCGGCAACGTGGCCGTCGCGCACACTTCGCATCTTCCCTTGCGGGAGAATTACCAGGTCGCGTTCTGGCTTGCCGTTGGTGTGGCAGGAGCTGCCCTATGGATATTCGCCTTTATAGATTTAGGACAAGCCAAGAGTCAGTTGACACTCGAAGAGCGGGAGCAAATAGACATGCAAAATAGGCAGGGCAGTAAGCAGCTAAGCCAGCCACCAGCATCAGTCTAAAGTAATAATAATAGAAGAGATTTGGGAAATATCAGGAATAAACTGAATACAAGGAATACAAGGGAAATATATAGTATAAAGAATATAAGATGAAATTTGATAATAAGTAAAGTTAGTCAATTATGGCTATATCTTGTGTCTTTGAATCGGAAGCTAGTATCCAGCTAATAAAGCTATTAAACCTCGTTTCCTATCTCCTCGAGTCGTCGGCGCGAAAGCAGCTTCTCCAACCTTTCCAGCTTATCCGGCTTGTCCGGCTCCCCCTCAAGTGCGCGCCGTATTATTGACAGATGCTGCAAAACCGTCTTTCCCTCGTCGTCTCGATGCCCGAGACTCACTCCCCCTTTAATGAGGCGCCTCATCTCTCCCACCGCCGCCTTTTCGTCGTATATGCCCTCCTCCAGCCCCTGCATGACGAGATGCGCGTAGCCCTGCCCATATTTGTTCTGCCACGCCGGGGCAAAAGGTAGCGCATACAGCGCATCGCGCCGCGGGAACCGGTTCTGGATCGCGACGGCGAGGACATTGCTTGGCCTACTCGTCTGCCGCCACTGCACCAGCGCGTCGAAGTGCTTGTTGTCCTTGTCCCGGACAAGCTTGGTGAAGGCACTATCGACAGCGGTCTGCGTGAAGTGATGCGCGAGTTCTGGGAGCTTCTCTTCCATCTCTTTAGGCAGCATGCTGTTCTTGTTGTCCTTGCTCGTGAGCAGCCAGCGACGTAGTATATCGTCGCACTCGTGTGGTTCCGGACGCGCACCGCAGGCTAGCAATGCAGCGATGACGGTCGTCTTGGTAGCACCAGAAGCGAGAGAGAGAGATCTTGCGAGAAAAGAAGTCTCGTCTGGGAATGGCTCGTGGACGTTCATTCCATGCTTCAGGAATGCAGTGAAGAGGTGGCGAAGTAGATTCACGTCTCTGCCTTTTTGCATCTTTTGGAAGACGTACTGGCCGAGGCGTTGCCCACGTGCCGTGCGAGCATTCACATCCGCCTCGTGCATCAGGAGGACTTCGATCATTGCTAACATTCGCTTTCGATGCTTCGGGTCCGTCACTATCTCGTCTTCTACGACAGACGTGACGGCGAGTTGGAGCGGCGACGAGGGCCCCCCAACATTCACGCCGGCGCCTTTCTCAAGTAGACGCGGAACCAGCGAGGCGCTCCAATCTCGCGCCTTGGGCACCAGGAGCGTTGAGGCCCCCTCAACAGCGTAGGAGAGAACGGGCCAGCCTAGGCCTGAGACTGCGTCGAGATCTTGTGAGAATGAGAGGAGAATATCGGTGGCGCTCTCGTTGCCCTTTTGGACAGCCCTCATTAGGGGAGAAAGTCTCCCGCTAGACGCCGCTGGGACAGTTATGCTGTGGCGGAACCGCTCGAACAGTTCTTTGTGCAGGTCGGGAAAAACGTTTTGCTCGACAAGAAGATGATGGAGTGTGTACTCAGCGTTGATAAGAGGAGCTCTTTGTAGCGGTGGCACAAAGAGATGCCTGTGATGGATGGCGAGACGGCAAGGGTGATTGCTGTCGAGCAGAAGCCGGGCGACCGTGGGCGCGGGTTGAAACATGGCAGGCATCAAAGGGAACCAGCACTGGTCTTGCAGTCTAGTCCTCTGAGAGAACGCGTTTAGCTTCCCTGCAATGTCCAGGTCCTGGCGAAACCTGCCGACGTTCAAGAACTTCCACAGCCTAAGACTATAGGTACCGATGAGAGCACCGAGGCGCAACAACTCTTCGACAAAACTCCGGCTGCCATGAGCAGCGGCGACGTGAATCACGGTGCACGTCGCATCTCCGTCCATAAAATAGCGGGCATTGACATCTCCTCCATGCTGAACACTGTACTGCAACATCGACACGGCCATGGCCGAGTACTCCCCACCACAACCACTGGCGCCAGCAGCCCAGAGGATGGCTGACGAGTTTCGCGTTGCAGCGTCCCGGCGGTACATCTCTTCGCGCGCGTAGGGCTTAATGTCCCAGCAGGTCTTTGAAAAGTTGGATAGGTCTTTCACTTCAAGGTAGTCGCAAATCGTAATCCGCACCTCGGCCGGCAGGCCCAAGATCGTGTGGTGCACCATGGTGAATCGACGCAAGGGGGGAGGCCGGAGGCGGGAAGTTGATGATGGAGGAAGAAAGTTGAAAGCGGCGAAGAGCGCGCAGAGGAGCACTTATAGCCGTTGCTGGAGGTAGCAGAAGCGCGTGCGTTTGTCATGACCTGACTTGTTGGCGGTGTTTGCAACGTGCCAGTTGGCTGTTGGTAGAGGTTAACAGCAACCAACGGTGTTACTGGCTGCAAGGTGATAGTGAGACGGTGAATCAATCCAAAGAGCGGTGAATATTCAAGAAATAAGCAGACAAAGCTTGAAAAAAAAAACTTCGTGTATCTTGCTGAAATAGTCGACATCAAGTTCACCCTCTCCCAGCTCTGTCAGCTCCTAGGTCACGCACGCTCTCCAGTGAAAACCCCCGAGGTCTAACGTGTAGCATGTCCGCCAGCGTCAAGACGCCATGCGGGATGTCCCCCCACGACATAGCGCCGCTGCCCAAGGCCGCTTCGGCAGTCTCGCAGATGGTCGCGACGTCGCGGCTGTCCCAGAGGCCCTCTCTCCTGTTGGCGGCTCGCAGGAGCGCGATGCACCTCTTGCGTACGGTGGTGTCTTCGGACCCATAGCATATATAATACAGCGCCCAGATGAGCATTCCTTCACAGGTGAAGAGGGGACGACGATCCGCGGCGCTCGCATCCGTGCGGACCACATCCTCGGCGAGGTTCAAGACCCGGTGGCACTTCTCAGAAGCATACGGCTCACCGCCGCTGCCGTCGCCGAGTATGATGCCCCAGATGCCCTGGTCGAGAGCGAGTGATGCTATGCGACGAACATCACCGTCTTGCCGTGCCAAAAGCGGCTCACATCGCTTCCTCCAGACGAGAAAGTCTTGCGTGGTAGCCATTCTTGCCGCCCTCCTGTGGGTGAGATTCATTTTGGGGCCCTGGCTCTCGAGGCTTCTTGTTCTATCAGCAAATACGTCTACAACGTTTGAGGGCTGTGGCGAGTACGCCTTCACTTTCCACATCCTTGTGTAGAATGCGCGGTCAATGTTGGCCAACATCGCCTCCGCCTCCCCGAGGCTGGCAAACGGCACGGCCGGGTGGCCCACATCCGACACTGGCACGCCAAAGTCCAGGTCTGCAAAGAGGTCCAGGCCGACGTACGAGGCCAGGCATCGCCCAAAACCGTTGAGCATGTCCTGAAGGACAAGCAAGAAACGGCCCATGTCGTCGGCGCGGCCCGCCATCTTGTGCGCTATTGCCCCCACCGGTGCCGACCGGAAGCGCTTGACGATATCGCAACCCGCGCGCAGGTGACAGGCAGCTGCGGCGCTGCGCCCATGGAGGTTCTCAATCGTGATGAAGACGACACAGCAGATAAGCACAACGTCGAGGTGCGCACCGGTGGTGTCGGAGGAGGACACGAGCGTGTTCAAGGCCGCGATGGCGTCATTGTAGCGCTGCATGGCTTCAGTCATAGAGTCATTCTGGGATGGCAGTGGCCTAAAACTTTCATAGCGATCGCTGATGAAATATCGGTGCGCAGCGCCCAGCGCGCATAATGCCTGTCTGATAGCCGGCGACGAGTGGGATAGCGGAAGCACGTAAATGTACCAGAACTTAGTCGAGCGAGCAACAGCTGCCATGTCCCGGACAACACATGTTCGGACGTGATATAGATGAATGTTTTCGACATTGCTGGAAGACAGTTGGAGAGTCGGGATCGAGGGATGAGGAAGCAGATGTCGCAGCAGGCTCCTGCTCAACTGGATGGTTCTCTCCTGAGAGGTTCGTGGTAAGGCCTGTTTCTGCGTCTGCACAGGCTTCTTGGCGAAATCGTCCGATGTTAGTTGCTTAAACTGATCGTAGCCGTCGCACTTGTAGCCTTTGGTCGCGCAGCGCTGGCAGATTGGCTTTGTCTCGTCGCACTTAACATGGCGGATTCTAGACTCGAGTTAGCCAGTGACCTGCACAGCTGCGCATTCCAAATTACACACTTGCTATTTCATGTCAGCCTTGAGAAGAAAAGAGAACTTGTCGTTGATGCAGAGGGCCTACCAAGTGATGCAGCCTGCCCTCGTCCTTCGCACTGTTCCTTGTGCCCGTGTCGGACGCGCCATGCCCGTGAACCGGTGCCGTCTTACTCTACGTCTTCTACGGGCGCCTCTAGTAGCCCGCAGAGTCTCGAGCTGAATGCGAAGGATGAATGCGTGGCCATGTCGCAGTGTGTTTGAAGCTTTCTGGAGCCAAAACGTGAGGCGGAGATGGATCGGCGAGATAGTCTAATCCGACACTCGACATCCGATTTCCGACCCAGCTTTATTAATTTCGAGGTTGGATCCACTGTTGGTCGCCCTTCATCTCCGATTGGCCCTGTCGTGAAAGCTTCCTTTTCAAGAGGTTCAAGCCTTACCAGATTCTATCTTATCAGATTCTAATTCGTATCTACCAGATAGGTTCTCGAATCTTTTTCGAACCTTCGCTTTTCTCCACCATGTTCTAGAATTCACCATTCGCCGCTAGCAACTCCCGCGCCGGTGCGGCCGACAATCCCCAGTCGCCTGCCTGTCAGAAGAGAAAACGACACTTTGTTCAGGGTCCAGGGTGGATGCTCACCTATTGGATACCCAGCTGATGTATCTCGACTTTCCCATTACCCGGCCTGGGCGACGGAAACGTGGTTTGAGAGGGGTAGAAGAAGCTGGCCTGAAAGGGCCACGGCCCCTCCCTCCTAGAGCAGGAGCAAACACGAGGATACCGTAAATTCCTACATTGAGCTTCGATGCTTCGGCCTCGGGTTCCCTTGGTGGCCCTCGCTGTGGGCATCCTTCTAAGGCTGTGTCCGCCGCTCTCTGGCCCTTGGGCAGGCACAAGGAATGAAGCAGGCAGTAGCCGATCCCAAAGAGAGTATAGGGACGGCGCATTCTCTGGTCAATGTCGAATCCATGACACAAAAACCTCCTGTTGCATGGATTTGTGTGCACGGCAACCGAGAGATGGTTAGTTGGGTTGTCAAATCAGGCTGTCACTATCACCCCTCATGACAAGCCACTCAACCCCTCAAAGTTGCTTGTTTGACGGCGGACACCACCGAATGGAATTAGCAATATCACCAGGTTAGCATCAATAAAGGCGAAATGATCGGCGAAAATGGGAATATCGCTACATGCTCGCCAAGCGATTTTCCGCCCATCTTTCGTTTTCGGTTCTGGGGGTAAGTTAATAATAGATGTTCGGAAGAAGTCTGTATGAGAATTATTGCAATAATGATAATAACGAAGTACTTTGTGACGTTCTTGATTCTTGTTGATTCTGATTCTGCCAGTAACACCCGTTCGCTACCACCAAGAGACTATCCGTTTTGAGCCAAGCGGCCGTCAGCAGCTGGCGGCCGCTAGGTCTTGCCGCGCCCCTTCGAACAGGTAATCCCACGAAATGCACAAATCGTTTGCTCGCTACTGTTTGCCGTCGACTACCACGTACTGTACGATGCCTTGGAGCCGGAGCCCAAGAAGAACGGCGGAGAATTGCAACACCCAAACAAATGAAGGAGCCATGGCTCTCTTTTCAACAGCTTTCCATCCAAGTCGAGTAGGAGCCACGAGCTGAGCAGCTGAGCAGCTGGGAAGTAGCGAATCCTTTGACCGTACGGATCTACGCTGCCATGTAACTCTGCAAAAGATCCTTTGCTGTCGGCGATATCCGCTAAATGACATGGCAGCAGCAGAGCTGCAGTCAGTCGTAGCAGACGGATCTGACATTCCCATTACGGAAGGCCAGCTGAAAACGAGCGAAACGACGCCAGCAGTCTTGGCGATCGTCGACGGGCCAATCTTCTTCGTCAACACTAGAGCCCACCAACTAGTTCGCCAGTTTCTCTTTGAGCCTGTTACGGCGTTCTATTCGTATCTCAACACCCGTGATTTGCGAGCCCCCCTGGCGGGATGCCGTCCCCAATCACCCCCGAATCCATTGGCTGCGCTCCGAGTTGGCACGGGCTTGCCCGCAACGTCAATCTCCTCTACGGAGCTAGTTGAGAACATTTGCATAATGTTCGAGAGTAGCTTCCTCATTGAGGGTTTGCACGGGCGGGGGACAAGACTATCTATGGTCCAATTGCGCGACAACGTGTCAGCCGCGTCGGTCTAGTTTTCGGGAACGGCCCTTCTTTCTCTCCAAGTAACCCTCCTCCAGCTAGCATCGGCTGAAATACCGAATCTCAACAAGAGTAAGACTTGGTGGAGAAAGCATCCGCGCAGCACACACAAAGTCCCGAGATCGACCATCGTCAATGTCCTTCTGGCTCGGAGAACACGGAGTTGACTAGCGCTGACTCTGGAATGATGCTTGGGCTATAAGAAGCAGCGAGGACCTCGCGGCTGCTTCTCAAGATCCGGAGAGCTTCAGGCTTCCGCTTCGTCTTGGCTCCTTATCCCCAGACAGCAGTCTTAGTCCTTCACGATGCGCATCTCTAGCCTCCTCGCCGCCGCCGCCATCGCCCTCGCGGCTCCCGTTCCCGAGCCCGTAAGATCCCCTCCCCTTGATCGCCTCTTACGTATAGACCAACACCACCTAATCGACGACGCAGCCCGGGATCCCCAGCACCAGCACCGCCCAGAGCGAGCTTAACAGCCTCCAGGTTGCTGCCTCGGGCTCCGGCGACGGCTACTCGCGCGCCGAGTTCCCTCACTGGGTCAAGGTCGAGGGCAGCTGCACCTCTCGGTAGGATCCCCAAGTTCCACCACAGGAGCCACGTTTCCTACGTTTTGTTTCTGGCCGGCGCAATTTTGTGCTCCCTGACCACAAAAGCTAACGGCCCTTTTTTTTCTATTCATGTAGTGAATATGTCCTGAAGCGTGATGGCCAGGACGTTGAGGCGGACTCGTCCTGCAAGATTACTTCCGGTACCTGGGTCAGCCCCTACGATGCGACCACCTGGACCGACAGCGCCAAGGTCGACATTGATCACCTGGTGCCCCTCAAGAACGCCTGGATTGTAAGTCTCCTGCCTCTCTCCTTGCTCTCCTTTTCTCTCAGCCCCCCTCCCCCCTCATCAAAGCTGTCTCAGCGAGCGTACCTCGTCGAATGGCAGGGCCACAACTTCTCTGCTGTGCGAGTAACAACTCTTTGCTAACCCTCTCCCAGTCTGGTGCCTCGAGCTGGACCAAGGCACAGCGCCAGGACTTTGCCAACGACATCAAGCGCCCCCAGCTCTACGCCGTCAGCGAAAAGGCGAACCGCTCCAAGGGTGACCGCAGCCCCGACGGCTGGAAGCCCCCCTTGAAGAGTTTTTACTGCACCTATGCCAAGTCCTGGGTCGCCGTCAAGAGCTACTACAAGCTGACCATTACCTCGTCCGAGAAGTCTGCCCTGAGCGACATGCTCGACACTTGCTAAAAGGCGTTGGCACCACGAAGGTGACGCAAATGGTGACGAAAGACTATTCTGCAACGGCAGCAGCATATTGTGGACGAAAAAGCCAACGAGGATACCTTCTGCGGTGGTATTCATCCTGCGCACAGGTAACTCAACCTGTGGCCAACGAGTATATAGCACGGCAGATCAAACAAGTGCCAAATTCGTACGACCGACATAGGACCATTCCTCATTTGCCTCTTCAAACATGCTGTTGTGCAAATGCGAGTGATCTGGCCTTACCCAGTTTCAATGTGAATCTTGCACATCTTCTTTATCTCGCTCTTAGGTGGGCGTCTATCGGCCTTGGCACTGCGACATTGTACGCCGCTCGCGTTTTGAAGTGGTTCAGATGCAAGCTGTGCTACTTGGTGCTTCGCTCCGCCCAATTTCTTGATGCCTATATACATTGAAGCGGCCCGGTGAAAACACAAGGACGCACCTGGACAAGCTTCACTGTCTTTACGGAGCCTTTTTCTTCTTTTTCATACATCAGACGACACTCTCGCTATGACGTTGGCATATGTCTTGTGTCTAGCCGCGGCCTGCTATGCCTGGCCCTCGTACGGTGGTCTCCACGACCCCAGCAACTGCAACCCGCTGGCCAAAGATTCGCGTGCGTTCCTTTCCTTTGTGTTCTTTGCAGGACTACAGTTGTGTTCTAACATTTGTCTATACAGACTGCCCTCCCAACGTGGCCTTTGCGGGCAAGAAATCGTTCAACTTTGAGGGCGCCAGTCACAACAAGGACTTCGAGGACTTCTGGATTGTGGACGACCAGACTAAGGAGGACCACGATCGCCTCAAGTTTGTCGGCAACGGCAACGGCGTGGAAGTCAGCATCACGGAGCAGAAGAAGGCCCCGACCTTGACTAGCCACCAGTACCTTTTTTTCGGCAAGGTCACCGTGAGAGCCAAGGCCGCCAAGGGAACCGGCCTGGTCACCACCATCGTTCTCAAGTCTGACTCTGGCGACGAGATTGACTGGGTACGGCCCGTTTGCTTTCCCATTCTCCCGGTATTCTTTTTCGCCGCAAAATTGTTAACCTTGTCCGTAGGAGATGCTCGGGGCCTTCCAGAACCAAGCCCAGTCCAACTACTACTACAACGGGCAGCCGCTCTTCAACACGTACAACACCACCTACGCCATCTCGTCTTCCTCGTACGACGACTTCCACGACTACACCGTCGAGTGGACCGACAAGGCCCTCACCTTCTCCATCGACGGCGCCGAGCGCCGCACCTGGCAGCCCGGCGAGATCCCCGCCGACAAGTGGCCGCAGACGCCCATGCGCGTGCAGCTCGGCCTCTGGGCCGTCGGCCGGCGCGACGACCCCGGCGAGATCTCCTGGGCAGGCGGCGCCGTCGACTGGTCCGGCCAGCCGTTCGCCGCGGCCTTTCACTCCGTCCAGGTGGAGGACTATGCCGGCTGGTGCGAGGAGGTGGAGGATGGCCGCGTCGAGTACCAGTACGACAACAAGACGAAGGGCTGGGCGGACGTGCGCGTCGCGGGGTGCCGCAAGAGGCGCGAGCCGGGCGTCACGGCGCCGCCGCCGTCAGGTACGTCGTCGCCCTCCTCCTCCGCCGGAGCATCCCCGACCGAGTCGGCCAATGCTGAGCCTACAGATAAAGGCGGCGAGAAGCCGGATGACAACGAGGGAGCCGGCGCGATGCTAGTGCCGTCTGCCGCATGGGCCTTGATGGCGGGTCTAGGCGGCATGCTATTCTTTTAGTGATGACCGTTGCGTGTTTCTGAGAAGAACGTTTGCTTTGGAGGAATTAATGGGCGATGTAGTTAGTGTTGTCGTAAGAGTCTTAATACAAACTGTCTTGCAAGGGGAAGCCGCTTGAATGCCTCTTTGCGTTCCGTGATGCCAGGCTTGGTGAATGCTTTTGCCAGGACATGTATGTAGCGTTATGGTGATGGACGGAGGCGCTGGTAAGGCACATAGCTTGTCTGCCATAGGCTTATCGAAGTAACGAGCTGTTACTCCCGTGGATTTCACCAAGTAAAAGCTACGCGAGAAAGAGGATAAAGAAGATAAAAGTGATCGTCATCATTGAAATGCCATTCATGCAGAATGAATATGAAAGAAAATGTTGCCTTGCTTCAGAAAAAAAAGAGACACCTCCCATCCAGTCCCAGGCGTGTGTTGTACTTTTCTTCATACTTACCAATATTCGACCGTCCAAGAAAGGAAGAAAGGAAGAAAGGAAGAAAGGAAAAAAGGAAAAAAAAAATTGCTGGCCGTTCAATGCGCAGTTTGTTAATACACAAGACTTTTTCGCCATCCTCTGCAAGTCTAGAAGAGAACCACTGGCTCTAACCAACAACAAGGCCAGGCCTGCCATCAAATTATAGGAAAGAAAATGTATGGGAAGAAGAAACAGAAGAAAGAACACAAGTCCAGAAAACATCGCTCGAGGGCAAGACGTTCGTTATTATGGTCGTAGAGTTTCGTTAGCACCCGCGTCATCGTCGTCGTCGTCGTCCGGCTCGCTCAGGTCGCCGCGGGCCGCGCGCTGCGCCAGCGCGCGCTCCTTATAGACTTCCCGCCTGCGCGTCTCGGCCTGGTTCAGGCAGTCGACGTACGTGCGGAACTTGACAATCTCGCGGAGCAGGTACGAGCTCTTGCTCTCCCAGTTGGTCATGGCCTTGGCAGCGTTGGTCCCGCGCGGCGTGTACGCGAGCAGCATCGGGCTGCGCAGCTGGTTGTGCGCCTGCAGGTCGCTCTCGATGCTGCGCACGTACGCTGCCAGCGCCTCGCGCTGCTCATCCTCAGACAGGTTGCTCGGCCGCGCGCTCTGCGTCGGCGGCGACCAGGGCGCAATGTGCACTCGATCCCCGGGGAGCTTGCCCCGGCCGCTGTTGTTGGTGAAGCCGCTGTTGCTGCCGCCGCCGATACTGTGGTCAAAACTCAACGATTTGGCGCTCGCGCTCTGCGTACTGCTCTTGCGCGCGTGGCCAAGGGTGCTGCCCGCTGTTTTCTGCGTCGCCGAGGGCGGCGGGCTGCTCGACTCGTTGATGGCGGCCACCAGCGCGTTGTTGACAATAGCCTCGCTCCAGCCGTACTCAATGTTGCTGATGCCTCCAACGAGTGGGTGCGAGCTGAGCCTTGCGCTCCAGTAGTTTGTCGTGTTGACGAACTCGCGGATGATCTCCGGCGTGCCGACTTGGAACAGGTGCACGGCGCCGGTTGGTAGGCTGAGCGCCCACACGTAGGGGCGTGTGCGTGAGTAGCCCGGCGTCGGCAACGCCGAGGCCAGCGTAAGGCGGAGATTGAATGTACCAACGTTGACGGCGTTGTCCTGCCAGTTTCCGCCGCCGACCGGTGCCATCGCCGTACGCGGACGGGCCTTGTGCCGGGCCGACTTGCTCAAGTTGAAGGAGAACATGCTAAGCTGGCCCTTTTGCACGACGGCAAAGACCTCTGACCAGTTGCGGTCCTTTGCCCGCTTGCCTACACCATCTAAGTGGTGTTTGTGCACGACCATACCCTCCTTGATCCATGGCGGGCCGGCCAACTCGAGCGACTCGTCTTCGAGCATCTGCGCAGTAGTGTAGTCGCTGCTGATGATGGACGGGGCTGTTTCGTCGCCGTTCAGGTCCTCATCACGGATGATGGACTGGCTCAGCGCGTTAGCAAAACCAATCGACCGCTGGAAGTCGCCCCTGGGCATTGACGACGCAAAGGAATCCTGAGACATGGACGCTTGGGTGCGCCCAAGAGAGTAGCGGCTCCAGGTAGCCGAAGACATGGCAGGGCTCCACAAGGAGTTATCGTCGTCGAAGCTAGTCCTACTCGATGCCATGCCATTTCGTCCCAGGCCAGGGCGGGAGCGGCTCTTCGAAGTCCACCTCGAAGCACCAGTGCGGACGCCGTCTGCGATACGTCCACGCGAGGACATTTGACCTTCTGAAGGCGCCTTGCTCAGTACACTGGGCGTGCGCTTCAGCAGGCCCATAACGGAGAGATTGCTCTGCGACTGCGCCGGGCCAACAGGGCGGTCTTCAGCTCCAAACAGAGGGAGCCTGTCGTCGCGGATAGATGCATAGATACTCTTAAGAACCAGTTCGATTTGCTCCTCCCAGGCACGCAGTGTACCGGTGAGTCCATTCCGGACCAGCGGCCCACTGTCTTCACTGGGGTCCCCGCCCTGCGCGTCTGGTCTCGGAGGAGGGCGGAACGAGTGGCGGAAGGTCGACCGGTCTTGCTCGCCAGAGGTCGAATCTGCAGCCGTCATCGGACTTCTGTCGGGAAGAATGCTCGGGCGCTGGAAGGCGTCGGGGTTCGACTCGTGGAGCGATTGTCGTATCGTAGAGAGCGTGTTCTTCACGAATTGGCTTCGAGTCATCTTGGTCTCGATATCAGCCATGTGGAGATCGGTGTTGAGAAGCATAATCGAGTAGCAGATGGTGTGGATAATGTCGGTCGCCTTGAAGCCATGGTTCGGGTTGCAATCGCACCACCTCTTAGAAAATGCAACCAGTATTCGATCGACTTGTTGGGTCTCGGCTCGTAAAATTAGCCGACCGCAAATGCTGCGCAGGGCGGACAGGATGCTTTGATCGGTAAAGCTGTAGAGTTCCATGTATGCCTGCAGGGTGCGCTTTCGTACAGGGCCTTCCTCGCCCATCCACGCCGCCGCCTTGTCCTTTGGAATAAAGTCTTGCAGCCCGTCGTAAATCTTCTTGGCCTTGAGCCTGTCATCTTCGGTCGGTTCGCCCACGACAAACAGCGGTTCGTCAAGGCCCTTGGCTTGCATGGTTTTGGCGGTGCTCGCTCCCTTGGAAGAATCGGTTTCATCAAGGTCTTCGACGCGCACGCTCGGGGGAGCGCTGAGGACAGATTTATAGTCCGTATCGGTAGACATACTGCCCGCGCTCACGGAGCGGTTACCATCGCTTGGCAGTCTCAAGTTTGATCGGCTGCGGCTGGTGCCTAGACTCAGCTGCTCCGTAATGCGAGGCGCCATCTTACTGGCTCGGATGGTGTCATCCTTGCTCGTGTCCTGTTGCGAAACGTGGGACGATTCAGAGTGGGTAGAGGCGGAAAGGTCCGACTTGGAGCGTCTGTTTCCGACTTTACCAGCGTGGTCATCATCGCTACCATTATCCAAGTCGAGAAAAGTCTGGTTGGCCGCGGATTTTGATTTCTTTGTTCCAGCACCCGTCTTTCTAGATGGGGAATCAAGATTATTCTCGGTGTCGCTGGGAACGCTGCGGATCTTGGCGTTCGGACTCGGCTCGTAATCGGGCGAGAACTCGCGCTTGAACTCGGATCTGGGCTCGTCGGTTTCGTCTTCGCGGGCGTCGTCAGCGGCAATATTCGTGATGTCGGCCAGCGCGCTCGGCTTCGCGGCACCAACGCCCGATCCAGCACTGCTACGGAGATAGGGGTCCAAGGCTTGACGCAGGCTGCTGACAGGGCTGGCGTCGTCGGTTCCCGAGCTCGTCTTTTTGGTTAATGTTGTCAGCGGGACATTGGGCACAGGTGGTATTTGGGAAGGCAGAGGTGGTGCGTCATCCACGACCGACTTCTTACGTCGGCGGAAGAATGACGATGTCTTTTTCTGCAGAGGCGGTACCGGCGGTGGCTGCTGCGAGTGCGAGGAAGAGGTGTCCCTGGACGGCGGTCCAGAAGTCGATTTGGACTGCTCCTTGATCAGCTTACCGCTCTGCGGTCGTGATAGTGACGACGGCGGGCGCGGCGAGTTGGGCTGTGGAGGCTGTTCGGTTGCAGCCAGCACATTCCTGGATGAATTGCCGCCGCCGAAGACACGGCGAAAGAAGCCCGGCCGCTCCTTTTGCGGCGGTTGCTGATGCGGCAGGTCCGGGTGGTGGTGGTGCGGGAACGCAGCGTGGGATGACTTGGCTCTATGCTGGTCGTCCTTCGTCTTACGATAGCCGACGCTAGGCGCAGGAGCCGGTTCGAAGTCATCGGTGCCAGGCATGGGGGGCTGCGACTGCTGCTGCTGCTGCTGCTTCTGTTGGTCCCAAGACGTGGCGGCGTGCTTTTTCTTGCTGGATATGCTCCTCAGAGAGAGGGTGCGGGAGCTGCGCTTTCGCTCAATACCAGGGGGTGGGAGATGGTCAAAAGAGGCGCCGCGAGGACCAAGATTGGATGTGCGGCGGCGAGGGCCGGCCGGAACCGTAGGCGTGGGAGCCGCACCGTAGTCTTGACTGAGGTAGTCGACGTCGTATTCAATGATCGAGGACGAAGCCAGAGGCAGCGGAGGACGCGACTGAGCCGGGGAACCGGTGGCACCAGACGCTGCTGCAGCGGCCGCGCGCTGGCGGGAGCTGGAGCCGCCGGCACTCTTGCTGCGTCGGGTCGGGTCGCGACGGGACGACGAGGACGCGGTAGCTGAGGACGGGACTGTCTCAGTGAGGAACTCGTGATATCCGTCGTGCAGGTGCTTGGGGACTCGGCGGACACGCGAGGGGCGTTGGTCGAGGCTCAGATCGTGGGAGGAGAGACTAGCGCCGCGAGCTGGGGGCGTAACGGGGGGGATATGTTTTTTCTGCTTCTGGGTCGACCGGATAGGGGTGCTCGCGAGGGCAGCCTGAAGGCTTGCGTTGGCAGCGCCGACCTGTTCTCTCTGGGTTGCCGTTACCGTCGAGGAGGAAGCGGAGGACGAGGTGTTGGGGGCACGGCGGTTGCTGGCCGCAGCCTTATCGGGGTTGTGCCCACGGGCGTTGGGGGGCGTGGATAAGTTCGAAGAGACGCTGCTGTACGACTGACCACGATCTCGATGGTGATGATATGAATTGGCCTCTGGGGGGCGTGAAAAAGACGCTGCCGGTCGAGCGCCAACAGAAGGAGAGGAGCTGCTATGTGCCCGGGGCGGCGGCGCCCCATCAAAGGCTTGGTGGTAGCGGTGGTTCTGGTGGTGGTGCTGGGGTTGTCCGGGGCTGTGATTGCTCGGCGAAGGGTCCCAGTGGCTGCGGTGATCAAACGGGCTCTGCTGTTGTTGCAGCTGCTGCTGATGCTGCTGATCAAAGGAGAATTGATCCAACGACAACAACATATTCGTGACGAGAGAGTCGCGGGTCACATCGCGCGGCGACAGGGACAAGTCGTGAGAATCGCGCTGTTGAGGCGTCTGCGGCATAATCATTGACGAGGAGCCGCTGCTATCCCCGCGACGCCGCCGGTGCTGGTGGTAACGGTAGTGGTCTGATGCCATGACTGTCACCTTTCACCTTTTTCAGCTCTTTTGCTTCTCGTTTCCTCTCTCTCTCTCTCTCTCCGTCGCTCTTTCTGCACCACTGTTTGGACCACTGTAACTTTTTTTTCTTTTTCCTCGTCCTGTCTCCTTGCTGGCTGCAGATGGGCTGGGCTGGGCTGGCTGGGGCCCTTGCTGTGGCCTGTCAGGGTCAAAGGGGGGACTTTTGTGGAGGAAGGGGGTGGAGAGGATGCGCGCAAGTCCCCTTGTGATTTTCTAATGAGGAACCATTGCGCGGGCTCCCAGGCCCGAGAAGCGATTTTGACGTAGAAATTCTCCAACAAATCCTCCGTAATAAATTTGTTGGTGAGAAAGAGGGGAAATGTCGGGGGTAAAATATGACAGAGAAAGCTGCTAGTGTCAGGCGCTGTTTCAATTGTTGGTGGTTCACGCCTCGTTTTTTTGGTCGTCGCTAACCTTCCAAGGTGGTTAGTTAGATAGCTGGTGGTCACCTAGCTACTGGGTAGCTAAGCTGGGAGTCGATAGATCAAGTGGTCTCTTGTCTCGGTGATGGCGGGGGTCTAGCTGTGAGTCGCGGGCGTTTGCGGCGCAGAAGAAGAAAAAGAAGAATAGATTAAAGAAAAAGGCAAAGAGCAAAGACCAAGACGAGATTCAATGGGCGCAGAAATGCAGGCTCTTGTCGCGTGTCGCTTCGTCAGCTCGTGCGTAGTAGTAGCAGGTAGTAGGTAGGTAAGTAAGTAGGACGACAAGCGACAGACAACGGACGAGAGACTGGGAAAAAGGAAAAGGAAAAAAGTCCCAAAGGCTTTCAAGTTCCACGGCCCATCGAGTGTCAATCAAGTCCGTCCTCTTGCGCGGGCGCCGCGTGTGTTGAAGGAGGAAAGAAAAAAGCAATTCTCACGGCACTTGACACTGGCCGTGGCAGTTCTGACTTGTCTTGGTCCTTCGCCTCCTTCTTCACGCGCAAAAAATTAAAACTAAAACAAATGAGCATTAAAATGGGATCGGATGCGGGACGCACAGGACAAGCCCACCACCAAAGTTGCGCATCTCCCTTCCTCTCGACCAGTAATAAGCATCATCCTCTCCCTCCCTTTTTTTTCTCTACTTGGGATACGGAACGCCTGGGAAACAGAAACAAGGGTCAAAACACGAATCCTCGGCGACATCAACCCCCCCCCCCCCTTCTTCGGCACATGAGCCTTGCCTCAGAAATCTGTGCGAATATATGTAACACGCCACCGGTACGCGCGAGGTGAGCTGACGGGAACGCTGTTCTACAGTTGGTTAAGCGCCAGGGCGAGGAGGAACAGAAGAGCCAAAAGGCGCAAGGAGCTATTACTGTAACGAGCTAAAGCAACTAATGCAGGGCCAGAACTTGGGCTCTTTGTTGGGCACGAAAGACAGTGAGGTTTTCATGCTACGAACCGAGCTGCAGCTCAGCCGCTGCGCCATGTGTTGTCAAATTCATGCGGATGCAGTTGGCTTCGTACCTCCGCTCAGATAAACCCCCTTTGCTCCCTTCAAAAAGTGAGGTTCCATCATCAGAGTCAATTGCCACAGTAACGTATCATCCATCAAGTCGCCCATCTTGCCCCGACGAGCAGTCTGCATCTGCATCCTTCTGTCATCCCAACGGGCTACATCGTAATAAAAAAAGTCCTTCTTCCGAGACTGACTAGGTAGGGGATCCTTGTTGATCCCAAGCACTGGGCCCGGCTCATGCCAGTCGGCCAAGCACCGATTTCACAGGTTGCTCCTTGTTGTGCGTTGCGTTTTCCATCAAGATTGCGCGCCGTGCGCACGGAGCGTCAGAGAACTTGAAAAGTATGAGCCCCTTGCATGCCGCTTGGGACTATTGGATTTCGCCCGCTCCCCCATCTATGTAGGCCGCCACCGTCTGATGTATACAAGTCGCCAAGTTTCCAGAAACGACCCCCCGCAATCACGACTCGCATGGGCAAGTCATGAGAAAGAAAAAAAACTTATCGTCAACAGGAGAATATAGCCATTGCGTCTCTGCGCCTTTCCACTTACATACTAACTAAAAAGGGGCCGGGATGAAAAGATCCAGCTCAGATTCCCATGGCAAGGATTATGCTTTGCGGCCGCAACTTTGTCAGGGGTCCCGCATGCATGTCGTGAACCTTGTCGCCGCCTCTTTTTTTTTTTTTACTCCTCGACGGAGTCATTTTCCCGCCCCGCTAATCTGGACATTCAAGACATTCGCAAAGCTCGCTCTCAAAATACCAAGTTCTCGGCGTCCGTGCCTCGTCTACTATCCTCCGCCCGCGGTACAGTGCATCGATTGGCACCGGACGGATGACCATCGAGTTATACCCCAGAACTTGACATTGGCCAAGGCAAATTGCATTCGGATGTTTTTATCCCATATTAAAGTCCACGTGGTGTAACCCAGACCCGTTGCTGATATTCACACCGTTGGTAATAATACCGGCTGCTAAAGGTCCAGGTTGGCCGAGGAATCAATCCAACGGCGTTGCACATGAATTACTCAACAGCTACAACTTGCGAGTTCGATAAGGTGCATCAAATCAACAGTCCGGTCACGATTGAAGCGGATCAGATCGTTTAGAGTTTAATTTGTGCTTAGGCAACAACGTCCAATCTCGATATCTATATCTCTGTGCCCAGCCCGATACATCTAACGTCATAATTTGAATAGCCAACAAGCTGCAGACTTGTAACAATTCCCGTAGCTAAATAGTGGCGGTGCGTGCCATGGTTGCTTCAACCCCGGTCACCGCCGTCGTGTCATGCGGGCTACGCCCATTTCTGTAGCTCCAAAGCCGGCAAACGTCCTTGACCTTGTATTCATGCACCAACTGCTTCTTGTTAGGAGCCCCATGCACTTCCACGGGTGTCGTAATGTCGCCGCTTCCGAATCCCATAGTCCCCATGTACGTAATGTCGAAAGCTTCGCGCGTGTTGTCCATGGCGGCGCCTTCCTTACCGACTTTGATCGTCTCCTCCATGAATTCGTTTTCTTCCGCCGCGCCGATAAACTCTCCGGTCTCCGCATCCCTTTGCAGCGGAAACATACCATCCATATAATGCTGGTTAAATTGATGGCCACCTCGTCTAGTAGACCGACTGAAGAGACGTCCCATGAATCTCGGCAGTTGCGGCGAGCCCATCCTATTTGTCGCAAAGTGCAAAACACCCCACATAGCAACAAAGTCTGTGGTGTGCGCGAAATGCTCGATGTATCCGATGGCACGGTCCTGTGCCGCATTCCAGCTCCGAGATGACGTAGACATGCTCGAGGACTGTGTGACGAGCGACGGGTACTTGCCGTCGCCGGTATCTATCAAGGCATCAACGTGCATACCGGAGAAGCTGGTTTCCGTTACCAATGTCGCGAGAGCCTCCCGAGGCTTCTTGATCGTCAGGGCCTGCGACTCGGCATGGCGATGCGGATTATTGAAATGGTTCGCGGCGTTGCCAAACGTGTACACTTCCAGCTTGGACAAGAGATCTTGAGGCATCTCTTGGAGAAGCCAGTCCAGCACTAGACCACCCTCGATTCCACCTTGCGAATGTAGAATGAAGATGACCTTGGTCTTCGACGGGTCGTAAAGTACATCTCGAATAATTTTGTAGCAAACGCGAACGTCGTTGGTGGCATAGGAAAAGTTGCGTTGGACGAGGCACTCGATAACGTCGAATATTATTCCAGAGGTGCGGTTATGGACGCCAAGGATCGGTCGACCGAAGGTAATGGCAAGTCGGTTCAGGTTATTCTTCATCCAATGCTCCCTAGAGGACGTCACTTGTTAGCAAACGACCAGTCTTGAGAGCAGCCGTACATTTACATACCCGGCAGCAACGCCATTCAGGAAAATCCATTGCTCATGCTCATGCTCTGGCAGTGCCTTGGCATACTTCTCGTCTGAGTGAAATGTGATACCTTTACCATTCAAAAGAAGGCAGAGGAGCCAATTGAGGAACAGGCAGCCGCCAGCAAAGAGCGCGCCGACCCAGACTGGAAATAGAACAGCGACAAACAGACCAAGAATGAAGATGAGCTGGAGGAGGATCAGAACGGAGTGAACGGCGAGGCACCACAGGTTGGCCCAGCTGGGGTAGAGCTCGTCCAGGTCGCCCGAGTCGGCGGGGGTGAGAGGTAGGACTACCCACGGCAGCGCCCAGCAGTACACAAAAAAATAGTAGACATCTTTGAGGAACAAGCGCCAAGGGAAATCGGTGTAGCTGTAGTTGATGACACCTGTGCCGCCAACCTGCGATCGGTAGAAATCCGTCGCGGCGTTCATGGCGGGCGTTTGTTTGGCGTCAGTCGCGATCTAGGTAAGATCTCGGTAGGGTCAAAGGAGAGTATGTAGGAAGAAGAGAATAGGTTGAAAGCGACGGAGGCTGAGAAGGGGGAAACTAGGATCCCACGACACGGCTTGGCGTTACCAGTCAATTACCTTGCTGCTGTCACGGACAGTTTCGATCAAGGCAGCTTCGGGCCGTAGCGTAGGTACCTCAAACAAACAAGAGCTCCTGCCTGGCCCAACGGCCACGACGAATGATCAGCCATCAGCGGGCTGGCTCTGCTTGTCGATGCTAATAATGGCAATATCTCTCGGCCGATCTCTTGTTAACTGGTTACGAGCAGCGGCTGATCAGCACGCAAGGCTGAGTCTGGTCACGCGGGGTGCAGCGCCCGCAAACCAGCGCCGTCCATCTGACCAACGAGACAGTCTCCCACGCGCCACCCTTTTGTGGTTACTTGGAAAAGCTAGGCTCGAGTGTTGTTAATTAGGATTGCCGCTGTTTGGGTAGTACAGCATGGTCTTGTGCATGCATGCACGCAATGTACCTCTTTTAGTGTGGTGTGATGTGATGTGGTGGTGTGGTGGTGTGGTGGTGATGATGGGTGATGGGTGCGTGTCAGGCACAAGGCACACTCAACTTGCAGACAGTCCGGGGGCTACATCATTATGAGAAATCCTTGCACATTATTAGTTCCAAGTTCCCCTACCCTGCATTCAACTTTCTTTCTTGTCACAATTACAGTACAGGTTTACCCTCAGGCCCTCGTGCAGCCCGCCGCATATCCGTGACCCCTCACACTATCGTGGTCTATCCAAGGCCTGGACCTTTTTAAACGGAGTCATCTCTGCGTGACCATTGCCCCAGATTTTTTTCGCCTTCTTCCACCAACTAACGTTAGAAACCCAGTGGAACCTGCAACCGCCCGAGTTCAGATCTCACGATCTTCTTTTAAACATCCGAAATCCCCCACACAGCCGTTACGCATGCATGACGCTTACCCACCTAGGGAACATTGTCTCTGAAGCTGTCCAGGGTCGCCAATAGTCTATCAAGGTTTACGGAAATTTCGGCCGTCGTTTTAGATGTCGTTCCGCCGCACGCGGCAGACTGTTTCCGCGCAACGCCTCCCGGCTACCAGATCGTGGCCTCCGATGCGGGCCCGAACGCGGCATAGTCATTTTCGGGCCGACTTAGACGATTCGAACACATCAAAGCGACCCGCGCTCTCTGTCTGTCTGAGGCGCACGATTCTTGACTTCACAGGAGCATGGGAAATTATTGTTCTGAAAGTTTCAATTTCTATCTCATGAATTGAGTCCTCGAGCGGGACTATGGAAAAAGGGAAAACGCCAAGCTGCCGAATCTATGCAATATCTAATCTGGTTGAGCCCAGAGCTGTGTGCTCGTAATTCCACTAGACTTCTCCGCGTCCACTGTAATGCGGTACAGTAGACAACGGCTGGTGCAAAGTCTCATGGTCGTTGAAAAAAGAGGTGGTATCATATCCAAAGAGAACTCCATGGATCATCCTCGTAAAAAAGAGAAATAAAAAGCCAATATTTAATCAACAGACTTGTGCATAGAGCCAGTGACATAGTTGGACTCCAGAGCATCAATGGTGGCAACGTCCTCGGGGGCAAGCTTGAAGTCAAACGACTCAAAGTTGCTCTTGATGCGGTGGGCGGTCAGGGACTTGGGCAGGACAACGTTGCCGCGGGCGGCATTCCAGTTGAGTAGGATCTGAGCAGGAGTCTTGCTGTACTTCTCGGCGATCTTGCCGATGGTGGGGTCCTCGAGCTTGTTGCCGCGGGCCAGGGGAGAGTAGGCCTCGATCTTAATGCCGTGCTTGTCGCAGAGGTCGACGAGAGCCTGGCGCTGGCAGAAGGGGTGGACCTCGACCTGGTTGACGGCCGGGACGACGGTTGCGTTCTCAATGAGGTTCTCAATGTGGGCGGCGCCAAAGTTGGAGACGCCGATGGACTTGACCTTGCCCAGGCGCTGAGCGGTCTCGAGGGCGCGCCACGACTCGAGGCGCTTCTCCTCGTCGTCGGCGGGCGAGTGGATCAGGTAGAGATCCAGGTAGTCGAGGCCAAACTTGTCGAGCGACGAGCAGAGGGCGTTGAAGGTGGCCTCATAGCCGTGGTCAGCATCCCAAAGTTTGGAACAGATGAAAACATCCTCGCGGGGAGTGCCCGTCTTCTGGAGCCAGCGGCGGATGGCACGGCCGCAGGCCTCCTCGTTGGCGTAGCGCGCAGCCGAGTCAATGTGGCGGTAGCCGGCGTCGAGGGCGGCCGTGACGGCGTCCTCGGTCTCCTGGCCGTTGGGGGCCTTGTAGACGCCGAGGGCGACGGTGGGGATGTAGTTGCCGTCGTTGAGCTGGATGGAGTGGACAGATGAGACGGAGCTAGAGTGCGAGCGGCTGCCCTGGACCTTCTTGACGATCATGGGGCGCTCGGGGGAGACTTCAGGGGTGATAGCGACGGGAGCCATTGTGAAAGAAGTGTGGAGGAGTGTAGTATTGAGACTTGGGTGATGGGAGAGAAGAGAAAGACGGTGAGTCTGTTAAGAAGTGGGAGGATAGAGAAGATGTAAGTGGATAGGCCAGTCAATGGTTGATGAGAATGAGGGATCGATCGAGAGTGGATTTGAGGAGAAGGGCAACCGTCTTATATAGATGGGAGAAATGAGTGGTATCGAAGAGTCGGGTTTCAAATGCTATCTGTTTGTCGACAAAAGTACAGATGCCAGCCTCAGCATCGATACCATGTACATGTTATCGGTCCCGCCATTTACACAGGCGTCATTACGGAGCATCAACTGCGGAGCCTGATACCACAGTAGCAGTACGTTGGCCCGTCGAAATACAGACAAGCTCGAGTATGAAAAACGAAGAGATTTTTATTTTTATTTTTTATATTTTTACTGGGGCAGGGTACGCCGGTGGAACCAAGAAAAGCAGTTGTAAAGAGGTTTTGGCGATAACGCAACTGCGGCATTTTATCTTTCAGGCTCCAGTATTTTTTGTCCATTCTTGGGATGCAGGGGGGGGGGGGGTGGCATGGAGTGAAAATACCTGGCGGCGTGACTGCGGTGGTGAGCCACCGTACCCGACGGCCGGGACTGGAGCCGGAACGGACGACGGACGGGGGGGGGTGTCCATGACGTCGGGGTGGAGCCGCCGACAGGTACCATGTGGCAGCGCGGCGCTGTGACTGGTGACGAGGGTTCCGGCACGATCCCAATGAGATCCATATCTGATCCACAAGTTATGTCCAGGGAGGGGGCGGAGGGTAAAGGTTGCCGAGGAGGAAGAAGCGTCAGAATTTTTAACTGTGGTCTTGTCGGGTAGTGGGTGTTTGTAGGTGCAGGACGCCACCATAATGGACGGCGCACTGCGAGGCACATGCAAATGCAGGTCGCGTCTGCCTAATAACGTGTACCTCCGAGCGAGAGTTGTCTAGACGGTGGGCTCAGAGTTTTAAACCGAGTGGACCGGGTCCGTAGGCTACGACGAGCGGTACTTGGATACATACCTACCCGCCTGTGCAGGCAATGTATCTTTTCGCTTGTATGTCTCTGCTATACGAATAATTGCGCGTCGTAATCTCAGGAGTTGTTTTCGTTATTATCCACGCACTGCATCCCCAGTTTACAGGACATTCTGAGCCGATAGGACTGTCTGCCGCCAATCACAAAACAGAGGGCTTGTTTCAAGACGTCTGTTGGCTCCGTCGATCTTGTAACTTCACTCTCACTGTAACCAGATAACGCCAGTGTAGTTATGCACCACAGCACCTACCTACGCCGCTATTTCGACAATGCAGTTGCAATGATTAAACTCTGTCGGTGCCACCGTGCCGATAAAAGGTACCTCGGGCCTGTAACTCTGTCGTCCAGGGTCTTTCAGCGGTCTGTTCGCGATTCTGCCAGCGACTTTGTTCAGCTACAGCGCTGCATGCACTGCAAGCCCCCCTGCAAGCCCCCTCGGGCGACTTATTAATCTATCTTGGTCCCCTGGAATCTCAGCCTGACCTCGTCAAGCCACAGTTTTATTAAGCCACCATTAAAAACTCTGACCCAACAGCATTTGTACCGTCTAGTCAAGTTGTAGCCAACAAACAGCAAACGCCGTCTCTTCTCACCATCCCGCATCCCATCACAGTCCGCTCCTCGCCCAGGCCGGCACTATCTTCCTGGTCCGCGCTCATCTATTACGCTGTTGCACGCCTTCTCCGAATATCTCCTTTTTGCCATCCTACGCTCCGCGGCTGCAGATAATCACGCTCATGACGCATTGGTATCCACGTAGCCAATCTCCCTCGCAGGGCTCGACACGCAACGCAGCACGGCAATGCGCCATCAATCCGTTTGGGCCCCGTCTGTTCCATCAGGACGTTTCGCCTAGGCCATATCCGTTTCGAAGAGAGCAACCGCCGCGGACGCAAGTCTGCCTCGCTGTGGACTCAGCCTGCCACCGCACGACGCAGCCTCCTGCTGCGCTCCCGGCACAAGCTTCAAGCTGGCCTCTCAATGCCAATGCCTCGCTGGCACCTTGCTGTCAAAACGCCAAGACGCCATGATCCACCGCCTCTCCCGCCGCTTCACTGCGGTTTTTCATTAGCTTCACGACGGATGGCCATTCTGGCAGGGCTGCCCTTTCTCCCGCTATGACACCGCACTGGAGCATAAACTGGAGCCTCAAGACACGAGAGATGGATACCGCTACGGATGCCGTGACGTCAACTCGTTCACTGCAGATGCACCGCGGGCCGGAAGGCCAAATAATCCCTCCATAGCGACGAAAGAGCACTCGCTGCATTGCCGTACGACGAAGGATTGCGCCGCCTCTCGCTGGCCCCTCCATTATGCCCGCGCACATTATTGACTATACCTGCCGTGGCCTCGCGGTGATGCCAAACCAACCAACCACTACTAACACGGAGCTCGTCCAAGCACCACCGATGTTGACTCGCACGGGAATGCAAAGCCAAACTTTGACCATCGGCTCGAGTGGTACAAGATCGCTGCGCTTCCATACCACCACCCCTGTTGCATGTAGCTCCCGGCAGTATCGGCTGTCACACAGCATACTGCAGTCTGCACTCTGCTGTGCAGCACCACCACAGCGCCAACAACCGGGGAAGCAGGACGTCGCAGGTTACACAGCACAGGGTTGCCGATGCAATGCGCCAATACGAAGCAGAAACAACCACAGCTGCCCAAACACCACATCTCTTCGCCAATCACGCTGCCCTGCCTCTCGAAGCAACCTGGCTTAACGATGGCGCGTAGGCAGTCCATCTTCATTTTGTTGATATGCACTCCATCTGCATTTGATGGCGATCACTTACCGTGACATTCTGGCGCCATACCACTGTTCCGTCTTTTCCTCGTCTTAGCCCTCCATCAGTTCACACTTTGTCTGCTCTTATCAATACAGCTGACTAGGATGCTATCAACAGCATCCACATAGCTAAACCAACGGAGCCACGTCTCATACCAACTACGCCAGATGGAGCCAAGTACATGATACATTTTCATGAGCTGCATCTAGTTCGCTGTAAATGTTACATTCTTGGGCTTCATGTGGAGCACCTATCTCGGCCTTTTTCTTATTTGGAGTCGGTTTGCTCAACCATCAGTCTGGAGAGTTCGCATCGGCGATGGGCCTGGCCTTGTGTTGACGAACGCTGGCTCAGTAAAGTTCATATGTGCCATCTAGCGAAAAATGCACTCGGGGCGCCGCCGTGTAACGCTGGCTTGGTCAAAAGATGGCTTGCTCTCCCTGCTTTACTCCTTACATCTCACTGTCTTGTACGACACAACGCCACAAGAACCCTGATCGTCAAAACACAAGGCGTGGTCCCGGCAAGAATACAGAAAGGTCTATTTCGGGGAACGCATGACCCTACCACATCCCGCAGCAAAACGTCTCGGGTAGCGGGAGATCCAACGTCGTCTGACCTGGCCAGCTGTTATCGTGACTTTCAACGATTAAACTGGGCCTCCACGATCTTGGGGAGAGATGGCTGCAACGGTATCGGCATAAACCCCATGCATCCTGACCCAGATATTTGCACGATGGCTGCTGGATGACTCGAAGTCTTCCGGAAACAGACGGGTACGAGAAAGGGCTTGCCGCCGGTGGTAGAATCAAGGATATCGTGAACTGCAGGTAAGTGACTTGGTCACATTACTTTGCGGTCTCCATCTGTCCCCCGCTGCCAGTTCCTCAGACTCAGGAACTGTTCCCCCTCCCCCGTAAATATCCCAACATGGCAGGCGCTCCAGTTTCGTGTAAAGAACACGTTTGTACGTGCTGGTAAACGACACGATGAAGCGAACTTGGAAAGGTTCTTTCAAATGCGCCCTCTGCTGCACCCTGTCAATAGGAAGGCAGTTTCCGAATTCCGGGAATTTTACTCCGTGCCAGGTGGCCACCGCCTCGGCTGCAAGCTATGACGGCCAGTAGCCGACAAACGCCACCTTACCTTTCTTCAGCAGACTGCATCAATATGCCCGACGTGGGATGTCCGCCCAAGATTCTAGACTCATTACAGCCCAATGCATTTCGGAATTTTCTACGCTTAGTTCCTTGCTGCAACTGTTACGGCTCTGCGCTTCGACCTGACCTGCATGTCAAGACGTCTTTCTATCTGACCATTTCAGACCGACGCGACAGGGCTCTTATGCCGGCAGATACGACGTACGTCACACCCTGCACGAGGCGAGAAAGGGAAAATCATGGGAAAAGTCCCCTGTTTACCCCTCCCTCCTACACATACAATCCAAGTACCCAGTCGCTTACCACGGTTTTCACGACGCAATGCCCCCTTTCCCATCCGACGCTATTGCGCGAGGCATGAGACACCACCGCTTGTGGGTGGAGCAAGGCATCACCGTATACCTATCCCTGCAACAAGGCAGCTGAAGGGGACTTTGTGCAGATGGCCCAGCACAGCCTGCATGTGGTGCAATTTTGAAAGAAACGGGAAAATGTCCGATATGAAAAAAACAAAGAACGAGAGAGAGACCGACAAAGACCCACACAGGTATACGTTTCCTGGAAGCATGTCTATCATCTGGAACAGTCGCAGTCTTCTTTTGCTCTGCAGCCACATAAGCAGCCAAGGACTCAGGCCATCGGCTGTCGGTGGGCAATGGATACTCGCATCCCGCCATGTTCGTTACTCGAGAAATGATAGATCCTAAAAACGCCAAACACGTGGCGAAAGACTGCATATTCTTGACGGCTTTTCTTCGGATGGTTTCGGATTTTCGAAAAGAAAACAAATGAAGAGGACTGATATCCAATAGTTCGATGTTCAACATTGCTCCACGTCCAGCACAACATGGGTGGATGAAACGGTCGGCAACCACCAACAAGCGGTGTCTGCAAAGAGGGCTGGTCAGAAAGGTGGCTGAAATGTGTGGTGATCCCCTCTTTTGCTCTTTTTGCTCAAATGCAATGTCAAGAACGTTTTTTTCCCTTGCTCGGGAAGAACCCCCCGGGCTCAGACAACAAAGGCCCTGCATACCCTGGCTGCCTGCCCTAGTCACGGCAGTACATGGTGGCTTGGGGAACAAGGTCGGAACTACGGGTCGGGAAAATGCAGCCATCTTGAGTCCTGACTAACACGGATTCTTGCGCACTTACGCGGGCGAGTCATCTCGGATGGTGATCGACGGTTTTCTTTCGCCACCCCTCTCCACAACAAAGTAACGGAAAATGTTTCGCAACCCGAGAAAAAAAATGCGTGATGAAAAATGCGTGATGAAAAATGCGTTTGGGTGGCGATACATGTTTCCAACCTTGACCGATATGAAAAATTGGGCTTGAATAAACTTGTTGAAACGGAAACGTCGAGAGTGAGTTTGGGATGAACGCATGGACTAGAAACCCACAAGACCAGCAAAGGGCTCGCTTCACTTTGAATTGGCTCTTTTTGCGCTGTTTTTTTACTGTTTCACGTGCATATACGTAAATCAAAGGCTGTCTGCATGCGGTCAGTTTTGTTTTTCTGTCCCGATGCCTGTTAACAGCCTGCCGGTACCGATACCCTCGCGAACCGGCGGTGTAAAGATGATGCTAGAAACGACACCCATGACACTAAATTTGTAGGTTTTCGGCAGTTTGATTTTCACGTAGCAGAATTCACGGCAGAATACATTTACAAGGATGATGAGAACTGATTAAATGAGGTTTGTATTGTAAAGCAAAAGGGTACTCATACTAAGACGATGAGCGCCGTTATCCCAACCAAAATGACAGTCTAAATCTATACCATGAAATACAAAGTACTATGGTATCACAATACCAAAACAAAGAAGAAGGAAGAGAAGGAAACCCAAAAACGCCCGACTCAAGTAAAATGCTTTTTTGCCCCGCGAGAGGCGCCGTGTGTCTATTGTGGAAGGGCATTCAGATGCAATCGAGAAGGAAAACAACGAAAAATAGTCGTTTATTATGTTCAAACAAACTGCGGCAGAATCGAGTCTCCGTGTCGCTGGCCCGACGTCGCGGCGTGCGGGCAGCATCGCGACGATAACGAAGACGAGAGGGTGGCGGCGGCGAGGTCCGTGGCGCCCACGACGACAGCCTCGGCGACGGAGCAGGCGATGGACGCGGCCGCCGTGATGCCGCGAACGACGGCGGCGACGTTGTCTTCCTGGGGCCCGCTCCCGTGGCAGCAGTGGCAGTGGCAGGCGGCAGGCGCCGTTGCCGCTGCGGAGTACTGCGGCGGCGAGGGCGGCGCCGAGAGGCAGTGCTGCTCCTCGTAGGCGGGCGGCGGCGTGGCGATGGCGACGTACGCCGGCGCGGGGCTGGGCGGCGCGTCGGACGAGGCGACGGACGAGGCGACGGACGCGGCGTAGTGGTAGCTGGCGGTGGCCATGCGCTCCGATAGCTCGCTCCGGAGGCGCGCGACGCGCTCGGCGTCCTCGGCGGCCCAGCGCCGGCTGATCAGCGCCGGCGCGTCGAGCACCCACTGGCGGATGTCCGTGGAGAGCGCGCGGAACCCGGGAGCGTTGGCGGACGCGAACTTGCACATCTGCGAGTGCGTGGCCTCGACGCCGTAGTAGGTGACGCCGGGCAACTGCGGGCTGGCCGAGTTGGCGTCGACGACGAGCGCCTTGGTGCCCTTGAGGTCGGTCTTGTGGTTCTCATGGACCATGTGGATGCGGAAGCGCTGGTAGACGTCGAGGAAGTGGCTGTTGATGTTGGCGAGCGTCTCGTTGTCCTTGCGGAGGGTGCGCAGCAGCACGGGCTCCGAGTCGAACAGTCGGCGCGGCAGGACGGCGTCGGACATGGCCTGCAGGGCGCGCCCCCAGGTGGCGGCGCCGGAGCCGGTGTGCGGCGTGCCGAGGAAGGCGAGGCCGTAGGTGGAGACGAAGACGGCGCGGTAGTCGTCGTGGTGGGCGGCGCGCAGGTCGGCGGCGTAGAGCAGCGCGCGCTTGACGAGCACGCCGCCGAGGCTGTGGGCGACCCAGAGGAGCGGGTTGCGCGCGCGGCCCTCGCCGCGGCGGAAGAGCGCGAGGCTGGTCACGAGTGTCTGCGCGTGCTGGTGGATGAAGTTGTCCGAGGCGCTGCGGTCGTTTTGTCGCGAGTAGACGTCGGCGTTGTAGCCGTACACGAGCACGTTGGCGGGAACCCCGCGCAGCGCCTCCGGCAGCAGGTCGGTCGGCCAGAAGGTGCCGTCGGCGGCGGTCCAGGTCGCGTCGGGGCGGCCGTTGAGGCCGTGTACGAGGACGATGTCGACCTCGGCGTCCGGGTGCGTGTATACGGCGGTGGTCTCGTAGCGGGAGATATTGTCGCGGTTGGTATTGCCCTGCTTGACGTTCCTTCTTAGTGGGCTGTTGTGCTTCGGAGCAAGGCCGAGGCCGGATATCGCCGCGGAGGGGGCCGGAAGGGGCTGGAATGGGCCGGAGGGGACGCGGAACTTACCATGGTGTGTGACTTGAAGGTGGGGGAGGCTTTGGAGGTGGAAGCGTCGGAAGCAGCCGCCATGATTATCTGATTATTTTGTACAAAGGAAAAAGTGATTATTGGACAGGGTGAATCAATCACTTGGTGATGGCGTCGGAAGAAATACGTGTGTCGTTAGCTGCAAGAGTGGACGGCTAGTTATATGATCTTGATTGTCGATATGGAGCTTGAGTTGATTCAAGATTGATTTCGACGATTGAATGCTGTGAGATGATAAAGAATTGAGAGAGAAGCTGGGGCAGCACGACATCTTTATAACATTGAAATCACGGCTATCGGCCTCTCACCGTACGGACTTTTCACAATTTGCCTGTCCTGCACGGCCGATAGTCTCGGTGTGCGACAAGCGCAGTCACTCCGTTCGCACACCGTCAGTAACGTTGTGAAGAAGGCCCTTTTGACTCATGGCGCGATCTGGTTCATCGTAGCTTAAAAGATCTTAGGGCGAGCGAGAGCCAGACGTGCAGTGGCGGCAGATGGAGACAAGGACAGGCACGGAGAGGCACCGAAGGAAAGGAGGGGCGAGTTCGACGACATCCGGACGCTTGCAAGCACGGTATCCGGCGCTAACTCGTGAACAGGACGGAAAACCTACAGTAGATCAACTCTAACACGGGAGCGCGCCGCAGGGGCACTAGACCAGATGACACATAGGTTGCCTGAGGAAGAGCTGGTGCGTGCTTCATCGGGGCGGAGAAAGAGGCAAGGCCATTGGTCTGATGCCTGGGAGTGATGTCCATCGAAAACTCCGCAGAGGGACTGGCCATCGCCCGCAGGCAGCTCGGTGGCGCAGCAGCTCATCGCTCGCTTAGTCGAACCAATAACATATTGGTTGCAGCTTGATGTGAGTGCAGAGACTGCCGGCTGTCGCTGTCATCTAGCATGTGCAGGCTACCGATAACCGAGGGCCTGAGACGAGTAAGGTAGGTTTGCAGCAGGCGATAAGGTGAGGCCGTGAGAGATTTGTTGGTTGTGTCTGGAGGAGAAACACAAAGCAGCTGAAGTCGCGCTGTTGGGTTGTTGCAAAATGACACAGAACCACTGCTTGAGATGCTAAATGGACTCATACAAGAACAATGCCTGACAAACAGCTTGTATTTACATACTTTTGTAGATAGGCATCATTAGAAACAGTCAAGACACATATCCGGTCACGCCGCATCTTGCTGAACAACCTTTGGCGTTGTACGCCTCGTTCTCAAGACCTGCCGAGGTTCACAAGGCCTCATAGAGATGCACTTCAGTCGTGAAGACACCATACTAGAACTAGAAGAAAAAAACGACTCCACTCGTGACCAGGAGAATCGAGTGTGCCTGGGTAGGTAGAAGCTGGCGATGAGTCTTGTCCTAGCGTCATTGTCCGCACGCAAGTTGCCGCAAGCTAAACTTTAAATCCTGACGGTGAGGCGATGACGCCGTAAACTCGGACGTCCCTGCGCCCTTGTTCTTAACAGTGAGTGAAAGTCGACGGTGGATATGGCTATTGAAAGTAGTATTCGGTGTTGTCGCGTGCACCATTGCCCAGTATGTGTAGCGCCCGCCAGGATCGCCACACGGACAGCGTCCGTTGCTAAGTATAATCTCCGGTTCGGATCCGACTTCACATGATGACGTCCTCATACTCTGTAAACGGCACAGCTTCGGTGTGGATTTCGGAGCAAAAGATGGCGTGGCTCTCGGCGTGAACAAGTTCCTCGCACCGAGAATCCTAATGACGTGGATAAGCTCTCGGCTTAATTGACGTTCACCGTTGCATTCAGCCGTTGCGGCGCCACAAAAGCCCTTTCATCGTAACAATACTTTTGTTTTTTTCCATCTCTTCGGTTTTTCCCTTTATCTTCCTTTCTCCCTCTCTTGCAAGAGAACGCTTTCCCTCCCCCGGTTCACTCCCGCGGCGCCAACATGACGACGTACTCGCGCGTGCTCTGCCCGAGCTGCACCACGTCCTTGTCGCGGAGCTCCAGGTAGCGGCTGTCCTGGATGCGCCCTCCGTTGAGCACCGTCCCGTGCGCGCTCTCCAGGTCGATCAGGTACGGGCGGACACGCCCCGTGCGGTCGCCGAACTCGTCGCGCCGCTCCGAGTACCGGAACTGGATGACCGCGTGCTGCCCGCTCACGCTCGGGTGCGCCGCCTCCAGGTCGACCACGGTGGCCTCGCGGCCGATCAGCCAGCAGCTGCGCGCGCCCAGGTCGACCGTGTCCACCACGTCGGCGCCCTTGAACACGTACAGCCGCCACTGGTCGCGCGGCGGCGGGCGGCGCGCCTCGGCCGGCTCGTGGTACTTGAGCGCCACCGTCGAGCCGTCGGCCTGCGTCACCGCGTTGGACGCCGCAGCAAGGAGACCCGTGTTGCCAAAGTTGGCCTTTTCCTTGGGCTTGGCGGGCTCCTCGCCCTGGGTCACGGCAAACGACGCCTCCTGCGAGGGCAGGGGACCGCCGCGCCGGACGGGGCTGCCTCTGCTCTTCTCCTTGGGCTTGTCGCGGTCGCGGTCGGCGTCCCGTCGACGACGAGACGAGTGCTTCCCGCTGTCATCGCCATCATGCTCGGTGCGTCGCGAGCGCCTATCTCGGTCGCGGCTCCTTTCGCGTTGTCGACTGCTGTTGTCGCGTTGTCGACTGCTGTGGTGATCGCGACCTGACCTGCTGGCGGAATCTGGCGACTTCGATCTGCGCCGCTCTCGTGATCTACGGCGACGTCTATCGCGATCGTCATCGCCACCCGGTGACCTCCGCCGTGACGACCGGTGTTCTCTTTCATCGCGTCTTCTGTCACTGTCGTCATTGTCGCGCCGCCTTCGTCTATCGCCGTCCCCGTTCTCGTCGCGCCCCATGGCTCGTGTGGAAGCTGTGGCGTGCCCCCTAAGCTCCCTTTGCAGCCGCTCTCGACAAGACTCTACTTCGCATGGAGCGGGGTTTTCCTCGGCCACGTAAACGTAAAGCTAGGCAAATTGTTGTGTGTTGAAATGGTGCAGGTGTTGCGTGGAAGCATAAACTAAAATTTAACTCGGTGGAGTGGCGCTGGAAACGTGCGTGGTCGCTAGTTATGCGCGCCCCCATTCCGCACATTCGATTAAGTCTAAGTTGACAGGAACCCGTCTTAACTACATGTGAATGGCTTCGTAAGGTTATGCTTTTGATGAGCAAAACTCGCATTGTCAGAGTAGTCGCACATTGGGGATGAAGCATGTGTGCATGGCCAGAGCGGAAATGATCGGCTATCACTAAGTACAACGGATGGGTTGCGGGCAACAGCATCACCTTTATAATTGAAGCAACGGCAGATTAACTGATTCAGATACTATACAACTTCTGAATAAGTCAGTTTTGAATTGTCCGCATGTGCTATTCAGAGTTGAAAGCTAAGCTAGAGTGGTGGCAACAACTGCTGGCGAAGCCGTCGCAAGGTCCAGTTCGGATGGTTCAAATCTCGCATTACTTGAAGAATGGGCTCTATATAGTCGAATAAGAACCCGGTTTTCAAGAAGCAAACACATCCGGTATGGTGTAGTGGCTAACATCGCTCGCTCTCAATTTGGAACCGAGCAGCCCAGGGTTCGATTCCCTGTACCAGAGATCTTTTCTTTTTGCCGTCGGGTCCTTTCCTTTTTATTTTTTACTGAATGTCCTTACTATCCAGGGTCCCTTTTTGCCCCGTTCTCCTTTTTCTATTAGATATTTATCCCTACAAGGGCTTTTGTATCACATAACGTCGTCGTTGCAAACAGCGGATCTTGACCCGCTTCGAGTTTTCACTCGTTATCCGGTATGGTGTAGTGGCTAACATCGCTCGCTCTCAATAATTCATTGAACCGAGCAGCCCAGGGTTCGATTCCCTGTACCGGAGTGTCATTTTCTTTTTGACTTTCAGGTCAAATTTCGCCTTTTGCGTATATATTTTTGAACTGCTGTGACAGGTATGACATTTAGGCAGCACAAGCACCGACGCCGGTGGTTGTCCTGCTTGCACACGGCATAAGAATGATAGTATAAGGGAATGCCATAGTCATGATTCCATTGGATCGAGTTTTAGAATTAGACGGCAGCCTTTTGCTTCGCTTATTCAATCTCAAGCCGAATCACCGTTCTAGGAGTGCCTCTTCCATGCCAAGACAAGGCGCCAGCAAGACTGCGCAGTCCCCCCGAACATCAGCGACGACGAACTCCTCCACCCTTCCACCGCAGCTTGGCAGCCCAGTTCGCCCACTGCCGCACCTCCTCCTCGGCCAGCAGCAGCTCGACCGTGTAGTAGTCCCTCGCCAGCTCCTCGTGGTTCCTGAACTTGTGCACGAAGCGGTGGCACGCGCCGCACAGCCACGCCACGTTCTGCAGGTCCTCCTTCTTGTGCCACCCGCGCCGGACCGCCTTGTCGTGGACGAACCGCGGGATCAGGTGGTGGTAGGAGAGCGGGATCCACGACCGCCCGCAAATCTCGCACTCGTCCGCCCGCGTCTCGCGCGTGGCGGGCGGCGCGGCGGTCAGCGTGGAGAGGTAGGCGGAGAGCGCGGGCAGGATAAAGCCCTCTGCCGTCGCCGGCAGCGGTGACGATGCGGTCGGGTCAGGCGAGATGAGGCTGTATGTTCGGAGAGTCTCTGATATTGACAGAGGGAGATTCAGCGTCTCCAGGCTGTCCACGGTCAGTGGCAGGGAGAATTGGTCTTGGAGGCTCTGCGAGTCTCGCCATGAGCGGTGATCAATCTCCTGGAGGTCATCGGGCAAGTTTTCAAAGATTTCGTGGGCAAGGTAGTCGATAAAATCAGCCAGCTCCTCTGCCTCTTGCTGTGAGCTGAGCTGCGCGGACTTGTTCACGACATTTGCTTTGGATCTTCGCCGTCGCTTTGGCTCTGACTTGGTATTCCGTGTTTCGAGGAGAGTTGCTGAAAGACAGTCTCTGAATATTGCGAAATTCTCATTTTCAAATTCTTCCATGGAAATTACAGGTTGTCTTGCAGTGCGACGAAACAGGTTTGTAGGTGATGTAATCATTCAGACGGATTAGCGGATGTCGACCTGCTAAGAGTTGCGATCGAGCCGTGATTGGCTGTGCACTTTCCCGAGGATGGGAGAACAACGCAACCCCGCCAAGGGCTGTCATTGATATTTGAGTGCATCTTGACCAAAGCTTCTGGAATCTTGGAGAATTCAAAAACAACGATATTCCAAGGTGCGTTGAGCAGAAATCCATCTCGCCTGGAGGCCTATGACGCTTCACCGTGGGGCTTGCCGGGCTGACTCACAATGCAGTAACCCCGGATGACCACGACAGAAACAATGGAGCAAACTACCATCGCATTTGATCTCTACGGCACGCTCCTGTCAACCGATTCAATAGCCACAGAATTGGCCAGCCTGTATGGAGACGAAAAGGCCAAAACTTTGGCTGCGCGGGCCAGGACGCTGCAGCTGGAGTACACGTGGCGCAGCAACAGCATGAGTGCGTTGACGAGTAGACTCCCATGCTCAAAGAATGTTCACTAAAAGTGCCGTTACACCTCAGATCAATACCAAAGCTTCAGTGATGTGACGCGCTGGTCTTTCCGACACGCGACAGCCGAGTTGGGCCTGCAGCTCAGTCCCGCCGATGAGGAGCGCGTCATGAACGCGTACAACGGCCTGGATACGTTTCCGGATGCCAACGCCGCCTTGGAAATTCTCGCCGGCGAAGAATCGGTGAACGCCTACGTGTTCTCGAATGGCGACCCTAGCATGCTGGCCTCTTCCATGGCCACAGCTCCGGCATTGTCTAGTGCCAGCCGCGTCTTGCCTCCGACGAGGGTCATCAGCGTCGAGCCGCTGCGCGTCTTCAAGCCGCACCCGAGCGTCTACGAGAACCTGGTCGAGGTAGCTGGCAAGAAAGGCAACCCCGGTAGTGTCTGGTTGGTGTCCTCGAACCCCTTTGATGTATGTGGTGCAGCAGCGTCGGGTCTCAAGAGCGCGTGGGTGGACCGTGCTGGTAAAGGATGGCTCGACGGGCTTGCTAATGGAACGGGAAATAATCCGACTATGGTGGTAAATGGTGTGGATGAAGCGGTCAAAGCGATTTTGAAGTCTGCATCAGCATAAATCTCACACGAAAAGCTGAGGCATGGTTGATTAGGTTCTTTGATGCTGTATAGGGTAGCAAGTTGGCTGTGGATGGACAATCCTTGGCGTTGAAGTTGAACCGAAGACCTGAGTTATACCGTTCATTGTTTTCCGCAACTATGCTAAGCTACATGTTTGGAGCTAGAACGGTGTACTTTTAGGTAGCTAAGTAAAACCAAGTCTATTTATTCTTGTTATGAATGGTGTATGTTTGCTTGCATGAAGCTCTTGCTAAACATGGTGCTGGGGCGCTCACTGTAGGATACGGGCTTTATAGCTTTCAAAAATGCTAAAAAGCTGCCAATTGTGAGCACGAGAAACTTGGAGAAATCCACTTCTATCAAAGCACTTCTAATTCCACGTTAGTAGTTTGTCCCAAGACAGCTGATGCCACCAGTCAACGAAGCACCGCCACACAAGGCTTGAGTCGCACCGCCACATCTACATACTAGTAGTCTGCTTCCAGCATAATAAGCTAGAAATTTACAGGCATCACCAGCAACCGACAAACCAACACCAGGCCAGGACTGGGATAATGTGCGGCATACATGCTGCCATTTCCCGAAATGCCACAGTCCAAATATCCGACACCCTGGAATCGCGCCTGCGCAGCCGAGGCCCCGACCATCTCGGAAGCCAGACCGTCCACTTCCCCGATGCGCGTCTCTGCGTCGCCCTGACATCCACGGTCCTGGCGCTACGCGGCGACCACACGACCGCACAGCCCCTCGTGAACCAGGGCACCGGGTCTGCGCTCTGCTGGAACGGCGAGGCCTGGAGGATCCACGGCGAGCCCGTGACTGGCAATGACGGCGAGACCGTCCTGTCGAAGCTTGCTGCGGCGAGCGTCGGTGGCGAGGCGGCGATTCTGGATACGCTTCGCGCGATCGAGGGGCCGTTTGCGTTTGCGTTTGTGGACAAGCCAAACAGGACTCTGTATTACGGCCGCGACCGCCTAGGCCGACGGTCGCTCCTTGTAAATCCCGGCTCCCCGTTCCAGCTGTCCAGTGTATCGGACACGTCTACGACAGGGTGGCTGGAGGTGGAGGCTGATGGATGCTATAGCATCTCACTGACTACAGATAGTCTCACTTCCGCTGTAGGGCCATCGCGGCATGACTGGGATAGTAACGAAAAGCTGGTAAGTGACACGATGTTCCGGTGAGAGACGTTTGCTGATCATGCAGATATCGGCTATTGGCGAGTTCAACTCGACCGTACCAGACGCACAAAAGGAGTTGTCAGAAGGCTATGAAGCTGTATCCATGCTCAAGAGCCACCTCCTCCAATCGCTCCAGTATCGTGTACAAGGTGTACCGGTACCGCCTGGAGCGGACGGGTCACAGGCCCGTATCGCCGTACTGTTCTCTGGCGGACTTGACTGTACTGTGCTGGCCCGTCTTACAGATGACCTGCTCCCCGAGGGTCAAGAAATTGACCTTTTGAATGTCGCCTTTGAGAATCCCCGAATAGCTGCGCAACGCAAAAATCTCGACCTTGAAAAGTTATATGAACTGTGTCCGGACCGTGTAACTGGACGGCAATCCTTCGCAGAGCTCATCCAATCTCGCCCGAAGAGGAAATGGAGATTTGTAGCAGTGAGTGCGGACAGACGCGTACGCAGGGACTGGCGCGATACTAACGATGCTCTCTAGGTAAATGTACCCTATGCTGACACTACATCGCATCGAGATACTGTAGTTGGGCTGATTTCACCCCATAATACCGAGATGGACCTTTCGATTGCCTTTGCGCTGTACTTTGCCGCCAGGGGTCAAGGGCTAGCACAGACTGGCATCGACGCGGAACCTTATCCGTATGCTACGACAGCCCGAGTCCTCCTCTCAGGGCTTGGTGCCGACGAACTCTTTGGCGGATACTCGCGACATGGCATTGCATTCCAAAGGCTAGGCTACGAGGGCTTGATTGCAGAGCTCAAGCTCGACGTTGGACGGCTTGGAAAGAGGAACCTAGGCCGCGATGACAGAGCCATGTCTCACTGGGGACGCGAGGTTCGCTTGCCGTTTCTCGACGAAAGCCTGGTAAAATGGGCCATTGAGATGCCGGTCTGGCAAAAATGCGACTTTGGCAAGAACCCGGACGGAGAGGGGGACGTTGAGCCTGCAAAACGCATTCTGCGGCTCCTGGCTAGGGACCTTGGCCTACGGGCTGTAGCGTTTGAGAAGAAGCGAGCGGTAAGTCAAGCGACAACGTCAAGCTGGAGTGCCACCGAAGCTGACTTGTACCTGAAGATACAATTCGGCGCGAGGACTGCCAAGATGGAAAGTGGCAGAACAAAGGGAACGACGCTCATTGGCGCTTGAGCAATGTGGACGCTTGGGGAGCAAGTGCTCCGTGGAAGTGATACTTACCCCCCTTCCCCCCTGGCGGTGATGACAAACACAGATACTTCCGAGCCTTGATGCAGATATTGCCGATTCGGGCACGCTCCAACTGCGCGTTTGCTCTTTGGCTAACCCTTTTGGACGCGTGCTCGTCGCATGCTTCTGGTACATGGCGATGACGTCGTAAAGGCAAGTCTGAGCCAAACCGTTGTTGAACTTTACGAACAGTTAGCATAGACAGCGGTTCTCTGTTTGAACCATTCGGACCATCGGAGAAGGATTTTTCTTTCTTCTGGTGTAAGGCTGAGATTGAAACTGGAACATTCAAGAAACAGGATGAATACCCAATGTCTATGAGAACGAGACACTCAATTTCCTTGGGGCGAAAAACTTTTCTACAAAGAAACTATGTCTAGCTTGTTGTTTCTCTAATCTCGTTGAACAATACGGAAGAAGCCGACCCCTGAGCTAGCCTGAGCCGCCTTTGCCGTGTGATGAGACATGCGTAGTCAGTCCAGTCACCAACTGGATGCCCGAACAACCTTCTTGACATGCTTGGCCAGGATATTATGCAAATAGCTAATAGCTCAGCCCCCGCTCACTATTGAATTGCTAGAGAATTTTCAATTTCCAGAGCGGACATAGAGGTCTTTTGAGGGCTTTTGGACAAGTCGACGAACTGAGACAGGCGGAACATTCCGAGCAGGGTTTTATTCAGCACCGCGCAAACTGCCAGGTCGAGATGCGCGGCAGATCCTGAGAACAATAGGGGGATGGAGGGGAATCTACTGGCTAACTAAGTTAGTGTGTGGTTTTTTTTTAATAACATTTTAATTCTAGAATCTGATGGCCATCCGAGATGTGATTGATTGGGCGAGGGACCGAGCGTGCATGTAACCTTTCTTTTTTCTCCGAAGCACCCTTGCCAAAACTCAAGCGCCCAGATAAAAACAAAAGTTTCTTGTTTGTCCTATTGTTGAACCTCATCAACTCCAACTCTGAGATGCCCCAAAAAAAAGCCAGCGACAGCCAGACAAGCAGGCTCTTTTGGATATAGAGATTACCTTGCCGCGCACCACCACTGTCAAAGCCCCCAAAAAGGATCTTCAATTAATAAGAATTGATAGATGCCTGCGCCCGCATCGATTTGGCGTGGTTTGGGCTGTTCTTTTCTCGTTCCCCCCCCTAATAAAGCGCCACTTCGGGCACTCATCCGACCAGGATTCTGTCACTACTTATCTCGGTACCTTGCATCAAGGTGTCGGAAGCGAGCAGCACATGGGGTGAGAAAGAGCCAACCAAGCAGGAGACCTGGAAAACGAGGCCGAGAAGGCAATATCACAGCGGGGGGGTGATACCCGGCGCTTGGCGGGTTATCAGCTACCGGAGAATAACGGTGAGAGCGATGGGCAAGGCTGACAACCGCTTGCCATCTCCGCCGTGTAATTTTACTGAAAATAGATATATGACTTGTTGATGCTGCCACCGTACCGGCGTGTCGGTTTTATACTCTGTATGGAGACGACCGAACAGAGCAGGCTTGCAGAAAGCCTCCATAAACGACGAACGAACCAGTTAATAGAACTTTTGTAAAGGATCATGGACTTGATAGTGGTCTCTGGCATCAGTCTCCCAGGTAAAGCTTGATAGAGCCGCACCGGGTATCTTGTCCCATCTGGTATCCATCGCATCGCCGTCCAACCTCTCACATGTACCGGTATCCCAGTTCATCTCCTATCATTTGCCACCACACGAACCTCTGTTGGCCCACCTTGGCTTCTTGGGACCCATGCTGTATCTAGAACATCAGTAGAAACTGACAGGTGACCGTACCACCAAGAGCAATGCCATCAAGGGGGGGGGGGCGCGGACGCCTCTTTCAAGTGCAATTTCAGGAGACCCGTGGTAACACAAGACGAGGTGGTCAACAGTGCAGGCCTCGATGGACAAGGGGAGATTTGGAGTGGCGATGTGAACAGGACATATAAAATCAGCATCCCTTGCAAACCATGTGACGAGATTCCGCACATCTTCAGTCCGCTCTTTTGAACACTTTCACGTCTTCTTGTTAGATCAGACTTCTTTTGTCTCGATCGGTCCTCTCATTAATTTTCATTGTTTTTTTTGAAGACGTGTTTTCCGCTGCCCGAACATCCCCTCCTCCCTTCCATACACACAAAGAAAGCGCTCGCCATGCGTTTCTCTCTCGCCGTGCTCGGCCTCGCCGCCGCCGTCTCGGCCACCGCCGTCGATGCTACCGCCACAGCCACAGCCACAGCCACAGCCACGGCCACGGCCGATGTTGATGCCCAAGTAACAGCCGCTGCCGATGTCAACGCCAAGGTCGACGCTTCCGCCGCCGTAGATGCGAAGGTCGACGCCGCCGTCAAGGTCGATGCTAACGCGGATGTCAACGCTAAAGTCGACGCCGCCGCTTCCGTTGATGCGAATGTCGACGCCAAGGTTGACGCTGCCGCCAAGGTCGATGTCGATGTGGACGCGGATGTCGCCGCTGATGCGAAGGTTGGAGCCAGCGCGGATGTGAAGGCCAAAGTCGATGCTGATGCATCTGTGGATGCCAAGGTTGGCGCCGATGTAAATGCCGATGTCAACACAAAGGTTGACGCTGCGGTTGACGCCAAGGCAAAGGTTGGTGCCGATGTTAACGCCGATGTTAACGCGAAGGTCGGTGCCGATGTGGATGCCAAGGTCGGCGCCGACGTCAACGCTGATGTTAAGGCGAAGGTCAGCGCCGATGTCAATGCCGATGTTAAGGCGAAGGTCAACGCTGATGTCAACGCCGATATCAAGGCGAAGGTCGGTGCCGATGTCAACGCCGATGTCAAGGCGAAGGTTGACGCTGCTGTTGATGCCAAGGCGAAGGTTGGCGCCGATGTCGATGCTAAGGTTGGCGCTGATGTTGATGCCAAGGTCAGCGCCGGCGTGAATGCCACCGTCGCTGCTGATGTCAACGCCAAGGTCGACGCGGACGTCGACGCTGCTGTTAAAGTCGGTGCCGACATCGACGCGAAGGTTGGCGCCGGCGTAAACGCCACCGTCGCTGCCGATGTTGATGCGAAGGTCGATGCTGCTGCTAAGGTCGATGCCAATGTGGCCGCCAACGTCGATGCCAATGTGGCCGCCAACGTCGATGCCAAGGTTGGTGCCAAGGTGGACGCTGATGTCGATGCCAAAGTCAAGGCCGGTGCGGATGTTGCCGCCAAGGTCGGCGCTGATGCCAAGGTCGGCGCTGGTGTGAACGCCACTGCCGTCGCTGATGTTGCGGCCAAGGTCGACGCTGGCGTCAAGGTCGGCGCCAACGTCGCGGCTGATGTTGACGCTCAAGCAAAGGTTGACGCGGACGTCAACGCCAAGGTCAACGCCGATGTCGATGCCGCCGTGAAGGTCGGCGCCGATGTTGACGCCAAGGCCAAGGTCGATGCCGGTATTATCGCCAAGGTCGGCGCCGATGTCGATGCTCAAGCAAAGGTTGACGCCAAGGTCGGCGCGGGCGTAAATGCCACGGTTGCCGCCGACGTGGATGCCAAGGTCGACGCCGGCGTCAAGGTCGGTGCCGACGTGGATGCCAAGGCCAAGGTTGATGCTGATGTTGCTGCCAAGGTTGGTGCGGACGTTGACGCCAAGGTCAAGGTCGGCGCGGATGTCGATGCCAAGGCCAAGGTCGATGCGGACGTTGCGGCCAAGGTGAACGTTGGTGCTGATATCGATGCCCAAGCCAAGGTGGACGCCAAGGTCGGTGCCGACATTGACGCCAAGATTGCCGCCAATGTCGATGCCAAGGTCGCCGCGGACGTCGACGCCAAGGCCAAGGTCGACGCCGTCGTCGCCGCAAAGATCGCCGCCGGCGGGAAGCTCGGCGCCGGCGTGAAGGCCACCGCCGCCAGCATCAACGGCACCACCGTCGCCGCCACTGTCATCGACGCCGACGTGCAGGCCGCCATCAACATCGCCATTGGCGGCTTCGCCTGCCCGCCGACCATGAAGTACTCCCCCTGGATCCAGGCCTGCGGCTGCGAGGCCGGCCTCACCTGGTCCGCCACCAGCAGCAAGTGCGTCGGCACCCCGCTCACCGGCGCCTGGCCCAAGCCTGCCCTTGATGCCCACGCCAATGTCAATGTCAAGCTCGCTGCCTTCTGCGCCGCCTCACCCGTCGAGATTGTCAGCTTCGACGCCGCCCACCCCTACTGCCAGGTCAGCCTCGAGACGCTCGCCTTCGTCGCCGACGCCGCCGTCAAGGCCGACGTAGACGCGCTCGCCGGTGCTGCCATCAACGTCAACGCCAACATCTCCGCTGACCTCAAGGCCGTCGTCGCCGGTCTAACCGGCCTGTACATTGAAAAGGCCGAGGACGCCGTCGCGCTCTTCAACACAAAGGTCTACGGCCTCGGCGCGGCCGCCAAGGCCGATGCTGACGTTGCCGTTACCGTGTCCAAGACCCAGCTCGCGCTCTGCAAGCTCGGCCTCGGCTCGTGCCAGCAAGACTGCGTCTCGTTCAGCCAGGCGGGCTGCGCCAACTTGATCGATGTCGGCGCTGAGGTCGGCGCGCAGATTACGGCGCTCGCTGGTAGCGTCCTCATCCTGCCCTCCTCCATCGTCGTTGCCACCAAGGCCAAGGTTCTCGTCTCGGTCGCGGTCGAGCACCTGCTCTGCATCGTCGGCAACATCATCAAGTCGGTCATTGTCACCTTTGACTGCCACTGCAAATAGGTTGGATCGGGGCCGATGGGAAAGTAGTAGTTTTTTTTAATGCTGGGTAGTCATGCATTGGCGATGAGTTTTTTCTGTACTTATTTTATTCTCTGAAAAGGAGGGGCCTTGTTCATGCAATTATAGCGTCGCTTTGTTTCGTTACCTCCAATAATAGGATTAATTTTTACCTGTCAACAATGCAATCGACTTCTCGCATATATGTTTTCACCGCTGCTGTGTCGTATGTATCTGTAAAAAGATACGCTGTATGCGATTTTCTGAATAAAGGATGTGTTAATAAATTTAAATGGGTATCGATAAATAATACATGTTGTAAATACATCACCCGCAGGCTGCAAGTGCTGTTAGATTGCCCAGCCCGTCAACCAAAAAGTGACTGAACGCTTCATCATCGCCCTCGTCGGCCAGATATAGTGTGTCCTTGTCTTCTGGCGGTAAAGTGGCGTACAGGCCCTCTCCCGCCCTGGGCCAAGTAGGCGGCAGCACCTCCTCGTCTTCAGTCTCCTCCTCCTGTACCACCACCGTCTTTCCGGCGGACTCCGTGGTGGCTGTGGTGGTGAACTTAATAACAACCTTTCTCACGCCTTTTCGTCTTTGCCTCATGCGCGGGTTCAGCAGTGTGTGCCCGTGTCGCGGCCGTTGGTGCGCCCTGGCTCTAGCCTGCGCCACGTCGAGGGCCGCCGCATTGGCGGCCTCTTGCTCGCGGACTTTTTTCTCCCAATCGGGGCTGTCAAAGATCGGTAGGCCTGGATGTCGCTTCGCGACGGACACAAAGACGTCGACCAGCAGCTGGGGCTCGAGCTGGTCGCAAAAGGAGAGGATGTTGAGGAGGTCGGTCTTGGGTTTGTTGGAGAAGTAGGTTGTCAATGCGGACGCAGATGCTTCCGTACCGGCAGGAAATCCGACCAATTCTGGCTTGGCCGGCTGCACGCCCTCTGGTAGTGCGTCCAACCATGATTTCCTTTGCGCCTCGATGGCTTCTTCTCTGCTGACCTCCGGAGCCTCCGCAGGAGTGTCGTTTTCATCTATTGGCTCATACGGCGCTCGAAATGGTATAGACTCTTGCGAAAAGTCTATACCTACCGTCTCGAAGCTATCGTCGTTGTCATACACGTATTTCACTCCTGTCGCTGCGCTGTTCGAAAAGTCTCCCGGCAGAAACAATGTGAGTTCATCGGCTGAGGCATCGTCTGCTTTGCTGGTGCTTAATTGTCCGAGAGTAGTTTGGGGCTCGGTGCTATTGCCTTTCATGCGACTCAGTATAAGCGAGGACACTTCACTGAACTGAGGTAGGCGAAAGTGTGGCGGGAAGGTGCACTGGTTCTGTGCGCCGGGCTCGGGGACAAACGGATGAACCAGAAATGAATTGCGCTCCAGTATTGTCGAGTTCACAAACCCAGTTTCCATTGTGAAGATAGGAATTAGATAACAGGACAGTCGGCTGTTTTTGTATATACTTTTGTCTTCGGTGTCGTAACAATGAGATATCCGTTCTGTAATGATGGGCGGGAGTGAACGCAGAAACACGTAGACACTAGGTATCTGACGTGTCAGCTACCGGCGCGCATCGCCAATGCGATACTGAATTCGAGAATTCGGACCGAAATCAAATTTGAGAGGATGTAGCGATAGCCCCAATAGCATCGAGGCCTCTCACTGGCATGAGTGAAACGGCCTGTTGTGGAAGTGAAGATGCGATGGCCTTCTGCCTCCACAAAGCTTCGACATTGCGACTGAATCACGTGACCCATTTTGAACAATCGAAACTTTCGGGGCGATATTTCTTTTAAATTGAAAGATGTACATTGAGAGTATTATCATCATGTTGCTCTAAATCTAAGTTTATGTTCAACCGATGACACCTTGCTCTTTCAACACAGCAATGTCGGCCTCGCTCATGCCGAGGTGCTCCAACAAGAGTTCGTTAGTGTGTTGGCCGAGAGTGGGCGGCGGCGTTCGCACGCCCGGTTGAGTCTCGGAAAACTTAACCGGCGAGTTGACCAGCTTCATCGGGCCGCAATCACCGTGTTCGACCTCGATGACCATGTTGCGGGCCTTGGTATGCTCGAGGTTGAGCGTGTCCTGGACGTCGTTGACGGCGGCGTAGGGCATGCCTTTGCCTTCGAAGACGGCGAGCCACTCCTTGGTAGTCTTTTGCTGCGAGATGGTCTCAATCTTGTCCTCGAGCTCGACACGGTTGGAGACTCTGTCAGCATTGGTCTTGTACTTGGGGTCGTCCTTCCACTGGGGCATGCCGAGGCCCTCGGCGAGGACGCCGAATAGGCGGTCGTTACCGCCGCCAAAGAGAATGTCGCCATCTTTGGTCTTGAATGACTTGTACGGGACGATAGAAGCTTTGTTTTTCGTTAGTCGGTGATGTCTGTAATGTCTTTGCTGTTTGACGTACGGTGTGCAGTCCCCCATCGACCCGTGTCCCTCTTGCCGCTGATGAGGCAGCTACTGGCAATGTTTGCGAGAGTGGCAGTCTGGCAATCACTCAGGGCGACATCAATATGCTGCCCCTTTCCGCTTTTGCCTCTTCCTAATAACGCCGCCATTATGCTGTTGCTGGCATACAGACCAGTGGTCAAATCAGTGACGGCGACGCCAACCTTTACAGGGGGCCCGTCGCGAGCGCCGGTAATGTGCATGAGGCCAAATTCGGCCTCGACCATGACATCGTATCCGGCGCGGCTGGAGTAGGGGCCGGTTTGGCCGTAGCCGGTAATTGAAGTATAGATGAGGCTGGGATTAATCTTCCGAAGCGTCTCGTAGTCCATACTGTACTTCTTCAGAGTACCGGGCAGGTAGTTTTCCACCAGAATATCGCACTTCGCGACAAGCTTGTGCAGAATATCGACACCCTCTTTGTGTTGGAATGAAAGGCCAATGGACTTTTTGTTACGGTTTGCCTACTGGGTGTAAGTGGATGTGTGTCTGATGGTTGGTGGGCGGCGGTGAAACCTACGCCCAGGAAGTAAGCCGCCTCACCAGGACCCGACTTGCCAGACTCTTCCGTGTACTTGGCATATGGAGGGCCCCAGGCTCTGGTGTCGTCACCGCGCACAGGGTGTTCAATTTTGATGACTTCGGCCCTGGCTCAGGAATCAGTAAGATTGTGACGCCAAGTCTTGTAGATGTAAGACGTACCCCAGATCACCTAGAATTTGGGTGCAATAGGGCTACTCAGATCAGTCTCTGTCAATGCTCAAACGACGAGGGCCTGCTCTTACACCGGCAAGGACTCGGGTCATGTCCAGCACACGGTATCCCTCCAGGGGCAACGGCGTACCAGCAGCAGACGACGAGTTCCAGCGTCGCGTGCCCAATGCAAATGGCGGCTGCGCAGACCGCCGGCAGCCATTGAAGGCCATGGCGGCCAATTTGCGTGCACTGGCCATACTCTCAGATTGCTCCTTGACCAATCTGTTGGAAAAAAGACAAACGAGAAGGCAATAGCCAAGGAACGCTGCAACAACGTGGAATCACTGGGAAAACAGAGTTATGAAGAGAGAAGAGGGCTACTGCATCCAGCCGCGGCATCGGACAGCTGAAGTAGCGGGTCATCGCGGCGGGTAAAGCGGTGCCTTCGGAGCCCGTTTGCAATGCCCGTGAAGCAGTTTCTGCTGGACTTGTACAGGGGTGTTTCAGTGGACTCGAAGTGTGCTTGGGTGGTCCAGTCGCTGTATCGACACTAAGAATCTCGCTGTTTAGGCGGTGCTCGGCCACCGGCGTTCCCTCCGAGCTGGATTCACCCGCTAAAACCTGCCTGCTACAGGTACTAAGGTACTGCTGACTGCCTCTGTAGCCGTCATCCATACAGCGCCAAACATTATAGGGCCATTGGCAATCTCGGAGTATCGGAGTGTTTGCGGCGTAGTGGCCGACAAACCGTTTACCAAAGTGTATAGATGGGATTCAAGTCATGCCCGATCGCATCTCTTTCATCGACATATCGATTCATAAAATTTCCGAACTACGCAGTGATTGCACGTAACCTCGGATACCACGCGACAATGCTATGTATATCAAAGCCTCTACGCGGTCCGTGATTCCTCCCTCTCCTACCCAGTTAGTTGGATGCGGCAGCCAGCGACCAAAGGACGAGCATCAACGGGCAAACGATGCACTTTGCATGGGGTGCGAAATTTGTCAGTCAAGGTCCCTACCTACACATGGACCAGGAAGTTAAGCCACCGGGGAACGCCCTAGAAGCTTTCTAGAATGCAGCTGGTCCTGATTTGTTTGCTACATCTTTGTGGCGGCCTGCAGGCAACGGCTCCGTGCACGCCCGCCTGGCTGACGCCAGCCTCGCAATAGTCTGCCTAACTGCTTCTGAGAATACACGTAGAAGTAAATCATATCTGAGGAATGCCTGAGACGCTATGGTAGCATATGAAAGAAGCTGCTGCTTGTTTGCAGCCCAGCCACAGAGTATGGGCGTCACCTGTCTCCAGCCGTGTAAGCCAATAGCCTTGTTGGCTGCTTGCAAAGTAGGCATTGGTTCATTTTAAATATCAGCTTGACGGCCCAAGATCCTTCACGATACTGCCACTATACTCTTTATAGCCAATTGCGCTTCTTCTACATTTTGAATACCCTCTCGCCTCTCTCTTGGGTCGGCAATGGCGCCTGCGGTCTCAACTATAATCTCTGCCGGTGCTCCCCAAGCGGTTCACGACAGCGAAAAGACAATTTGGATGATTGTTATTCCCCTCTCAATCTGCGTTCCATGCTTGATATCTTGTATCATATACCTCACACGCCGGTTTCGACGTAGGAAGACCGTGAAAGCGCCTGCTTCTCGGGACGTTCCCCTCGAAGTCCACTATCAAGCATGGCTCGACCATGTGCGCCACATGAACCAACAAAGCCACAATCATATTTTTCCCCCAGATGATGCCGATACCAAACAGTCGCTAAAGCATAAACGTTTGCGCGATTTTACCAGGTACACCCGAAGCCAGAGCACGCCACCGCTGGCATCACCCGACTGCGAGCCTCTCGGCAGCGACTCGCTACTGCGCCCAGAAGCCTACCACACTCACTCGGAGGAAATACAGAAAAAGGACATCTTGGAGTTTCCACATTTGCAAAGTCAAAGCTCGGTTAGGAGCAGAGGGTCAGCTCAGTAGAAACGCAGGATAGACGGAGGAGTTGTGCGACGGACGCGGAATGTACACTGGGCTGGAACCATATTTGCTTCGGGGGGTCTGCATTAACTACGTTTGACGAATGAATGAAGCTTTGTTGACAATTATTTTTGCATCCTCTCTGAGTTCTTTATGCACCCAACTCATTGGTAATGTCCACAAACGCCGACCACTGCTTCCAGGCCTCGCCGCTGCGAATCGCCCACTTGGCACGGCGCACACCCTCCTTCCAGCGCTGACCGCCAGGGCCGCGCTCAGCAATCACATTGCCGTCGTCACCAGGGCCCATGCTAGTGGTTTCAGCCTCACAGATGCCCGAAACGACAAAGAGGGCGGCCGCGTTGATGAGGACAAACTCGATGAGCGGGTCGTTGTCAGGCAGCTCCCCGTGGAGGATCTTTTGCAGAATCGCCGCGTTCTCCTCCGGCTCCTTGCCAGAGGATACCTCCGTCAGGGCGTGCGTCGAGACGCCAAAGTCGCTGGGCTCAACGGTGAAGTAGTCCGTGTAGACGTCGCCGCCGGGGCTCCTCTCCTTGAGCATCCAGCAGTGCGACTTTCCGGCGCAGCTCAGCTCGTCGAGGTCCTCGTCGCCGCAGACAATCATGGCCTTGCGACAGCCGGAGGAGCGAAGGGCCTCGGCAAACGCAGGACCTAGATCCTTGCGGCCGACGCCAATGACGCGGCACTCGAGGACGTCCTCGACGGGATTCGCCAGCGGGCCTACATTGTTGAAGATGGTCCGCCAGGGGAGCTGCTTGCGGATGGGTGCGACGTAGCGCATACCGGTGTGGAAGAGGGGGGCGAAGAGGAAACTGTAGTTTGTGGCCGCATAGACCTTGGCCAGGTTCTCGGGCGTGACAGCCGCAACAACAGGGGCGTGAGGCTGCATCTTGGCAATGAGGTCGGCGCTGCCGGACTTGGAGGTGCTGGCCTTGTTGCCGTGCTTTGATACGAGGACCAGGGCCGAGGCTATTATGGATGCGGTTGTGCTAATGTTGAATGTGTTGTGAGAGTCACCCCCAGTCCCGACTATATCACACTACGACAGGTGTAAATTAGCAAGGGTGCTCATGGCTGGAAGCGGTGCAATACGTACAAGTCCACCGTTGTAATTGCCCTCCTTGTGCCCGCGCTTTGAAATGACAGCGTTGAGCTCGTCTACCGGGATAGGTGCAGCAGCTTTCAGCATGGCGGCGGCGCACTTGGCGAGAACCTCGGGCTGAAAGTCCATCTGCGTAAAGTGTAGGGCCATGAGTAGCGAGGCTGTCTGCGCAGGGGTGACTTGGTTTGTGAAAAAGTGCGAAATGGCTTCCGCAATCTCATCTGCCGTTACCCGGTTGTCGTTGGGCCACATCTTGGCCAGAAGCGGTTTGATGTCGACTGGAGGGAGGTCCTCTGAAGCCGCAGCCGGTTGTGAGGCCATTTTGGACGAGGTTTGAGATGAGACGATGGGCTTCTCAGAAGGTTCAGCGTTCAGTGTCGGAGGTCGAGAAGTAAGTCAGATGGCTGGCCTTGAGTGAATGAATTTTGACGTGACCGGATGCCCAATGAGTCAACCAGTGGTGGTTGCAATTGGCCTCGGCGGGTTCGAACATGGCTCAGGCTTAACCTAGAGCTGGTTGGGTATCACATTGTGCACATTATTGGCTGTCGTTGGGCGCATTATGTGGAGGATTACCACTGGATCGCCGCATGTTGGGAGTGACATTTACTCTTACGGTAGGCTATATGGGTATGAGGTACTCACTAGCAACCTACGAATCTCTGCGACGCCGACGCCGCAGCCCTGCTTACTCATCACATGGATTTTTCCAGCGCCAACTCGTTGCACCTGCGCTACACATTTCTTCCCCCCTCACGTCCACCTTGCCAGGCATCTTCTTCTCCCTCAAACATCACTCATAGACAGTCCTCTCGCCACCAGAAGTCGGTCAGCCATCGCAACAGCCATCTCCGTGCGGTCTCATTACGTTTCCTCTGCATCGAGCGCCCGCGCGACGACCACTTCGAGCCGACTTTTCGTTGATCTGAGCCTCTCAGACGCCTTCACTGGTCAGAACGGTCGGTCTGGTAGAGTGCGACGCCACACACTCGCTTGATCTGGGGTGCGCACCGCCCTCACACTAGAAAAAAACAATTCCAAGAATATCGCTTATCGCGACTTTGATTCAGTTCAAAGGCAAAAGGCTTCCTCCTCCCTCGTAGCGTCGATTTCGTCCTCGGCAGAACCCAAGGAAGAAAAATAAATTCTTTCCAGCGCCGTGGTCAAACGCGGCACCAGGCTACCGAGCTTTTTTTTTTCATCATATTTGCGTGACGAAACCACTACTTGCCTGCTCCTCTCACACTGGAAACTCTTCAAATTTTTGCATCCTCGACCTCTAATCGGCTTTGGCCGTCTGCACCCTTCAGTCGCCAAGCTGCATTCACCGCTTTTTGTCAAACTTTTGCACAATCGACTCGATCTCGATATACCTGTTAACGAGCAAAACGCACTTCTGCAGAAAGCGCTTCAGCGAAAGCAACAGCAACTTCGGCTGCGCCGCAAGGAGACGAAGCGATCCCGCAAAGTCTTCAACGAGATTACAAATCCGTACACGCCTCAACAGTACAAGCCTAAAATGTTGCCGCCTGCTGCCGGTGACGGCTCAGGCGCCGGGTTCCAAGAGGACCTCAACAATGTTCTCTGCTGTCCCGATTGTCGGGAAATTCCTCCCAACTTGGTTGAGGAATTCTCCAGCGGAGACATGGTGTGCCAGAGCTGCGGTGTCGTGGTAGGCACGCGCATCATTGACACCCGATCCGAGTGGCGAACGTTTGCCAACGACGACCAGAACGGAGACGATCCTAGTCGTGTTGGTGGTCCTCAGGACGAATTCGTCGAGGGCCAGCAGCTGGCGACGTCGGTTGCCTTCTCCGAGTCGCGCCAGCACAAGAATCTCTTGCGTGTGCAAAACAACACCAACCAGGACAAGCAGCAGCGGGGCCTCATGCAAGCCTACAAAGAAATTGTGTCGTTGTGCGAGGCCATCAACATGGGCCAAAACGTTTCCAACGCTGCCAAGCATATTTTCAAATTGGTGGACAAGTACAAGTTCATGAAGGGCAAGCCACAAGAGGCTGTGATTGCAGGCTGCATCTTCATTGCCTGCCGTCAGAACAATGTGCCGCGTACCTTTCGGGAAATCTTCAACCTGACGAGCGTGAGCAAGAAGGAGGTTGGGAGAGTCTTTAAACAGCTGCAAAACTTTTTGCAAAAGCTGCAGGATACGGAAGGTGAAGGCGCCACCGGTCTCAACACAGTCACAAACTACGAAAACACGTCAGTTGGCGCCGAGGACCTCTGTGGCCGCTACGTCTCGCAGCTTGGTTTCAAGAACCAGCAGAAGATTTCCAAGATTTCCCGGGATCTTGCCGAGCAGGCCAATGACATTTCGGCGCTGGCGGGCCGCTCGCCGTTGTCAGTGGCTGCGGCATGCATCTACATGGCCTGCCACTTGGTTGGCGAGCCGCGGGCGTCGCTACCCATTGCCAAGCAAGCCGGTGTAAGCGACGGCACGGTCAAGACAGCATACAAGCACCTGTTTGCGGCGCGTGAGCGTCTCATCAAGAAGGAATGGCTTGATGACGGCGGCAACATGGATAACATCCCTCAGGTGCAGATCTAGTGGACTGACAAACGTCATTGTCGCCGGGCGGGTGCGATTGTAATATGAGTGGACCTTTGATGCGTTTGTTTTCTGGCACTTTTTTCTCTCTCTCCTCTGCGAGGAGCAAAATCACACACCACAAAAAAAAAGTTGCTCTCTGAACCGTGGCCTAGGTTTTGGCTGCTTGTATCGCATATTTCTTTTGATTCCCTGCCCGAAAGAAGTGGGCAAAGTATTCTTACTTTGTTATCATCATCTGCCTTTTCTTTGGTCTTCTTTTTGTTTCTGTCGTCTCGTTGGCGAAAGAGACAAGGCAAATCTTTTTACGGCCTTGGTTTTAGAATGAGGACTTGAATTGACTCGGCTTTATTATCATGGCTGTTGCTTAGTCTTACGAAGTGATGCTGCCCGTGATGCGGACTGCCGTCTGAGCATACGACTTGGTATTCAATCTAGAACAACTACATTATGAGAGAGCAGTCTGTAGAGAAAATCGAATGCCCCGGGCAGGCAGATCGTAAGCAACTCGGGAACGTTATTTCCACAGTGGTGGTTTGGGAGAACAGCCTCGTCGCAGCCTCATCCTCCAGCCGGGGGTCGTTGCCTTGCCTTGGCCGGATACGATGCATGTCAGCATTCTATAAATAAGTTTATCGTTTTTTCACTGCTCGTGTTTAAACGCATCTCGGGTCATTTGCTTGTTTCGCAGCAAGGTCTTGCACTGTCGCATGCCACAGCACACAGTAGGAGGCGTGAGCAGACGAGGCGTGAGCGGACGAGGCGTGAGCGGACGATGCCGATGTGGAGGACGAGGAGGTGGCTTGGCGGGCGAATGTCGGGGGATTTTTATGCGCAGTCCACCCTTAGAGTTCTCAGCGGCCCCTGCAGCGAGTCAAAAGGGATCACCAGCTCAGGATTATGTGGCGAAAAAAAACAGGTCCTGTTGCGTGGAATGTAGATCCTTGAGTCGCGTGTCCGGGCAACTGCTCCAATCCTTTGTTTTGCTTGGTGCGTGCCTGAATGGGGGATGTGCAGGTGAAAGAAAAAACAGCAAGCAAGGAATTATGTTTCCACTTGCTTCGTAGACAACTTGATAGGGAAACTTGATATGATGTCTATTGAATTGTCAAGTTTGTCTTGATAAATCTTGGTGCTCACAACTCGTACTCACTATGTAGGTAGGAGGTGAGACGACAGCCACTGGGAAGCGCTGACGGAGCCTCGTTTTGCCTTTTGCGGGCGGTCGCCCCCTGCAACCCCCCTGCAGCCCCCCAACTCCAACTTGTCATGCGTTGACTGGCGCTGTAAATAGTGCCGCAGCAGGCTCGCGGCGGCCCCACGTGTGCTGGGGAGCCAGTGTCCGTACAGAGCTTTGACAGGGAAGAGGCAATATTTAGTTTGCGTGAGTCTTTTGCTAGTTTGCAACTACTTTGGGGGCTTGTGCAAGCCTCCTTTGTTCTTAGCACTATTGAGGAACGGAGGATGGAGTGGCGGTGGTCGTATAGACAATGAAAGTATTGCAAGATGCCCGCCGGTTGTCGGAGGCCGGGGGAGATGCCTAGATGGGGCAACTGCAGGCGCACTACACCTTATTGGTATACAAGGCAAGCCAAGTTTGCAAAGTAGGTAGGTCGTTGGCAGGAGGCACCTTCTTAATGGGTTCTTTGGAACAATCAAGCCACTTCTGAATAAACCACGCCTCGTCAATTCGTGCCATTCTATCTGGTCATCTGGACACCCTTCCCACCGCCCATGTCCAGGGTGGCATCCGCTGCGACCCTGCCAGACCGTTGCGACTGCGGCCCGTCTACTGTTCTGACCATTGACGTTTCCGCCTCTTGCCCACGTCTTGCTTGTTGACTTTTGGCTCGTCTTCTTTCCGCGACTCGGCTGTGCTCAGCCACCGATCACGAAGATCCATGGAACAACTGGGGTCCAAACGGGTCCCATGCTTCGTACTGGAGTAGCCCCTGCATCAAGCGCAGAGGTACCTTGACTAACTAGTTACGTTAGTGGCCAGGACACGTACATAGTTCCCCTCCAAATTCCAACTTATGAGATCTACTTTTTTCCTCTTCTTAGCATCTGCTTTCTTGAATACGTGCCTTATCATTGTTTTATTCTTTCTTTACTCATTCTCATTGCGTTTCAATCTCCGTCTTTTCGTGGTTTCTGGCCTGCCGTCTCTCTCGCTGACGCGGCTTCCAAACAAAAAAAGAGACAATAGCGCTACTGCAGCTGTCCGCCGAGCTACCAACAACACCGCTTCCAACTTCGACCACAGCCAACGGGACCGCCCTACACACAATTGGCATGCTTTCCGCACATCGTTAACCAGCTCTCTCCCCCTACAGCGCAGCATCGTTCTGCAGCGGCCCTTTGAGCAACCGGCGCGCAATCTTCCCCGTCGCAATGGCGGCCGCCGACATCTCAAACGTCGAAAAAAGGCCCGGGCCGCCTGTGAGAGCGTTTGCCTCTTCCTGTCTCTCCGGTCTTCGGGATTCCGCCAGGTATCTCTATAGAACGACGGTCTGCGAGCATATTCTGGGGCTCGAAAGCCGCACCAGCTCGGGCGGTAGTCGACGAGTCCCTCTCAGCATCGAGCAGGCCAAGCCGCTCACTGATCCGCGCCGTGGCAACCAAGCGTACATTTCCAACGACATTCGCACCTCGCGCTACACCGTCTTCAACTTTATTCCAAAGCAACTGTTTTTTCAATTCACTCGCGTTGGAAACTTTTACTTTCTCTGTGTCGGCATACCTCAAGTGGTAAGCTTTCGTGGCCTACCTGGTCGAGCAAACGACTTGTTGACTAGCGCTAACCGCCGACTGCCTAACTATGTAGGCTGGCCTCTCCACCACCGGAAGCTACACCACGATCCTGCCCCTGCTCTTCTTTGTGCTGCTCACTATTGTCAAGGAAGGCTATGACGACTATAGGAGAAGCCGTCTCGACAAGATTGAAAACTCCAGCTTCACCACGACCCTGGGGCGCAAGGACCATTACACAGATAGGATTAAGTCTGCGCCTTCAATTCAAAAATGGAACCCGTTCCATGTCGCGACCCCGACGCAACCCCCGATTTTGCCAAAGGATGTCTACGAGGGCACTAAATGGGTCCCTATTCGCTGGAGCAATCTCAAGGTCGGAGATGTCATACGGCTGAATCGTGATGATTCTGTACCTGCCGATATCGTGCTCCTCTGGACCAGCGACGAGAATGACGTCGCCTACATCGACACTATGGCCCTCGATGGCGAGACCAACCTCAAAAGCAAGCAGCTTTCCTCGGCGCTCAGCGGATGCGGCACCATTGAGGGTATCGCCAACTGCAAGGCCACCTTCGTCGTCGAGAACCCAAACCCACAACTCTTCAATTTTGACGGCTCCGTGTCTGTCGACGGCAAAAGTGTGCCTCTCACCCTCAATGAGGTGATATATCGAGGCAGTGTCGTGCGAAACACGACCGCCGTTGTCGGCATCGTCATCAACACCGGAGAAGAGTGCAAAATTCGCATGAACGCGAACCAGAATCCCGTCGCCAAAAAGCCAGCCCTCGAGAAGATCGTCAATTGCGTCGTGGTTACCCTTGCAATTTATGTAGTTGTCGTGTCCCTTGGCCTTTTTTGGGGCCACGTTCTTTGGCGAAACCGTTATCTGGGCAATGCGTGGTTTCTTCCTCGTAAAGACTTCCGCGCTTACGAAATCGTCGTTCCCTTCATCATCATGTTCAACAACGTCGTCCCGCTTTCTCTGTATATCTCGCTGGAAATCGTCAAAGTTGGGCAGCTACTGCTCCTCAATTCAGATATTGGCATGTACGACGAAGAGACCGACACGCCTGCTAGATGCAACACCAACACAATCTTGGAAAACCTTGGTCAAGTCGGCTACATCTTTTCCGACAAAACTGGAACCCTCACAGACAATATCATGAAATTTCGCAAAATCAGCGTTGCGGGGACCGTGTGGCTGCACGAGATGGACTTGGTGGAAGAAGACGAGAATACAACGACTAGTCTTGGTGATTCAAGTCGAGAACCTTCGCTATACAAACCTGACCCGATTCCAACTTCACCGTTGAGCCCGTCCTACATGAAAAATCCCCTGTCACCGCGCATTTCCACGGGGGCCCGCCCCTCCATGAGTGGCCGGCGCTCGTCCTCTCACTGGCGTTCTACTGGGCGCCCCGATCACGTCCAGCCAGAAGTCAACACCGCCGACTTGCTGCACTACATTCAGCTGCGGCCCCATTCTGCTTTTGCTCGGAAAGCCAAGCAATACATCCTCGCAATGGCTCTTTGCCATACCTGTCTACCTGAGTACACCGATGGCAAGATTGAGTTCCAAGCTTCATCTCCCGATGAATTGGCGCTCGTCCGCGCAGCCCAAGACATGGGCTACTTAGTCGCCCAGCGAACGGCTAAGCACGTCACTGTCCAAATGGCACTGGCTAACGGCCAGCTCGAGAGACAGACGTATGAAATCCTCGACATAATCGAATTCAGCAGCAACCGAAAGCGCATGTCTATTGTCCTTCGCCGCCCGGATGGCCGAGTCACTGTCATTTGTAAGGGAGCAGACTCTGTTATTCTCCCCCGTCTGAAGCAGTCATCCCTCGCCATGCAGAAAGCCACCGAAATCCGCGCGAGCGCGGATCTGGAGCATGAAATGCAGCGCCAAAGTGAACAACACCAGCCCAGAAACAGCTTTGGAGGCAGGCCCAGTCTGACTGTCAGACACACCGCCAGCTACAAGCCGGAACCGAGCATACGACGTGCAGTGATGCATCGCAGCAAGTCCTTCGAGCTTAGAAAATTCGTGAGAAGCTCTGAAGACGGGACCCGAGCTGGAGCCTCCACGCGAGGCCTGTCCATGGATATTAACCGCGGACATATCCGTACGAGCGTGAATCCGCAGCACGCCCAGCTTCCAGAGAACCTACAATTCCTCGACGACCCAAGTATCCACGACGACTCTGAAATATTCTCCAAGTGCTTCAAACATCTTGATGACTTTGCCTCTGAGGGACTCCGAACTCTACTGTTTGCACAAAAAGATATTTCCGAGCAAGATTATCGCGCGTGGAAAAAGGTGTACGACGATGCGACGACGAGCTTTGACAATCGACAGGAAATGATTGAATCCGCCGGCGACATGCTTGAGCAGGCATTTTCTTTGGTCGGAGCCAGTGCGATTGAAGACAAACTACAAAAGGGTGTTCCAGAGACGATTGAGAAGCTCCGACGGGCCAACATCAGAATTTGGATGCTCACTGGTGATAAACGAGAAACTGCCATCAACATTGCCCATTCAGCGCGACTTGTCCGCCCTGGTTCGGATATTTATATCTTGGACGTTGCCAAGGGTGCTCTCGAATTCCAGCTGATTGCCCTCACCGAGGATCTCCAGGCAAGCACGCACCACAGCGTGGTCGTCATTGACGGGCAGACTCTGGGAGCCGTCGAAGAGTCGCCAACACTGTCGAAGCAGTTCTTCGACATCATGCTAAAAGTTGACACAGTCATCTGCTGTCGCGCGTCCCCCGCGCAAAAGGCGCTTCTGGTGCGCACAGTTCGGAACCGGCTCAGTAAGTTTGGCCTCAGCTGGCGCAAAGGCCTGACGCTTGCTATTGGCGACGGCGCCAACGACCTGGCCATGATCCAGGCCAGCCACGTGGGCGTTGGCATTTCTGGTCGTGAGGGCCTACAGGCCGCGCGGGTCGCCGACTACTCGATCGCGCAATTCCGATTCCTGCAGCGTCTACTACTCGTCCACGGACGGTGGAACTACGTGCGCACGGCCAAGTTCATCATCTGCACGTTCTGGAAGGAGATGTTCTTCTACCTCCCGCAGGCCTTCTACCAGCAGTACAACGGCTACATAGCTACCTCACTATACGAAGCGACCAGCCTCACAGTCTTCAATACGCTGTTTACTAGTCTGTGTACGATCTGTATGGGCATCTGGGAGCAAGACCTGCGGGCGGAGACGCTGCTGGCGATCCCGGAGCTGTATGTGTACGGGCAGCGCGACATGGGTCTAAATTTAGGCAAGTACTTGCGCTGGATGCTGCTTGCGGCCGTCGAGGGCGTCATGTTATGGTACGGTGTGTGGGCTGGCTATGGCTGGCAAATGTCACAGGGCTCCCTGGATGACGGACTGTACGGGCTGGGCACGCTCGTGTTCACGACGGGCGTGTTGTGGATCAACTTCAAGCTGTTCGTGCTCGAGACGCACCACAAGACGGGCATTGTGATAGGATCCTTCTTCGTCACCACTCTTGGCTGGTTCCTGTGGCTGGTTTTTCTCGACAACATCTTTCCCCGGTCGGCGCTGCCCACCTACGAGATCCGCCATAGTATGGGGAGGTGGGGGCGCGACCCGGCCTGGTGGATGACGTTGTTTGCGGTGCTCAGCCTGCTGGGGCTGTTGGAGATGACACTCAAGGTAGCCAAGCGGCACCTCATCCTCGCGGGCGTCTGGAAGTGGCCGCCGTGGCGTGGATCAGCCGGGCTGAGCGAGAATGTCGAGGAGTGGGACGTGGAGATGTGGCAGGAGTTGGAGCAGAATCCGGCAGTGAAGGCCAGGTTGAAGCTCATGGCACGCGAGTATGATGAGCAGGAGCTGGATGGCGAGGAGGGGGGAGAGGGGGAAGAGGAGGGGGAAGAAGAGGAGTATGGGCAGAGGGGACCGGTGGAGGAGACGATCGAAGTGAGTGCGAGCCATGATGATGAGGAGAGGGGCGAGAAGAGGAAAACGGCATTTGTTTCTTCGGCGTGGCGTAAATTGAGAAAATGATACCCTTTGTTTTTACTAGAGACATGGTAGTAACAGTATAGATTCATCATCTCTTTTTGAATATGGAATACGATTATGAACATTTCATGATTCTTTCTTTCTACTTTGGTACATTTTGTAGCTTCTTCATGTTCCTCGCTTCCTGCATTTCCTCTTGTCCCTTTTCCGTCTTCGATTCGCACACAAGACCCCTTCGTTCCATCACTCCTCGCCCGCTTGAAACTTGGCCAGGCCCTCCGTAACGGCCGCCGTAAACTCCGGAGTCTCGGCCATGAACGCCGCAAAGTTGGCCCTCCTCCCCAGGTCATCGTAGTGGAAGAGGCAGTACGAGTACGCCAGCCTCCGCAGCTCGCTTCAGTGCTCCTCCGCCAGCCACGGCCACAGCTTCGCCTGCCGCGCGCACAGCCGCAAAAAGTGCACCCCGTCCCAGATCTCCCGCACGCTCACGATCAGCCTGTGCAGCTTGTGCAGGCACAACCTCACCAGCTCCGCCACCTCGTAGCGCGCCGCGAGGAGGTACACCCGTACCACCGCGCACAGCGCAAACTGGCCCTCGTCGTCCACCTCACCGCCTTCCCAGTCGTTGTCGAATCGTGCAAGACGCGGGCCGGCGTAGCGGCGACGGCGGACAAACTTGGCCCAGGCGCGGCGCCGGCGGGGGGAGGACGGGCCGGCGGGGGGCAGGAAGCGGCTGCGGTAGCGGGTGGGGGGATGGCTGGGCGGGACGGAGCGGAAGAGGGGGGAGGGGAAGTCGCCGGTGTGGAGGAAGGCGAGGAAACGGTGAAAGGTGGACGCGTCGCAGTCGGGGAGGTAGGCGCAGGGCGTGACGAGGGCGTGGCGACGGGAGGCGGCGTCGCGGATGGTGTGCGCGAGGACGGGGGAGGAGCGGGAGAGGAGGGCGCAGGGGACGGGGTGGTGCGTGGCGGAGGCGCCGATGAGGAAGATGAAGGTCGGACCGGGCGTGCCGGGCGTGGATGGGCACGGTGTGGCCGGGTTGGGTTGCTCGCAAGAGGGGAAAGCAGAAGAAGAAGAAGACGAAGAAGAAGCTGGTTGGGGCGTGTGGTTGTGCTTCGGAGGAGGTTGGATGATCTTCATGGCTGCGGAAGAGCTCGAAAGTTGGTCGAAAGAGCGAGATGATGGGAGACAAGGCAAGAGTATGAATCTGGGAGGGAGAGAGGGTAAAAAGGCAAGTTGTAAGTGGGAGAGGGGAAAGTGAACAGCAACAGAAGCGTGTGAGAACTTCGCAACGTGCGGGCGTCGTTCACTTTCACCAAGGCAAACGGTGCTCGTTTGCACGGCTGCTCAAAGTCAGTAATGTTGTTTGAACGTGTTTTCTCTGGAGGCTGTGAAAGGAGGACTGCCATTGGAGAGATGACCTTGGACAAACTCTTCCAACAGCAGATGCCCTCTGGAGGTGAAGTAGGCACAAACACTACGACAAGAGCAGACATGACATCTAAAGTAATGGGTTTTCAATAATGATTTCTCGTCTTTTGTTGTAAGCTATTTTCTTGATAAAGTAAAGCAAAATGATTAAATCTGCCGATTCTAAATGACTCTCCGTTGTAACCCCCCAATTCAAAACTCTCTCCGCTGTAACAGCCCTGGTTCAAAATGACTCCTTGCAGCAGCATCTCCCAGACCTTGAAAGCTAAAATGGTTAATATGCAAAACGAATTGTCGAGAAACTTTCCCCAGCATTCCTGTCTCATCTGCGTGCCAGTCTTAATCAGTGTTGTGCTCGCGAATGAAGCTGATGTAGCATTCCAAAATCTTGGCGGCGAGATCTGGTTTCTCCTTCAACAGCGCTTGGAAATCGTGGTATCAAGACTTTTACGTGGGCGTACTCTTAGAAGTCGCGTGGACGCATCTTGCGAAGCCCCTCGCTAGACATCGGCCCCGATGCCGACTTTGCGGAGTGACAGTTTCGGCCGTGATGAGACGCTAGATCTAGCTCGAGCCTTGAATCTGGCTTTGTTAATTGGTTTTTACGAAATGCGCTCTCGTGGCTCTTCTTTGATAGTTGCGAGATTCCTCAAATTACTACGTGTTTGCTTTGCTTCATTATGCCACCCTATCTGTTAGCTGGGGCGTCGGAACCGAATTCATGAGCTCAACTCAATTTCAATGCCGGGACAAATCAAGTCAAGTGCAGAATTATCATTAACTAGTTTGCTTACTTTAACCTCGTAGTGTCGCACACTCATACAAGCACCAAAGTAGGCTGACAGATCCATTGCCTCACCACTGCTGCTGCCAGCTTGGACATTAGCATGTACAATTTCGCAATGTTTTTTTCTTCCAATATATAGCCAATATCCCACATAGGCACAAGTCAAGAGTTGGGCAAGTAAGTTACTTGAGGTAGAAAGAAGGATATGTTGATCACACCTAAATAGTTGACGAGATTGGGAGTCGAGAGGGTCAAGATGGAATATTCAACAACAAAACTCAAATAAACAAATGAAGAGCAATACATCAACAAGGACTTGTCATTAAATATAATTACTTCGGTCTCCAACACTACAAATCCGAAAAAGGCAAGTCCCCAAGGGACCTTCCGTCCTGCCGGGCCGCTGTATCCACACCTCTCTCTCCACGCTACCATCAACCACCCAACACCTTCATTCCCAACATCCTCAACGCAACAACCTCCCGCGGCCAGCCTTTCCTCTTCCGTCCCTCCGCCAACATCATGGCCGAGGCAAGCGACGCGCCCTCCTCCTCCGCCGCCGCGCTCGACGTTGTCTTCTACGTCGCCCGCTCCGTCTGGTCCGTCCGCTGGGGCCGGCACCTCTTCCGCGCCGCGCGCGTCGCCGCCCTACCACTATCCCTCGTCACCGTGCCTTTGCGCCACCTCGCCTCCGCCGTGCTCGTCCTCTGCGCGCCGCTCCTCTACCTGGTCGGCTTCGCCGTCGCCGCCGCGCAAGGCACTCTGTCCCTGCTGGCCAGCCTCAAGGTGCGTTCTCTCCCCCCCCCCTCCCCCCTCTCCCGTTCCGGTGGTAAATCTTGGCTAAACTCCTCGTCATCAGCCTCTGTATAGCTTTGTAAGTCGTCACCGCCACCCCCGGTTGATTGTGAGGAGGAAAAGAACATATGATGCAAGTACCGGGTGAAGCGAAGCAAGCTGACACTGCGCGCGAAGCTCTCTGCAGCCGCTGGCATCGGCATCGTCGCGGGCGTCGTCCTCGGCGCCACCTCGTCCGTCGTTACCTCGTACCTCGGCATGCAGGACTCCGACGAGGACCGCTACGAGCGCGAGCGCGACTCCATCGACTACTACTACGACCGCGACGACGAGGAGGTGGAATACGAAGGGCGCGACTATCGATACGACCCGGACACATATCCCGATTACCGAAAACAACACCTGCGCGCCAGCGACCCCGACGTCCTTCTTAAGCGGCGCCTTGCCCGCGGCCTGCTGTCGCAAACGATTCACGAAGAAGACGACTCGTCTGGCGAGTGAAAAGCCATGACAACGCCACGATATATGCTCTCCCCTTTACACGTCAAAATTTCGCTTCCATTCTCGCCTCGAATTTCTCTCTTCAAATACCCTTCTGCGCCCACCCACGATACCCAATGACCACCCTGCCATCTTTAGAAAATGCAATGAAGCGCTTCATAGTTACAAAGGGCTCTTCCACCGCGTCCCTTTCTAATACAAACAAGTTTAAAACATGCTGTTCGTCGATCCTTACTCCAAGATCAGTTCCCCCCCTTCCTTTCCATTTTCGCACTCTCTGCCCGAGCAAAAATGATAAACAAAGCTCTTGCCAAACCGTATGTATTCTGGAAAATTGTATGTTCTGTCTACCTTTCATCATCGGGGCCGATCCGATGGTCGGTACACGTCCAATGGCCGGTACTCGTTGCGCGCCTTCCTCTTTTTCCTCTTTCTCTTCGGCTGGTGGCTGTTTGCTGCAGGCTCTGTAGAGGGACGGCTCGCATAATCACTCTGGCTCTAACGTCGGTACATGTCGCGCTCGCGCTCGCGCTCGCGATGATCCCGCCGCTCCATCCCGGGAGACCGACTTCTGCTAGTGCGGTGGTCTCTGTCGCGGTCTGGCCGGCGGTCATCTCTCGGCGGACGCCGCTCGTCGCGTGGCGGCCGGTCATCCCTGCGTCGTCCACCATCATCCCGTCCGTAGCTGGGTATGTACGTGTCCGTGTCTGGTGCGCCGCGCTGTCCTCCGGGGCCACCGCCTGGTCTATTTCTGGGTGGTGCTCGATCGCGGTCGCGGTAGTCATCATCTCGGCCCCCTCTTTCCGGCGGAGGGCCGCGGCCCGGTGGTTGTGGACCTCGATCTCGCTGCCAAGCTGGTCTTCTATGTTCGTCTGCGCCGCGGTATCTGCCATTAGCACTTCCGTTTCTACCGTAACCGTCGCCACTGTTGAAGCCGGCCGTCGCTCCGTGGGCATCTGGCCCAATCCCGACTGTGCCTCCTTTAGGGGCGGGTGGTAGGGCTGCCTTGCGGTCTTGAAACTTTCTGCGATCTAGCTCATGGCTTTCTTCGTAGGTAGGAATTTCATGCGGCTCCATTGGTAGTGGCGCCATTTTGAAATAGCCGTGCTCCAGTGCGTCAACGGCATTGATGCGGGTCTTCCAATCTAGCCTCATGAGCTCTTTGAGAAGCGATATCGCACCGCTTCCAAACCTAATAGCAACAAGTCAGCACATGCCTAGAATGTAAATGCAATAGGTACTCACTCCCTGAAGCGTGTTTCCAGATTTCCAGAGCGTGGGCGCGGTGATAAATGTTCACCACCAGGCAGCATCTTCCAGCCCGGCATGTTGTCCTCTGTCGGCGAGCCAAGAAGGTCCCAAATTATTTCAAGCTGAGCAACATCGCTCTCACCCGCTAGGATAGGCTTGCCGATTAGCATCTCTCCAAAGACACACCTGAGCCGTGTTAGTACGCGTCGCGAATATCTCTGGCATTGGTGCTTACCCAACACCCCATACGTCAATAGCTGTCGTGTACTGGCGCAACTGTAGTAGCAGCTCCGGAGGGCGATACCACCTGGTCACGACAAGGCCAGTGTAGTCTCGGCGACCGTTCCCCATTGGTCGTCCGGGCTGCGGCGTCGGCCCGTCGTAATGCCTCGCAAGACCAAAATCGGCAATTTGGAGGTTGCCAGTGTTGCTGATCAACAGGTTTGCGGCCTTCATATCTCGATGCAAAATATGCTGATCGTGGAGATAACGCAGGCCTTGCAGGAGCTGAAGCATATAGCACTTGATCTGGCCTTCTTTGAAATGTACGGCGGGGTTGTCGAGCAATCCGGAAAGATCGTGGTCCATGTATGGTGTAACGGTGTACATGATGTGTTTTTTTCGCTTCTCGGCTGGGGGGCTGTGTTAGCTGGATCATAAGCCTGTGGTGGATTAGCTGGAGCACGCACATGATCGTGAAGGATGCTCTACAGCCATATCTTCGAGCCGCAGGACATTGACATGGTTGAGGAGTTTGAGGAGTTTGATTTCTCGCAGCGCGGTGATTGGAAACTAAGATGTTGTCAGAGACGCCACTGTGGAGCGAGGTGTTGGTGAAGCCTCCTTACGCCGTCCTTTTCGTTATGCATGATAATCTTTTTCAAGGCAACGATTGCGCCTGTCTTTTTCGATCGAGCTCGGTGAACCTCACTGCAGGTCTTTGTCAGCAAAGCGCGTCCACTGACATCGAGAGCTTCTTACCCAAAGGTTCCCTCTCCGAGTTTCCCCTGCAGCTCATAGTCTCCGATGCGTGAGCAGCCGCGAAAGCTCGTCTTGGGTCGCTGGTGAGCGATGGCGAAGGAGCGCGGCGATCTGTTGTCGGGTACTGAGGTTGGAGCGGGATCCATGATCTCGAGTAGCCGCTGCGGGGTATTTCGGCGTCACACTGGAAGCAATTAAAGCGAGGGCAGTTCGTGCGGCTAAATGTAGTGGTGGCGGCGGTGGTGGGAAGAGTGAAAGGCATCGATCGCGACGAAGATTTGTAGACCCCGGCGCTGTGCCAAAAAGCCTTGGGATGTAGTCGTCGAGCTGGGAGGAATTGCGCAAAATGGGACGGAAACGACGTAGAAAAATATGGCGCAGTGTATGCGATACTAAGACGGTACCTTAAAGGATGGAGAGATTGTGCGGTGATGGGCTGGAGAGAGTGACTACCAATGGCCCGCGTTGTGATGTGATGATGGTGCGAGAGTAGAATGAAGTTGGGCGGCTACGAATAAATGCACAGGTTACGTAGGTAGGGTCCAAGCCAGGACGGTCTGAACTAGATCTATACCGCATCTGTACTTGTTTTCTCTTAGAGGTACAGCGCAAAGCTATGTACTAGGAGGGTAGCGCCCCCACGGGAGCTGTCCAAGGCACGACAGGGGCCAAGAACGATGGCGGCGCCTGGCACTACGCAGAGTCAACGACGCACTTGGTATTATTTGGCTCCTCTTATTAGTTGATATATGCATTGACAGACGAGGTCTCAAACCTGATCAATCGATCGCCGTTTACGTCCGAGGATAATGACGTGATGGAACTGGACTTTGAAGAGATGGAAGTGTAGAAAATGGGCTTTGTCAGGATTCACAGTTTGGCAGCGATGTCGACCGATTATCACGTACACGAACAAGGTGCTTCTTGTTTAGGTAGGCTTTTGGCCTTTCTGTTGATGATGGAAATTGTAGGCAAGTACCATTTCCACATGCTGGGGGATAGGACTGGCACATGAAATCAGCTACTTTCCTACTTTTCCCCGTTCAGTCCGAGTTTACATAATCTGTGCTATATATATGTATGTATATAGTTAAAGTTGATTTGTGCCGTATTTTATTCTTCACGCAGTGCCTGCCTATATACGTACCACATTCTAAGTAAACCACCAACGGGGTGGCCGCTGGCCGCCGGCTGCCAGCTGCCAAGCCTCAACGGCAAACACCATGACCAAAACATCACCACATCACTTCCTTGCCTTCTTCTTAGATATTATCTCTAATCGGACTATTGCTATTCATCATCAGCGTCCCCCGCTCTCGATCCATCCCCTCGTCTACTGTGCCCACAACTCCACGGCCCACAACTCGCCCCAGACTCGTTGTTGTCCCGACCAAACGACTTTTCACTAGGCTCCGGCGTGCCGCATCCAAAGGTCAAAAGAACGCCATGACTAAAATAAAGACTCGACAGACTTTTTTCGTCGCGCGTGAGCCACAAATGGATACAGACGGCTTTAAAATGGCCAACGACTACGCTTCCCGGAGTTGAAACTGCATGGATCTCACTACTCTTGCTAGTCCGACATCGCTCGACGCCAAAGCAAAGCCTGTCCGTCCTTTTACGATTACGATTTATTAATGGGCGGCACCTCCCATCCACAACATCCTCCACCAAGTTACAACGTACTCAACATTTTCTCACTGCCTGACCTTGACGCTGCTCAAGAGCCCAATCCCAATCCCGATTCCGATTCGTGCGCCGCTCAGCTTGTCTCAGCGCTCCCCTCGCTATTTTGTCGCCCATCACTTCGCCAGGTCGACGACCACCTCCTCGTGCAAAGACTCCACGATCTCCGGTAGTCACCATGTCCCCGGCCACCGTCCTTCCGCCCGCTGAGCAGCGCCCCGGCTCTGTCGCCACGGGCCTCCCCGAGTCCCGCGTTCTCATCATCGGCACCGGAGGCACCATCTGCATGCAGGAAGGCCCTGACGGCCTGCAACCCAGTGGCAACTTTCTTGAGAGCGCCATGGCTCCTCGTCCAACCTTTAACGACCAGTCCGGACCCCAAGGTTAGCTTTTCTGCTGCCTCTTCCTCATCATTTGCACTATACGCCGTGCGCAGTGCTGTGTCGCAGGCCCACTAACAACCTTTGTAGTCACCATGCAAGCTAGCCTCAAGGGCAAGCTCATGTCCATTGATAGTCTGCGCACTCCGCCGACTGCCTATGGCCGACATATCCGATATGGAATCCTCGAGTTTGACCCTCTCCTCGACTCGAGCTCCATTTCTGCCAACGACTGGGATGCCATGGCCGAGTGCGTATTTGAGAACTATAACCTCTTCGACGGCTTCGTCATTCTCCACGGCACCGACTCGCTGTCTTACACGGCTTCTGCGCTGTCCTTCATGATGTCCAACCTTGGAAAGCCTGTCATCCTTACCGGCTCTCAGGCGCCCATCTTCGCTCTGCAGTCTGACGCCGTCGGCAATCTGCTGGGCTCACTCATCATCGCTGGTACCTTTGTCATCCCCGAAGTCTGCCTGTTCTTCCACAACCGCCTCTATCGCGGCAACCGCACAACCAAGGTCTCGGCAGCCTCCTTCCAGGCCTTTGACAGCCCCAACTTTGAACCGCTTGCGCAGGTCAACGGCCTGGGAGTCAGTGTGAACTGGAGCCTCGCTGAACGCGCCACTTCGATTGCCCCATTTTCCATCTCCAAGCGACTTGACACTACCCACGTTGCTTGTTTGCGTGTGTTCCCTGGCATCAAGCCGGAAATGGTTGACGCAGTTCTGCATCTACCCGACATTCGTGGTCTGATTCTGGAAACGTTTGGTATGGGTAACGTTCCCGGTGGCGTTGATGGCCGTCTGACGCAAGTCATCAAATCTGCTGTTGAACGCGGGCTCATCGTCGTCAACGTTAGCCAGTGCGTAAACGGCTTCGTGTCCCCGGTCTATGCCCCTGGTACCCAGCTCGGTCGGGCTGGTGTCATTTTTGGTTTGGATATGACTGCCGAAGCAGCCCTTGCCAAACTGTCCTACCTCTTGTCTCTCGGAATCACAAATAAAGAAATCACAGAGCTCTTCTCCAAGTCCCTCCGCGGAGAGGTCACTGAGATTGCTCACCCTACCTTCACTCATCCGACGGCACCGCTTCAAAACCCCGCCGCTCGCCTCACAGATGTTGAGTCTGCTTTCACCGCTCTGGGATACGCTATCCAAAATGGCGAAATTTCTGTCGTCAGGGATCTTCTGAAGGGCGAAGGCAGCCAGCTCCTCAAGACGGCGGATTATGCGGGCAACACGGCTGTTCATCTTGCCGCCGTCTCTGGTGACACTGCTATCATGCTCGAGCTCCTTCAGCAGGGTGCCAGTGTCCATGAGCGCAATCGCGCTGCTAACTCGCCACTGTTCCTTGCCACCCTTTCCGGCAAGGAAGAATGCGCACAGCTTCTCAAAGCTGCGGGCGCTCATCTCTCTGTTGAAGAGGTCGAGCGACAACCGCTTGCAACGCCTCCTCGTAAGGAGTAGTTTGGCTTTCAAGATCAGTTTGGCAGCAAATGGTTAATTTTTAGGCCGCTGTACAGAAAATTATAAATAAAACGTAAACGAGTATATCATGGCATATTATAGCAGGGGGGCCTGCTTACGAGATAACAATGAACATTCATCGACCTGCCGGAGTACCAAGAACATGAAAATGGTCACAGGCGGTCATGATACTGTTTTAAATGGCAGGATTATACTGAATACTCGAAGAGAAAAGGGTTTCGAATAAAAAGTACTAAAAGGGATGAATAAATTATGTGCAGCTTCTTATGAGTAGACGTACATATCTGCAGGAAAGGTGCCTGACAAGGTCGCAAACCCCGCATCGCCTGCTTGCGTGATCCCGTACGGCCATCTGATCATGCTACTAATACTGTAACTGCTGGGAGATTACTTCTAATTTGCAGATCCTGCCTCCTCAATCTCAGAGATCTCAGAGATCCAATTGATCTTGGATCTGGGGAATGGTGCAGAGACATCGTCGGGGCGGGTTCGAATTGCAGACTATTTCCATCGCAACATGTCCACGGAAAGGCTCTGCCTGGCTCTCTAGATTCAAGTTCTAGCCTTTATCGGGCACGAGGAGCGAGGTCGATAGTCCTGGCCATGCTGCTTCAACTTGTCGCATAGGCGTGGTGCTGCTAAGCAATGAAGAACTGGATGGCATGACTAGAAATTAAGATACAGCCAACTGAAACGCTGCTTATTTTGCCGTCATCAAGCCAGCAGCCTTTGCATCGCAAACTCAACCTCGTCCTTGTTCCCGCAGACGAAGCCGCCCGTCTCGTTGATGTCCTCGACCGGCCTGGCCAGGACGTCCTGGCCCGTCTCCGCGTCCACCGCCGCGCCCCCCGCGCACTCGACCACCATGGCCACCGGGCAGAGCTCAAACAGGCGCCGCAGCTTGGCGCGGCTGCCCTCGGCGACGGGCGAGACGTACACGCCGTGGCCCTTGGAGAGCGCGTGCGCGACGTCCGGCACCAGCCCGCCGCTGTAGCGCAGCGTGTAGCGCTCCGCGACGTAGTGCGTGACCAGCGCCATGTACGCCGACGCCTCGGACGCGGCGCGGAGGTTCGCCGGCGCAAAGTACCTCGTCTTCGCGCCGGAGAGGTAGCGGACGTCGGGGCGGGTCACGACGACAGGCACGGTGGCGTCGTCGCCGAGGCCGACCTCGAAGCAAACGGCGGGCGAGGCGGCGCCCGGCACGCGCAGCGCCACGAGCGCCGTATTGCGCGAGCCGTAGCTAGCCAGCACGGCGGCGACCTGCCTCTCCCGCGGCTTCCCCGCCAGCGCCGAGGCGCCGTCCCACAGCCCGACGATGGTGCCGACGGCCCAGCCGGGGCCGACGATGGAGCTGCCGTCCAGGGGGTCGAACGCGGCGGCGTAGACCTCGCGGCGGTGGTCCGGCACGCGCACGGTGTGCTCGACGGGCCGCTCGACGGGGTCCTCCTCGCTGCTGGCGGCGACCACGGAGGGGCAGCGCGCGAGGGCGACGCGGACCAGCTGCTCAGCAGCAACGTCGACGTTGAGCTGGGCGTCGCCGAAGACGTTGGTGCTGCCGACGGCGACGACGGCGTGGGAGGAGCGGAGAGCCTTGCCGACGTCGGCGAGCGAGGCGAGGAGCGTGGGGAGGACGGAGGTGCAGAGGGCGGAGCGCTGCTCGTAGGCGATGGGGCCGAGGATGGCCTGGAGGTGGTCGTGGAGGGAGTCTGGAGAAGACATTTTGGCCGTGCCGGGTGGCTGTAAGCCTGCGCAGAGCGGGGATGTGGTTGGTGATGATGATGTTGGAGAGGCAATTCTTGCACATAGTCGAGATGATGTCAAAATACCTCAACACAGTGCGGACCCGCCAGGCTGAAGACCTCAATCACAGCACGTCGAAGCAGAAAAATTTATTCCGTCTTTTTTCTCTCGTAAAGTTAAATCACTTTTGAAATTCATATCTGTAACCCCCGGCTTGTACTCTATATTCTAGCGTCGTCAGGATGCCCTCATAAAGCAAACGAGTTGAAGCATCTAGTGGGTCTTGCGCAGCGCAGTAGAGCTGGCTAGCAATGCGGCAATGAGAACTAAAGCAGTTGCAAATGAAGAGGCCATAAACGAATACCGGATACCGTCGTAGTAAACGTGCTGTACCTTGAGCTGAATGTCCGGCGATAGGTCGCGGAGGGCATCCACCGAGTGTCGGATATCGTCGATGATCTAGACAATGCAGCAGAGCAAACAAGCCCAAACGTTAGCAAACCGTCAACAGAAAAGGGGGGATGATTTCGTGTCGCCGGAAACGGGCAGCTATAGGGTCTCACTTTCCATTTATTTGGAACATCACCCAAAGCCTCCGGCAGGCCGACGCTGAGCGTGGTCTGCAGGATGGCTGCTGTTATCGAGACCCCCCACATTGTACCAAGAGATCGGACGAGATATACGGTCGAAGCGGAAACTGCATGATCTAGGGGGTGTGAGAAAGAAATACTGCGATTGTCATTGTGACTGGGCATCGTGGGGTGATTGTACTTACCGGCGTGCTCGAAAGAAGCGAGCGAAGTAAAGAGAATGGATGGATAGACGATGCCTTGGCCAAAGTTGGCGGGGAAGATGTACGCAAAATACTTCCAAGACGAGTCTGAAAAGGCAAGGGTGGCCGTCAGGGTGTTTCCGAGTAGCATGAAGAACGCACCGACTCGCACAAGCGGCACGAGCTTCCCCCAGCGTGACATGACGATGCCTGCCACGAGGCCGCCGAGAGGACCGGCGAGGGATGGAACGGCCAGACGAGCGCCGGCCTTTGCGGCAGGCTCTAACAGAACGGCCTGGAAGAATAGAGGCAACATGAACAAGTACTGCAGAGCTGTCTGTTAGCTACTGCCCCAATTACTTACCCAAAATAGATTCCATGCCTGACTCACAGCATAGGCAGCAGCACCCGCCAAGAAATTGGCAGTCTGGATCAGCACCGGCAGTCTCCCTTTAAAGAGCCGCAACGGGATGATGGGCATGGCGCTCGTCGTCGCCTCCACGCGGAGGAACAGCCCGAGCAGCGCCACGCTCAGCACCACGAGCCCAACGACCCAGGGGCTGCTCCACGGCAGCTCGTTGCCGCCGAGGCTCAGCCCGAGCAGCTGTGCTGAGATGGCGGCGACGAGCAGCACCGCGCCGCGAAAGTCGACGCGCCTCCAGACCAGGCCGAGCCGTCCAGACGAGGCGGTGACGCCGCCCGGCGTCGGCTTAGGGAGCACCCGGGCGCCGAATACGAGCGCGGCGAGGGCGCACGGCGTCTGCGCGAGGAAGCACCACCTCCAGCCCACGGAATCGGCGATGCTCCCGCCGAACGCGGCGCCGCAGATGGCGCCGAAGCCGACGATGCCGTTCTGCATGGCCTGGTACATGCCGCGCTTGCGAAAGGGGATGAGGTCCGAGTTGATGATGGTAGCTGGAAGCGGGAAGAAGTTAGAGCCACCGAACAAGACGAGGAGAGAAAGAGAAAGGGGGAGAGGGTATACCCATCGTCATTAACCCGGCACCGCCGATGCCGGCCAGCGCCCGCATGCCAATCAGGCTCAGCACGCCCGGCGCCAGGCCGCAGCCCAGGCACCCCGCGGCGAAGGCGAGGGACGAGACGGCGAAGCAGGCGCGGCGGCCAAAGATGTCGGAGACGCGGCCGTAGAGCGGCTGGAAGGCGGCGGCGGTGATGAGGTAGGCGGTGGTCAGCCAGGCGGCCTTGTTGGCGGCGGCGAACTCGGAGCTGATGACGGCGTATGTGGACGCGGTGACGGTGCCGTCGAAGCCGTACAGGAAGACGTTGGTCATGATGGCGACCTGCATCCAGGCGAAGCCCCGCGGCGGCGTCCAGGATGCGTCCTCCTCGTCCGGCGGCGCTCCAAGGAGGGCTCGGCGGCTGGACGTCGGTTGAAGGGCTTCCAAGTCCTCGATGTCACCCGCGTTGTTGTTGTCCGGATCGTCCAGGTCATGATGAAGCAAAAACGACCGGCTCTCTTCTTCTGCTTCTGGCCGGTCGCGGACGGCGGCTGCTCCTGCTGCCAAGGCGGCGGTGGCGGCCCACTGGTCCGCCGGGATCCCGCCGCCCGGCCCGGTCTCGGTCTCTTGTCGGGGCATAGACATATCTTGGACAGTTTTTCTTTGCCCCTCGCGCTTGCGGTGTAACAAACAAAAACAGGGTAGATACGCGCGCTCACGAAGGAGGCGAGGGAGGAAAAAAAAGAAATAAAAAAAAATACTACAGTAAGCACACACAAGTGTAGATGGTTACGGGAAGGTGATGGTGGTGGTGATGTGACGGCACTACACGGGACAAAAAAAAAATTGTGCGACTACGTTATGCGGGGGCTGAGTTGCGCAACCACCCGATGGACCGATTCGGCCTCGCATGAGGCAATCATCTATCAGCCACTAGAATCTTTGGGTTTTATTATTAATGAACTCCTTCTCAGTTGATAACTAAGCACTACGGTCTTGGGTGCTTTCCGCTCGGATCCGGCATCGGAATAAGTCAAAAGATGCGAGCGGGAATGGGGAAGCGGAACGGGATTGTGGCCGTCCACCAATCCTTCTTTGGGAATAATGATTCAAAATTTCCCCATGCATGGACGGGACTCGATCAAGTCTGTGCTGCAGATTGCACAGAAAAAAAAACTGGTGCGCCTCATAATAGCCGAGCGCGAACAGACGTGTGCAAGTCTGGAGGCAAGACAGGGCGTCGGCAGCGCCTGTCGCACGAAGCAAGACTATGCAATCAACTGTTTTAACTGAGGGTTAAAGTCAAGATTTATTAGGGCTAAATGGCTGATCAAGATCAGTCGGTCAATGTAGAGATTGCCGATGAACAGAGCCGATATGCACTGGCTTTCTTCGCCCCTCCCCCCCCCTCCCCGCCATTTGCGGTCGGAACGCCGAGCCCGTGTGGGAATTAACAAAAGCGTTGTATAGTTTATTGGTAACTAAGTAACAGCGGGTAAAATTGGTTTCCTTATATTAACATACAACGCCTTGCCGTCTTGGCAGGGATCTCTCTTTCCTTTCTCTTCTTCCCCCAACCTCCACTTCGTCCGCCGCCACTTACACGAACAGCAAACAATTTGTTCCTTCCATCCAAAGAAAAAAAAAACAAAAGGAGTATCGATTCTTTGGACTCGATTTCAAGTAATGGTAGCGAGGGAGGGGGCGTGATAGCAAACAGAAGTGAGACCCTTTGCATTACCCCACGAAAGACCGTGATGGCGAGTTGTGCTTCACTGCGGCGACGACAAACAATATTTTGATAGACGCGGGTGAATGAACCCGGCGAGAAGAGAAAAAAAGGCCGTTGGGGATCTCGAACAGTCTATGCCTTCCACAGTGCATCATCGAGGATAGCAAAAAAAACCACTCACACAACATATCCCCAGCAAAAGGGACCACCTCCTCCTCATTCCAGTGCGGCTGCACAGGGCCCTTTTGTCCTGGCAGCGCTGTCTCACCATTCGAGATTCGATCCGTCTTGTTTTAATAAAAGGCCGAGGAACGAACTCGATCGTTGAGCTGTCGTCTGCTCAACCTGATTCATCCTTTTCTTCCTCTTCTGGCCTGACCCCGAACACGACAGATAACAATCATCATAATGGACCGATCCGTCAAGACACCGGTGACGTTTGCCGCGACGGAGCCGGGGCCGACGGACAAGAGCTCGGGCAGTAACTGGTACCAGCACACCGACGATAGCGCCGCCTCGCGGACGTGCGTGTCCTCGTCGGGCGAGGAGGGCCACGACAGCAAGGGCAAGCCTGGGGAGGCGATGCCGCTGTCTCGGGCCAAGGCCATTGCCCTCGTCATTACCCTGACGGGGGCGGCCTTTATAAATGTAAGAATCAGCTCGTGTTGTTTTGTATCTTTTTGTCTCTCTTGCCTGATTGCTCACATGTCGACCACCTGATCAAAAGATGCGAAACGTGCCCTTCCCCTCTCCCCACCTTGTGATATCGTGAAGTCATGTCTGTCTAACATCAACTTCGTCTAGACCCTTTCTGCTCAGAGCGTTGTCATCATCCTCCCCGCCATGGGCAAGTCGCTCGACATCCCCGACAGCCGCTTGCAGTGGATCGTGTCCGCCTACTCCCTCACCTTTGGCTGCTTCCTGCTGCTCTGGGGCCGCATCGCCGACATCTTTGGCAAGCGCTTCATCTTCATCGCCGGCTCCATCTGGGTCACCCTCGCCACCGCCCTGAACCCGCTCATGCCCAACGAGATATCCTTTGATCTTTTTCGGGGTCTGCACGGACTGGTAGGCCGCTTCCCATGTCAACCAGCCCTGTATGATGATGTTAAACATGAACTGGGAGACTAACCTCGATAGGGCGCCGCGGCAAATGTTCCCACGGCAATCGGCATTCTCGGCGTCACGTTCCCACCAGGAAAGGCCAAAAACTATGCCTTTGCCACGTACGGTACGTCAAGCATCCCCCCCTCGATGCCCGTACCCTTGCTCATCGCAAACAACTCACTCTCTCTTCTAAAAGGAGCCGGTGCGCCTCTCGGAAGCATCTTTGGCAGCATCCTGTCCGGCGTCATTGCCCAGTACGCCAGCTGGAAGTGGGTGTTTGGCTGCATGGCCATCATGGCGGCCGCCATCTCCGTCGCCGGCTTCGCCCTCGTCCCTCACGACCCGGCGCTGCCCAAGCTCGCTGGCGGCGAGGAGGATACCATCGCGGCGCGGCTCCGGCTCGTCGACTGGATCGGCGGCGCGCTCATCACCGTCGCTCTCTTCGCGCTGCTCTTCGCGCTGACCGAGGGCAACGTCGTCGGCTGGCAAACGGCCTGGGTCGGCTGCCTGATCGTCATCTCAGTACTACTCCTCGTCGCCTTCTTCTTCTGGCAGCGGCACCTCGAGAAGCGGCAGCGGCAGGGCCTCGGCGGCGGCCGGCCTCCCCTGATGAAGGTGTCCATGTTCCGCAGCCGCCAGTTCACCGCCGTCATGGCCATCATGTGCCTCTTCTTCGCCTCCTTCAACAACTTCCTCGTCTTCGCCACCTACTACTACCAGGACTACCTCGGCTACGACCCGCTCCAGACCATGCTGCGCTTCCTGCCCACCGGCGTCGGCGGCATCTTCGTCTCCTTCGCCGTCGCCTTCCTCCTCAGCCGCGTGCCGACCGCCTTCATGCTCATCTGCGGCACGCTCTCCGTGTCCATCTCGAACCTGCTGTTCGCGGTGCCCATCCCCGTCACCACCTCGTACTTTGCGTGGGGCATGTGGGCGATGCTGCTGTCCGTCGTCGGCGCCGACCTCACCTGGCCGTGCCTCACCTTCTTCACGTCGCAGGCGCTGCCGGCCGAGGACCAGGCGATCGGGGGCGCGCTCATCAACGCCGTCGGGCAGATGGGCCGCGCGATCGGGCTCGCCATCGCCACGGCCGTACAGACGGCCGTGCTGGCGAAGCAGCGCGGCGTGTCAGTTGAGGCGGTCGGTCCGGTCCGGGAGATGGACGCTGCGTCGCTGGCGAGCATTCGGATAGCAAGCTGGTTTAATTTTGCAATAGGAATCGCGTCGCTGGTCATTGTGTGCATTGCATTTCGCAAGATGGAAGTCATTGGCAGGATCGCGCCCAAGGCCCCTTCCTCTGATGGTGAGGAAGGCGTAAAGAATGGGTAAAGGCGGCGTGCATCGCGGGCAGAGAGGTGGATGGGAATAACTTGCAGCTTGAAAATTGTATGATTAAATTGGTTGCAGGAAATTTCGCCAAACGGAGTGGTGGAAAGGGGGGTTAACTTGTGCATACTAGGTAAATAATGAATATCCTGTGCATACATAATGAATCACTTGTGCATACATTCTGCTCCTTCCACATCAGTACCCTGCTCTCCATTCCCCATGCTTGCACATCAAACGACCTACCAACTACCGTCGTTTTGCATTGCCTTCAATGATGAGGCAGTAATACAAGACCAGACAAATTCAACAGACGTCAATTCTGGGTAAAGTACATATCGCATCATCATCACTCTGGCTAAGCCTCCGCCGCTTGCACAACCTGCGCCCAGTCTCCAAACCCATACGCACCTGGCAGCCTCTCCCCATCGAACAAGCTGGCCAGGACCACGCGATCCGTCTGTTCCCCCTTCCACGGCTCCCGTCCATGCTGGGCAATGATGTTGTCAAACACCAGCACGTCGCCCCGCTGCCACCTGTGCAGGACCCGGATGTCCTCGGTGATGTCGACCAGGCGCGCCAGGTACTCTTCCGGGATCGGCGTCCCGTCGCCAAACAGCTGCTCCACGACGTCCTTTGCCGCGACCCTCCCATCCGCGGCAGCCGCCCGAGCATCGAGGATTCGCTTGTAATGCGCCGCCAGTCCGGTGAAGAGCGTGGGGAGGTTAGTACCGGGCTGCGTCCGGATGACCGGCAGCCGGTGCGTGAGAACCAACCCCCGTCCGTCCTCAAACTCCCTCCACTCCCAGGTGGTGTGCTCACCGCGCCCGTAGCGCCGGATCTGCGCCTCTATCTTGCCGCGCGCTGTCTCCTCGTCGTCGCCGTCGACGACGTCCTTGCCGAACGCCTGGCGCAGCGTCGAGCCGCCCGCCCGCTGCCGCGTCGCCTTGTACGTCACCCTGCACAGGATGCCCTTCTCGGCGAGCAGCCGCACGAACTCGGGTATCTCGGCCTGCGCGCGGTGGAACAGCTCCAGGCTTGACGAGATAGGCGTCTCGCCGCCGACGCTCGGCGCTTCGTGAGCGTAGAAGAAGATGTACTCCGGTGCGTGCGGCACCTGGGGGGACTCGTTGTGGTTGTATATCTGCACCTCCTTGGGCGCCTCGTTGGCCGGCGCGACGTTGGGCGCCAGCAGCGGCCGGTCGACGACGATGCCAATGATTTCGTGCGGCGCGTAGCCGAACGCGTGAGCGAACTCGCTGAATGTGGCAGCGTCATGGATCGGAAGGTCCCGAAAGAGGAGAGCACCGTGTCTCGATAGCAACTTAGTCAGAGTTCCATCCCGCTGGAGATCTCTGATTGCAGAAATGGCCGAGTCCAGCGATGCGACATCGCTAGAAGGGTGAAGAGCAAGAGGAATCTGGGTGTTGGGCGGATGGGGGTAATCTAGGACACGCTGGTTTGTAGCAGGCAATTCGAAGCTCTCAAACGTCACAGCTGAGTCGGCAGTCTCAGCGACGCGCAAGGCCGACACCTGTTGTTGAAGAGTAGATGAAGCCATTGGTAGTGCTGGGCGAATGACACCGGAACCTTATCGGGGAAGCGACTGACCTGGCTGTGGGGGGGAGGAAGATGCTGGTCGCTTTTAATCTGCATCTTTGTCTCTTATCTGAGCACTAATAATGACCTCATCTGCGGTATTGCTGACGAATACATGCATGATCAGCCTCACTGCCTCGGACAAAAAGGGTGTGCCACATACTCCGGTCGTCTGATGGCCACTAGACTTGACTTCATATCCAATCCTAACAGAATAACGCCTCCGAAATGTCACCACACTAATTCGTATATCAATGTACTTTAAAAACCGGGACGAATAGTAAATTACTCCATTATCGGTGTTGATCACAAGCGGCACTTCGAAATAGCGGCCTCTTATACATGATGCCATTGTCACAATAGTGGGCTAGTATTGATTTGCTCATTAGCCACCTCCATTGCGAGCCTACTCGTATCTGCGCGGCAACACATGCCGGTAATAATGTCTCGGATATATTTCGACTCCGAATGCTAATATACATCAGCGTTGCAGCAGTGCTTCATTTGACTCAAACTTGCACAGCAATGGCCACCTCGGTTTACAACGACGGGCCGGCCGAGGCCGTACAACCCTCCAAGACGGACACTCTCAACAATCAAGATGAGGCAAGCGCCTTGACCAAGACGAAGCCGCGCTTCTTCCGCAGCACCCTGTTCCAGATCCTCGTCGTCGGGCTCTGCGCCTTTTGCGCCCCGGGCATATGGAGCGCCATGAACGGGCTCGGCGTCGGCGGCAGCCAGTCGCCGGACCTGATCAACGCCGCCAACGCGCTCCTCTACGCGCTGATGACGCTGACGTGCTTCGCCGGGCCCTGGGTCACCAACGCCATCGGCTTCCGGTACACGCTGAGCCTCGGCGCCGTCGGCTACCCGCTCTACGCGGCCGGCCTCTACCTCAACAACCGCACCGGCGCCACCTGGCTGGTGTACCTGGGCTGCGTGACCTGCGGCCTCAGCGCGGGCATCTTCTGGAGCGTCGAGGGCGCCATCGCGACGGGCTACCCGGAGCAGCACAAACGTGGCAGGTACATCGCAACCTGGTGAGTTTGCTCCCCTATGCTAGTTGAGCAAAGGGAGGAGGGGTGAACTGACTTGGTTTTCATAGGTTCACCTTTCGGAATTTTGGCAACATCATCGGGGGTGCCATCGCGCTCAGCATCAACCACGCGGTCAACAGGCGCGGCAAGGTCGGGTACGAGACGTACCAGGCCTTCATCGCCATCCAGTGCCTCGGGCTGTTCCTCGGCCTGCTGCTGTCCAACCCGGACAAGGTGCAGCGCGACGACGGCACCTGGGTCCAGACGCCGTCATCCGCCACCGCCCCCATCCCCTGGCGAACGGAGCTGCGCGCCATGTGGCGGCACCTCTCGAGCCGGTCGATGCTGCTCCTCGTGCCGCTCTTCTGGTACTTTGGCTGGATCCAGGCCTATCCGGGCACCTACCTGGCCACCTACTTCACCGTGCGCTCGCGCGCCCTCGGCAGCTTCCTGTCCGCCGTCGTCGGCACGCTGTCCACCTGGCTTGCCGGCTCGCTGGTCGACGTGCCCTGGACGCAGAGCCGCCGGACGCGCGCGCTGACCACATGGGCGCTGATCGCACTACTCAACAGCGCAACGTGGATCTGGGCGGTGGTCATCCAGGACGAGTACCGGCGCACGCGGCCGGTGCTCGACTGGGCGCAGCAGGCGGCGTTTGGGCGCGGCTTCGGGCTGTACCTGTTTGAGCGGATCAGCCTGGCGCTCGTGGAGAATTACATCTACTGGTGCATCGGCAACCTGTCGGACTCGCCGGGGGAGCAGATCCGGTACAGCTCGCTGCTGCGCGGCATCGAGACGGCGGGCGTGGCCGTGGGGTTCGGCGTGCAGGCGGTGCCGACGGCGCTGATCGCAACGGCGAGCATCAACCTGGGGCTGTGGTTTTTTGCTCTCCCGTTCAGCCTGTGGGCGACGCTGCAGGTGGTGCGCAAGTGGGAGAAGGAAAACCAGGCGGAGGAGGTAGAGCAAGAGACCGCAGAGACAATTACATCCAAGGCGTAGAAGTCGAAACATGTCGACGAGCTGGAGGCTGTAAAGACAACTGCCATTTCAGTCATATAATCAGAAATATATTGGCGGTGCTTATTTTTTGGCAATTTTGTAAACATTTGCAATGCCACATCTTTCATTCGTATCTACGTGCCGCCCAAATACATACACCAGTCCAGACTACATGCATGTATCAGTCAGAAGAAACTACCGCGTATTGATACCATCCTTGCTTATAGAGTTTACATTGAAATATTTTAATCAGAATATATGCCCTAAGGAACTATCTATATTCCAGGAACTGGGAAACCATTTACTGCTCTTTAATTAAGTTAATAATGGTTACAGGTCACTCTATCTACTCCACCAGCTCCTGGGCTTATCTGGGGAAGCTTCAAGGAAGCTCGACTGGCAGCAGAGCTTTGAAGAGGACATCAACGCAGCCCACCTTGAGCACGTTTTGCCAATTTCAAGTTAACCAAGCTTTAGAAAATAATTCATCCAAAATACCGCATTTTAATCATATCGCAGAACCCATCCAAACCTCGCATCTACACCAGCGTTGATAGCTTATCCGTCATCCATCTCACAGTGGTCGCCCCCATTGGCCGCTCGAGGCACTCAACCCCCACCAAACCTCTGAACTCAATCCGCCCAAAGCTGCTCTCGGCTGGCTCTCTGGCCTTCATAGCAGCATCCTACGCGATCTCCTCTCCTTTTCACCCATCGTGGATCATCCTTTCCATCATCAAACAACCCTCTAATCGAATCCAGACCGCCTTTTCTGCCATCTCTACCCATTCAATCCTCGAATTCGAATTCCCGAGAACCCCCGTCTTCCCCGCCCGCGTGGGTGGTGCACCCAGGCAAAGAGTGAGCGCTCGCGCGCCCCGCCCCCTCTCCTGCTCTGTCGAAGCGGCCTTGCTTCGGTTGCTTTTTTTTTTTTTCTTGTCCATTTTCTGTCAGGCTGGTTTTCTCCTTTCCGTCGGGCGCCATGGGAAACAACCAGTCATCGGGTTCCAAGTCGGCCATGCCGTCGTCGTCACAGCCACCGACCTCGTCCCCTACCACCACCACCACTACCGCCGTCTCCTCGCACGACGCAGCACGACATCTCACCACCGCCGGCATCCCCTCTTCGCGCACCAGCAAGGACTCGTCGGCGTCCTCGTCAGCGCGCAACATCCTCCCCGCCCAGGCCCCTCACCGCTCCGCCGCCGCCCCTCCCGAGCCCTCGCTCGCCCAGGCCCAGGGTTCGACCTCCACCGCGTCCTCGTCGCGGCCCAAGAGCATCTCGGCCGCCAGCTCGTCCCTGCCGCCCGTCTCCTCCCTCGCCGGCTCGCCACACAACACCGTCCCCGGCTCCCACCACCAGCCGGCCCCCGTCCCTGCCGCAGCGCCTATACCCATCGCCGAGCCCTCCAAGCCTGTTGACGTCCCCGGAGTTGGCGCCGGCACTCCCGGCTTCTCCCGCACCCCGGGCATCAACCGCACCGACTCCGAGATGGCTGAAGCGCACCTCATCGCCAGCGGCAGCATCACCGACATGTACAATGCTCGACCGCCCCGCCTGCCGCTGCCCATCGAGGAAGAGGTGCATACGCCTGGCTCGCCTATTCTGGGCCCCGACGAGACGGCCGCGGGAGGCGAGATCCCCGAGCTCGAGCACGAGTCTTCGGACGGTCTGACGAGGAAGAGCTCCGGCATCAGCCAGACCACATTTGATGACGAGGACTCGCACGAACTACGCGTTGACAGATCCCGCCCCGTCGTGCCTACACGGATCGAATGGAACGGCGGAGGTGAAAAGGTCTATGTCACCGGAACCATCTTCCAATGGAGCAGAAAACAACGTCTGCACCCGGTGTAAGTGCACAACTGTGTCAGGGCAAATCCTGTTCCCCCACGACTGACATTTTTCCTCTTACAACAGCGAGGGCAAGCCGGGATGCTTCGCCGGCATCATCTACGTGCTCCCAGGCACTCACCATGTCCGCTTCGTCGTGGACACCATCATGAAGACGTCGCCTGACCTGCCGACTACGGTCGATTTCGGTAACAACTTGGTCAACTACATCGAAGTCAGCGCCGAGATGGCCGCTCAGCCGCTCGCCGAGGCGGCCGTGCCCGGTCCCGACGGCCAGGTCAAGCCTATCGTCCCTACCGCCACCACTGCCACCACCACTACCGCCGCCACTCCCTCGGCAGAGGAGCCGCCCAAGCCCGCCAAGTACAAGGCCATCCCGCCGCGCGACAGCTACCGCCGCCAGATCCCCAAGTACCTCGTCGACTTTGACCAGGCCGAGGAGTCGCCCGCGTACCAAAGCGCCGTCAGCGCCATCGAGAAGCTCCCCACCCCGCCCGGCCTGCCCGGCTTCCTCAGCAAGCCCATCCTCAACGCGGCCACGCTGATGAAGGACGACAACAGCGTGCTCAACATGCCCAACCACACGGTGCTGAACCATCTCGCCACCAGCAGCATCAAGAACAATGTCCTCGCCGTGTGTGCGACGACGAGATATCGCGGCAAGGTGAGTATTGCGCCTTCGCTTTTATCTGTACCAGTGTGCTTAACGTGGAAATAGTATGTGACGACGATAGTATACAAGCCCACCTCTGCGGACGAGGGCTAAGTGCACCACCTCAGTCGCTTGACATGTTTTTACTTTCTCGCATTGTAGTTATGGCGCAGACACTGGGCTCGTTTTGAGATAGAATATTTGGTTTCTGCTTTGTGTCATATTGATAGTTGTCAAATCTTACAATTTAAGCACACAATTCAAGTCGTGTGCGTATATTCAAATCAATCGCTATCTATGTACCTGTGCCTTGTCTCGTGCCACTTCATTCTTTATTTATCGCACTTTTCGTCTTTATTTCATTTCATCTTATTCCTTTACCCCCCGTCTCCCAAAGTCTTCTCTCCTTAGTCCCTCCACTTGACGTAGACCTCGTCCGTCCGGAACCGCTGCGTGCACTGGCTCTCCGCCAGCGGCGTCTCGAATCCGGTGCGGTACGCCAGCAGGCCCGCGTGCGCAATCATGATGCCATTATCAATGCAGAACCTCTCGTCCGTAGCGTACACGCTGCCGCCGCGCTCCGCCGCCATCTGACCCATCATCTCCTGCAGGCGCTCGTTGCAGCCCACGCCACCCACGATCAGCACCTGTCTGGACCCGACGTGCGCCATCGCGCGCTCCGTGATCTCCACCAGCATCGCGTACACCGTCTCCTGCAGGGAGAAGCAGAGGTCCTCCGCCGTAAAGTCCGCCGTGCCCGCGCGCACCTGCGCCGCCAGCGCGTCCACCGCCGCCAATATCCCCGAGAACGAGCAGTCCATGCCCTTGACCGCGTACGGCAAGTCCAGCAGCTTCGTGCCCCTCTTAGCCATCTGCTCAATGTTGTAGCCGGGCGCCGGGTCGTTGCTGATGCGGAGGGTGCGCGCGAAGCGGTCCAGGCAGTTGCCGACGGCGATGTCGAGCGTCTCGCCAAAGATGCGGTAGCGCCGCTCCGCGTAGGCGATGACCTGCGAGTTGCCGCCGGACACGTAGAGCACCACCGGGTTGGTGGCGCCGGTGATGGCCCGCCCCATCTCGATGTGCCCGACGCAGTGGTTGACGCCGACGAGCGGCAGGCCCCAGAGGAGGGCGAGGGTGCGCGCGCCGACGGCGACGGCGGTCAGCGGCGCGCCCATGCCGGGGCCCTGGGTGAAGCACACGCAGGAGAGCTGCGCGCGGGGGTCAGTGATGCCGGCGGCGGCGAGGGCGCGCCGGGCGAGACGGGAGAACACGCGCCGGTGGTGCGCGGCCGTGTCCTTGGGCAGGAAGCCGGCGCCGGGCGGCGCGTTGAAGGTGTCGCGCAGGTTGGAGAGGATGGTTGTGGAGGATCCGGTGTGCTGGATCACGCCGATGCCGAGCTTGTTGGCGGAGCCCTCGCAGCCGAGCGCGATCCAGGACCTCTTGGACGTGTCCATGGCTGTGGTGGTGTTGTGTGGTGTGGTGGTGGAAGAGGCCGTTAATGAGGGGGACCTATGGAGGGGTTGTAGATAGGTGGTGAGGGTGCCGCAAATTCGTGTCAGCCGTCACTTTCCTAGATTTTGAGAAGCAGAAGGTTCGTCTCGAGTGCATATAGTTCAGTGGTTTAATTTTTAATGGTTTTTCACTTTATAATGATATAATGTCAACATTTGCAAACAAATCAAGTCTAGCAGAACGTCCAACTGCACCACATCGTCAATGGCGGGGCAGCAACCAGGGCCCTGGCGAGAAGAAAAAAAAACCAGCCCACCCACCAAGAAAATCGGAGCTTATCTAATCGCTAACAGTCACTCACTTCACCAAAAGGCCAAAAGAAAAAAGAAGACCCTTGGCGCCCAAAATCGCGCCAACGAAGCGGGTATAGGTCACTGCTTAACAGCTATACCGCGAGAATTATAGGCTCGCTTGCTAACGGACTCTAAACAAGGCCCCACAACTTGCCATGCCTTCGTTTTGCCATTTACCACCACCACACTTGTGCGATTGTTACAAGGCGGCAACCGTCTTTTTCGTCTTCACTGCAGACCGCAAGTCGTGGGCCAATCCCCTTCTTTTTTTCCGTTTTGCTGCTTCTTCTTCTTCTGCGGCCCCCTCACTCCCTACATTGCCCTGCTCATTCGGTACGTGCAATCAACCTCGCGCCACCACTGGGCCAACTTCTCTCTGTAACACCTGTTCGCTGACCCTGTCCTCCGTCATCAGAAGTCAGCTGAGCCCTTCTCGCGTTGTGCAAGCCTGGTTACGATCCCCCTCCCCGCCACACCATTTCTCCTCCTGCAAAGCCTTCTTCCTTCTTTTCCTTCCTATCCTGGCCACACCCCTTTGCCGGCTGCCATCATCCCCGCCGGCCCCGAGACAAAGCTCTGCTGAGCGGTAGTGGCCATGTATCGACAAGGCCGCGCGGACGCAGCCGTCCGTCGGCTTTCCATATCACCCTCGCCACAGTCGCTCGCCGAGCCGACAGGCCCGACACGAACGGTTCGACCGACTCATGACTTTGGGTGGAGCGGACGAAGAAAGCCCTTCGAAGGAACATTCACATTGTTCAAGGAAGACCACCATACCTGGTTCAACCAGTCTTTCTATATATATATGTTTTTGGCTATGCGCCGGCGGGCATCTTCGTCTAAGAACCCCAAAGCATTAGCCCAACTCCCAACTCCACGCAAACAAAGATGCCAATCCCATGCTTTATACTGATACATCGGGCCCGTGGTCCCTTCAGTGCTTCCTCCGGGGTATGGAAGAGCAGAAAAAAAAAACAAACGCTATATACAAGTCATCCCATCCTATCCTACAACATGCTCCGCAGCTGCATCTCACGGAGCCTCTGCCACTAGGAGGCTACTTGTGTTTGTGGCTGTGCTGGCGGCGGCGCCGGTAGCCCCCGCGTCGCCGCGTTGTTCGAGGCATCGGGTGGCACGGCCGGCCTACCTCGGAACAGGTATGAGCTGAGCGGTATGGTGGCTCGGAATTTCAACGCCCTTGTGTCATACGGGTCCAGCTCATACACCGGTGGCTCAATGTCCTCCTCATCGTCGGAATCGTACTTCCAACGGTCCGAATATCCGTGCGAATCAGGCCTGGGCGGGGTTGCCATGCCTCTTCGGTCTATCCAGAGGCGGCTCAAACGGCCTATTCGCCGACGGAATGCCGGTTGATTGCTGTGCAGCGGCTCAGTCATGATTCCGCCTGCTTTGAACTGGAAGGCGGGGCCGGCTTGTGGCTTATCCAGTTGCATAGGCGTGAGGCCTTCGTCGTCCACATCCATCGAGTCTGACGCTTCGGACGCGGGCGGCGTCATGAGGTACTGCGTCTTTGCCGGGCGGAACTTGAGCTCCAGGCCCTGTTCGTGTACTGGCGACAACGGGTCTACGGTAAGATCAATGTGGTTATGGTTCCATCTGCGATGGTTCTGAACCTTGGTCTCGATCTCGTTACGAAGCTCCTTCTCCTTCTCAGCGAGCTGGTCAGCAAGCTGGACAAGGTCGGCTTCCGTTTGGCGACCATCGGGTCGGACTGGGGTCCGGACATGGGCACCGGCAGCCCGTGCCGCAGCTGTTGCATCAACAGGCTTGCGTTTTTGTGGCTGTTGAGGCAGTCAGTCGCGAGATTTCTCGAGCATGGAAGAGCTGTGGGACATACCTTTTGGTTGACCAGGTCATCATCTTCGCCTTTAAGCCCGAGCCTGAGCTTAATATGTTTAAGCCTCGCGCGCTCCTCAAAGACTGCGCGCTCCATGTGTAGCAGTTCACGCTTCATCATTTCGCGCTCGTATGATATGAGTACAAGCTGGCGACCGTCTTCAAGCTCACGACGCAGGCGCTTGAGCGTCTCGACAATCTTATTGTCGCGGGCTCTCGTCTTCCTGGTCTGTCGGGCTTCGCGACGTCTAAAGCAGACATACGGGTCGGTGTCATCTGTCTCCTGGTGCGTCTCAAATTTGAGTGAGGGATGCAGCGGTTTGTTGCCAGCCTGTTGTCGCATGTCTTTCCAATACTCATAGATGGCCTTGGCGTGCTGCAGCAGGTGCTGAGCCCCAAGGTGGTTGAGCCCGGGTACCATCATGTCATAAGCAACGACGGTGTTGTCCACAGAAGCAAAGGGAGTTTGCTCAGCGGCCGTGTCTTCGAAGACTTCCATGATGCGTTCAAAGTCATCCTCGGACAACGCACCGGCAGGTCCAGGCTTGGCATTATAAGTCTTGAGGAAGTCATTATCCTCGGTACTCATGTCATACTGGCAGCTGATGCACTCTTCGACAGTCTGGGAAAAGCGAATATATGTGGACGGCTTGTGGAAAGGCACGGGGTAAAGCTGCTCATAGTTTACCTCGCTCTCCTGGGGAGGCGGGACCGGAATTTCTTGGTCATTACTTGTACCAGCATCTTTGAGAATGGATTGCAAATGATATTCCTAAAGAGATCAGGCGTGTTAGCGCCGGGTTGAGGTGTGGCAGACGCGCCGATGTGGCAGAGTTGACAGGGGTTGGTTGGTTGGACAGTGGGTCACGTGGCAAAACTCGTGATATCAGTGCATGGAAAGGGGGGAGATGCACGAACCTTTTCCTCGGCGTGCTCGACACCTGTTGCGATTTGAGTTTCTGTGGTGATGGTCTCGTACTCTGTAGCATCGATCTGATCCTCCCTGAGGACGGGGAGGGCAGTTTTGATGCTGAGCTTCTTGACGCGAACCTTGCGAGAAGACATTTTGCAGGGGGTGGCGAGGACGGCTGTTTGCCCGCGGAAAATCCGCAAAAAAAATCACTCAAGACATAAATCGGAGTGTAAAAAGAGGGAATTTGATGTTTGGCGGATGAAAAAGGTGCTGTGGTGGCACCTTTTTGATGCGCAAAGTCCTTTCGGGGATGAGGTGACGTTGGGATTGTTTTGCCGCGCGAAGAATTTTCACTGGCGCATGCGTGGAAAACAGAGTGTGATGTTTGTTGAACTTTGGCACGCAAAGTCACTTTGCTACAAAATTGGCGCGTAAAGGTACAATCCCTCCTCGTAGACACGTCCACTCTCCCCCCCTTTCTCGCCCCTGAGGGCGCTGGAGGCTACACCGAAAACAGCTACGGCGCCCACTGCAACCACTGTAGCCTAATAATGTACCCTGAGCGCCTGTTGTAGCCGGGTAGGTACATCTGCTGCCTCCCAAAATCGCCTGCTTAGTAACACAAAGCATTGGCTTATTGTGAGATGTTGTAGATTGGACTGTGAACACTGTTAAAGTGCAGGGAAACTCCTAGAAGCTTGAAACTTTGTGGCACATTCCTCGGTTGTATTTCGCGCCGCTTTTACTCGGGTTTTATTGATGTGCTACGAAAGTTGCAGCTGACATCTGTGTTATCGTGTACTTGTTGTGCAGTGACTTAGACAGACTGCTGCACGACCTTCATGACGAAACATCCCGAAGCGAATCCGTACAGATCCCCCAAAAGGCTACGAATACAATGTAAATGAAACCAAGCACTAATACCTGTTTTATGGTCACACAAAATTCCAAGGCCTCACTGATCAGTGCCACACTATCGCGATGCAAGATCGAAAACAGGTATAGGGTAGGTACATTCCGTCATGACTTGGCCCGTGCTCCACTTCCGAACCCCTCCATCACAGGTGCACCAGCAAGCAGCGCACACGACATCCGCATCTCCACGATCCGCGACAACAACCGGGCCCGCCATCTACCTTAGACAATCTTCGAACCAACCACCAGCCGAAGAACCTTCACGATAAAGCATAGTCTTGCTCTGTGCAACTGCCGAGCAGTCGCGACTCGCCCAGCACCCGTCGCACATCGAACCGTTCTGCGCAAGCTTCGTCGCATCGTCGCCCCTCGCTATGGGCAACACCACCAGCGCCGTCCTGGACAATATTGTCCAAGGGTCCAACTGTTTGTGGTCCTACGAATTATGAGAAGCACAAAATCACGAGGAGCAGGACACTAACGGCGCATCAGTCGACAGAGAGGAGGTTGACCGCCTACGGAAGCGGTTTATGAAGCTGGACAAGGTAATGCGTCTCGTTTCGTGGAGCTTCGTCGCAACGCAACAACTGACAGATATCCTGCGCAGGACAACTCGGGCACAATTGAGCGCGATGAGTTCCTCAGCCTGCCTCAGATCTCATCGAATCCCCTCGCGACTCGGTCAGCCCCCCCCCTTTTTCCAGGCTGCCAAACCTCACTCGCTGGGATGGTGCTTTCGTTTTCCCAAATTTGAGCTTCGGAAAAATGCTAATATGCACATGCGCCTTTATAGAATGATTGCCATCTTTGACGAAGACGGCGGTGGCGACGTCGACTTTCAAGAGTTCGTGTCCGGCCTGAGCGCCTTCAGCAGCAAGGGCAACAAGGAGCAGAAGCTGCGCTTCGCGTTCAAGGTGTACGATATCGACCGCGACGGCTACATCAGCAACGGCGAGCTCTTCATCGTGCTCAAGATGATGGTGGGCAACAACCTCAAGGACCAGCAGCTGCAGCAGATCGTCGACAAGACCATCATGGAGGCGGACCTCGACGGCGACGGCAAGATTAGCTTCGAGGAGTTTACCAAGATGGTGGAAAACACCGACGTGAGCATGAGCATGACGTTGGGTGAGTTCAACAAGCCCCCTTGCCCCCTTCCCCCTCCCCTCGCTCGTGGCTTTGAGACAGCAACGGCTACCAACATACCCGCACCCCCCTGGCCCGTCGGTAAAGTTTATATCGTTCGCCGTTGCCCGTTACCCATCTGTTGGGCTGCGATAAACTTGCTCCCCATATGCTTGGCAAATTAAAGGACTAGACTAACCTGGCCGGGGGTTGTAGACCAATTTTAAAGGAATCGGCGAACACACACGAACACGCTAAAGAGCAAGTTGCTGGGAGACTTGCCATGCGAACTTTAAAAAGAATATCACATAGCATCATGATATAATGATTATCAAAAATGACACACCACAAACCTTGCTCGGTTCACGCCCTGGCACGCCTTTTGAGCTTACTCCACAGATTGTCACGAAAGGAGCATCAAATATAGCACACGGAAAGTTGTGGCGAGATGACAAGAAACAGTTCCCGGGTGATTGGATCCGATCCTCGAAAGCGACGTGGAGCAGACAAAGATAAAAACAAGGTACCGGCGGCTAGGGAAGCTCGGCTCGCCCCTTTTCTTGCAACCAGTCTCTCGTTCCATCACCAATCAGCAAAAAGAGCTGCGAAAAGTGTATCATAGCCAAGCCGGCTATGCAAACGCCAAACCCAGCATAGCACGGACATTTCGCAACGGGTCCTGTGACTTATTGACTCCGAGAGAGATAGAGGGGGAAAAATCTCTCGCGAAGAAAGCCAAGACGAGACATACATATGCGTTGCCGCACCCCCCTTGGAATGTTTATTTTAACCTCGGGAAGAGAAGTCCTTGGGTATCGTGGGAAGCGCAAAAGCGCGCCCTTGGCTAACAAAGTAGTCGAAAGTGTAAAACGTTAAGGAATCAAGGTATGGCGGAAAAACCAGAGCCTCCAAAACGAACTATACGGATCTACCAGTTTATCAATTGCGGGGGGAGGGGGGTCTTAAACGACGGCGGCCGCAAGATTTTCCTGGCCACATCATCGTACTAACATGAACTGTTCGTTTATGATGGGCGAACTCCGGGGCTCCGTGCCATTTTGTCTTAGACAATCCGTGACAAAAAGTAGTTTGTGATCACTTTTTTATCTCCGCCTTTTGGCAAACCCTTTCCTTTCTTTTTTCTTTCGTAATGTATATTGGCTGCCCAAGTTCCCAAGACCCCGGACGGGCACGGAGGGCGGAGACGGGGGCGGAAGAGGGCCCCTTTCTCTTGTCACGTACCCGGGCCTTGTTTTTTTCCCTTTTTTTTCTTCATCAACTAGCATTCTTTCCCGCTTTTAAAGTTTGGGGCCGCATTGGGCTTGCAACAATGAACCCAACGGCGGCGTTATATTTCAGCTCGTCTGGGCAGGATCTGCGTTTGACTTGCAGCTTTGTTGTCGCCACACCCCCTCCCTTTCTCCCGTCCCGCGGAAGAGCGTATCGAGATGAGTGAGACATTCGCAACGGGGATTTTCGTTGCAAGGGTATCAAGTGATTGAAAGGAGGGGAGGGGCGGCGGGAAGGTGGCTTGACACCCGGACGCCGGATTATTCTCGCGCCAATGACTAGTTTAGTAGTTCGAGTGAGAGCTTGTTGAATGGGCTGGACTAGATGGACTAGATGGCGGCATAGCCACTTTGATGTCCAAGAGCACTTATTGCCCTTGTCAGCGTAGACGGCGGCTCAATGGAGGGGAGCGGAACTGGAAGGACTTGAGGTTATTGTCGCTGACGACGTTGCTATTGTAATATGCGGCAGGCATATTGCAATAATTCTAATGCTCCAAAATGAATAAACCCAAAACGCGCCGTAACACCATGACAAAAACACAGCTTTTTTCGCTTCTGCTCTAATCGTGTACCCATTGTCCATCATGATTCGCTTCGGTCTTTGCTGCGAGCCTCTTTCTGCTCCTTCTCCTGCTCCTCGAAGAGCGTAAGACAGTCCTCAAGCACTAATGCAAGTCCACGTGTTAGTAGTTCCCAAAAATCTGTGCCCAGATTCTCAACTCCCCCATGATGGGCATTTCTTGCGTAGATGAGGGACACTTACATGATTCAATCTCATCCTCCCACACGCCAAACTGGTAGTCTACCAGGCCATGCCGCTCAATACCGTCGCAGAGGCGGATCAGTTCGTCGCCCATCCTCTTGACCGTGCGCATTGATAGCGGCTGCGGTACTACATCATCGGGGCCAACCCGCTCCATGAACTGTTTTTGCTTGAAAGTGAGCGCGATCCACGCGTGGTTGAAGTCCTGCCAAAGCTTCAGCCGATCTTTATGTAGGTCCTCGTCGTCCTCGGTCAGGCCTGCGGGATGTCCGGTGTTAGTCGCGTCGCTCCAGAAACAAAGATTTCAACGGTTGGCAAGAATCATTTACTCACCCAGCTCCTCTACCCTGGACAAGAGCCAAAAAGAGACGCTCAAGAGCCCATCAGCGGCCTTTTCCAGATTCCCGTTTTTGATCTCGAGAAAGACGTTGGCTAGGCGTCGCCGGTATTCTTGCCACTTTTCCTCAAATTCTGCCGTTCTGTCCGGTCTGGAAGTATCGGCCATCGCTCCAGAAGTGCTCCCGCCTAGATCGGCGAGTTGGTAGAAGCTCTCCACCCCGGTGAGGCTGTTGCCGCTTATGCTGCCACTGCCACCGGTGCTTTCTGCCCCTGTCGCTGTGGTATAGTGGAACGAGGAGGGAATATCTTGGTAGTAAGCTGTTGCTGATCCGCTGCTGGCACCGTGCTCCAGCGAGGCCGTCTGAGGGGAAACCTCTTCCTCTCCAAAGTAAGATGCGTTCACGTCGGGCTGGCTGGATAACAGCGGCGCTGATGCCATGGGGTTATTTCTCGACGAGAGTGGGGGCGCATATTGCGGTGTGTTGTAAATCGAAGTTTGCGTGCTTGCTTGCGGTACGCTGTACATCATCATGCTTGCGTTGTAGTTGCTAAACCCGACTGTTTGCTGTTGTGGTTGCTGTCGCGCGCCTGTGTCAGCGCCGCTGGAATTATAATCGGACCCGTAGGACATCTGTGCTGCTGATAAACCTGCTGGACCCGAAAATGTCGACAATTGATCTGGGTAATACTGGCTGTCGGCGTTGGCATTACTTTCCACGGTGCGCGCCGGGGTGGAAAGCCCAAGATGTTGTTGCTGATGTGGTTGTTCAGGGCGGTATCTTTCCGCAGATGTGTCAGAAGGCAAACTCTGTTGTGAGAATCTCGTCGCCTGCGACTCGCTCAGTGCGTTCTGACTGTACCGCCCGCCTTGACTGTGCCCGTCCATATCCCCGGCAAATTCTCCACACGAAGCCTCTCGAAGATGAGCTTCGCGATTAGCCGGGGATAAGGATGCAGGTGAAGGATAAAAGGACGCCAGGGTGACGGCAGCGCACCAGCGGGAGGATTGTCGAATCAAAACACCTCCCACTTGGCACCGTCGGAGAATTTTTGAGGGCAGCGTTATCTTGCCAGGGGGATCCAGGTAACGGTCGAAGCACGCGAAGCACGATCATATGAAAGCCCGGATTTCGGAAATCAGTGACCGTGACTCGTTATGGAAACCTTGGGCGCTCAACTTGAGATATGATAGTCAAGTCACTTAGCGCAAGTGGTGTGCTGTGGGTGGTGGTGTGAAGTGTCGTATGGCGCCAAAGCTATAGGAAGAACCGGGGGCAAGCAGCTTTCCACAGTCCGAGGCCTGTACAGCATAAAGAATCGTGTGTAAGTGATTGGCAGAATGTGAAGCCACAGATCGAATAGTTCATGATTGGCAGGACCACCACACCATCGAGAGGCGAAGACAGACCAGACCGGGTCTGCAGAGCGAGGAGCTCACCGTCTATTCGTGATGCTGAAGAAAAATAATATTAAAAAAACTGGGCAACCGTTGTTGGCTTGAGCTTGGCAGAACGAAACGCCACGAATAGAGGACTTTGTAAAACGCCAATGGGGCGATTGTTGCCCACCCTTCGGTCCCGAATAACCCAGGCGGAGCGGATGGCAAGAGGTAACTAGCCCGACGGAGTAACTGAGAGGTCGGCGAGGCAGAGGCCTTTTGACCCGCCGATGTCGATGAGCAGAGCCGAGCGAGTGGGTTTGCCAGGAAGAGGGGTTATGCAGAGAGCCCTTGGGAAAATGAAGAAGGAGTACAAGAAATGGGGAGGAGGGGACTGTGATAAATTTGGCCGGGGCTAGATCTCGTGGTGTAAGAAAGTGGAATGTGAGTTGTCCACGCTGGAAGTGCTTGAATATAAGTCCTTTGTGTGGGAGGTGGGAGAGGCTGTCTTATATCGACAAGACTGAAGAGTCATTACCTCTAAATAGAACAAGAACGAAAGAGGATTTGGGGTAATTTGATAATAACACAAATAGGAACGTTGCGGAAGCTACACAACGCATGCATACTAATCCAGACCAGTGTAGTGGGCTCACAAGAGAGCTCTCCGCTGATTCACGTCTGGAGAAGAAAAATTGGGCGCCTGTCAATCACGAGCAAGACGACAATTGAGCCACACTATCTGGGATGAGCCTGGTAAGTGGCCAGGGAGGGGCGAGGAGCGAGGGGAGGGGAGGGGGTGTGCGTCTGTAAGGCCGTAACGTGCAGGCGTTGGCATGTACCATATGGTCCATTCGTAGGTTCAAGGGGAAAAGGGGCAAGATAGCGGAAGACAAAGTTCTTGGCTGAACATGGTTTACTTGATCTGCATGACAAAAACAGGCATTGCGAACCCGCTAGAGGTATCGTGAGGACGGCGGCCAGCAGCACGCAGAAGCTTCTTTGCAGCTAGTAGACCTGGGAGAGGCTTGCCCCAAGAAAAACGGGGGCTAGGATGTCCTGACATTTTGGATAGTTGAAGGACCGAAGAAAAGAGAAGCTTCTGCTAACATGGGTAAGGGTTTGGGGGACAACTATGTGGAGGTTGCGGAACCTAGAGCGTTTATGCGCAACCTGTTGACGACGGTCGACATGGCTGATACCCGCTCGAGTCAGTGAAGGTGAGAATTGCGTCGGTGTCGGCGAGGCAGAACCTTGAATCAAGCGAGAGTAAATGATTGATTAGGAAGAAAGCCAGCAGAGACAAGCCGCTAGAAGGTGGATTCGTCCCAAGAATGGCGAGCAGGCAGGTAGTTACCGATGGTACCGATGGCAGTAGAATGGCTTTTTGCTTAAGCCATGGGTGAAATGTGTAAGTGCAGCTGAAGACCGTTGGCGAATATTCCTGTTTTGAAGAGGAGATTTGCAACTAGTGGCTGAGACTTGCATCAAGCTAAGGCCGATGCAGGTGAGCATGAGTTTGCTAGGGGGTTTTGGCGTGCTTGACTCGGGGAGGTTGCGGCCTTGACCGAGATGTCGACAACGCGAAGTTAATAATTGTGGCGGCAGAGGCAGGGAGAGGCTTGTTTCATCAAGATGGGCGAACAGTGTTTTGCAGTGCGAGGGAGTCGGGAGATCCGGCCGAGAGCTGCGTCTTGACCGGGCCGCTGAGCTGCATGCACGGGCGATCCGGCACCTCGAAATGGTAGTTGGAGAGAGCGCGAGCGGAGCGGTAGGCGACGGACGGGGAGGAGAGCACGCGTTCGTGGCTTGACCCTGGCCCCAACAGGCGATGATTGGCAGGGTAGTTCCAGGGCAGAGGTGAAGCCGCCCGGTGTAGGTAGGTACGGAGTAGCTGAGCGGGATGCTACCAGCGCGCACCAGTAGGGACTACTAATAAACTAGCCAGTGTCAGTGTCGGTGCCAGCGGCTGCAGGAGGATTCGAGGGGTGTGAGGGTAAACCTTGTCTCGCATTACGTCGCTGTCAACGGTGCGGGAGAAAATAGGCCAGACTCTGGGCAACCGGGTTGGGGACTGACCAGCCATTCAGCAACAGCGAGGGAGCGACTTCCGCGCCAATGATACCCCCCCGTCAGTAGCATAAAGTTTACTGGGAAGGCCGGTGTTACGCCATTCCCCGCCGAGTTGGGGACGTTGGTGTCGAGCTGCCCAACAAAGGCTTGCTCATTTCCTGAATAAATCGCAAAGAGGGCATTGGATCGATCCCCATGCGGTATTGATAACTGTGGTGTCACCAGCATCTGTTGTTGGCTTGTCTTGATGGTGTCGGCCCCCAAGAGGCTGATATGGCCGGCATCCCCTAAACGGCAGGGCCGCGCCGACGCAAGATGAGCGGCAAAGTGCTGCTTGGAAGACATGAAGGGTTGGGCAATAGTTATTTGGGCAGAAGCGAGTCGCGGAAATGATTTCCGAGGCAGCAATTGGTGGCTACTGCGTTGCATGACATGCCATGACAGGCGAAGGCATGGCATGCATTTGAAGGCGCGGGTAGACGAAAACGCTCTGGTGTTAGCGAGGGCTCTAGACTGAGCCGGGGTCATGCGCATGCGCCTCTTTTAGCGACGGAGGGAGAGAGGAAGGATCGGGAGAAGAAAAGAAGAAAGCCACGGCGCAAAGATAGGCATCGGGGGGCCGTGATGTGGAGGCCGTTTGTTGTTGAGAGAAGGCTTGAAGGACTAATAAAAGTAGAGGTAGTAAGTAAGACCAGACTGACCAACCACGGCGACGGACAAACGGAGAATGGCAATCCGTAGCGAGAAGAACAGGCCAGAGAGCCAGCCTCAATCAGCAGAGGCTGGCGCGGAAGGACCGCCTTGACGAAGTAGCCCCGCTACCTGACAATGGGCGGGGCCCAGGAACTACCATATGAGGAAAGGTCCCGCCCTGGTCAAACATCTGGGACTTGACTTGGTAGCCGTAAGTACCCAGGTATTTTGGCCTACAAACCGGACAGCAAATTTACTAAACATTTTATTGTTAACCATTGGTTGTTTTGCATACGCGCATCCTGTAAGTACATATGTAACTTAACTTATCTAGGTACCTAGGCATCGCTGTGATTTTTAAGCCTTCTTTTTGTTGGCTTGAGTGGACGGGCTCGATGTACCTTACGTATTCAAATCCACAGATGGACTGTGGTGGGCCGCAATCAATCCCATGCAAATACTTACCGCACAGGCAGGTAGGTAATTGTCATTCATTGTTTCTCAGAAACAACTGCGGACACTGTAACTTGTCCCAAACGTCTTGCCATCAACCTATGTAACTAGTTTGTTGGGTACCTATGTACACCTACCTCGGCGCCTCGACCAGTTGCCAAGTACCTCAATCAATGCTGCCCTGCCCCACCAACGCCCTCGTTGCTCTGGCCCCTCGAAGCCGCCCCAGTCTTCAGCCCATATTTCTTCTCCCAAGCTTCTTTCCAAAGCCTGCGCACCAGTAGTCAAGCCTCAAACGACCGACCGCATGACAGCCGCCTTGCTTCAAACCTGCTATGTTTATGGGAGTAAGCCTCTTTCCATATTATACCCTGTCGCTCTCTTGATTCAGGTCTTTGCATCCTCAATCAATTCGAACCCAAGACGGCCCGAAATGCTGCTCACTGGCCAAGCCCGTTTGCCTACACACCAACGCACCCAAACAGTCGCCAAGCTACTCGTACCTTTATGCGCTCGAGGCATAATAGACGGACCGCACTAGAACATTCGCATTAACATTCTATGTTGTCAGACTATAATAAGAGCGCCTGTCCATGAGCATAAGCGTGGGATACTGTACCAGCAGCGCGGGTGGGATGACGATCTTGATCTTGGCACTACCGGGCGACCACGGATCCGGCAAGCAGGAACATGTCAATCGTCAAGTTTGCAATTTGCACAAGGCTGCCTCGCACTGTCCTTTCACGGACTGGCTTCCGCTCGCTCTATGGCTTGCCACATCGACTGGACGGAAGGACTGACGTACTCTACCACGCAATCAAGGCAACACAGATCCGATGGCTCCGGCACCTGCAGTATGCCGGCAACATATACGGGTATTGAAGAAAGCAAGGAACGGTCTTTTTCAGAAACGGGCCAAAAAGAGTCCTTCAAAAGTACATTTACAAGCCTGGCCACATTACCAATATTTGATGCTCGGCTAGTCTCCATCACGAAAACAAAACGGCAGTTTCGATGCATCACGCCATGCGCCATGTTGCGCAAAGAACACTCTTCTCTTCGGTGCTATGCGAACAAGACTAGCGCATTTGGGCAATTGACTGCATACATACTTCCTCAGATTATTAAGCTGATTTTCGTTTCTATTCAAGCATCAGCTGCGACGCCTGAGCAATGATTGATCTCCCTTGCAAGCGCAGGACGAGGCGGAAAAAATGTCGTAGCCAAGCCAACGCCCGTTCTTGGGCTTAAGACCCGACCGAAAGAACCTATGAGCGAACCGCTACTCCGAGGTGTTAGGGCCCCGGCTTGCCAGATTTGGCCCTGGTAAAATTTCTTTATGGTGGTTTGCGATTCTCATTCAATGGACGTTTACCGGAATTGGGAAAAGATGAGAGAGCCGCCGCCTTTGCGATCTCGTGCAGCGCGTCGAATTTTACAACTCCTCATGGTCTAGCTGGCGCGGGCAAGGCCCGCTGTGGAATTCCATGATCCCATAACAGTAGCTCACCGATTTTCGATGAGGTAGGTACCCGGCCTGCCGGCCCGGCCAGCACGGAGCACAGAAGGTGACGAACCGAGTCCCATATCGGCACCCTGGTGGCGCCTAGCCTTGCTGATTAGTTAGTTGCCTGCCGGCCATGCTTTCCACCCCTGCAACTTGCGAACTGCCGCGTTCTGCTGAAATACGAGTCGCTTGGGTACTGCAGCCTTGAAGCCATGTTGTTATCAATACTGGAAACTTGGCGATTAGTGCTGCAAAGCTTGGCCTACGGCTGTTGCATCCGCCCCATCCACACAACCCTTGATCAGTGAGCACGGTGGTTTCCACTCTCCCCGCAACTCGGCAGCCCCAAAGACCCTTGGATGCTTGAACAATTGTCAAACCTGTTTCAACGATGCTGGCTAGTGAAGACAAAAAGCACTGAGCAGGCCAACTAATAGATAGGTTGCTTCTGCAATGATCTGGCTAACCGCGTGTGGCTTCCAACTGCATTCAGCAGACTGCTGAAACTAAAGAGCTTGTGCGACAAAAGAATTGGGGGATGGATGGTCTCTAAAGTGCAGCTGTAACTGTCACTTGAGCCAGATGGCACGTGATGACTTCCAAGGCCGCGCGACCATGCAGCCGAAATATGCTAAGCTGCATATTCCAACATTGAATTATTTGGACTGGCATGTGGCGGGACACCTCTCCTGGTATCCGGATCCCTGTTGGGCAGCTATTTTTCAACGACCATACGAACCCAGGGACTTTTGAACGAACTACCCACGTATTGCGCTGGTTTTTAGGGCTTTAGACATGCAGGCGCTCCCCACGCAGCACCGGCCAGTCAGTTGCCAGGCCTGAGGCTGCTTGACGATTTGTCCTTGCTGCCCCCTGCCATTCTCCGATGAACAGCAGGCCCTTCTGTTACATATCGGCCGGCGGAGCGCACTTTTCAGAGAGCCGTTGTCGATGAACTAGAGGCTAATAACTAGTGCACAGGAATTGTTCAGATTAAAAGGGATCCGTGCAGAACCCCCGGTCATCTCATTGCTCTAGGTTATGTGATTGGAGGGAATATTTGGTTTAGATGCAGCAGTCGAGACCATCCGCGAGAAGCGGCGATACGATACGACTTACCAATAGTTTTGCGGCAACCATACCAAGATATACACTACTTGGCAGCACCGTTGCCGTCATACGATAGCCACAATAACCACTTACCAACGAAATGGGCACGTATCGTACGAACACTCCATTCGCTATGACATGTTTCGATCTGCGTGACATTGCACACCAAGAGAATCCCACACACCGCAAATTGCAGGATTCGCGCTGCGGACGAAAGGCTGGTCAGGGGATCTGGAAGCGTTATAAGTGCCAACTCGATAATGCCGAAGTACAGTAAGCCTATATGGAAACTCAAAACTGCCGTAAATAGAGGCCCGACATCCATCGGGTAGGGCAGTGTGCGTTGTGTCTCAGTTGGGGACTGGATGTCACTGTGAGCACGCTGGATTGAGACTTGAGCCCTACAACGGAGATGCATCTCGACGTCGGAGACTTTCTCCCTGGCCCTGGGCGGAGGCAGCGCAGGTATTTGCCCTTTACGGGATCTAGCCTCATTGCATGAAGGCCCAGAATATGCATCGAGATGCCCATAAGACGCTTTCTAGGATCCTAGCTGAGCTCGCTTCGGGGAGCTCCTCTTCGAGCAAGACGAGCTTGTTTGACGTCCATGTACGACGAGTTCAGGACCTTCCTGTAGTAGCTTGGCACGCCTGCGGGTAACCGGGTATTGGCGCAGCCTGATTGGGGGTTCGAGACAAGAAAGCGTTGGAGAAGAGGAAACAACAATTTCCCTATTCTCTCTCATCGCCACAGGGCTTTTCCCCAGTCGTCGGCAAAAAGGAGTGGGAGCTACGTCACCCTCGTCAGGCCCCTTGAATTGAGGCTCCTTGAATGGAACCGCTATTTCATGAGGCTTAAATTTATCGATGAAACGGCATCATTGGCGTCAGCCGCATTGGGGAGGGGGGCGTGTGAGTAAAAGCATGGGGAAAAATAGAAACGCTTTCTTTAGCTATAACTACACTGGATGGTCATGCATGCAGCGAAAATGATAATGTACATTGGTAGCGGGGGTGACCAGGATAGGGCATCTGCGCGCCTCTGACAGGATCGAACGTCCGGGGCCGGGAGGTGGCGTAGCGAATGACACCCCCCGGCCTCCGCCATGTAAGCCGTACGAACCGTAGGGAAAATTTGCCGTTGGATTTTGTCTCTGCCTCCTTCTAACGCTTGACCCAGGCCGGGCTCTTGCGAGCCTTGACGTGGCCATGCAGCTTTCTCTCCACCTTTCTGGGATCACGCGTGATGCAGCCGGCTATTGATGCGGAAAAGAAGAAAGAGAGAGCAGGTTAGCAAACAAGAGGCCTCTTCATGAGCGGTCAGGGGCCGGCCCTGGGGAGGAATGCATTTTGCAGCCGTTACTCACCTTTGCGCAGAGCGGGCTTCAGAGCGGGCTCGTGTGCCAGGAGGCCCTTCGCGACGGCCATGGTCATGGCCTCGGCCTGGCCCGTGGTGCCGCCGCCCTCGACCAGCGCCCAGACGTTGTACTTGTCCAGGCGGCCCGTCGCCAGGAGCGCCCAGATGGCGCTCTCGCGGTCGTGCACGCGGCCAAACGCCTCACCGAGCGTCTTGCCGTTCACGAGCACCTCGCCGGTGCCCTCGACGACAAACGCGCGCGCCGGTCCACGGTCAGCGGCCGCGCCACGTTGAGCAGCGCGTTGACGGGCCGGGTGAAGCGCGCGACGGCCGCCGTCACCTCGGCCGGCGCGAGCGACGGCTCGATGCAGTGCAGCCGCCGCACCACGCGCATCACCTGCGAGAAGTGCGATGCCTTGATCGACTCGCCGAGCTCCCGCCGCATCGCCTCGAGGCGGAGCCACGGCATTTGCGCCGCCTCGGCGGGGGCCACGGTGGGCAGGTGGTTGTGTCGCGCCAGCAGCCGGGACAGCTGGATGTGCAGGTCGTTGAACTGCGGCGTCCGCGAAAAGTACGACGGCGTCGAGGGCACGGCGCGCGCGTGCATCACGCCGACGTGCGGGATGCGGATCGCCTCGAGCTGAGCCTTGAGGCTGCCATTGTTGTCAAAGCTCGACGTGTCATTGTCGTTGCTGGTCGTCGTAGTTGTCGTCGTGAGGCACCTGATCGCTAGGGGTGTTGAGGGCGCAGCTCGCTTCGTGGCCGCGGACAGCCATTGCGAGCCCAGAGAGGGCTTCTTGCACCGCAATTGGCGCAGGCTCCCGCTGACACTGGCCATTTCTGCTTCGATTGGTGTTTTCGTAGATCCGAGTCGCTCGGTGCGCTCTCTTCTGATGGGTTCGACAGGGACTCAGAGCCCTTGTTCTTCGAAAACCCTTTGTTGCCCAGCTTCAGCGCCACATCACGTGGCGATTAGATACCATTTAGGACCCCCAGCCACTCGTCGCCACCGTTGCCGTTGCTGTAGGAGCCCACCATGCGCGGGGCCAAATTTGTTCCACCATAAAAATTTCCTCACATCGTTGCGGGTCTCAGGACAGCTTTTCCCTCCTCGAAGTCCTGTTCACTCCAATTCTCACGCACATTACAAGTCGTTGATCAACTGAGTTAAACAGTCAAAATGGCTTTCGGAACTCTCTTCACTACCGAGGTAAGAATACTTCCTTCATGACGCTCATGTCATCTACTCTCGCCCAACAGACGAGTCGCTGACAGCTCCGTCAGGGCAACGGCCGCTCCATCGCCATCCAGGCTGTCGCCAAGGCCAACGGCCTCGACGTCAAGGTCACCACCGTCGACCTGACTGCTCCTCGCACTCCCGAGCACCTGACTGGCAGCCCTGTCGGACGTGTCCCTGCCTTCGTCGGCGAGGACGGCTTCACCCTCCACGAGGCTGTTGCCATTGCCATCTACTGTACGTGACTCAAATTTCTCGCTCGCAAGCTTTACCCCTCATCTCGTGGCCCATTTTGGCCCGTGCCCTCGTGTGATGACCAAGCCTTTTATTATACAGTTATCCCTATCTGAATTTCTTTGTGTGGATATTGCCTAACTTCTGACGTTGCTTTTGCAATTGCTCTGTTTGCTCTTTGACAATGGCCAGTTGGGCAGACGCTGACATGAAACAGTCACCTCTCAGAACGAGAAGACCACCCTCCTCGGCAAGACCAAGCAGGAGTAAGCAGACACTCGCTGAATAACTATAGAAATATTCATACTGACTCTTCATAGCTACGCCTCCATCCTCAAGTGGATGTCCTTCTTCAACACCGATCTCCTCAACGCCCTTGCTGGGCAATATGTCCCCCTCCTCGGCCGTGCTCCCTACAACAAGCAGGCTGTTGATGAGTGCGCCAAGAAGACTGACCAGGCCGTTGCTGTCGTCGAGAAGTACCTCGTCGAGCACACCTACCTGGTTGGTGAGCGTCTGACTCTGGCCGATCTCTTCGCTGCTGGCATCATCAGCTCCGGCTTCAAGTTCTTCTACGACACCAAGTGGCGCCAGGCCAACCCTGCTACCACCCGCTGGTACGAGACCATTGTCAACCAGCCTATCTACTCCGACATTGTCGGCAAGGTGGAGTTCATTGACAAGGTTGCTCTCCCCAACGTCGCCCCTAAGAAGGCCGAGGCCCCCAAGGCTGCTGCCGCCCCCAAGGCTGCTGCTGCCGCCCCTGCTGCCGACGCTGAGGATGCCCCTGCTCCCAAGCCCAAGCACCCTTGCGAAGCTCTTGGCAAGTCCAGCTACGCCCTTGACGACCTCAAGCGCTTCTACTCCAACAACGATACCCCCGTTGCCATGAAGTACTTCTGGGAGACCGTCCCCTTCGATGAGTACTCCATCTGGAAGGTTGACTACAAGTATAACGACGAGCTTACCCTCACTTTCATGTCCAACAACCTCATTGGTGGCTTCAACACTCGTCTGGAGGGCTCCCGCAAGTACGTCTTCGGTACTGCCTCCGTCTACGGCGAGAACAACGACTCTGTTATCCAGGGTGCCTTTGTCATCCGTGGCCAGGACTACCTCCCCGTCTTCGACGTTGCCCCCGACTACGAGAGCTACAGCTTCACCAAGCTTGACCCCAAGAAGGAGGAGGACCGCGCATTTGTCGAGGCCAACTGGGGCTGGGAGAAGCCTGTCGTCGTCAACGGCAAGGAGTACGCCCACGCCGATGGCAAGGTCTTCAAATAAACGATTGAATAATGAATTGGACTGGGTAACGAGGCATGTGGATCATGGGTTGATGACTGGGAAAATGAATTACGAGCTGCATATGTGCTATTCATGAATGAAGCTAGCATGCTTGCATTGTAATGACCATGGGATTGGATGTCGGTAAACAATGGAATGGTCCGTCCGGTAAACACGAGTACACAGCAATACACAAAAGGCGTACATGTTGCCGTGTTCAAATTGGCCCGGTTCTTAACAAGTGATGGCTGTCTTGATTACTACACGAGTAATACGAGACGATGAAATGCTTGCCTAGTAAATGCTTTATGAATTCCACCTGTATACCATACATATATCTCAATATGACCCAACTCCGCGCCGCTTTTGCAGCGACGCTGTACTTGATCGTTCCTTCAATGCCTGGGAAGCCACCAGCGGAAGCTGTACCTTTACCTATAAATGTCGACCAGCAAATCCCGAGGAAAAATGGAAACTCGATTCCTCATTCTTCACCACCCCTTCAGCCATCTGAACTCTTCGTCCTTCTGAAACCGTCGACTATTGCTGTGCGTGTGTATGTGCATGCGGCCTTTCGTGCCTCAATCACCCAGCCACCAAGAAACAACTTCCACCAAACCGCCTTACGACAGGCTGTAGTTTGAATCGAGCTGGAAGGGCTTCTCCCGAATGTAGCGGCTAATGTTCGCCTGGTACGCGAGCTCGTTGATGTAGTCGTGCACCTGCGGCAGCACGAACGGGCTCTCGGCGTCGGGGCCGAGGTACTCGGGGATGCGCAGGAGGTTGTGCGGCTCGCTGCGGGCCTTTTCCGTCGAGTCGTCGACCAGCACCGTGTTGCTCTGGTCCCAGCGACCCGCGGCGCCGCCGCGACGTCCGGCGTCCGGGTGGGCGGCGGCCACTTTCGGGTCCGCCCAGACGCGCGTGAGCCGCTTGTAGCACTGCACGCGGGCGTCGTAGTCCTCGCTGGAGAGCCCGAAGCGGTCGCGGCCCCAGACGACGACGCAGGCGCGGCGCTGCTCGGGGGTTAGCAGGCTGGCGACCATGCAGTTCACGTTCTCGGGCCGCGCGGAGGACCACACGGCGACGGCGAAGTTGCGCAGCAGGTAGTCCATGAAGACGCGGGCGTGCGGGCGCGCGACGAAGCGCGACGGCGCGCGCGCCTTGTTGGGCCGGTACAGAAGCGTGCCGTTGAGGTCCATGACGACGAGGATGCGGCGCGGGCGCAGGAGGCGGGAGACGGGACCGCCAGCGCGGCGGAGGTAGGAATTGCTGGGCTCGGGCACTCCGCCGGACTCGGCGCTGGGGACGGTGACTTTGTCCCGCGGAAGGACCTTTCTGGCGGCTTTGGATCTGCCATAAATTGTTAACAAAAGATGTGATAAGTAGGGAGGGGGAGGATGATATACTTTGTGATCCTTGTGACTTGCGCGACTTCGGGCGGACTCGTTATCTTTACGCCGTTTGGAGGCTCGGCAGCCGCCTGTGTAGCCTCTACTTCTGCCTCATCCTGCTTTGTCTCTGCCTCATCCTGCTTCTGTTCTGCCCCATCTTGCTTCTTTTCCTTTGGCCCTTTCTTCTTGAGTTCGGTGACTTGAACGATAGTCGTGTCTTTCTGTGTCACTACCAATGCGGCGGCTTTCTTCTCCCTGCGACGTTTCCACGCCGGCGGCCTGCCACTTTTTGATTTCGCGGGCGCGTTTTGAGCGTCAACGGCGGCCAGCGCCGATTGTTGCTGGCTCACGGCCACGACCTCCACAGTCGCCATCTCGTATTTGAACTGTTTTGCTGGCTGTATTTGGAGGCAGTCTGCATGCTCACGGCGCGCTGCAGTGCTGGAAAAGGCGCGGGCAACACAAAGTGTAGCGGACGAGATGGGGTTGGGTGAATTCAGATGCCAGGTTGAGAGAGTAGAGAAGAAGGAGAGCCGGTGAAGAGGCGGCATGCGAAATCGGGGGTTTTATGCAGTCCCAGTGTGACTTGGCTGAGACGACTGTGGCTTGCTTCAATAACTCGACACTTAAATAAAGGAGCAAGCGGAAATCGTTGATACAGGTAAAACAGTCAATAAATAAAGTGATGGTAGCAAACAGTAAAATCGATATATTTTTAGCGTCCCTGAAACTGGATTGGCCGGCGCTATGTGACTGGTGCAGCTTTAATAAACTCCCATAACTACGTTAGTTCGTGGCTTATCGATAGCCAAGAGCCTTGCAGTTAGTGGCCAGCAACTGCCCGCTACATCTCGAAAATTATTTCAAAGCTGTTTTCTTTGCAAACACCCTGATACACAAAAGAGCACCACCACTATGCCGCCGAAACGAAAAGCCCAACCTCTTGGGTTGAATAGAAGGGTCCGCCCTCGACGCGAGGAAGACTGGAATCTCGAGCCTGAGTCGGAGAGCCAGCAGACTGACGATGACGATGTCTCAGAGGAAGACATTGGCGAGCAAGAGAGTGAGGGCGAGAACTCGTCTGATGCTAAAGACGACGAAGATTCAAACGTAAGAACTATTGTAGTGTCACTTTTTTTGTTCAGACATGCCGCTAACGACACACAGTCTGAATCAGAAGAGGATGCCCCTCCCAAAATTGATCTCTCCTCGGTATCATTCGGAGCCCTAGCTCGCGCGCAATCATCCATGCCCGCCACAAGCCGACGAGCAAAGAAGAACAAGAAAGCAGACTCCGACTCCGACTCTGAAGAACCCAAAATGACCCTTCGCGAGCAAGCCGAAGCCCGTCGACTCAAAAACAAGGCCGCCGCCAAGCCCGGCCGCACATCCAAGCACGCGCCGCAGGAGCAGTCCTCCAAGAAGCCCGTCTCGCGGCGCCGCGAGATCCTCGCCGACCCGCGACGCAAGCCGCGCGACCCGCGCTTCGACCCGCTCATGGGCACCGTCGACGAGGACAAGATGCGGCGCGCCTATGCCTTTCTCGACGACTACCGCGACAGCGAGATGGCCGACCTCAAGGCGCAGATCAAGAAGACCAAGAACCCCACGGAGAAGGAGGCGCTGAAGCGGCAGCTGCTGTCGATGGAGTCGCGGAAGAAGGCGCAGAAGAAGCGCGACGAGGCGGGCGAGGTGCTGCGCGCGCACAGGGAAAAGGAGAAGGAGCTGGTGGCGCAGGGCAAGCAGCCGTTCTACCTGAAGAAGAGCGCGCAGAAGACGCAGCTGCTGACCAAGCGGTTCACGGATATGAGCAAGGGCCAGGTGGACCGCGCGATCGAGAGGAAGCGGAAGAAGGTGGCGGGCAAGGAGAGGAAGGAGTTGGATAGCCTGGTTCGCCCAAGGGATAGGCGCTGAACGAGGGACACGGGAGGCAAGAGTTTGTTCGAAGAGGGCATTAAATTATGATGAGAGAGATACCCAACGCTCCATGACCACCGAAATCTAAAAAGAGTCTATAAAATACATATAGAGTGGTCTGTAATTCCACTTGCTCATCTCGTGTGTTCTCTCCTATTACAACTATGTAGTGTACATGATGCTGCTTCCCATCAGCAGTGCCGCTTTTACTCGACGTAGCCAGACTTTGCCACGGCCATTTCAAACATCTCGCGGCACCGTACCTTGCTGCCGAGCTTCGCGCAAAGCAGGAACGCGCCGCTCAGCTTGCGGTGCAGGCTGTACGTCTCCTCGGGCGGCGGCGCCAGGCGCTCCTGGAGCATGACGGGGATGAGCGCCTTGACGCGCTCCGTGATGGTCTGGTCGTGGAAGTCGTAGACGTCCGGCGCGGACGCCAGGAACGGCTCCGCGAGCGTCAGCACCGACCGCACGTGCGCGTCGACCATGGCGCGGCTCTCGTGTCCCGTCAGGTAGCCGAGCTCCTCGGAGAGGCCGCGGACGGCCTCGCGGTCCGACCGCGACGCGGCTGCCAGCAGCCGCACGTACAGCCGCACGAACGCCTCGGGGAACTCGCGCGACGCGCCAAAGTCGAGCAGCTCGAGGCGCCCGCTGGCGGCGTTGTACAGGAAGTTGGTCCAGTTGGGGTCCGTCTGCATGAAGCGGAACTCGGTGATCTCGCGCAGGCAGAGCCGCAGCAGCTGCGTGCCGATCCAGTCGCGCTGCGCCTGCGAGAAGGAGCCGGCGCCGCGCGTGACGCCCACGCCGTCGAGGAAGTCCATGGTCAGCACGTGCCGGCCGGACGCCTCCGGGTACACCGCTGGCGCCTCGAAGATGGCCTCCTCGCCGGCCAGCAGCTCGCGGTAGCGCGTGGCGCACGCCGCCTCGCGCTCGTAGTCGCACTCCCAGCCAAGCTCCAGCCGGGCGTTGTCGATGGTCTTGTTAAGGTATAGGCCGCGTGGGAGCAGCTTAGTGGCGGTCAGCAGCACGCTGAGGTTGTCGAGGTCCGAGTTGATCGAGTCGGCCACGCCGGGGAACTGGACCTTGACGGCAACGCGGCGCCCGTTGGACTTGAGCCGCGCCTTGTGCACCTGCCCGATGGACGCCGCCGCGATGGGCGTCTCCTCGAACTCGGAGAAGAGCTCGCGCCAGTCGGCGCCCAGGTTGTCGCGGAGGACGCGGTCGCGCTGCCACGCGGGCATGTAGTCGGCGCGGTCCTGCACGCGCTGCAGGACCTCCTGCAGCGGCGCGGGCAGCATCTTGGAGTCCTGGAAGCTCATCATCTGCCCGAGCTTGAGCGCCGCGCCGCGCATGCGCGACAGCTTGGACACGAGCCGCTCCAGGTTGCCGCCGCTGAGCAGCACGCTGCCCTGCCCGCCGCCACCAAAGGCCCGGCTCACGCTCTCCGATACGGCGCCGCCGAACAGGCCGGCGGCGAGGCCGCCGTAGTTCCACAAGCGGCTTATGCGCGTCGAGGGAACGCTGGACTCCCTGAGCTGGTAGGCCGGCCTCGCGTCGCCGCCGTCCTGGACAGGCTCTGCGGAGGCCTCGCTGATGGGCTGCTCTGGTGCCTGTGCTGCCGCTACTTCCGGTTCAACAACTGGTCTAGGCTCCTGTAGCGGTTCAGTAGTCTCATTGGTTGGCGGAGCTTCTGTTCTAACGACGATTGGCTCCCGGGGAAGAGGAGGGGAGCTTCCCCAGTGCCGTAACGGGTGCTCCTTGGCCGGACCGCAAGCCGAAGCAGCGGCCTGCTGGTGGCGTTGCTTGCGCACCGAGTCCAGAATCTGAGAACCCCGTGTTGTGTGGAATATATTGACATCGACGTCGCTAGGGAGGCCTAGATCCTCGACATTGGGCCTCGCGGCAGCATTAAACTCGCGCGACGCTTGTGCATATCTGCTCTCCGTCGTCGGCTCCGGAGCAGGTGGCGGGGCTGCCGCCGGTGGTGGTTCTGTCCTCGGCGCGTTGGTATCGGATCCGGCAATGTTGGCTTTGATCGATTTAAGCTCGGCGTTGAGATGCTTGGAGGCTTCTGCGCCGGCGGCCTCGGCCTTGTTCTTCAGATCGACGACGGCCGTCGCAGTGCCACCTCGGTATCGCTGCAGCTGGCGTCCGCGGAGGGCAACATGCTTGGTGGCGACGGAGCGCGAGGCGCTCAGCACCGCGGCTAGATCAATTGCTAGATCCGCGAGCCTCATGTCGGGTGTGTCGTGTTGACGGAAGGATCGGTCCGCATGAAACAAGTCGTGACGTCGAAGTGCTTTTGGAGCTTCTGATAGCTTGCTGGTGGACCCTGGAAAACTTGGTCCATCGGCTACTTATGCAGCTAAGCGATCTCAGTTTTGCGTTATTCACCCGACAAATGTAGCTTGAGATGAATTCGTTCATTCAATCATAATTTCTATCTAGATATATGGATTTTATTACAAGACTGTTGTGCTATGTGAGCTTGCTGCTGTTAGGCTTGCTGGCCTTGCGTAATGAGGAGCCTCGCCGTAGTGGCGTTTCCTGCCACGACTGACCAAACGAGTTTCCTGGCGTGCTTCCTTTTGGGGTCCCCATTTTGCTCCAAAGACGCTTAGCTGCCGGTGTCAGTTCCCCTGATACTCGCGGGCTGCTCGGAAACTTGGGAACTGCCAAGTGCTCAGAGCGGCCGGTGAAGCCATTGCGGGAAGACTCTCGTTTGGATTTGGCTATCCGATCCACCATCCTTTCATGCAAAACATCCTTCTTCCCCCGTTCCTGTATTTTGAAGGGGTTATTTGAATCGCCGGGACCCAGATCAATGATGGCTTCCTCTTTAGTGGGAGAGTCGTAGTCATCTTCGTCGTCCACGAAAGCATAGCCATTGACTCGCGGTGTTTCGCCACCACCGGCCATGCTGGAGACTGAGTCTTTCACACGAGGCCTTCCAGCAATGGCGTCCCTTATGGAGGACATTGTGGGTGAGGGCGGACGCTGTGGGATGTGAGGCTGCGGAACTCTGGTATTCGCATAGACAACTGTTTTTGGCCCCGATCTGGATGCTTCTTCAGCAGCCTGTGCCCTGGTCTTGACGCCATCCGCAAGATCCTTTGGCCCAAACATCAGGTCGTTTTGGGGTTCTGATTTCCAGCTATCCGGTCGCGCCGGCCGATCATCGCCATCTTTGATCGCTAGCCTGTCGCGTTTGATGAAGCCATCGTCGATGAGTTTCCCGTCTTGCGCTAAACGCTCTATGACTGCTTTCTGTGCAATCATTTGCTTGGATGGCATCTTGTTGCCGCCCCACAGCCAAGCATACTTGCCAGCCCTTTTCTGATTTTGTTTGTCAATGAGTTTGTAAAAGCTTTCATTGTCTTCGCTGGTGTATGTTGCTTGAAACTTTGTGAGACTCATGTGCGCTCCCACCGCTGGGCGTCGTTCCTCGACGGCCTGTGTCGCAACAGACATTGGCGTATCACCCACATCTGTCATTGGTGTTTTGCCAGCGTCTACATGTCGGCGTGGCCTGGAATCACCCCTCTCCTTCTTCAGTGCATCGGCGTGGCGTAGCCTTTGACCTGCGCTTGATATCCAGGCTGGATCCTTTGAGTCGAGAGCGTCCAAGTAGTCTTGCTGTATTTCCGACTCATACAAGCCGGGATAGAAGTCTCTGGCTATAATTTGTGAGAGAGCCTCGGTGTATTCGTCTTCATCGAGTACTTTTTTTGGTCTCTTGATCTTCTTGACCGGCGGTGGAGGAGCCATTAGTTCCATATCCTTGCGCTTCTTAGTCAGGGCGTTTGATGAAGTAGATTCAGCCATGGTGCCGGTGCTGGTGATTATTCTTGGATGAGCGTATAGTTCTATGCGTTGGAAGGTATCCAAAATGTAGTCATGGCATGCTGACGGGATACGACGTGAGCAAGGCGGGTGAGTGTTTGGGATAATTGCGATGACATCTCTAGGCAGCTAGATGGATGGATGGTCAAGGCATGAGAGATATGCACTTATCCGAGTCATTCTAGAGACTGACCATTTGCAGTGGGTTTAAGGCTTCAGGCGCCAAGGTTTAAATTTAGTGGCAATTTACAGTGGCTGCATTGGTCAGGTTAGTGGCAATCAGCACCTGGTTGCGCAGTGGTAGTGGTCAGCCCGCTGGAGATGCTGCAGAAGCGCTGCGGTGGAACCTTCCAGGGCCCGCGGCTCGCCCCGCTGACCACACCAAATCTGCAAGCCAGCCTCGCTCACTCTTGGTCGGCAACGGAAACAATTGAACTTGCGCAACTTTCTCCAATTCCACCTGAGGCATCCGCTGCTACGTCTACTCGGGTCATCACCTTGCGTCCTACACGGCGCGCTCCCACAGCAAAAGTCCGACCCTTTTCTCTTCGGCTCCGAAGCCAATCACCAAGAGCGCGTTTGACCCAATCGTCGAGTCCGGCACACACATTCCCGACGGTAGTTAGATCAAACCCACGATGTACGCAGCTAAAGCCGTCGAAGTCAAGAACCTGGGCAACAAAGCCTTTGCCTCTGGTAACTTTCCTGTTGCGATCGGACACTACTCGCAGGCCATCGAGCTCAATGATAAGGAGCCCACTTTCTATACCAACCGCGCCCAGGTACATATGCCCGTCTAATCTCGCGCTCGTCGCGGCCTGATCGTGTGACTAACTCCCCGACCTCCTCCGCAGGCGTACATCAAAACAGAGGCGTTTGGTTATGCCATAATAGATGCCACAAAAGCCATTGAGCTCAACCCGAAGCTTGTCAAGGTACGTCAAGCGACCGAACCTGGGCTATGCGGCATGGTGCTAACCCTCCCGCTACCTACTAGGCCTACTACCGCCGAGGTCTCGCCCGAACTGCCATTCTGCGCCCCAAGGAAGCCGTGGAGGACTTTAAGGAATGTGTGCGTCTCGAACCCACCAACAAGGATGCGCGACTCAAGCTGGAAGAGTGCAAGAAAATTGTACGGCAACTTGCCTTCTATGCCGCCATTGAAGTTGGCGACGAGCCCTCCGCCGCCGAGGGTCTCGATATCGCTTCTATGCTTCTCGAGGACAACTATGATGGTGCCAAGCTTGGAGATGAAATGACTCAAGAATTTATTGACGACATGATTGAGAGATTCAAGAATGGTAAGAAGATTGCTAAGAAATACGTGTACCAAATTCTTGTCGCCGTCAAGAAGATCGTCTATGACGAAGCGACCATGGTTGAGATGGAAATCCCTGACGATGTCCAACTGACTGTTTGTGGCGATACACACGGTATGTACCGGCACCACCTGCCCATGTTTTCCTTATGCTGATATCCGAAGGTCAATACTTTGATCTTCTCGAGCTGTTCCGTAAAAACGGCAGGCCCACAGACAAGCACTGGTATTTGTTCAATGGTGACTTTGTCGACCGCGGATCGTGGTCTTGCGAAATTGCCCTGCTTCTCTACGCTTACAAGTGGCTGCGTCCCAACGGCTTCTTCCTGAACCGTGGAAACCACGAGACGGACGACATGAACAAAGTATACGGCTTTGAAGGAGAATGCAAGGCCAAGTACAACGAGAGGTATGTTCAATTGCAACTGAAGAGCTAAAATTGTCGTTACTGATATCATGTTAGAATCTTCAAAATCTTCTCCGAGAGCTTTTCTGCCCTGCCCCTTGCCACTCTTGTCGGCAGCAAGTACCTCGTGCTCCACGGTGGACTATTCTCCGACGACAAGGTTACCCTCGACGACATCCGCAAGCTCAATAGACACAACCAGAAGCAGCCCGGCCAGTCTGGCCTGATGATGGAGATGCTCTGGACGGATCCCCAAGAGGAGACTGGCCGCGGACCTAGCAAACGTGGTGTCGGTATGCAGTTTGGTCCGGACATCACTAAGCGCTTCTGCGAGAACAACGGTCTTGATGCCATCATCCGTAGCCACGAAGTCCGCATGGACGGCTACGAAGTCCAACACGACGGCCGGTGTATCACTGGTAAGTGGAAGAAGAATTGCCGCCAGACAACCAGACTGACTAGTTCCAGTCTTCTCTGCCCCTAGATACTGCGACTCGACCGAGAATCGCGGTGCTTACATCAACATCCGCTCGGACTACAAGCTGCAATATGAGCAGTTTGATGCCGTTCCTCACCCGGATATCCGGCCCATGGTAAGCTGCCCTTGCAAACAACGCCTGTTTGATTGTGTCGCTGACCCAAGTTCCAGGCATATGCCCAAAACTCGCTTATGTCTTCGCTAGCCTAGGCGCATAGAAGCATGGGAAAAAAACAAAAAAGAGTAAAAACGAAAAATCTATGGTCGATAAAGGCCCTGAAATATGCATTTGGCTGTAAAATGGGTTGGAAAATGGTGGAACAAGTCTTTCTTTCGGATTTTGGGCAACAGGCGGGCATATGGACGCTGTAAATATGATACCCGGCGCTGATGAGACGTATATATGCCATTGGCACAGAGGCCTCCGATAGATCGATTAACGGTGCTCAAAGGAGCACCAAGTGATGACGATGAATACCGGCCTTTCCGTTAAAGGGAGCCAGAAATGTTGTGGTAGCATAGGCCGAGGATAAGTGTACCCTCGCTCCCTTTCACTCCTGCCAAAGCTTATCTAACGCCTCGCTGCCAACCATGGTGCCAAGCCAGTCGGAGCACTGCCCGACGCGCAGCAGGAACGGCACGCCGTCGGCCACGCTCCCCCGGTACGCCGTCAGCGCTGCCGCCAGGGTGCCGAGGTCGTCGCGCGGCACGCGTACCCAGCACCGCGCCGGATCAACCTTGAGCACGTCGACCGGGATGCCGGCGCCCGTGTCACCGAGGAACTGGCGCAGCGCGCCGGCGCAGTACGAGCGCACGAGGAGCTCGTCCAGGGTGGTGGTGGTGGTGGTGGTGGCGCGGCCGGGCTCGCCGTCGGTGGCCAGGTCGAGCTGCGCGTAGGCAAACTCGGGTGCCTTGATGGTGAATTCGCGGTGTGTCGTTTGAGATGACATTTTTTCTCGTCTTTGAGGAGGTATGTGATGGGGTGCGAAGTGACAGTTGACAGTTCGATTTTGGGAAATTATGGGAAAAGAGCGAGAGGAAAAGAGAAAAAAAGCGTAAAGAAGGGAAAAAAGAAAAAGAAAAACTTGCTTTGTGTAAGTATGATGAGTGTTGTTGGCTGCAAAACGGGCAAAAAAGTGATGCGACGCTGAAGGTTTGAGATATGCAACTATCGGGTACTGCCCTACCGAAGCGTTGTCGGCGCCAACGCAGATGTTCACCTCGTTCGCAACAAGCACTGAAGACCAGCAATCCGCAGCACGACGACTTTCCGACGAACCTACAGACTGTTCGAATCGGGTGAAAAGGAAAAGAGGTGCTGTGCCGCCCCCGACTCTTCGAAACCATGTCTGCGTCGGTCAACTTTGTCGCGCCTGGCCAGCAGCGCTACCTGCGCGCCTGCATGGTCTGCCGAACAGCCCGTCCCATACCGAGCCGATGCGAGATTTATTACCCGGGCGGGGTGACGATGATGGCGGACGAGGAAGTATTTGTAGCGGACTAGCTAACGAAAAGAGTTTCCAACAGCGCTTCCGCGACGAGGGATGCCCCAACTGCGAGGACTTTCTGCACCTCGCCGGCTCGCAGGACCAGATCGAGAGCTGCACGTCGCAGGTCTTTGAGGGGCTCGTCACGCTCGCCGACCCGTCCAAGTCGTGGGTCGCCAAGTGGCAGCGCCTCGACGGCTACGTGCCCGGCGTCTACGCGATCAAGGTCTCGGGCCAGCTGCCGGACGAGATCCGCTCCGCGCTCGAGGACGAGTACAGGATACAGTACATTCCGTGGGTTATGCCCGCCCCATCTGGCGGGTATAGAGGAAGCTAATGTTTAATGCGCAGGCGCGATGGTACAGAGGCCGAGGCGGAGTGAGTTGAGATGGAAGGAATCTGGATATTGGGCGCTGGAGGCGTTTTGATCTCGAAAAAGAGAATTTTTCATTGGTTTTTACGACAATGGAGGGCAAATAAAACATTAGTGGAAGAAAATACAGTATGTTGCCATTCATGGTATCTAAAAGCGTCCGTTATACTCCGTGCCCTGTGTGTAGATTCTATGTATCCCGCAGTTTTGTTACAACGCCGTAAAAAAAGTGCAACAAACAATTCAAGAAGCTGGAGCCTGTGTTAGCTGCTCCTTTGCTTCTTCAGCGGATTGCCCGTGCCCGAGCCGTCGCGCGCGCGCTTGCGGTCCATTTCCTGGCGCATGATGCGCTCCGCCTCGCTCATCTTCTTTGGCTGCTCGAACCCCGAGGCCTTCTTCCCGCCGCCACCGGCCAGCGCGTTCTTCTTGGCCTGCGCAAAGACGTTCTTGACGGGTGCCTTACCGGCAGCCTTGAAGGAGAAGCCGCCAGGCTTCTTTGCCTCTGTCGCGGTGGTAGCAGCAACATTATCTTCAGCCTTGGCCTCGCTCTCATCTTTACTGGGCGTCCCTGTAGGGTCCTTGTCGGCTGTCGTCGTCGTCGTCGTCGTCTTGGGCTTACTGCTACCAAAGGATAGCGTAATCTTTTCGCCCTCCTGTCTCTTGAGCTCACGGTCCTCGGCATCCAGCTCCGCGCCCTCCTCACCGCTGCGCGCGGCCTGCGCGCGCTTGATCTGCTCTCTGATCATGCGCTGCTCCACCTCCTCGTCGCCCTGGTTTTGGGCCTCCTTCCTGCGCAGCGCCTCCTGCCGGCGCAGCGCGTCCGGCGAGTTGTCCACCCACGTGATGTGTATGCCCTTGTCGTTCTCCTCGACGCGGCAGATGCCCTCGCGGCCGAGGTGCTTGGCGAACTCGGTCAGCGACGGCCACTTCGTCGCGTTCATGTGGATGTGCTCCTTGTTGGCGATGTACTCCTGATAGAAGTGGTTGATGTGCACCTGCTTCTCGCCGTGGCCCGTCTTGAGCAGCTGGACGAAGTCGGAGAGGAACTGGTTGCTGAACTCGTTGATGAACTTTTTGGGGTCCTCGCCGACGACGAGCATCTGCCGCACGTGGCTCTCGGACTGCGTGTGCATCTTGAAGCCGTTGGCATCGCGGCACTGCTTCTCGCAGACCTGGCAGAACCATCGTAGTCGTTGCAGGCCCTTGGACTTGAGCTTGTTGTTGAGGTGCTTGACCGTGCCGGCCTCTGCCTTGGGCATGGTGGGCGAGAGGGAGCGGTTTGTCGCGTTGTTTGTCTCGGGGGATTCGGAGTCGCGGCAGGTGAAGAACTTTAAGGTTGGATGATGAATAGAAGATTCGGGTGCACAAATGAGAAAAAGAAGCGGAAACTCGTGCAGCTGATGATGCTATCTTTAAAGTGGTTGGCGCGCCGCCAGAATACATAAAAAGTCTGTCACTATCCTAAGTTCCATTTTTAGGCGGCGGGCACACCTATTTATTACTATTAATTATATTAGTTTTTTTTAATAATATAATTAAGGATAAAACTTTTTTTAAAAGGTACTTTACTTTAATTAAAAGTCCTTTAGTAGATTACTATAAAAATAATAACTTTTTTACTTTTATTAACTTTAGTCTATTATTAAGTTATTTAACTTTACTTTAAAGAAGACTTAAATTTTAAAAGTTATACTATTTAGTAGTATTTTCTCTTAATTATAGTAAAGAATGTAAAAGGTTAGTACTTTAAACTACTACTACTATATAATTTATTTTAATTATAGTACTATAATAGGGATTTAAAGACTAAAATCTACTTTTAGAGAATAATAAATAAAAGTAAAGAAGTTTACTTTACTACTTTAGTATTACTATTATTTTTTTAATTCTATTTATACTCTAGTTTAGAGTACTAATGTATAAACCTATATAAACCTTAAAGTTTCTAATATAAGTATATTCTACTACTTTCTTTAATTTATATATATAGTAGATTACTATAATAGCTATACTATATCTAAAAGTATAAATCTATAAGAGCTTAGGCCACAGCCTAGCTAGAGTGATGGCCTGATAGCCTAAGGTATAGACCTAATAGGAAGAGCTTCCCCTTATATATAGTAGTCACTTTATAGCACACTCTATAGTCTCTCCCCTCTATAAGAGATTCAGTTTAACTTTATATTAACGCCTACTCACAGTAGCCGTAGGGCCAGTCCTTAATAAAACCTTACTAATAATACTATAAAAATATTATCTGTCTAAACTAAAACCTCTACTAAAATAGAAGATAAGATAGAAACTTAACTAGTGTTTATTTAAACCTCTAATATAACTAAAGCCTCTAATATAACTAAAGCTATATCCTAGCCTTTAGATAAGTCCTATAGAAGTAGTCTTTTTAAAGAAGCTGCTCGCCCACAGGTCGGCGCGCGTCTGCATCCGGTCCGTCCACGCGGAGGCCGCCAGCTAGATGAGGATGCTGACGAGGTAGAGCGGACGCCAGCCGTACTTGTGCACCAGCGGGACGAGGAAGAAGCAGCCAATGGCCAGGCCCGTGTGGTTAAAGGCGGCGCCGCTGTTCAGCACGCCGGGGGAGAAGCCGAGCTGCTGCTCATACTGGCTCCAGGCGGTAAAGGGAATGTCGAGCTGCGCAAAGGTCAAGAGCACGTAAAAGGAGGCGAGGAGGACGTTGGTGGCCTTGCGCCAGGGGGATCGTTGGGATCGGACGAGGGTGGCGGATGCAGGATAATCTTGGTGCCCTGGTTCCGCACTAGCAGCATCAGTCAGTTCAGCTCCGTCAGGCAGGAAATCGAGAGGCTGCTTACAGTCTTCAAGGCGGACGGTTCCAGGAGCACAGAGCGCGTCATCATCAGTGAGAGTGTGTCGGTCAGACATGTTGAGTTCCGCAACGTTGCGCAAGCCTGGTTGGAATCTGTGGTAGGCAATGTTGGATGGACTGCGGGGGAGATGTGCATTTTATAGATATATTTATGGCACGATGCAGGAGTATTTGCGAATCTTCGGACGATGCATTCCGCAACGGAAACCAAGACCTTTGTGTTGGCGCTCAGCTGGCAGCCGACAAAACGCCAATGGCCGGCCATAGGCCAATCACGGCTTTGGTATATTTAGTGTGTATGGCTATGGCTTTTTTATCATTGGTTTAACGCAAACTAGTAATGCAAAGAGACGATGAAAGAGGCGTGACCGGCAATTTACTGGTCGTCACCACACTAACTTTTAAAAGGACACTACAGGGATATACTAATATGATATACTGTTAGAACATTATAGTTTGAACAGTGTTTAATTTGTCCTAGTATGCAGTAGAACTTGACCCTAGCTTCTTACAACTTGTTCACTTGTTTGGCTTTTACAGAGGTGTGTGATTGAGCATGTATAGCTATTGGCTGTTAAGACTGTCTCATGCACAAGATCAAGTGCAATACAACAAAAATGCCCGCTCATGTCGCGAATGCATCTATGCCTTGACCCACTTGTCAGGAGTAATGTCAACGGTAAAGTTCTTGCCGTCATAGAGCCACTCTGAAAACGTCTGCTTCACAGACAGTGTCGTTTCCTTAGAGCCTTCCGCGCCTGCGCATTCGCCAAACACAGTTACCTCTGTGGTTCAATGTTAGCCGTTTCCATTTCGGGTCCGCGTGTTAAGGAATGAATCTCACCTTCGGGTGCCGCCGCGTCATTGCCGCCCTCACTTGAAATGGCAACGTTGCCAACCTTGGTCACGGCCACATCCTTGCCCTTGTACGCCTTTTGGAGGTCAACGGGCGCGTTGAATTCTTGGTTGAGCGAGGGCTTGTCGGCGATGAGGAATTTGCCTTGGCCAACATTGGCGTAGAGAGCGTTGTTAGTGCCCGCATAGTTCCAGTTCTGCAGGTGCAGGTAGACGCGCATCTCCTTAAAGTGGCTGCACAGGGGGCGAGTGACCCAGTCGTCGACCTTGACGTCGCCGGACCAGACCTCCCAGTCCTTGCTGTACGGGTCACTATTGTCCCCATTAGTGTCAACCTGGAGAGTCTTATCCACGGGATAGAACTTGTCGAGGTAGACTGTGAGGCCTGAGCCTACGCATCGTCCCTGGAGCTTGAAGCCTGCATTAAAGTCAGTCTTGTACAAGTCGTGATAAGCGGCACGGCGTTACTCTCTTACCCTTGAGATCCCACCCGTCTCCAGACTGGAAGTTGAGTTCTTGATCCAGGATCCGGATTGTCTGAATGCTGTCTAACGCGACCGTCTTCTTTCCAAACGTCTTCATCATGTCAATGGTGGAGGAAATCTTGTCGCTGGTCGCAGGCTTGTCGGCGATGACGTGGGGGGCCACGCCTGCGCCGCCAAAGTCCATCTTGACTCTGTCGTATGTTCCGGCGCGAGTCGCGTCACCAATCTCAAAAACGAAAGACAGCTGATCTAGACGCGCGCAGAGTTCCGGCTGGGTCTTAGATGACCATATCCAGCGCAAGTTGGACGGCGGCGGCGCAGGTTCCTCCGGGCTGCACTTGACCGAGGCAACCTTATCGTTGAAAGCTGAGGGTGGCTGTTGGAGATCGGTGCCCTTGGTGTCCGCAGGCTTTTCGCTCCACAGGCTGGTACCCTTATTCACTTCAAAATATTGGCCTTTACAGGTCGCCTTGCTGTCTTATTGTCAATATGACCTACAGTCAGTCGATGGTAAGTGAGCCCGCACCTGTAGAATCTGCAGACGGCCGAGCTTTTATGCGGCTTAACGCCGGAGATTTGATTTTGGTAATCCGCGGGCACGGTGACTGGATAAGTAATTGTGTTAGGCCTAAAAAAGCTCAAGATTGAAGAAATCAAGACAATAGTATAGTGAATAAGGGAAAAGAGAGTTAGGACATACCACACTCGCCGTAAGGGGCATCAACCGTTGTGCAGGGTGGGTTCAACGGACTATTCTTGCAGATGTCAACAACCGTCATCTCGGTCGCGGCTATGGCAGTTAGTAACGTTTCGTGTCGAGGTATACCTCGCGGTGCTTACTCTTGGCTGTCGGCGGCCTGTCGATCTGAGTTGGGGTGTCTCCCTTTGGCGACTTTGGCATTTGGGCGAGGAGGGTACGGGCACGATCACAATCGTTTTCTGATGCCATGGTAAAGGCCAGCGGTCAGCAAGGGGAACGCTGTCGAGGAAATGCCCATTTCAGCGCGCATCGCATTCACAACGTACCGGCTCGGCCTTGAATGCCCTTGGGGGGCAGATGCGGTTTGATAAGTTTATCCACAGCCAGGTCCAGCAATTCGGAAACAATCCAACGGCAGTTTAGTGAGGGTGCATTGCTGCCACTTTCCAACTCTGCTCGTGCCTCGGGATCGATCGCATTGTCCATCTGGTACAGCTCCTCACATTCGGCCAGTCCCTCTGTGGCGAGAATCGCTGTTAGCAAGAGCGTAGGTACTCAGAGCGGACCACACATGACAGACCTTCGTCGTCCTCGCCGTCCTGCCGAGCCATGAGACTGGCGAGCGCAGGCTCTGCACACACGGAGCAGGTTCCCTCATTCATGTCGGCAGTCAGAGCTTGAGTAGCGATAACTCTACCGGTAACCTGTTGAAGGTTGATCAAGGTGCTGAGGAGCACCCCAAAAGAGAGAGTATGCATAAGGAGCGGTGGGTAAAGAACGAAATATCCTAGGTGGGATTGTAGTAGCGAATGGATGAGTATTCGTAATGTTTTTACTTTGTTGATTTGGGTTTACTAGATAAGGCCGTGGGAAGTGAAGAATATATAGGAATCCAATGACCTCTTTACATCATTTCTAAGTACTTGCTATAGGAGCGAATTGAATTTTACTTACAATCGCGTCACTTTTCTCTTCGCTTGAAGAGCAGGAGGTAGCGACGGGCAGGACGTTCATGCACGGACTTAACAATGGCACAGCCTATCCAGACAGCTTGTCATGCAAGCCTAGGTGGTGCTTGGCTCATGCCGCGACACTACCTACATAGTGCCAAGGTATAGGGAATATAGGGAACCAGGGACGTATGGCATGGCCCTCGCTAGTATGCATCCATGGGCCGAAGCCGTAGCCGCAGGCGCATACTCTTTGCTGCTTGAGCGTCTGATATGCACATGGCTCAATTTAGTTCAAGCCTGGTAGGCCTACACAGCCGGCATAGGCGCTTCGCTAACTAGTATAAATGTTGAAGCCGTGGTTGTGTAGATTGGGTCAACCAATCAGGTCGTTTAACCCGTCCTACTAATCACCAGCCGAGCCTAGAAAAGGTACCCACAATTTACCCTATTTCCTATATAAAAGGAGGTATCTTTCTTAGGGGATCTTAGTAGAGGATAGAATTATTAATAATAGAGAATTTATCTATACTTATATCTATACAGTCTAGCCACTTATAAACTAAGTCTCTAAGCGTTTAGTCTATCTATTATAAGCTTAGAGATCCACTGTCACTAATAATAAATGCGCTTTAGAATATACGCACTATGATATTATCAACTAAAACGGATGAATGTTCTACTAAACTACTATATAATATAGGCAGTATAGGTAGTAGTTATAGGTAGGCCTTTAATTAATTAGCTCTTTCCCTTGTATTCCTATACTTGGTCTTATTATAAATAGGTTATAAGTGTTAATAGTTTATCCCTATTATTAACGAATATACTTGCGCGTTCTATTCCATCACTAATGACGTACACGATTCCTCCTATTGTCCATTTGGGTCCTCAATTTCGCCTTGGATAATCTTCTCCGGCATCTCCGTCTGAAGCACGCCGTCCGCATCCTGATACTCGAGTCGCGAATACAATTCAATCGCGTCGATCCCAATGCTGTCGATATCATTGCAGACTGTCCAGGCCGCCTTGAATGGCACTCGCCATTTCCACCAGATAACCCCGTCGCTGACTTTGCCTCGTCCAACAATAGGCTCATCTCCCCAGTCTTCCTGTGGATAGCAGTAGTGCATGACCACAGCCGCTTGCGCCTCTGACTTGTCGTCCAGGGCCGCGATCCAGCCGGTCGTAATACTAGTAGACTTTCCCTGCGTGGCCCTGTCAATGAGCGGCTGGACAAGGTTACGCAATTCATGGTCGGATGCGCCTTTGAAGCCCGTATCGTAGTCCTGTACGGGAGGCTGGGTGTTCCATTCGTCCAACGCGTCTTGGTCTCGAGTACGAACCAGGCTGAAGAAGTTGTCTGCCATTTTAGGAATGGCACACTCTTCTATGAGTTGGTTAATCACCTGGCATAATTAGTATGCAATCAAATTTCATCTGGCTGGGCTTCCAATACGCGGGCAGGCACCTTTGCGGTGCAAAAGAGTAGAACAGCCGACATGTTGTTGAAGTTAATAGAAATGGAAGCATGAAAGTTGTAAGGCATTGTTGTAGATGCGGAAACGCCTCTTTTTAAAGGATTTGAACTGCCGCGCTCCACTGTACAACCGCTTACCGGAACGATCGACCACGTTTGACTCGTACTCCTATATGATGTTCTTAATGCACAAGAGCACAAGTACGTCTGACGTGGCTCGGAATCTGCAATTAAAAGGCTGAGTTAAAAATCTATTGGAGCGGAAAGTCAAAAAAAGTAGCCTAGTATTATACGGTGAAACACATGCGCGCATCGGCCAACAGGACAATGCATAGCTTGTGTGAATTGTAATTATCAATTGCATCAAGCATCAGTATGCACACGGCATTCTGCGACATACATCATTCTCCTGTTCCTGTCTTTCTGTATATCGGAGTTCGCCGAGTAAGGCGGGCATGAGCCGTCCTGGGATGCCGACAGCGCCGATGACGACGAGCATGTTCAAAGAGTCATCCTGTGAGCCGTAAAGAGCATTTACGGTATTCTGTTCTCTGCATCCGGCAAGACCGAGGGTGCCTCTATGCACTAGAGCCTGGTGATGCATCCCAAGGATGGTGCCAGGCAACCGTGATTTTGTCCACTGTCGTAGATACTGTAGGCTCACATTTGACTCGTAGTGGCAAGCGGCGCAGAAGCCGGCATCATCTTCTGGTATCCGGAAGCCTCTCAAGGTTGGGCGGCACGGATTCGTATTGCCGCCTGGCGCCGAGGCCGCTTTGGCGTTGCGGCCCGCGGCTGGCTCGCGCAGCATCGAAGGAACGGTTCTCCAGTCAACTGGCCAGATAGGCACGCGAACAGTTCAATTCCCGCATTATGCCTTGCGTGCGCTCTTTGCATTCGCTGGTCGATGCATGATCCCATAAACCATGCGCCGCCTTGATGGATTTCGGCGCATTGGCATTGACGAGCATTCGCCCATTGCTTCTAGTAACCCGGCGGCGTACCTTGGTCTAGAAAGTATTGATGCATGCGCGGCATCTGTTACAAGAGTCTATTGCAATATTCTAGGAACAACATGTTCTACAAGTTTATCAAGGAGGATATAAAGGATAGGCTGGATCCCTACTGGTAGTTGTATGACAACAGCAAGATCTGACTTCAGACAACCCAACATTCGCTCTATAACACTCGTTTAAAATGCGTCTCTCCTTCTCTACCTCTTTACTCGCCTTCTATGCCGTCGGCATACAGCAAGCGCTAGCAGCACCAGCCTTGGATGATCTTGACGGTATTGAGACGGGTATGGAGGCTCTGAACATCACTAAAAGCCTGGTGGCTCGTGCTGCTGGCGATACCCAGAACAACCCTATTCTTGCTGATCTAACGGTCACGGGGCAAAGCCAACTGCCTTTTGACGCTGACTGCTACGCCATTCTTTGCCTGGGTGCCCCTGACGTCTTGTAAGCTACCTTCTGAAATGCTCGGCGCTTTTTGGTATCCATTTCTAACACTCAGCTCTATAGTCAGCGGGTTGACCACAAGCAGGACACTATAAACCGCAGGAGGGCCGGAACCTGTAGGAGCCCGTTTAAGAAGAACAGACAGAAACTGACCCTTCCCGCACCTTACCCAACCTGGGGCAACGGACAGCACTTTGACTCGCCGGAAGAATTCCCCTTTGCCTCAACCAGTCAGGGCGGACCGGGGTATGTCCTCCATTCATGCCTGTATTGGTCTTGCCCCTTTCTCAACTAACTTGTTCGCGCAGCGCCTACCTGATCCCCGTAAACCTCGCATCCCAGAGCGCTCAGGGAGGTGTGCTATCGACCTTTCTCAGGAAGAACAACGTCAAGATGTTTAATCCTAAGAGCACGGACCCCAATGCCGCCGACGGTACCTGGTATAAGATTAAAAATTGGAAAGGCGACTTGGGGTAAGAAACCCAAAGCTCCTAGCTACTACGCATTCATGTCGCTAATTGAGTACAGCCCTTACTGCACTGCTTTGATGAAGAGCCCACCTGATACGTCTGTCTGCAAGGCCACGTCTATCACAGCTGGTGATTGGGGGTTTGATATTGGCAACTTTGTTTATCAGCTCGACTCTGCCGGGAAGACGTTTAAACCTGTTCCCAAGAAACCGTAAGTAGTCTTTAGGGCTACTTACCTACCTAGGTAAACTCTCAATCAATCCACAGATATTACTTGAGGGTAGCAATCCCTATCAGAGGACCGGCATCTGGCAGGGGCGGGGTTCTATGGCCTTTTAAACCTGATGACCTTATGCTTGCCCTACCGAATATTCGCACATCATTGGCCGCGTGACTTAGAATTAGGCCTTAGCTAACGCCTAAGGAGATTATCCGTCTATTAGCACTATCCTAGTAGTAGCTAGAAACGCAGCTAATAAGTACTGTGGAGGGTGTAGTTAATAATATTTGATTGAATGTCCCTATTGTAGGCTTAGAGATAGTGTTAAGTGTTAGTAGGAAATAGTATATTAGTAGTCACACTAATAAATACTTACTACTATTTTAGAAAGTCTAATAGGAGATTTTCTAATCTCTATAGCTTATAAACTATAAACTTATTTAATCTATATTTTAATTTTAATTTTTAAATTAGAAAATAAAGAATTACTAGATTCTACTCTTACTTGTAATATTAGATAGTAATAATAAAAGTTATCTTCCTTCTAGTAGAATAATTAATAGCCACTAGTAATAGACTACTGATTATTTCCTAAAATTCCTTAGTGAAGTCTAGCTAAATTATATAGATAGTAATAGAGAGCTTTATTATAGAAGTGAAAGTAGCTTTATAGAAGATAAATAAGATAATATAGGCTTTTAAAGCTTAACTTTAACTAGTTAAAGAAGGTTAGATTAGCACCCTAACCTTATAATAGACTCTTTATATCCGTCTACCTCTCTACTATATCCCTTAGTTAGACCTAATCGATTCTTAATTAGTTTAACCTATAGTTAATATAATCGAATGTTAACCTCTTTGACTGTTCCTTAGTCATATAACCTTATATCCTATTCTAGGTACTAGCGTGTTAGTCCTTAGGCCGCCTCACTCAGCCCTATATGCATAGTATAGTGTTTATAATAAGTTACTAGTATAGTACTATAGTGACTTTAAAGTAGGGGTTTTCTATTAGGGCTTAGTTTTTTCTCTACTAAATAAATTTAAAAAAAGACTAGATAGACTAGACTTAATTAGAGTATAATAATAATAATAGTAAATATAATATTTATTTAGATACTATAAACTAGATTTATTTATACTATCCTTTTTAGACCTTAATTTACTATAGTATAGAATTATATAATATACTATACTACTATTTGTATTAAAAGTACACTTCTATATATAAGTAGTTATTCTACTATATAAATTATATAAGAGTTCTTATATTTAGTGTATTATATTAAACTATACAGAGGCGTAGTATAGTATTTTTACTATTAGCTATATAGGAAAAGGGGTAGAAAAATATAGGCTAAAGTTATAATAATGAATAATAAACTAAAGTTATATTACTAAAGGTACTTTAAGCTAGATGAGTTAGGGTACCTAGAAGAGGTTAGCTAGGGTGGCCGCAGTATGGGCCGGCTAGTGCACGTGACGGGACGGAAGGGCGAATCCAGAAAACGGATGCGCGGACAGCGACACAGGGAATACAGTCCCGAAAAAAATCCGAACACTTACAGATTGCCCCACGCCCATCACCAGCAACTGCATCTCTCTCCATCATCTTTCCATTCTTGCGACCATAACACGACCCTTCCTGCCGGCGCATCAATAATACATAAATATTACAGAACACTGGACATAGAAGTCCTGTGCCAACATGTCGGAGCGAAAAGTCCTTCAGGTACGTGACGAAACCCCATTCTCTGGACTTGACCTATCAGCTGTGTTCAACATCTATACTAACACCTCTGCCCACATAGAAATACTACCCCGCGGACTTCGATCCCCGGGCCCTGGCCCGGAAGTCCGGTCCTAAGAAGACCGGCCCGAGGGTGCAGCCGGTCCGACTCATGGCGCCGTTCTCGATGAAGTGTCTGACGTGTGGCGAGTTCATCTACCGCGGGCGCAAGTTTAACTCGCGCAAGGTGACCGACCAGTCGCAGCGCTACCTCAACATCCAAATCTTCTCCTTCCACATCAAGTGCACGCGGTGCAGCGCCGAGATCACCTTCCGCACCGACCCGCAGAACAACGACTACGCCATGGTCAGCGGCGCCGTCCGCAACATGGAGCCCTGGCGCGACCGCGCGACCGCCGGCGAGTCCCTCGACGCGCGCCTCGACCGCCTTGAGATGGAGGAGGCCGAGGCCGCCGGCGAGCACGAGGCCGAGCGCGATGCCATGAGCGAACTCGAGGCCAAGAACGCCGACGCTCGGAGGGAGATGGCCGCCGCCGACGCGCTCGACGAGATCAGGCAGCGCAACGCCCGCATACACCGCTCGGAGAAGGACGGCGTCGACTTCGCGGACGCGGTGGTGCGCGGCGAGGACGAGGAGCGCGCGAGGCAGGACGCGGAGGATGCGGAGGCGTCGCGGCGGGCGTTCGCGAAGGCGGCTAGAAGTGCGGAGCAGGAGAGCAGTCGCCCAGATCTGGCAGCGGTTGTGACGGAGAAGGATGCGGCGGCGCGGCCTGCCGACGAGGAGGTGAGCGAGATGCCGCCACCGCCGGTGCCGGTACCGTCGTTCAAGAGGACGGTGAAGAAGAAGAAGGACCTCTCGGCGGCGCTGGGCATCAAGAAGAAGCCAGCTCTGGTTTAAATCTATATTTTAATTTGGCCCTTGGAATTGGGCTTTGTTGCTTGATCGAAAACTTATGCATGTCTAGTTATCCTGGTGTTTACGGTACGGATCATTCATGTCGGGTGGTCGGGGCGTTCTTCTATAGCGATGGGGGTTATATAATGACTTTGCTTAATCAAATGATTCTGAAAAGACATGCCTGTCATCAATATTATAACTTTCAAGATGAACGAGTCATTCGATAGTAAACGCCGGGGCGTTTTCGTTTCATTTCCGAGCGAACACCCGCTGCGGCATAACGCGAATGACGACGTTATAGGTACTTCTATAGATTACAGGCACATTGTCACGGATCAATACGGGATCAGGTGATTCAACGGAGAGAAGATGTCAATTTCGCCAGTTGGTAAAAGAGCGCGTCCTTCCCATGCTACCAGGTACGTGAGCCTGCTTTTTCCTGTCGCTACGCCAAATCGACACCTCGCAGCCGCTTGTAAGAGAGCTTGAATTAAAATTGACAAGACAAAAAAGGAACCAAAAACAAAAGCAACCAGGCAAAAGCCAAAATTATCCCCAAGAAAACGCCGTGGCATGTTTGCGTGTATCGTTCCAATCGTGATATAAAAAGCACCAAAAAAAAGCAGGAGACATGGAGCCGTGCTGTCGAACCCGGTGTCTGCTGCTTATTGGTGAAAAAATGGACGCATCCGGTGGTGGAATGGTCAAGAAGTTGAGAAGTAATTGTTTTTTCGAGTGCTGTGAGAGAGTAGGACCCAGGAGGGTGCTGGTTGTCTGTCCGATGACGTACTGCCACTTGGTGAACTGGTACTGAGTGTGCAGCCGATTATCGGAAGCGAAGGATGCGTTGTTTCAAATGAGACTCCATGCTTTCCGCATTTGTCCCAAATAGAAAAATCGACAATGGGTATTATTCGTGTGCGTGAACCTGAAAGCTCCGATTGTCTGTGTGGAAAATGTGCTTTTAAACAACGCATTTAGGTACTGCTGACACCGTTGCTCATGGAGCTGGACGTCGAGGTCTGGCTGCTGCCGGAGCTCTGGGGGGCCGAAGACCGCGATGCCTCCATCTGACGCTTGGTGTGCTCGTGCATAAAGCGGGCGTAGCTGCTGATGCTGACGGGAGGCGAGGAGGAGGGCATCGCAATGGCGGCGGTATCTTGCGTGGTAGGCATGGTGATGGAGGTGGTTGGTGGTTGTGGTAACGGTAAAGGCGGCTTTTGGGAGGATTTTTTTGAGTTTGGCCGTTTGTGGGCTTCTGTAGGAAAGGCGTGTAGCAAAGGTAGGTAGGTGGTGGGTGGCTTTCAAATCTGCAAAGACAACGTCTGTAGAGCAAGAAGGTAGACAAATCGAGGCTGGTGAATTGATTGTTGGAAATGGACAATGATAAGTCGATGGGAAGGAGAGGTAAGGGAAGGGGGCGAGGCAGAGAGGATGGGCGGGGCTTCAGGGTCTTTATAAATCAAGATTGAAGGGGAGGATGATGGGCCGGGCTTGGTGTGGGCAAATGACGGGGGGGATGCAGCCAGGCGATATGGGCAGACAAAAGTGAAGGCAAGAGGTCAGTCAGCCAATGACAGAGATGACAGAGGAGGCGGACTGGCGAGTCGCAAAAAGAGGCTTGGTGGGCTGTAAACAAGCTACAGCAGGGCGCGCTAGGCTCATTTTTTGATGGGCAGCGCATGCAACACCACCAAGTTGTAGTGGATGCCCCCCGCTGAGGTGAGTGTGGGCACCCACTGACGCAGGCAGGCAGGTTGGTTGCAGCTTGCATGGAATATTGCACATGCCGGGTGGCGTGGGCAGCCAGGCAGTTCACCAGGCACCAATTTTTTTTTACCTGTTTGGCTGTCTGCCGTAGAAAAAGAAAAAAAGAGAGAAACAAGCTTGCGACCAAAAGCTTGGCCTTCCGTTTTTTCAGGGCAATCTCTCTCTGGCGAGCAGCTTGTCTCTCTAAACAATGACGCTACTGGTACGGATACTGGTGCTGGCTAGCACTGGTAAAAATGCGCCTAACAAAATGCGGTATTTTAAACATGCCCTTCTTTGCGCACCAGAGCCTCCGCCAGTTTTACAGTGTCCTTTCTAACAGTCTAGCCTCCGACGCCGCTGCAGCCCTTTCTTTACCTACCACGGCTGGCTGCCGTACGACGCCAATCCGGGGTTGCATCATAGGCTGTACTCCGTAATCGCAAGAAATCATCATCATGCACGAAATTCAATCGTGACCTTGCAGCACTTTGAACCCCATTACCCAAAGCGGCTGGACCCTTGACACACCTCTTGTCTGGTCTGGACCCTGCCGTCATCCCCCCAGCCCGGCCGATGGCGTAACCCGTGGGGTCATGGAAGGCACACCAATGGGGTGGGCAGGCAGGCCGACATGATGCCTGCAAACCTGCGTAGTTCCAAGGTCGAAACTCTTGGTAACTCGATGGATCTGTTCCAAGGAGAGTGGGAATTGGAGATGACTTCTCCCCCAGAAAAGTTACAAAGAGAGGTGGCAGGCATGCTGCATCCAGCCCCACTCGTATGAGCTCAGGGTCCAACGCCACCAAGGCAGAAGCCGGATTCAGAATGTCTAGCAGTGAGGAACAAAAGGAAAACCTTGGGAGGCGCATCTGAGACGCGATGACGATGGGAATTACATGAACATGCCCGTCACTAAAGTTGAAAACAGTCCTAGACAAGTTGGGGGCGCAGACCCGACTGACTCTCAATAACCTTGGTACCTGGTATTGAATACGATGGGTTCAGCAGCAGCGGTAAGCCAAGGTTTCACGCGACGCATCCTCGTCAGATGTCAGCCAAAGCCAGCACGCACGGCCGGTCACAAGACTGGCAGCGGCAGCAGCTGAGAGCAGCCAGGCTGTAAGAGTTGCGTTGGGGAGGACGAGCGATGAGGCGAGGTTGCAGGTCGGGAGGGTTCCAGAACGTCCAGTCCATGGCAGGAAACCCGGGCAGGGAAATGAAGAAGATCAGCGCTGTCGAAGCCCAGTTGACAGACCTCTTGCAAGCAATTGCCTGCCTGAGAGAAATAGGCGGCGCTGGCCACGAAATGATGTCACTGGTTGGTCGGCGTGCCGGGTTCGTTTTAGTGGCCTGATTTCTGAATTTTAGCGAGTGGCTGCGACCGGGTTTAGCAGGCTAGCGAGTAAAGGGGGCTCTGTGTGACGTGCAGCTCATGCCAGCAGGTTTGGGGACCTGCTCTGGAGAGTCCATCTTGTTTTACAATGTGCTTGATCCTTGTGTTCAATTTTCCAGAACCAAATCGGCTCTTTTTTCTGTACACCCCTGTCTATAGAGGCCTGCCTTGCCTCACTCTGCACTTCTAATGATTAGCGCCTTGGCCTGCGTCGGCGGGGTTCACCAAAACCCCTCAGTTGAGTGCATGGATGGGGGAGGATCGCAGAGCCAAAAACTAACTACAGGTCCTTATTAGGTGCCTTGCCTGTAATTCATGAAGTCGGAAAAAAAGCTGCCCCCGCTGTCGAACCAGACTTGTTGGTACAAGCTGCCCACCACCAAAAAATCCATGATGAGGCACCAAATTCTCGATCGTGACACGCCCTTTCCCGCATGCCAAATGCCCGCTTTGCCATGTTGGCTTTTGCGGATTTCCATGTCTACCGGCCGCCCCGTCTTAGAATCAGGCCATATTTAAGGTCGCGCCGCCGCCGCCTTGAACCCGTGCATGCAAGTCTCGTCGCAAGGCAAGGCCTGGTTATTGAGAGGAACGTCAGGGAGGACGAACCAACCCCCGCCAACACGATACCTGCACAAACCCGGCGACAACAGAAAGTCTGCCAGATGAACCACCAAAAATTGCACATCACTCTGCAGGTCTGCAAGTCGCCAATCTTGAACTGGATTAACTGAATTAATTTGGACACGCAGGAAGCAGCAGTTTGGCAGCCCTCACTCAACAAATGGACATGGGTGACGTTTGTGGCTCCATTACAACTGACGGTCCGTCGAGGACGCCTCGCCTCCTCCCGCCAATCTCAATCTCTTCCCCCCTGCCTTCTGCCACTGCCACTGGCCGCTGCCGCCTGCCGCCTGCAGCCTGCAGCCTGCAGCCTGCACTGTAGGAGCCGTCCCGGCCCAATGAGGTCATCTGGTGGTTACAGACCCACTCTACCATTTTAAACGGAGATAGCCTTCTCTACTGGCTCCGTTTTTCTTGTTTTTGACCTTAACCTGGTGAGAGACATTGTCGACATCATACGTGGGGACGGAGCAGCACACACTCACGCTCACTGTATCATCACAGCCATCTCTCTTCTGCTCAATCGCCACTTGCATCATCGGAGCCAACAGCTTCAAACAACCACACTTTGCACACCAACACCGCGCCATCTTGCACAACTGATCAGCATGGGGGCCCTCCACCTAAAAACTTGAAAAGCTGTCTCTTGTCGCTACTGTTGACTAATGACGGCACGGCGCTACCTGTTTTCTTCTTCTTCTCGATGCGCTTGTGTCCTTCTTTCTGTGTCCATATACCGTTTCCAAGGGCCAGTCTCACCAGATTGCCGAACCACCTTAAATCAGGGTTCGGGGGGCCTTGGACCCTTCCGATCTCGAGTCTCGCTCCCCGGGTTGAGCATCATGCCTTTGTCATTGCTCGGGACGTTAGACAACTGTGGTCTCTTGCCGCCGCTACTAAACCAGGGAGTTGAATGTAACTTTTTTTTTGCCAGTTAGAGGCCGGACCCTTGTCGGCATACCACCCATGGCACGGAATACATGTGTCCGAGTGGCAAACAAGCATTTGGCCGCATGCCTACCCGGCTGCCACTGCAATACTACCACACGTCAGTATAGATTGGCTCAACTGCTTGATCATCGATATGCATGATGTCAATGGCTTCACAACAAGGGTCCCTCCTCCACGCTCTCCAGTACCACATGACGCAACAGAGAAGGCCAGCTCTTCCGCAAGGTTCCACGACACTCTCAGAGAGGACAATTCGGACAAACGTTCGTAAATCTCTTGCATCATATCGCATCATTTCGAAGCATCCTCAGGTTTTATTAATGTCCGCTGCGAAGCGATGGCTGAAGTTTAGCAGGACAATGACGCAAGGGCGGCCAGATGCCCTGATCATGCCACCCCGAATCCGAATGTTCGAGTGCAGGTATTGTAGTGTCAGGTCTGTCAGATGTCTGCGCGAAGTCTACGAGCCTTGGAACTAACCCGTAAACGTAATTTGCGGCTCTAATGCTCTGCAACTGCGGCCCAGACTCTGGCCTGACGGTCACAATTCTCGTGCGAAGGAGTGCACACATACACAAACACATACACATAAGCGCGCTTTACATTGTAGCCCCCATGCGATTAACTTTGATCAACACCTTTTCAATTTCAACTGCTAAAGTCACTGGTCATAGCCGGGATGGCCCACGTGAATTTGCCTGTTCGGAAACCTTTGCAGTAGTGGCCTCGCGGCATTGACTCACTCGATATTGACTCACAATACGCCGACATGCGGCCTGTTTGACTACCACGCAGCTCCTTGAATCATCTCCCGCGCTTGTCTGTCTGTGACTGATAACTCTCTGACTGCAAATCGTCCTCTATCACTGCCTTTAACTAGAATGGCGCCCATTAGCCTACTTGAAGCACTTTTCTATCTCGTTCTAGCTCCACCATAGTAGCCTCGTTCTCAGCGCCCTCGGTAGACTGTGATCAATCTCTACACATAACACGCAAAACAATTTGAAGCAGCAATTGCCGTTAAGTAAACCAGAAATCGAACTCTACTCTACTACACCAACACGCATCGAACATGGCGGACACCGCATACAGCCAGGACGCTCCCCCGCCGCCTCCCGATCTGAATCCCCCGCCGCCGCACCTGGCCATCTGCCCTCCGGCACCTACCCTCCGCCCGCCGCCCCTCGAGTCCGTCACCGACGGCACCGTCACCATCCGCCGCTGGCTTGCCTCCGACGCCGACGCGCTCTTCCACATCATCACCAACTCCCGCGCGCGCCTCGCCGCCTGGATGCCCTGGGCACGGCGCGACTCCCCCTACCAGCGCCACGAGGCCGTCGCCTTCACCGAGCGGACCGCCCTCCGCTGGGACGCCGGCTCCGGCTGGGACTACGCCATCACCACCGGCGAGCAGGTGATTGGATCGTGCGGGCTGCGGCGGAGGGAGGACAATCCGGGCGTGGATGCGGGGTACTGGCTGGCGGAAGGGCACACGGGCAAGGGGCTGGCGACGCGCGCGGTAGGGTTGCTCACGGAGCAGGCGTGGGGAATGGGCGTGCCGAGCGTGAGGGTGGTGCACGACGAGGCGAATGGGAGGAGCGCGGGAGTGCCGAGGAGGCTGGGGTTCGAGTGCGAGGGCGAGGTCGAGGCGGAGGACAACCCGGAGGGGAGGCGGGATACGGTCTGGGTCAAGTATCGGGGAGCTTCTTGAAGAATAAGAGTGGCAGCGCCTAGGAGGACGAGGGCGGGTGGTTGTTGGACGAGGAGATGGCTGTGTTGATGGCGAAGGAGAGTTTGGGCTGCCTGGCCTTGACGCAAGGGGATGTTGGTGATGAAGGGCCATGCCGGCATACGTTAGATCTACGACTACATCACATCACTACCCATGCCGGCTGTTGTGTGCTTTCATGGCGCACTGTGGTTAGCAGAAGGCTCTTGCTGAAGCGATTAGACACAACCGAGCGCAATCTTCGTGGTGGTGCGGGAACAAGAAAAAAACGAAATTAAGATTGGAAAAATTTATAATCACTTATAAATTCACGACAAAGCATATCTCAGGGCACAGATTGTCTACTCCGCCAATTCGCCAAACTCCGCAACTTTACCATCCGCGTACCGCCGGGGACGGCCCCGAAGCCGGCGCTATGGCCTGTGATTGGCCGGCTGGCCGGGAAACTGACCCCATCGCGCGCGGCAGTCCCAGTCAATCTTGACCTACATTTTGCGACAAGCAGGACCGAGAAGGACTAACGAGGTGAAATGAGTTGATGAAACTCAAGTGAGGCGGGGTCTTTGCAGCGTCTCGACATGCCGGCGGCGCCCGGTTCCCACAGTCTGGGTAGCTTGTGTAAGTGGGCGAACAACTTTGTAAGCTTTGGCGGCTGATGACAGATGATGGCTCTTAAAATTAATAAGAGAATCACTGGGAGTCGTTTTCTTTAGCCGAGGAGTTGGGGCTGGCGGCTCAGCAGATCCGATCCGGTAGCCTGGCTCTGCCGCGCGGGATGGCGATATACTTAGCAAGTATATAGAGGTTTCGTTTCCTCGTTGAGTTTATACACAATACTTGCCATACGGAAGATCAAATCATCAACACTGACTTACTTACACATTGACACATTCGAATACTCACTCTCGATGAAGACTATTGTCATCCTCGGTACTGGCCTCGCCGCCGCCGCCGTCATCCGGCAGACTATGAAGTCGACCGTGCTCACGCGCTCCGACACGCGCATGATCGTCGTCGGCCCCAGCACGCACTTTGTCTGGCCCATCGCCATGCCGCGCGCCATCGTCCCCGGGCAGCTCGCCGAGGAGCGGTTCCTGTTCCCGCTAGGCCCGACCTTTGCCGAGTACCCCGCCGACCGATTCGAGTTCGTCCTGGGCACGGCCAGCGCCCTCGACCCGGACGCGCGGACCGTCCAGGTGGCGCTAAACGACGGCCACGTCACAAGACACATCGCGTACGACGTTCTGGTGATTGCCACCGGCGCGGCGTCGCGCGACGACATACCGTGGAAGGCGCTGGCGACGACCGAGGACACGCTCGCCGAGCTTCGCGGGCTCCAGCGGCGCATCGAGGGGGCCAAGACGGTGGTGGTCGCGGGGGGCGGGATGACGGGCGTGGAGGCGGTCGCGGAGCTGGGGTACGAGTACGCACGCAGCGGCCGCAAGCAGGTCTACCTCGTGCACGACGAGGACCTGCCGCTCTCGTCGGCGGCGCTGCCGTCGGTGCGGAAGCAGGTGCGCGCCGAGCTCGCGAAGCTCGGCGTCAAGGTCATCCCCAACACCAAGGTCACCCGCGCCACCACCACCGCTGACGGGGAGACGACGACGCTGGAGCTGACGGCGGCGGACGGCGGCACGAGGAGCCTGGCGACGCAGGCGTACGTGCCCGCGCGGGGTGTCGTGCCCAACACGGCGTTTGCGCCGGCGCGAATGCTGGATGACCGCGGCTACGTGCGGCAGACGGCGACGCTGCAGGCGGGGGGCCGCTACGACGACGTGTTCGTCATCGGTGATGCGGGCAGCCTCGAAGCCAACAAGGCGGCGGCGGCGGACGCGCAGGCAAGGCACCTGATCGCGGCACTGCCGCTGTACCTGGAGGGCAAGACGCTGCCGGAGTACAAGCCGGAGACCAAGGACATATTTGCGGTCACGCTGGGACGGAGTCGAGGGACAGGCCAGATGGGAAGTTGGAAGCTCTGGAGTGTGCTGGTTTGGTATCTGAAAGGGCGGTTCCTTGGGACGGACTATGCGGATCGTGTGGCTGCGGGGAAGAGGACGTTGACGACCAAGTTTGAGTAGTCAGGGTGGATGGGAAGGAAGGAATGGATATGTTGCTGGGATTCTGTCTTGATTTTTCAACATTGGAGTACAGCGACTTGTTTGAAGGTAGTTCGTTGGTTCTCTGTTTACTTGACTTGCACCCGTCTGGCTGTTGGTCGCGGTTATATAAGTAGCCAACCATGTGTTCAAGGCAACAAAGAGACGCCTGAGGGACGATAATATGGAAGTAATTTTTAAAGAATACTGTATTAATCCATTCAAGCTATTGACATTTTTCCTTCATTTTTGTTTTCTTTCTTTTTCTTTTAAAAGAAGAAGTGAAAACCTTGGACCATGAGCTCTGACGTTGCGCGGTGACCCGCCCACAGCACCAGCGCCCCACACAAGAAGCATCGCAAACATCATCACCACCATGAACCTTGCATACATCATCCATCCAGTTATAACAATCCGAACCTCGAGCGGCATTTGACGAATCCACCGAGTTCGCACCACTCCTTCAGACACTTGAGCGCATTTACCATCGCAACTTCCCCGACACAGGCTGTCGCAGCCGCCCAGCGCGCTCTCTCATGGCCGGCGCCGCGGACAGCCAGCCGGCGGCCGGCCACCATCCGCAGCAGGAGGCGGCCCGGTACTGGTCCGACTTTATCGCGCGGTGTGTCGCGCAGCGTCTCTCTGGCGATCGCTTCCGTGAATTCGTGCGGCTCGTCTATGCCCGATACCAGCTGCACCCCCTCCTCATCGCTGAGCTCTTCCTCCGCCCGCAGCTGTCCAACTGCGTCAGCCTCGACCCGCGCATCCCGCCCTACATCTGCGTCCTGACGGAGCTCGGCTACGTCGACGCGCCGTCCATTCTGAATCGGCTGTACAGGTACTCGGCGCTGCACGCCTACACCAAGCCCTTGGCGGACGCCGGGCAGGATGCGAACGCGAACGACAGCAACAAGGAGGGCGACAAGGCCCAGGAGAAGACGCCGGTCCGCTGGAAGGACTCAACTTGGGCCGAGGAGGTCATGTTCTACCACGTCATTAAGACCATGGCGGAGGGAACCGCGTTCACCGACACCAAGACGGGGCTTGAGCTGATCATCATCGCCTGCAAGTGGATGAACCTGCTTGCCCAAGTCAGCTCGAGATTCGCGGCCGACATTCTCGTGAGCGACCATGATAGGCTGGCCCGTGAAGGGCTGGCTACGGTGCGCCTCGCCCTCATTCCGCTTGTTCTGCGACTGGATAATGCCGCCCTGCTTCGCATCCTTGTCAGGCCACGGGCCAAAGGTAAGACCCGGCGACTGATGGGTTGCTGCATCGTGTGGCTGACGAGCAGCAACAGTTATCCGGAGATTTCTGTCGGATAGTCTCGGCGATTTCATACCGACATGCCAGCCCAGCCCGTTTGTCGACAGGCTGGAAATATTCCGTACACAGACGCTGGTGCAGCTGGAGCCCATCGACGGGAAGAAGAAGGCGACCAACGAAGCCATGGATGAGCTTCTTGATTCTACCGTCGGCATGGACAGCTTTGTCATTGCTGACATTCCCATCGCCAACTCGAGAGCTGCGCTCTACGTGCACCTGAATGCAGCGGCAAGTGTTTTCAAGCCAACGCAACTACTACATCATTACTAACACTACAAAGTTTGTCGGACGACCTGTGCTCGATGATGCCATGCTCTACGCATTTCTAAATAACAAATACCAGGAAAACCAACAAGCGAGCGCAATCGACCTGATCGTTGCCGCGTTCGACGTCCTCGCAAATGCAGTCTTCCGAAATGAAGGCCCAAAAGACGCCCATCTCCTGCGCTCCTTCGTGGTCAACAAGTTGCCGCTCCTGCTGTGCCAGCTGTGCCATCCAGAGTTCTCCGCCGCCTCCGCAGAGTTCTGCATCACGGAGGCGCTCAACCGCATCGACACCAGCATCTTCCCCACAGCATCTCTCATGTTTGATGAGACTAGGAATAACAATCCTTACATGGACAGCGTGCGGGAGGAATTCTGTGCGGCCTGCGCGCTGCATGGGCTCATAGAGAGAGACCACGTCGACCGCATCCTGGGCGAGACGTCCATGTCGTATGACCCGTCGCTGGAGAGGGCCAACCGGGACAGGCTCGTCAGCGACTGCTTGTCTGACTCTGGCAAGATTCAAAACATTATTTCACAACTAGACAGGGTAGATGGCAATGTTGGCGCCGTCGCCCATGCCATCGTGGAGGTAAGAGCCCCCGTGAACGTATATGAGCCAGATTCTAATATTTTGTTAGTTGATTCGGCAACTCTGCATGAACAAGGACACAATGTCGCTGAAGCTACTGTGCACGCAACTGGCGCAAAAGCCCCAATCCCTCGACATCATTCTCCTTTTCGACAAGGTTACCTCGATCCTCGAGCCCGTTTGCACGCTTCTCGACAATTGGAGCTATGAAGAGGATCAGGGCGAGTATCAGCCCGTATACGAAGAGTACGGGGCAATTCTGCTGCTAGTATTTGCATTTACATATCGCTACAACCTGTCACCACTGGACATTGGTATCCAGTCGGCCGACTCACACGTGGCCAAGATCGTCAACAAGTCGCACATTCTGCGGCCGCTGGACGAGCTGAGCGAGCAAGAGATGGGACACGTAACGGGATGGATCAACGGCCTCTTTGACAACGAAACTGGTGGCCTGGGAGACGACCTCATGTCCTCGTGCCCGCCGCACGAATTTTACCTGCTCGTGGCGCCGATTTTCCAGAGCATCGTCACCGCATACACGTATGGCTACATTAATGAGGAGAGCCTGAAAGGTGGAGTTGAATGTAGGTTGAGCTCCTCGCAAGCACGAGCGCACGAGAAGGCTAATAATCGCATGCAGACTTGGTGGACACGTTTCTATTGCCGTCGCTGGTGCCGGCGATTCGGTTCTTGTCCGACTACATATGGGTGGACCAGAGGGAGCAAAAGTCCATCGTCAAGGCGCTGCAGCTGCTGCTGACGCCAATCTCCATCTCCGGGGAGGCGAGCGCGGTGCTGTCGGCGGTGAAGAACCTGGTGGCGCAGCCGCTGGAGCACGCTCTACGAACGTATCAGCGGCAGGACCCGCGCAACCAGGAAATCGAGCCGCTGCTGCGGTCGCTGCGGGAGAGCATACCGCTGTCGCGGCGGACCGGGGGCGCGGAGCACCACGAGATGGAGTCGTGGGCGGGCAGCTCGAGCAGCGGGCTTTCCGGAGCGATCCGGCACACGTTCCAGGGGCTGGTGCAATGGAGCGCGCAGTCACCAGGCGCCGGCGGCGTCGGCGGCGTCGTCGCCGTGGTGCCAAACGCAATGCCGGCCTCGTACACGCACCGGCAACTGATTGCCGGGCAACGCATCGTCGGCGTCAGCCGCCTGCTGCGTCTGCTTATGGAAGAAATCCGGCAGCAGAGCGAGCTTGGCAACGCGTCGGTGGCCTACGACGTGGCAGCAGCGGTGATCGCGGCGGCGGACTCGACCAACGAGTTGCCGCCGCCGCCGAACCTACTCGACGCGACCGCGTCGGTGATGCAGCCGCCGCTGCGGCCGCTGGGCCTGCGCGAGGCGCTGAAGACGGCGGCCGAGGGCTACAAGCAGCTTCTCAAGCACGACCCTTTCCTGGCGGAGGCGACGGTGCGGCTGCACCGCCGCGTCGAGGCGCTGCTGGCGCCGCCGCCGCCGCAGGTCATGCTGCAGACGACGGACATGCCCCTAGACCTATCCGGCGCCGAGGCCATGGCAGCGGCAGTGGCCGGCGGCGCGGACCCGATGGCCGTGGACGGCCTGGACGGCACGGGCCTGGACATGGGATCGCTTGGCGCGGACCTGGGCGGCGGTGCGGGCGCCGAGGCGGATCTGTTTGGCGGGCTGGACACGACGAGCCTGGACATGTTTGACGGATGGGACAGCATGGACATGGGAGTCAACTAGGTGTGAGGCTCCCGTTGGACGATGTTGGAGTTGTCTGTTGGACTTTTATGGGAGGATTTTTTTTCTGGTCTCTGTTTGTATTAATCCTGGGAGACAATTGGGTTAGGAGAAAAAGCTACTAGAATTTCTAGCTGGGTAGTTAAAACGACCATTTCAAGCAATTGGTGAACTGGTGCTGGATCAGGCTATAATGTTGATGAGGCTGAAGCTGTGCCTGACTCAGGCACAGCTGGGGCTCCAAGTAGCGGATACCAAGATCCCTGGTGGCGTCATCTGTGGCAAAGAGGTAGATTGTACTTGAGCTCCATTTGTCAAGGCCACGCGACAAGAAGCCACCTTGCCACTACCTTGGGCACTTTGCCATGTTAATCTGTACTCACCACTAATATCAGATAATATCAGATAATAGTCCACCACAAGAGGTTCTTTATCAAGCTAGATATCCGTAGCTTGGGCTCCTGAGTCGCGGAGACGAGACCAGTTCGTAGAATAATTCCTAGCGGCCCTTGACCTGTAACCAAGGTCCCTGGACCGGCCCGCCACAGGGTCGCCACCTACTCCCAATTGGCGAGCTGTTGCTCCAACTATCTCGACCAACCTCTTCTCTTCCCTTCCACACCCACTTCCATCACACTCCTTCGTTCTGTCTTCATCCTCTCATTCTCCTCCCCTCCCGCATAGCTTTTTCCCGGTTCCTGCTCGCCCGTCATGCTCTTCACCTCGTCCCTTCTCGCCCTGCTGGCCGTCCCGGTCTTTGGCGCCGCCGCCAAGGTAAGCTACCTCCCCCATCGCGCCATTCCAGCGAAGCCCAAAACCTACAACTCGCCTCCCGTCGTCGTCGTCGTCGTCGTCGTCGTCGAGAAGAGGCCGCCTGCTGATCACGCAATTGCCCCGCGCAGGACCCCGAACCCGCCGCCGCCGAACCCCCTGCGGCGCTCAAGGCCACGGTCACGGCCACCTTCCCCGACGCCGAGGAGCTCCTCGGCCTGCGCCTCGTCAACGGCCGGCCGACGCGCGCCGTGCTCGAGGTGACCAACCGCGACGACGTCCCGATCCAGGTCGCCTTCGTCTCCGGCGCGCTCTCCTCCGACAAGCTGGCGCTGGCCGACGGGCCAGCCTACCAGGCGATCGTGCGCAACCTGACGGCGTCGCAGCTCGACCTGGCCGTCGCGGCGGGCCAGTCGGCGCAGGTGCCGTACGCGTTCGCGCTGGACATGCAGCCGCAGGACGTGCGCGTCGTGCTGACCGCGCTGGTGACGGACGCGCGCGGCGGCATCTTCCCCGTGACGGCGTACAACGGCACCGCGTCCATCGTCGAGGCCCCGACCAGCTTCCTCGACCCTCAGATGTAAGCCTCCCCCTCCGCCATCTATTTGTTGGATGTGCCGCTGATGTAGGGTCCAGCATCTTCCTGTACCTTGTGCTCTCGGCCGCGTTCGCCGGCGTCCTCTACTTCGTCTACAAGACCTGGATCGAGGCCCTGTTCCCCCCGGCGAAGAAGGCCCCGCGCACGCCCAAGAAGGTCAGCGGCAAGAGGGCGGACGCTGATGCTGCCGCCGCTGCCCTTTCCGGCTCCGAGTCGGCAACTAGTGCTACGGCGACGGGCAGCAGCAAGGGGTACGACGAGAGCTGGATCCCGGACCACCACATTGCCCGCCCCGCCGGCAAGCGCTCCAAGTCTGGCACCCCCAAGGCCAAATAAAGAGAGAGTTTGTTGCTGTGGGAAGCTTAGGAGCAAGGGTCTTCTGCACACCATGTGCTGTAGGGTTGGGGACCACGAGCCATGTGAGTGAGTGTGGTAACACACCGAACTAGGAGCTGCGAACGCAAAGGAGATTTTGCGAAGGCTAGCCAGTCTGACCATGCCTTCCTTTATTTGGACGAAACTGGGGTAGTTGTCTTTGTCTAGCCGGATATCTTGCTCTCTAGCGATTTGTTAATTTGAAGGATTGTCTTTATCTTCTCGGTTGTCTTGTGACTCTGTTTACTTCTACCCCCATCTAGTAGTGATTGGCCGAGGGCCCAGAACTCCTGTTATCCCAAGGATAAATGTTACAACATTCATGCGTTCGGCTGCCCATTGACTCGAGACCCCGCAGCCTCGGCAGCCAGGTATGACATGACAGCCCGGTCCTTGAACCGATCGTCGCCCTCCACGGTCTCGGCAGCGTCCCGTCCATCCTGGACGTTGCCGAACAGACACTCCCACAGGTCGCCCTTGTCTACCATCTCGCCCGCCGACCTGTCCCTGCTCATCAGCTTGGACAGCGCCGCGTGCTCCAGCTCCAGCGTGTTGGCCTGCTCGATGCTCGCGTCCAGCGGCTGCGCCGGCGTGACCCCCCCGGACTTACCCGCCGCCCCCCGGCCCTTGCCGCTGTTCTTCCCATTCCCACCACCAGTCTGACCCATGTGCTCCATGCGTCGCCGCACCGAGAGGTTGTAGATGGACTCCTCCACCGTGCCGGACACCAGGTACAGCCACACGGTCGTCTCGTGCAGCTGGCCGATGCGGTCGACGCGCGCAATCGCCTGCAGCTCGAGCGCCGTGTGCAGCAGCGGCTCGCACAGGAACACGTGGCTCGCGTTGACGAGGTTGAGCCCGGACGAGTGCGCGCGCGCGTGCAGCAGGAAGCACTCGGCTGCCGGGTCGCCCTTGAACCGTGCGATACCGCCCGGCTCGTCGATGGACGCGAAGCCGATGCGGAACCGCCGCAGCGCGTTGTGCAGCACCGTCAGGAAGTCGCGGTACTGCGAGAATATGATGGACTTGGCGCCCGGGTCCGACTCGCGCAGCCACAGCAGGTGCCGCACGAGCGTGTCCACCTTGGTCGTGAACGACGGCCCGTCCAGGTCAATGTTCTTGATCTCGGCCAGCTTGTCCGCGTTGAACTCGCTGTAGATGACGCCGTTGCGCAGGGCGCCGTTGGTCTGCTGCCGCTCCAGCCGCGACTTGTCGGAGCCGGAGCCGCCCCTCTCGCTCAGGATCTGCAGCTGCTGCGGCTTTATGGAAATGTCGTGCAGCTGCTCAGGTTTAAGTTGCCTCTTGCACACAGGGCAGTTGCGATGGGACTTGTACCAGATCATCATGCACTCTTTGCAGAACTGGTGCCCACACACCGTCAGCACGCCTGTCACGAACGGCGTCTGACAGATGATGCACATGCGCGGCTCGTTGGATTTGCTGCCCGGCCCGCCCTCGCCGCTTTCTTTGAGGTTCATCAGGTATCTGTGCTTGGCCTCGCTGGAGAGGAGCTTCTTGCGCGCATCCTGCTCCAGCTTGTTTATGCGCTCCTCAACGCGCGCCGTCTTTTCGCCTTCGTACGGAAGCACTGCATCGGAAACCACTTGCAGTTGGCGATAGTACTCGAGACGAGCATTCATGGCGTCTTTGAAGCTCTCGATTTCAGACTCAAGCGCCGTGGCTGCCTTGTTCTGCTGGCTCAGCAGAGCTTGTGTGTGTTTCAGATGATCGGATACAATCTTGTGCTCAACCGCTTCCCGGCTGCTACTGGGAGCATCTCGATTCAGACGAGTCTGTAATCCACGAAGCTCGCCGATTGCGCCGCGCATCGATATCTGCGAGCGATGAGGCTTCATCTGCTTCCTAGCCTCGAGTAAGGCCAACATCTTCTCTGGGGCCGGACCACCGCCGTTTTCCGCCAGTTTAGTACTTGTCTCAGTTTCGTGTTTGACCAGCTCGTTCGTCTGACCGGATATAGCATCTTGGCGATCGGCAATGACACTCCGCAAAGCCTGCACGTAAACCATCAGATCGTCTTGGAACTTGGCAGAATCCACCAGCTCTTCGCCAGTAAACTCTATATCATCCTCTTCATCCAGCAATGGTCGAAGAAGTAGCTGTACTACCTGCTCTCGCCATTCATCCATGATGTTGGCTTGCTCGTTGAGCTCTTCATACAGCACTTCCAGTCGGTCAACAACTCTGCCACTCTCAATGCCCTTTACTGTTTCGGCAACAAGTTCTGGCACTTCCACAAACGTCTGGTTATTGGCCTTCTTCTTGATCCTGGACATATGGCGGTTTGCTTTGCGGTAGCTTTCCTGCAGAATCTCGCGGCGCAGGACCTTGGCAGTTTCGTAACCGTCGTCTTCAAGTTTCTTTAGACGATGAAACTCTTCCGAGTCTGGCTCCGTCATCTCAGCATTGTCGCGCATTTGAAAGTTGGCATTGGCGCAGAAGAATACTGCCTTGTGGTGTATTTCCAAGGCAGAACGCAAGCGTCGTTGCAACTCTGAAATCTTTCCTCTCGTATCAACAACATCAACATCGCTCTCCGATTCCGAATCGGAGCCGCCTCTGTCGTGAACGACAGGCCCGGGCTGTGACTCTCGAGAATTTTTCACCTCTTCAATACCACTAGCGAGTGTAGCTCTTGCATCATCAACAAGCTTCGCTGTCTCCTCATGGACTTCTTCCCATATGGCGAGAGCCTCTTTGACGCGAGGGCTATTCTCAAAGAGTTGACCACGAGTCAACTTCGTAGATAAATAGGCCCTCTCTTCGTTGCGAATTGCTACTTCGCTCTGCTCCAGCATAGCATTCAGCACTTCCTCGATGGTGCGCATCGGCCGCTCCTTATTATATCCAAGGAGGCGTCGGCTGTACACACCTACTTCTGGATGCAGAGCCGTTTGGCGTAGTCTAGTGAGCCATGTTCGCATCTTACCCTCGTACTCCTCAGGGTCCCAGTCATCTATCAAAGGTGCCCCGGTCAAACTCAGTTCGCAGTCTTCCGCCATGTTTTTGAATAAGCTCTGATAATGTTGCTCCTCGACGGCACTGAACGGCATGCTAATAACAAAGCGCTTTTGAGGCGGTAAGAGAATCTCATCTCGCACAAGAGCCTTCGTGTGTCGTAGTGCAAGCGATCGGAAGAGCTTCTGAAACACAGGCTTATGGAAGGAAATAAGCGCAGTCCAGATTTGGTTCGAATAGCAGTATGGGTGGTAGCGGAGGAACAACAATAGCCCAAACAAATCCTTGACATCGTCCTTTACCGGTGTTCCCGTAATGCCCCAGGCATTGATTCGCGGGATAACACGGGCAACGGAAGCGGCCTGGCTGACACCGCTCTCAATCATTTGGGCCTCATCGAGGCATACTCTCCACCAGGATATTTGTACGAGGGGCGATTTTGGGCGCCTGTATGCTCGTTCAAAGCGACGCGAGCGTTCAGGTGGGTCGGTAGCGAAATGTAGCTCTTGGGAAAGAACAGAATATGTCGTGATGACGACATCATACGCGGCAAGCTTCACCACTGCTTTGCTCTCTTCATCTTCCTCGAGTTTCCTGCAGCCTTGATAGTGAATGACCCGGAGGGACGGTGCATGGCGTGCAATTTCCGTTATCCACTGCTGCCGGAGAGATTCCGGCGTGACGATAAGGGTAGCCCTGGTTTTGAGAAGCCCCTCAGAGTCCATGCATGGGATTAGAAAGTCCCGGGAGTCCTGGGGGACGTCTTGCCGCTGATTCAGAAGAATAAGTCCAATGATCTCAAGTGTCTTTCCCAGGCCCATCTCTTCAGCCAGGATGCCTCCTTTTAAGGCTCTGTCTGCAAGCCAATAGGGTGCCTTGTTTCGCGTCACCACATGAAATACATCACTGAGATAGAACGCATTCCCTTCTGCGTCTTCAAACTGGCGAAAGGTGTCGGAATCTGGTTGCGCGTCAGACTCTGGTACGGGTTCCAAGCCAGACGGTGTGCATCTGATGCCTTCGCGGTGCAAAAGCCACTTGACAGTCCGTTTCTGGTATGGGAATAGCGTGGCCTCTAAGGAAGATATTTCGATAGACGCAGAATTAGGGTCTTCTTTGGACGGGACATGGGCGGCTTCGTAAAAGTCCATGGGGGACCAAGCAGAAGAGTTGGTTCCTGCATAAGGAAAGAAGGCATCGATGACAGCCTGGCTCTCTTTCCGCTCGACATTTGACCGCATAATGTAGTAGGGAGAGGGCGTTTCGTTCCACATCTGGCTAATTGTGAAGGCACATGTGAACATGCCTTGAACAATGTCCAACTTGAGGTCAACCTTCGCCCACAGCACTCCGTGAGAGTTCCGTTGCACTGGCTGCGATAGGACTTTGAACATTTGGTCCATTCCAGGATCAACATGATCTTCTTGTATTAGGACAGTGCAGTCGGGAAGACCCAGGGCCTTGTTACGGGCCCTAAGACCGAGCAAGCTGCCAGCATATCGAAGGATAACGTGGGGTCCGACGTCGGATTTCACGGAAACTTGGTCGGTCGTCTCGCTGCGCTCGATCGCACGGGTAAAAGACACGGAGCCTCTTTTCAGACATATAGCGCTACTCGGAGGCGCTACTGTGGTCTTTCGACGCTTCGCAAAGCTTCCACCATCTCTACCGTTGGGCGCTTCCGGCGCTTCCAGGTACTTGGGGCCGGATGGTAGTAACAGGAGCGCATTCACAATATTGGAAGGGAGGATATCTGCAGGTGCAATTGGTCATTAATTCTGCTTCCTTTGCTTAGTGACACACGCCATTGAGCAGCGGCATACCGTTGAAACCAAATTGGTTGTTGGCAGCGGCCTTCCATATAGGCACGCTAACATTGCGCTTCGTTCGCGCCATGGCGGGGGGTCTATGAGGAGGGGAGTTGCGCGAGCTCGAAGCTCGAGGTTGGGTCAAACAGTCATTTATAAGGATTCCCGTCGAGATGGAAAAGGGAGATTCGACGGGAAAGGTCTGTCAAGGGAAGTGGCATGGTTGGCGCAGAAAAGGCGATGTCCTTGAACATTTGTCAGTAGGAGCACTTCTGCCTGGTGGATCCACATCGCTGTTCGCCTTGTCACACAAGCAGAGCGCGGTCATGCGAACCAGATCAAGGCAATAAAATTCTGGCATGTAATTTCATCGAATTATCCTCTGATAGATGGAAGTATTATCAGAATACTCGAAACGAAATAGTAAGAAATACTGAACCTGATTTACATCAGCCAGTTGTGCCAAAACTTCCCTTCTCTGACAAGTAAGTTGTTTGCGTGTCATCAAGGTTGGCCCTCAACCGATGTGGCCACATCATTCACTAGGATTTGAAGAATAATTAACTGCATTTGTCTTCATTTGCCAGTCAGATAAGAGGCTGCACTCAAGTCAAGTTATCGCCATCCATGAAGATGTTCACGGAGGAAGTGCAGCCTCGCGGAGGGTCCACTTTAACATGATAGCCTCGCTTACATAACGCAATCAATGGCGACAAATTTCAAGCTTCAAGTGTATCATGACGGGCAAACCGCCCCGTCACTCCTACGAGCTGTGGTCTGCGGCGCGTCTTCCCCGTGACCCGGCTGTAAAATCTCATCTTGCATTCTTTTCTTCGCAGGTACGGTGCTTTTAACCTATCCGACTATCTGACCGCCCTTTCAATTGTCCTTGCGACGCCAACACTAACCCCCCCTACCTCGACGCAGACGCTTCTCCAAAAAATGAGAGCCCAAAGTCTCTGGTCGTCGTTGCGGCCACTCGCCTCGGCGCCCACGACAAGCACACTCAACACGCAAATACGATGCCTACACAAGACGCGACCGCCGCCCACGATCCCCCGGCCCCGGCCATTCGTCCCCGACGTCGAGACGTTCCTCAAGCTCATCGGCCGGGGGCTGAGCCGGCACGCGAGCAAGTTCCCCACGTGGGAGGCGCTCTTCGCCATGACCTCGCCGCAGCTCAAAGAGCTCGGCGTCGAGCCCCCCCGTGCGCGCCGGTACCTGCTGCAGTGGATGCAGCGCTACCGCAAGGGCGTCGTCGGCCCCGGCGGCGACTTCCAGTTCGTGCGGGACGGCGAGGCGCACCTCCGCGTGGCGCTGCCACCGGCGGGCGCAGCCACGGACGCGCGCTGGGTGGTCAACGTGCCGCACGACGGCGACGGGGTGGTGGCGGCGGAGACGTACCCTCGGCCCAAGGGCTACTCGGTGCGCGGCCTCACGACGATCGCGGGCAGCCACGCGACGGAGCTGCCGGGGAAGGGCGGCGCGGTGGTCAAGGTCACGGAGGGCATGTGGGAGCAGAAGCAGGGCAGGAAGATTGACGGCGGCGAGCGCAGGAGGGCAGAGACGCGCTTTAAGAAGCGCTCCGCGGAGCGCCGCGCCGAGAGGGAGGCCGAGCTGATGAAGCACCTGTAAATTATCACAAAAGAGAAGGGGGGATGGATGCCACGAGCGAACCGGCATGGAACGCATCATAACTTGTACCAATTACATTGTCACATTACTTTTCAAATTCGGACTTCACTACGAGGTGACGACAACGTTTGCTTTGCTAACAGGATCTTGCCAGTAGTTTCGAGTTCCCCTCGGCAGCCTTGCTATCGCAAGTCCATGGAGCCTGCCGCGCTTCGCGACTTGACATTCGGCCCTCGCGGCTAACTGCAGCCCACAGTCGCTGCAACCTTGCATGACGAGCAGCCCGCACCGGTTTTGGCTCTACTGGTACGAGTGCAGCCCGCTGTGATGCAACGGCGTGCGCATTGTAGCTGCAGAGCCAGCAGGCGGGCTCGATGGCGTGCGGATTTTGAAGAGGGTGCATCCTCGAGGGCTTCGCCAGCAGCCATAATGGTCATGCCGACACCAAACACCGCACAGATACCGATCCATCTTGGCCTTTCAACTTGTCTAACAGTATTCGAGGAGAGAAGAGACTCTCACTGGATGAGAGCGTGCGGCAGACCCGGTGAGATGAGTTGTCTTGGAGGCGGTCTTACAGTACACACTCACACCTGCTCTCGCAGGACCCGAGGCTCCAAGTCCGCCTCATGTCCCCGAGTTTGTGAGGGTTGAAACTCGATGCCGCCGATCACTAGGCAACTCGATTCTTCGTCCAAGATCCGATCGTACCAAATCTCAGGATGGAGATGGAACTAATGTATAGAGACTGACTAGATAGCTGTATTTGGCTGAGAAGACATACAGCCGTGCCGCCCAGAGTACCCCACGAAGACCACGACGCTATTCGGGCCGGTTTGGTCTTGACAGCCTGAAGCCTGAGGGAGGGTATCTTTAGTAACATATCATCCCTTAAGGCTGAGCTTGTTTTATAGCTCGTACTGCTCTCACACATTGCACTTTCTTTACCCTTGCCCCTTCTTTACTCTTTTCCTCGACAGTTCGACGCTGCAAGTTACAGCAACCCAACAGGTTATCCTCTTCAGAAACACCCGTCAACAGGCTTGCATGGTGTGGCTGCGCATTCCGACGGAACACGACTTTTCTGCGATAGTAGGTTGTCTATTCGGGTTTCTCTCTCATTCCGAGCGCCTGCCAACACCGTCTAAATACTCTGCGTCATCGCACAGAGATATGAGCTCACCTACGCACAGGACGTGAGGCTCTCAGGCGAGGCGCTCAATCTGCCACGCCGCGGCCGCCACGCCGTCAGCCTCGCCCAGTTTTATCCATTGTTCGATTTACACATAGAAGATAACCTTTTCTACGACTTGCGCTCGGCACAGATGGTTGCCCTATCCTCGTCGGGATCTCTCGCTTCCCTTGGCCTCTTGGACGCCATCCCCAGCGCCAATGCCGGGATTGGTTGGCGGCGTCAAGGTTTGAGGGCAGGCACAGTTCCAGCTCTTTAGCGTCGCCGCGCATCGCGGGCTGGCGTTTCCTTATCGTGCCAATTTGTCCTCCCATGTGTCAGAGCGCCCTCTCGGTCTACAATACTCGTCGATGACGAGAATCGCCATCGCCATCGGTGATGCTGGCGGCGGTGGCGGCGTCAACGCCCGTGCCGAGGGGGTGTAATGGTCCCGCCACCGCCACCGCTTCTCGCATAGATGGATGGCGTGAGTGAATCTGGTGGTGGTTGGATCGGCACCTCTGCCGCCTGTATCGAGACAATACGCGAAGGGGGCGGCGGGCCGGGAGCACACTTAGGCAAGGCATCTTCTTCACTTTGTATGTTATGGATGCATATGCCATCGACAACTGACGAGAATTAACTTGGAAGAAAAAAAACTTAAATGCGAGGGCCCAGTTTCCTTCCATGCTCGGTAGTGAGTGCCTCATGTCTCAACCAATCCGAGCTTTAGCCCGACCCATGCCCACAGAACGTCCTACTATGCGAGACCCTTCGAAGCAAACTCGCCCGAGAAAGTTTCCTGACAGGGCTTTCAGATTTGCCAGCACAAGGGGGGCGGATCACAGCAACGTTCTCCGTAGTTCCCGTCCGGTGACAGGGGCTGCGGAAACAGCTTCGACCAGTACCAGCAGCGTCTCGTGGCTGCACCCCCCTGGCTCCAATCTGTTTCCCCTTGCTTTGGCATCCGTCGGATCTACTCAGGCGTTTCTTGCGAAACAAAGTTTCTTCGAGGCAATCTGCATCTAGGGTTGAAAGTCGGGCTCTTGCAGCCACTCCACGGATCCGTCCAGTGGTAGCATCGGGTAGGTGAGGGCTTACAGCACAGGACTCGAGGTTTTTCTATTCCCTCTAAGATATTCCGTTATCATGAGTGACTTTTGAAATTGAGGCATATGCGTCGCTCTTTCATCTTCAATTTACACAACTCTATCACCAGCCAGCAGCATCCTTGCTCTCATTCAAAGCCAGCTACCGTCCACGGACATACCAGATGGTTCTAATATAGCACAGCATCCAGGTCTAGCTTTGGCATTTTGACATTTTGACATTTTGACATTTTGACATTTTGACATTTTACTCAAAATATTTCCGTCTTGGGGTTGGGTTGTCTCTGGCCACCAATAGCTTCATCGCATTGCTACGGCTGAACAGGCAGCTCCACCCTTGAACAGCCGCGGCACGGTATCGTGCCAATGGGGCATTGTGTGCTGATGCTAGTCAAATGGCGAAATTGAGGCAGGCGTTTTTCAAGCCTCGCTCAATCCGCGTGATGTGGATAGGAAGAACGATTCGGGGTACAAATTTGCCCGTGTGTGCTCGATCCGGAAAGTCGTCAATCGGCTTCTATCTCGGCCGAGGCACTTGGCGAACGTGGCGGCGTGGCAAGATTAAAATGACTTCAATACACGGTCTCTTACCTTCTTTGAGAAAGATACATCATGAGCTTAAAACTTTCTAAAGATATATATACACACAGCCCTAACAGGAGTCTTACCACCGCCATTGAGCGTATTATAGAAGGGCCTTTCCACAAACATTCACACGAGTCTCTTTCTAAGAACTCAGTGAAAGGTAATGTTAAAATGATGCTGCAGCGCCATTCCGAAGCCAGAAAAAAAAGGCATCATCTGTCGTAGCCTGGGACGGTCTCTTGCCTGCTTCGCTCTCTGACCATGCTAACAGTTTCAGCTGACGCCCTAGAACGGGGCACCAACGATGCACCATTCTAGAAGGGACCTCTACATATGCAAGTGCCTTGCCCAGGCGGGGTACAAAGCTTGATTATTAGCTTGGTGATAAGAACGCAGGGCGGCAATAGACAGAGAGTGAGGGATGATGCAATGTGCACACCCAGGGTGTAAGCTAGCCGGCGATGTCGACACAGTGACATGTGCGAGACAAAGCCGGCAGGCAAATCTCCCGATCCGTTAACTAAGGTTGAAATAACAGGGCGGACAGCACTCTGCCGCGTTTAGTATCTAGCGCTTTTGGTATCTAGCTATGCGAAATTGCAACCATGACCGTTTTGGGGGAACGAGGCGAGCAATGATAGAGCTTCCTTGGCCGAAGGATTGCCCCCGCCGTAAACGACCGTTTATGCCTGTGAGCTGAACAGCCCGGATTCGGGGGGGGGGGGGGGGG